TATCAGTAATGCATAAGATGCTAACGAAGGTTAGTTTACACCTTAGTTTTCATTTTTGATCAAGCTAAAGGGTTAACCTTGTTACAGAAAGTTCAACAATTTCTGGTTTCGTGGTCTAGTTGGTTATGGCATCTGCTTAACACGCAGAACGTCCCCAGTTCGATCCTGGGCGAAATCATTTTTTGATATTTTTGTTTTCATCAACGTGTCAGTATGTAGAGTAATTTAACCACTACTACCTTCTTTTTCTTTATTTATGGTAGTATCTTTGTTTAACAAGGGTTTGCTTCCGTTTTTTTAATGTCGACAACAATAGTTTATTCATCAAGAGAGATATGCAATCGTTGATAACTGATTGAATAATAAATCTTTGAAATTCTAAAGAGAGGGATTACACAAATAATGGTAGTTTGTAGAAGAATCATTTGATCATTCAAAAACTTACGATTAGCATTGTATAAATTCCAAATATTGTTCTTTTTGATAAAATTGTTTCTTGAGGTTTTAATTAAATATTTAGTGTAAGAAGCCCTAATTTTGAGATCGGAATTTTATTGAACGGCATGACAGGTAGTTCTACGGGGATTCTTACTGAAGTGTAAAAAAATAACATGACACCTCCCCCGGGAATTGGGTGGAGAGTGGCTAAAAACCCTAAAGAATAATAAAGAGTTGCGAAAGAAATGAAGAAAGTGTATTTAAAACTAAGATGAAGATACTAAACAGGAATCTAAAAATTCATCACATTAAAAAAAAACACACACATTGACATAAGTCTGAATCTATTGACATATATTATTAAAGTAGTAAAATAATTACTATATTGACTCATTACCATTTATTAAACTCCCTGTAAAGAGAACTATTAACGTCAACCCTGTCATAAGATTACTACTTATATTTTTCCAAGAGATACCTTTATATAAAACAATATACTTTTTTTCTATTTTTAGAACCTAAACACTACGATTCAAAAACTAAAACTTAAAGATAGAAATGTCTGAGAAGTTTAAAGATTCTGTTGATTTAATGTCTTTTTTACAACATAACAGCAATGAGAATGAATTTTTTGATAATACTGAATTTCCCACTAAGAAAGAATCTACCAACATTAATATGAACCAAAATAGTAGTAATACATTATTTTCTAATATACATGATTTAAATACAAACCCTATTACTTGTTTCGAAAATAAAGATTCATTTAATGAATTTGAGTTAACAGATGATACAAATAATTATGCTCAAGGTCCTATAGATGAAAACGAAAGAATAAGAAGAGGACAAGGAGGAGGAAATCACGTTGGAGGTACTAGTTCATTAAGTTCATTGTCACCAACAACACATAAGTCATCATCTTCGCTAAATAGTAATCCATTAATATTTACAAATGATAATATACCAGTAATGGAAGAAAGTGGTGACAAAAAGAAAGCACAGAATAGAGCAGCTCAAAGAGCCTTTAGAGAAAGAAAACAAGCAAAATTGGATAGTCTGGAACATCAATTAAAGGAGAGTGAAGCTAATAAAGAAGCATTACAGAAAGAAGTAGATACGTTGAGAAAGTTAAACCAAGAGATTCATGCAGAAAATAGAACTCTTTTAAGAAAACATGACGATAATAATAACAATATGTCAAATTCAATAAATTATAATCAAAACAATTTTGCTGGACAATACACAGAAGATCAGATAATTGAAAAAAATATTATCCATCGCACAAGGGAAGATTTTTATAAAGATTTAATGAAACAAGTGAAGGTAGCTACTGAAAGTAATAGTGAAACAATTCAAAATAAAACCTATGAAGATAATGACGGTAATATAATAATGACAATCCCAGCTACATGGGAATATTTACAGAAAAACTACGGAGAAGACATTGATATAATTAAAGTATTAAAATCTCTGAGAGGTAAAGAAGTATGTCACGGTGCAGGTGGTGCATATCCAAAAGTAATTATCGACGAGGCAATCAAGCGACTCATGGATGAGCAATAAATTGTCAACATTCAACTCACCCGATTCCTTACATCAAATTAATAAACTTTTTTATCCCAAATATCTGACTTAAAATCAGACAATAAATAAAGCGTACGTACCCATAATAAATATTTCAGTGTTGAGAATAACAGTTAGAATACAATTAATAAAAGTTGGTAACTTTGACCTGATCAATCTTCTTTTTTTTTTTGGTTCTATTATTTTCCTCGCAGGGAGCGTTTCTGAAAAAAAATTTCTTGGATCGTCATCGATTTTATTATTTACCTTTGTCAACAAATAAAAAATATAGTTTACAATTAACTGTAGAATATTATAAGATTTATGTCGTATACTAAATAACGCATTTGTTTATACAATCGATCAAGGATGACTTAATGATTGAAGGGGAGACATTACCGAATTATACATTTCAGCGCATAATAAAAGAGACATGACGGATAAAGGTGAAACGCTGGAAGAGAAAAAATCGAATTTTGATACATCTATTGATGACTCAAAGCTGTGTCAGTTAATAGAAATGTTCCCAGAAATGGATACTGAAACGATTACCAACGCCCTAAGAAGTTCAAAGAACAATTTGGATCTCGCGATTTCATTTTTATTGAGTGATGTTGCCAGTGACACAAACATTAAATCAATTTCCGATGATGACGAAAATATCAAGACCCCAAAATTGGTGGACTTATATGAAATGTTTCCTAAAATTAATTCCAACATAATACGAAGTTACTATAATTCACATGAGAGAGACGTCAAAAGAACAATTGTGGCTCTATTGGATTATGAACTTCTCTCTGCAGAGGATATTAATGATCAAAAAAGGGTAGAACGGAGGATAAAAAACACAATTGAAGATGGTAATGTGAATTCATGGAAGTCTTATAACGAGAAAATAAATCTCATACTGAAGTTTACAGAAGTAGACGCCGTCTCAGCAAAGCGTTACTATCAACAAAACCACATGAATCCTTTGATGGCTATAATTTATATAATACAAAAAAATATCAAATCGGAACAAACTATTCGACCTGCAACTTCTCCTGCTACTACAGGCTCAACAAGAACCCAATTAGGGGGGCGTGTCCAATCTGTCAATGGATTTGCATATAAGCCGAAAATTTTTGATGAAGATAAAGAACCACCTTGCTCTGTAAGCGGTGTTGATATTAATGCAAGACCATGGTCTAATAGAGAAAAATTTGTTTATTCTAAGTCATCTTCCGAAATAGTGGAACTTGGTAATCTAATATCCTCTAATGTCGACTTTCGTAGTATAAACCCTGTATTTGTCACTCATGCCATTAAATACTACAACGGATGTGTTGCACAAACAGTCGATCTTCTAATTTTGTTATGCTCAAATAAGTGCTCTAAATTTACTTTTATTAATGAAGATACTAATAGCGACTTTATTGAAACAAATTCTTGGAGATCTAAAAGCTCAACAAAGGCTCCTCGTGGATCATATAAAACGATCAGTAATGATATAAAGCAAAAGTACGAACCCCAATCTCAAAAGATTGATATAAATTATACGCTTGACCATCTTTTTGAGAATTATAGACTTGATTTTCATGGATTACTACCATCGCAAGCTGTTGAAATATTATCAAGAGCTTTAACAAAATGGTGGAATGCTGAAGTGGAAGAACGTGAATTGAGGAGAAAAAGGTTAAATTTAGTGAATGTTTGCTGTGTGAACCCATTAATTGTAATTACAGGGCGTGGGATTCACTCGGTAGGCGGGATATCAAAAGTTAGAATACAAGTTAAGAAATTTCTTGAGAATAAAAATTATGTATTTGACGAGGAACCATCATTTTTTACGGTATATGGTAAGCGACCCAGTTAACCAACAACAAAAGCATAAAAACTTCATAACTGTAGTTTATAGAACCACCCATATTCAAACATATATCTGTATTATCATATAAGTACTCATATATTAATAGAAATCTTAGCATATAAATGTTTCATTTTATTTACTTTCGCGAAAATGTTTCGTGTAGCGCGAAGTAGGGAATATAAAAACAAACCAATTTTGAGATGACCATAAGTAAGGACATCTGCGCTTCCACATACTACCTATTAAAACAAATAAACCATTTCTACGAAGGCAGTAAAAATCACAATTAGTCTATATATACCATCTGCTAGAAAAATAGCAATGGACTTTATGGATTTAGGGGTAACCTCCCGTAAAACTGGGCTTCGTGTCAAAAATAACATTGCTAAGGATGAATATAACATGGAAGATGTAGAAGATTTCTTTAAGGAAGATGAAACAAGTATGATAACAGTACGGAAGACAAAAAGTAGGAAAATTTCTCTATTGCCTCGTAAGCGAACTTCTTTGGTAGAAGAAAGGACAGAAAATGAAACGTCCCGATTCTCTACACCTCATATCTTCTCACCTGCAATTAGTGATACCAGACGCTTATCTTCTCCATCAGTATATATACCACAAGACCAATCACAAGTTGAACAAACGTCAAATGTTTTGAAAAATAGTTTTAACAATAGAAGTCTGATATCGGGACACCAGGATTCTCCATTGCTCGAGCCAATTCATGAAGAGGAGCCCTTTGATTATGGACAAGAAAGTAACTTTCAAACGAACAATCATCAATCAAATATACGAAGTTTCCTAGCACCAAATTCATCATTACAACAGTATAACACTACTTATGATTTGAATTCTACGAGGCGGACATCTTTAAACGTTAGGGCACCCCCAAACGAATTCGTGAACCCATACACAGAAAGCGAAGCTCCAGATCTTGTACATGATGCTGATTTAACCATCGATAATACTTCCTTTAATACATCAGAAAATGCAGTTCTCGAAGAAGAACTGTCGGAATATGATATAGAGAATAGCGATAGTGATGATGACATTGATTATAATGCAGATTTTTTATCATCTGGCGTATCATCAAATGAAGAAGGAGAAATGAATGAAGAAGGAGACAATGAGGAAAGTATCCTAAACGATATAGACTCAGCGCAGATTGATAAAACGTACATCCCCTCAGATGAGGAAAATAATGACGATGATGACCAGGATATTGATGGCGTATCGATAAATCACCAATTACCAACAGATTTTGCTGATTTCTCATCCGATGAGGATGAAGAATATTTACCCTCTCAGAGGAATAACACTGAACCAGCTGAAACTACAAGTGTCAAAAGGTCTGCAAGAATAAAGATTCCTCCCTTAGAGTACTGGAGAAATGAGAAAGTTGTTTATAAGAGGAGAGATTCCAAACCCTACCTAGATATTGAGAAGATAATAACGTACGAGCCAAGTAGTAGCTCTGAAGATGAAGCCGAGGCCAAGGCTCGTTCTAAGCGAATAAAGAAAGCACCACAATCAAACAACAACTTGACATCTGAAACTTTATCATTAACAAATATCATAGGCATTCCTAGAGTGGAAAACCAATCGAGGAATTTTAGATCAGTTAATAATAGAATAATACGTGGTCAGATAAAGGATAACTCTAACAGCTCTGATTCAAAATTGCTTGACAGAATCCAAAATGGTGAGGTTAAAGATGCAACCTGGATACAGGATGGGTTTTTAGAGGCTACAGTAAATTCCGCGATTGATAAACAAAGCAAGGAAGTTATTGCTTATGCCCCAAATATTTCCCAAGCAGAGAGAACAAAGAGAACACCAGATGATAAGTATACTTTATCGGTGATGTTCGATAAGCATAAAGAAATGTTTGCAAGTGGTATCCTAAAATTACCCCCATCCGGTTTGCGAGATACAACAGAATCTCATAACGCATTCATTACATTTTACGTCATTCACGGAATTGTAGAGGTAACAGTAGGTACAAACAAGTTCATTACTCCCACTGGCTGTTCATTCCAAGTTCCATCATTCAATAGCTACTCCTTTAAAAACAGAGGAAAAGAGGAAGTTCAACTATTTTTTGTCCAAGTAATAGTGCCAGAAACCTTTAATTCTGAGCATGCCTTAGTAAATCCTTCTTCGACTGGAGATATCCCAGATAAGGAAGAATTTTCTATGTCGGAAGATGAATCATCTAAAGTGCTAAACTTGAAAGATAGATACATTTCCGATTCTCAAACAAAGATACGACCATCATCAATTCAACAAAAACTGTTCATTAGTTCAAGTTCCTCAGACCTTTAGAAATATGTAAAAAAATAAATATTCAATACATCTGAAAGGAGTTCAGCATAATTATTGAGACCAAAATATATATAATATATATTGTTTCCTGTTGAGATATGCTTATAGTTAAATTTATTTAGCATTATAGTAAGCATGCCTAAAGCTATTGTACTTTATCTAAAGCCTGTATTACTAAGGAGCGTAATGATTCGTTGGCAGCGGGAATATCACAAACACAAGGATCATGTAAGAGTTCTATACTGGAAGCTCGCAACTCAGGTTTAACCATTAAACATTTTTTAAGAAACAGGGAAAGCTGGGTACTGATACCCTCGGGATTTTTCAACTCAGGTACGCCATTTGTGGCTATCAAATATAAAGCATTGGCTGGTGTTTCTTCCATATATGGTGGCTCATGTTCAATCATCTCCATAATAGTGATTCCTAACGACCAGATGTCAACCTTCGTTCCGTATTTTTCTCCAGAAATAACCTCTGGTGCCATCCAATATGGGGTCCCAATAATCATGTCCTGTCCTTCCACTGAATTGGTAGTGTTCGTACAAAATCCGAAGTCAGTTAATTTTACTTCACCATTTACGGATAGTAGAATATTATCAGATTTCACATCTCTGTGTATAATGCCATTCGAATGCAAATATTGGAGTCCTTTCAAAATTTCCCTGCATATGACTGAGATTTGTAATTCAGATAACTGATAGCTACTAATTATATTAGTTAAACTCCCACCTTGGAGATACTCCATTTCAATCCATAATTCTCCCTTAGTCCAATACGAATCATAGAACTTAACGATATTTGGATGGGAGATTGTTTTCATAATCAATAATTCATTTATTACAAGTCGTCTATTTTTTTGATGAGCTGTATCAATTCTCTTCAATGCTACATATTGCTCTTCCTTATCACTGTAGGAAAGAAAAACTTCAGCAGAAGCACCATGTCCAATTCTTTCTAATTGGCTAAATTTTAAATAAGGATCATCTGGAGATGATGATAGTCTCAGTTTTTTAATAATGTGACCATCTACTCCTCCATCTAGGCTATCTTCCATTTCTCGGAGGGCTATCTTTGGAAGTAAGAATGAATTAGTTTTAGATGATATGAAGCTCTTACAATCACAAATTTCCCTAGAAGATATAGTTTGAAAATCATTTCTTAGTTTATTATTTGGGGATATATTACTATTTTTGCTTTCGGCTGATGTGTAAAGGTTACAGAATTCGAAACTTTCTCCAAAGACAGGAAATTCGTCACTATGTCTTTTTAATGGTTGCATACTATGAAGATGAGCTGAATGGGAAGACGTTACACCTACCTTAATATTATCATCTTTAACATTGTTCTGGGCAACTTTGGTTAAGGATTTGGGTATAATAGTATGCAACAAAGTAGAAAATACAGTCTTTAGAGAGTTTGGTGTGTCATTGAGGTAAATTGTTTCAATTTTAGTCTTTGAATTATAAGAAGTTGAAGAAGGTTTATGTTTACTTAATAATTTAGGAAATACCTCCTTTATTTTATTAGAATATGACGTTTGGTTTAAAGTTTTAAAAACATTTATATCTTGCTGAAGTGAATTATTAGAAATTTTTGTAGTTGGCGTTACTACAAGGTCACAAGCTTTAGATCCTGAAAAAAATGTTTCCACAGATCGCTCTGAATCCTCAATGGATGCTATATAATCAGGGTACATTATGTTGTTATGGCGGGAATTTTCTAGAGTAAAAGTTTCGGAATTACAAGTAGTGTCCTTTCTTTGATTTATTTGTTCGTGATATTTATATACTGTATTCTGATCCGAAAATTGTAATTGAGTACTATCAACGTAATTATAATTAGCAGCACTGCAATCCCCTGTCTCAATAGCTTGCCCTAATATAGTCATAATAGTTTTATTATGCTTCACAGAACTATGACTTTTCCAACTTGTAAAATAATTCTTTATTTTTGGAGTATGTCTACTATTATTCAAATCATCAAAATTTTCGTCACATATTTGTTGCTCTACTACGCCAATTGAACCTTTGTTATCTAGATGTTTATCAAAGATAAAACATTCCGAATAATTGTCTTCTTCCATCATGTTTATATGAATGACTGAGTAAAAATGTTAAAATGACTATACCTTATTTTTTTTGAATATCGATTAAGGGAGGGGGGTGCCTTAAATATTTAGGAATTCCTAGACATAGAATATCAAAAGTTAAAAAAAAAAATTATAGATATATTTAACTATGAACCAATCGAATTTTTAACGTTATAACCAAAACTATTTTTTGTATCAATTGATAAAGATTTTAAATTAGATCTTTTAATTATTGCTATTATTAGTATATTTTCCTGTTTCGACCAGTGAAAAAGTTTGACAAACTAAGAAATATAATGCCACACCAAAAAACAAGTAAATATATTAGACGGATTAAATAAAATTTAATATCCGTAAACTTCAAAGAGTTTTCGATAGGTAAAAGAATACCCCAAATCATTGTCATCTATATTTCTCTCCTCTATATATATATATAACTGATCATAGAGTGTTGGCGACTGACAAATTAATTTGTTTCAGATAACTTGATATTTTATTATGAGTTGATCACATCTTTCTCTAATATAAAAGTACAAGAGAATCATTCCGACATAACTGAAAGTGATATCACCTACTTAAAGATTAGCACTGACAGTATACTGAGATTTTTATTTCTTGGCCTACTATTTACCATTTTTGCAATTGTTTAAGATGCAAATGAAATTTTATGAAAAATTCCAATGATTCATATCTCTCTACCTGCATGGACCATCTATATGTCATTTTCTCCTGGGTGGAGTATATGTATGTAAAAACTAATATATATCCCAAATAGGATGACCAATTTTAGTATAGATTTACGGAGGAAGAATTCCCAGCACTTTTCTGAGTTTTATCCTTTTCTAAAATAAACTAATAAAGTTTAAGTTTATGGCCAGAAACCTGAATAACAATAGTGAATATCATGTTATACACTTTCCACACATAACGAGATGTGGTATGAGGCACAATAGAAGTTTTAAAAGTAGGGGTGTACCCTTGGAACTCTTCCACCTTCTTTCTTACAGTATTTACTGGGGGTCATAATTCGGGCTTAGACTCGATACAATTGAACCTAGAGTAGTACAGCAATACGGATGAAGCCCAGCATAAACCTATATCGCCCTCGAAATAAGACAAACCTATCTTTGAATGACGGAAATTTTCCAATTATTCTTACTGCAAAAGAAATGAATGACTACTCTTGTTAATCATCCTCATCACCATTATATCAACACTTGATTGGCGTAGTCCGTTATTCTCGCTGGAGAAAAAAACAAACAACGAAATTAGCCAGAGAAAGAAGGGAAGAACATAGTTTTATAAAACAGAAGAAGAAGAGATATATCGGGAGTATTCATTAAAAGACAATAGAAGTTGTTCTCGAGAAAACAATTTACAATAAAAATAAAGACATTGCACCGTCCCATTATCTTCTTTTCCTATCGATAGGGCCACATCCATCTACTATGCTAGAAAAATTGTTTTGCTGGAGAAGTTGTCTTGTTTCTCCAAATGTAATTCCAACGAGGAAATTTAGAACACACCAGTATTAGAGATGACCACCATCCTTACACCGCTAATGATAACATTCAAAAGTTGCACGGCTTATCATAAGATCATTCTTTGAGAACTGATATAAACCGTGTATCGTTATAAAACAGTCGGATAACGTATCAATTATTTGTTCGCAATTATCAGGAAACAATAAAGCAAAAATTTAAAGAGTATCTTTCATATCTTCAAATTTTGATTATCGATCTTTCCATTTGGAGATAACAAAACAAAAAAAATTAAATAATTTCTTCAAATACGTATATCTATATATTTCTAATGTAGATTTCTCAATCAAATTATGTACATTTGGAAGAGATGTAGAGGTAGAGACAAAGACGGAAAATATCATTACGATCGGATAAGTTTGTAAGCATACTCCCATTGCCTAATCTGTATTATCTTCTGGACCACTTCTTATTCCTCTTATCTCTCTAAGATAAGAGGAATGCACCAGCACCTTCTTCAATTGCCTGTTGGATTCTTGTACGCATAATTTCTTGATTACTATATTTAGGCAGTTTCAAATAATTTGCACATGTCATAACACTAGGTAGATATTGGTCGGGGGATAATCCATCCTCTGCATGCTTCAAGACAACGGTAAATTTAGGTTTCAAAGCTTTGAAACCACCAAAGGGTAACCTAGGAGACCCAGTTAAGAACTGAGTAAATAGTCTTTTATCCTTAGGGTTAAAGGATGACATAATAGATATTAAATCATGAATAATAGTAGAATCCATAGTATAACCGTGATCACTCACAATACAACTGTATAATGTTTCCTTTGACCAATCTTCTTCCACACGACCAAATATATCAATCAATTCTTCAGGAGATAAAATTAGGAGGTTAGAGTATGGAAATACTTTAGAAAACCCATCAATGAATGCTAGTAGCTGTTGTTTGATACCATCACCAATTAATCCAGATATTAACAAATTAATATATTCAAGAATATTTTCTGAGGTCACACTTGTTTCATCCCCATTGTCGATCAGAGGTATAGTTGTTCCAGGTACAATAAAAGTCAAATATAATTCTTCAATCTTGCCAGCATTAGCTTTATTCTCATACATATATTTTAATGAATTACCAATTTGTTTATCGATATAAGAAATCATGTCTATGGATTGTTCAACATTTGCCATGTAATCTGGTAACTTCTGGTTTCTTACCAACTCATGGGTTAATGAGAAAAACAGCGTATTGAAATTAAAATCAAGGATTCTATTATCCAACATTGATCTTGCTATAAATTCACCCAAGTAAAAAAATAGTTCTTTAATTTTACCTCTTTTTTCAACCAAAGGATCAATGCTCATTGGGAATAATAATTGTGTAACATACTCCTGATTGGTATCACCATCTGACTCATCTATCTTAGAGTTATAATTATCAACCCTCCACATACCCAATGATTGTCTAGAAAAATCCTTCGACATTGTTGCATAAAATTCTAAAGTTGGACCTAAACCAGTGCCTACTTCATCCTGATACTCCATCTCAAGGATACTTGGATTCGATCCATATTTATCTAAAATTTTCAACCCGGTTAAAAATATTTTATCTCTAGGAATCCTTAATTTGTGTCTTGTAATACGGCCTAACTGTAAAATTGGATTATCACTAGATAAATCCTTTCCAAGTTCGGCTTTATTTTTCCATAATTGAATTAATCTACCATAACCAAATGATACACACTTTAAAAAGAACATCCTAGATTCGAATGGGAATAAAAATGAGAAATCCCTCGTCAAATATAATGTCCAATCAGGTAATGCGCCACTTGCGATGATCAATGGTTCGTCCAATTGTTTGGATAATTTTGCACTCAATTTAGAATTTATAAATATATCCGAATTATCCATATTAGCCCTTAAAAATTTCAGAATGTACAGTATATGATCCACTGGGGTTAAATTTTTCTCAGTACGTTTTTCTAGTTCATACACATTTTCAATTATTGTATCCTCTAAAGGTGCATCAGTAGGTGCATCATTATCGTGCTCAATATCTGAGATATTCTCCTCAATAGAATTACTACTGTTTTCAGCATCCGGTAATTCTTCAAATCTATCTAATTTCTTTAAGTTTACAGTAAATTTAATAGAATGGGGTTTTGTCCACAATTCTTTTACATCCTCTTGAGATTTTTCTGTATATTTAAACACGGCTCCAAATATTGTTTCATTTACAGATATTGGATCTTCTCCTATCTTGAATGTAAAATCAGAATCATTCAAGGCCTTTATTGCCTTTATCTCTTCTGAATTGATCCCACCAGTCTCATTTGCAAGCATAGACTCTACAAAACTTACATTAAGTAAACGACTCTTCAAAAATTCACAGCATGTCTTGAACGAACTTATGCATTGAATCGATATCATGGTCGGTTTCAATGACTTGGTAAACTTATCTTCTTCTGAAATACTAGTTGGGATTAGTTCAATTGTAATCTGTTTTCCCAAAGATGCCATACCTCCCTCGGAACCTTGCAAGCCACAATCAATAATTTCGAAAGTTTCTATTCTAGTTAGAGCAGCTTGAAGAATATCTATAAAATCAATCAATTTTTCTCCAAACACTTCAATTAGTACACGTTTATTATTATTTGTTGTGCTAGCAAAAGTTTCAACTTTAGAACTTATAGCTGATGACAATCCTGATGAGATAAATTCGAAAGGTGAAAGAGTAAAATCAGGTCTAAAGACACAATCTCTAACGACAGTCCAGTATTGGAGTAGTTCTTTGTATTTTGTAGAATCTACTTCCATCTGCTCAAGTTTTTCAACTATGTGGCGGATTTCCTTCAATTCACTTGAACCAGTTGATAATTCTTTATTCAAAATATTGAGAATGAATTTACATTCATCAATAACCTCTTGCACTAAAACATCAGAAGACTTGGGTTTAAATACGGTGAATTTCATTTTTTTTGGTTTAACACAATCTGGGAAGTCAAAATCAGAACCGAGTACTTTGAAATAACTTCCTTCTTCATCCTCAAGTTCACTATCATAGTCAGAAGATTCATCATCTTCATCGTCATCATTATTATTATCGATTTCTTCAAAGACCAATGAAGAATCCTTGTCAATAGAATCAAATACACTTAAAAATGATTCGATTAATTCCGAAATACCTTCTCTTTTCAAAAGAGAAATTGCATCTTCTTTGGATTTCTTTATCAACAATGCGATCACTTGGAGAACACCCACAATAAGAACTCCTATATCATTTGGAATTTTTTTATCGTCTGTAATATGTGTTTTATTTTGTGCTAAAGCTGAGCCAATTAATCTCATCACTTCTGTATTGATCTTTTTATCATATAGAGTGTCTTTTGGTAAACATGATAACAATCTTAATAAAGCAATCAATATGTATTTTCTAACGGGGAAATCCATCGAATTCATATATATGTCAACAAATATTGGTGTCAAATTATCAACCAGTGATTTTAATGTTGAGTCTGTACCAAGTGATGAATCATATATCGATTGCTCCATAGAAATCTTTTGATCTTCTTCTGGTGGTAAAAGTAATGCTATAAACCTTCCTATTCTAACTAAAATATCATTCGGAACAAACATTAAAGTTTCATGAAGTGCTGCGTTACTATTCTTACTATAACTATTCAGGCAATGAAGTATTACTTCAGAGATATTTGAATTTTCAATGATATTTCTTGAAAGGACTCTACTATTAGCAACAATTGAAGTGATAATATCATAACAATTTAATTTATCATCTAGGGAAACATCCGAACTTGAAGTTAATAATAATAAACGTTCTAAAATATTTGTAGTACAAATTTGTTCTAACATGTCAGTTTCACGAACTCCACGAACAATACCATATAATGCATTAAGTAATCTACTTAAGATATTCTTATCAGAAACATTTTGAAATATAGGCGCAATAACAACCATTGCGTCTTTAATTGTATCGAAATCACTAATATTAACTCTTGCGCATGCATTTGCCACTATAGCGATAGCTTTCCTTTGAGCATGAATAGTGAAAAAATCATAATATTGAATATAACATGTTAAATCACCTGCTTTCAATATATCTTTCCCATGAACTCTTGATATATATTCCAAAGTCTCTAATACTTGTTCAGCCAAATCAATAAAATTTATTTCAGTTAATTTTTCTTTGAGTACTTTAATTATGTTCTTCTCTACTGCTAACGATATACTTTCTGGATTAACTTCAAATAGATTATAAAGACATCTACAGGCTTGCATTTGTAATTCCATTTCTGCAGCAAGGAAAGGACTTGATAAAACATCAACCAATGCGGTAATCAATTTTTCTGTTGGAATTGCTCTATCGACTACAAGTTGATTCATCATTAACATATTTTCTGAAAGTTCTTTTAAGGATTCCATTGCAATATAAGGATCTTCGTTTGCCTTGATTACATTATCTACCAATTTACTTATCCTTGAGTCCCTGCTATTCATTGAACTCATCATTCCATTTGGAGCTCTTCCACCATTAATCATTGAAAATAATCCAGGTAGCATTTGTTCCAAATTCCTTCCTCTCTCTGAAGAACCTGCATTCTCAGCGAATTGTTGAAAGAAACTATTTGGATTGAATGCTCCACCATTCTGAGTATTTGAAAATCCATGTATTTCATCATCATGATCCAAATCTTCTTCTTCTTCGACGTTGTCATCGTCGTCCTCCTCCTCATGAGAAGATGAATCCATATGATAATCGTCACTATCTCCATAATCATTATATGTATCATCTGTAGGATGATGAAGATCATGGGTATCATCCTCATCTTCATAATCAAAATTGCTATTATCGTCTCTGTTCATTTTGTTCACTTAATTCAAAAACCTAGAAAGCAAAAGCAAGAAAAAGAAAAGTGTGTTCTTTTTGGAGGTTTCTTGATGAATAAATGAAGAGAAAAGAACGTTTTTATAACTATTGAATTAAATATTCTTAGTCTACAATCTAATTGGAAATGATTAAATAGTTGAAAAGTCTGAAATGAAACAAAAAAAAAAATATAAAAAAAAATAAGGTATTTTAAAATCCATCGCCATATTAATTTATCTCCTAATATTTTTTAAAAAAAGCTCATTGTTATATATGTATATATTTAGATCATATATTAATTTTCAATATAGTAATTAATGAGAGCGAGAAATACACACACACACACACACAAGCATACACACACAGAGAGAGCCATACAAAAACACAAATATTTAACACACCATGAACTAACGATATCTATACATAAATAGATAAATCGATTATTGCAACGATGATGATGATTATGAAATTGTTATGAGTTACATATTATTTTCAAAATGATTGCATAAATATATATATGTGTGTATATATTATCAATACAACTACTATTGTTATTATTGTTCTTTCTTTGTCTCTTCTTGAGATTCTTCTTGAGATTCCGATTCATCCGATTCTTCATTATCACTTCTTGTATCTTCAGTGATCCCCTTCCATAAAATTCTATAAAGAATTCTTAAGATTAAGAATAACCAATATAAATTAACAGCTTGTAAAGCGAAAATCAAAATGAAAACGATTGGTAAAGAGATCCAACATTTATATTGTTGTGTTGCAAAATTTAATGTATAATTACCAACAGTTCTAAACTGTGTTAATACAGACCAAAGAATTCTAATATTAACAACATGACGTAAATAAACCCAAACGCAAATGAAAAATACAAATACAGGTTCAGTAAATGAAGAATTCAAATAATTTAAAATTTTTGAAATTGATAAGAATAAATCTGAAATATCCATTGTAATGTATACGGCCAAACCAATTTTTGTAAAATGGAAAACATAAGATGACCAAACTAACAATAATGTTACTATATGATGATAAACCATTTCATCATGATCCTTTCTTGGCTTTTCTAGTTGTAATGCAAGGACACAAGATTGTTGAGCCCAAAATGCAGCTTGACCTAAATAAAAGACTTTAAATAAAAAATGATTATTTGTATCTGGATAAGTCATATACATTGTATCAGTTCTAAATAACCAAAGATCAGAATGATACATACAATAAAGGCCAAAAGGACTTGAAAAAGTATAATAGACCACATAAAAAGCTTGTTCGATAATTCTTTTACTTCTATGTTTTGAATCCACATTTAATAAACTTGGTAAAGGACGCAAAACAATGTCTAATAAAAATTCACGTAAGAATGTGAAAAAAATCATGTAATAAAATACAAATGCTAAATCTTTAATGCCTTTACTATACATGTCTGTATTATCAACTCTATACGATATTGCAACAAACATATGTAAAGGATTTGATTCTGTCAAATTTCCTGAAGTAAAATATGCACTATATGATAATATCATTATAATTAATGGTGTAACCCAAGCATGACGATAATTAACTTCTCTAAATGAAAACCACATTTTTTTAATCAAATCAATATCGTTTCTTCCTTCATCTGTTAATCTTTTCATTCTTTGTTGTGCTGCATTTTTTGAATACCTAGATTCGTACATTGTTCCAAGACCAGAAACTGTATCACCTAAATCAATTCTACCAACTGATGAAGAACGTCTTGATCTAACTCTTAATTTCTGATTGGTACCATTTGAACTTGATACGTTCAAATGTGTATTATTAGCCGACATCCTTTTGCTATTCTTCTTCTTGTTCTAATTGGTGTCGTTTGTGTATAATAGATGTATTAGTTTTAATAACTAGACGCATACATCTATATATATAGTGTAGTTTAAGATGAAACTTTTTATTTGTTAAGTTAAGACAATTTTAATATTAAAAAAAGAAAAAAAATATTAAAAGAATAGGGGTTAACTATAGGCAAACAATGACAATGAACATGACGCCAACTAAAGAATAAACATAAACATATATACATACTTACATATATATATATGTTTATCCAAACCAGTGTAAACTAACCTGTTGTCTCTCCTATCCAACTTAGTTTTCCTGTTTGTTTGTTTGTTTGTTGATCTTTTTCAAACTGAAAAATATTGACAAAGCTGATTATTTAAGCTCTCTACGCCGGCTTCTGCGCGATGCCCACTCGAAATGGGAAACAAAATGTGAATGTTTTGTTTCCCACAGAAACCGTCGTGGCGGCGGCGGGGGGAGGGCAGAATAGGGATGCCCTACGGCGGGTTCTGAGCAACTGTTTCAGGGTTCAACTTCTAGGCTTAGAGCGTGTGGTGTGATGTTAGGGCGTGTGTGTTAGGGTTTGTGCTGTAGTGATTCCCACCGCTTTTTAATTTTGTTGTTGGCTTCGTTTCTCCTAATCTCTCTGGTATAAAACCATATATATATATATATATGTACTTATTGGCATGAACAGAAGACAGTCTCTGTAAGGCATAACGGAAATAGATCCGAACTGGAATAGACTATCATATTCTGAACTATACGTAAGGAGATCAGGTCTAGTAGTAGGGATAACGCAAAAAAATAAAGATGAAACTTGAATTAAGTTCTGCAATTTTAAAGGCAACGGATCCAAAACTAAGATCAGATAATTGGCAATATAATATTGAAGTCTGTGATATAATAAAGAGAGATCCTGAAGATAACGGTAAAGATGCCATACAAATGTTATGCAGAAGATTAGAACAAGATGATGCAAATGTTATTCTTAGATCATTATCTGTAATAATGGCAATTGCAGAAAATTGTGGCTCAAGGTTACAACAGGAAATTAGTTCGAAATCTTTCACAAATTTATTATATTCTTTAATTGAAAAGAAACAAATTCATTACACCGTTAAAATCGAAATTGTTAAATTAGTTCATCAATTAGCAAAAAGTTTTAAATCGGATCCATCATTAAGATCAATGAATGATACTTATAAAAAAATTAAAAAAAATTATTCAAATTTAATAGTATCAGACAATAAAACAATTTCAAAGAACACTACAAATAATAAGACAAAAGAGGAAAAAGAATTGGAAGAAGTCTTAAAATTATCTCTACAAGAATTTGAATCACAAAAGAAACCCGAACAAATTAATCATAATGAATCATCAGTACCTTTACAGAAAAACGAACCATTAACTCCTAAAGTTGTGAAGAAAGTTAGAGCAATGTATGATTTAAATTCATCTGAAAAGGATGAGTTATCATTTAAGAAAGGAGATATTATAATTGTATTAGAACAAGTCTATAGAGATTGGTGGAGAGGTACATTACATGGGAAAATTGGTATTTTCCCATTAAATTATGTAACTCCCATAGTCGAACCAACCATCGAAGAATTACAAATTGAAAATTCAAAAGAAAATATGGTATTTCAACAATATGATAAAATTAATCATTTACATCAAACTTTAAAAAATTCTTCACAAACAACAATTAATAATGGTAAAGATATTACACAAGATGAACAAATTAATAATTTATATGGTACTATAACTCCATTAAGACCACAAATTACTAAAATGATTGGTAAATATTCAAGAGAAAAAGATGACATTACTTCATTGCATCAAGTATTAGCTCAAGCTGAACAAACTTATAATCAATTACTCGATCAAGCTGCCAATGCTTATAAACCTGCACCAACAATGACATATCAACAACAACAAACGTTGCCTGCAGGATATCAACAAAATTATCTTCCTCAAATTGGAAACACATATGCTAATTATCAACAGCCACAACAGAATAATGCGCAATTCTATCCACAGACTCAAGGTCAGTTCCAACCTCCTCCCCCTGCTGCTGGTCTAGTTAATCCACAGATGCAACAATATCAGGACATACAACAACCACAGCAGCAGCCGCAACAGCCACAGACACAACAGCCGACTTACCAACCGAGTAACGTACCCATGAGATAACAGTGCCCATTAAATACGTAGGCATATATATATACACACATATATACAGTTATATATAACTAGAACAAATACACAACTAACGACAATAATCATTCATTTAATTCGATATATCAGCCCATACTGAAATTGCTTGAAGCATCATATGTATGTACGTATGCAGTCGCTAGTTAAATCTTTGAGATTATAGGAAAGCGCCATATTCATATTGTTTTAAGCGAGCAATGGAAAATAATACAAAATTGCTTTAAAAAAATTGAAAACGTATCGAAGACATACATAATTTTGAAATCTACAAGTAAATATAGCCCCTTTTTTCAAAAAAAAACACACAACAACACATATATAATTTAAACAAAGTTATTAAAGGAAGACCACATTACAGTCAATCTAATAAACATAGAAGCAATTCCTAATGTCTGAATCAAATTTCGAAGAAGTTATCCATGAAATTATCTTTGACAGCCCGGCTGGTGAAATTAAAGAAGTTTATGATTCTCTAATTACTATTGTTGGTGAAAACTCCAAGGATACATTACTTAATGTAATTGAACAATACAACGTGAAAAACAATATACCAATTGATGTAGATGGTAACAAAGTTCTTCTCTCTGAAAACAATAAGGATGGTGCATCTAGATATTTTGATCCAATAATTGGTGTTTCATTTACTGTTGATCATTTGAACCGTAAAGGTTTAGATGTCGAAACGCATCAAGCTAAGGGATTTACTGATGATCATAAAAAATTATATCAATCAATTTTGGATTATACTGTGAATGCATACCCTGGTAATGTAACAATTGCAGTATATCCAATAACCGAGGAAAGTACCGAAGAGGCCACCAAATTGGAGATTATAATTTCTAGTACTAAATATAACCCAGGCAACTTCTGGAATGGTGATTGGAGATCTAAATATATATATGATATTGCCTCAAAGCAATTAACTGGTAACATTGATGTCCAAATACATTACTATGAGGATGGTAATGTTAGTTTTAAATCAAATAAAAAAATTGAAGAAAATAGTGTAAATGATGTTTTAAATACTATATCAACTATAGAGAAAGGATTTGAAAATTCTTTAGATGTATCATTTACAGAATTAAATGAAAAACAATTCAAATCATTAAGAAGAAGATTACCTATAACTAGATCTAAAATTAACTGGGGTAAAGCTATCGGTAATTATAGATTAGGTAAAGATGCAGCAGAAGGTGCCTAGTAAAAAAACAAAACAAAAGAAGATGAGAATGTCTCTTAACGTGATGTCATTAGAATAGTTTAAATAGATTATATACGATAAAAAATATCAGTAATGCCAAGCCTACCATTTTCCATATATTATTACCTGCATTTAGGGTCCTAGTGAGTCTATGCGATGTATTCCTTATATTATTAGCTAACGAATCAAATGAATTAGATATCTGACCTAATAAAGCATTATCATTAACAGCTTGACTGTTTATGTCTTCATTAATATTTCTAAAAGTAGCTAGTTTATTAGCTAATGTATTCAATTTTTGATCATTCTGAAAGAAAGGAGGAAACACTGGTCATCAAAGATGGTAACCGATAGTTAGTATACAAGCATTGAAAATTATTTCAGTGGAATAATAAATATCATTTTATTTGAGGTACATACGTCGTTTTCTAATTGTGAGTATCTTGAGTTGGACATTATTAAGTATAAATATATGTATATAAAATTGTATGAGTTCTTGATCCGAAAAGGGTAGGGAGAATGTGTCTATGACTGGTATATGCAAAATGAGAATTATTCTTTTAGTATCTTAACCTGTATTATCCACTTAGTTTAGAGTTGAGTACTTATAATATTATCGTATTTATTTGTTTTGATTATTTTAAATATGCACTGTCTATTATTTCGTGATTGTATAATATCTAATATTAAAAACGTTGCGAAGACGTGTACAAAGAAAACAAGGCGTTGAGAAAACCCGCACAAGAGAGCGACATATCAACATATATAGTTGTGGTAAGTATACTTAACCATCGATTTACAAAGCTATAGAAGTCTAATGACTTTATTGTTTTCCAAAATCATACATGACTTGGATTCGTTTTACATATTTTAAACTATCATAACAAAAAGGAAGATATTAATTAAATGTATCAGTCAAAGAAGTTGTTCGCATTCCGCAAACATACCCATAATGGAACTAGGCATGTCCCAGGTATGTTGCTCTTAATCGCAAATTAAATCATCATATAAATAATTAATTATCCTTTTTTCATATTATTTCTTTACAGAAATATACTACCATGCCTCCTAGCTATGGTATGATATTTCTGCCATTCTATTTAATTGAGTTTAGGGACTCATCAAATAGTCCAACTCTATATAGATTTGTAACGTTATCTTTCCTATATTGAAATTTAAAGACAAAAGAGGTATATCGTTAGAAGAACACAATATCTAGAGAGATACTTTCTTGTTGTTTATTATTAATGTCTTATTTATCATCCTCATCGATTCTGTCAATGAGAAAGAAAACAAAAAAAAGACAAAAAATGAAATTTGGCTGAAAAAGACTGGCTGACACTTCCGTTTGAGACGTGCACCCGTACATCCTAGAATAACATCATTGCACCGCATATACAATTCTGCAAAATTCGTTTTAATTCGGATGAAAAAATCAATTGAGAAAAAGAATTAATGGGATGTCCGGGTTTGTGAGAATTCAGTTTAGCGACCAAAATAAGCAAACAAATTTGAATTGAATTCACTCACAACGCACGAAATTGCGAAGAACTCTTAGTTTCACCAATTTGTATCAAGGAATTCACGAAAATTTCACTCTGGGCTGGAACTAACCTGTAGGTCTCGCAGTTGTGTCTAACATCTTCCAGTGGTTTGGCTGGCATGGTGAACCTGTTGTTCACGAACAATTGCAGAATAGGCTGTGAGGGCAAGTACAGGATTAACCCTCCAGAAATGCTATACGTACAAGTTAAATGGTTAGTACTTAATAAAGGTTATATTTAATAATTATAATAGTACAGTCTTGATATCATAACCGAGCAAACTATACACAAAAATGTCTACTGATTCTATTGTTAAGGCCTCTAACTGGAGATTAGTTGAAGTTGGCCGTGTCGTTTTGATCAACAAGGGTCAAAATGCCGGTAAACTAGCTACCATTGTCGAAGTTATCGACCAAAAGAAGGTATGTTTAAAAATAATATCACCACGAATAAAATGAGATAATGATTATGAAGTATTAAAGGTTAAATTAGATAAAATTAAATTAAATGAAAGTGAAAATAAAGAATTATTTTATTGAATGATAAAAAGGCGACTCTGAATTTTTTTAGTTTTGTTTTATTGAGTTAATGTCAACTGCATTACCAGACTAAGCTTAGTTAACATAATGTGAGAATGTCCAAATTAATGAATTTAATGGTTTGAAAGAAAGAAAGATGAAATGAAATATCAAACCTTCAAGATACACCTAATGAATAATTATAACTGAAACTTATGTTCCCTAGTGGATTAAAGTAAAATTCCATCAAAACCAGAATACACTTAACATTATCAATATCATATTTTAATTTAATTAATGCAATTTACTAACAATTATTTGGTTTTCTGTTTTTTCTTTTTATTATAATAATTATAATAACAATGAACAAAAAAATAGTACCGTTTTATTTTATTTAGGCTCTAATCGATGGTCCAGCCACCGGTGTTCAACGTCAAGCCATTCACCTAGGTCAAGTCGTTCTAACTCCATTGACTTTTGCTCTACCAAGAGGTGCTAGATCCTCTATTGTTGCTAAGAAGTGGGCTGCTGCCGGTGTCACCGAAAAGTGGGCTACCACTTCTTGGGCTAAGAAGATCGCTCAACGTGAAAGAAGAGCTGCTCTATCTGACTTCGAAAGATTCCAAGTTATGGTCTTGAGAAAGCAAAAGAGATACACCGTCAAGAAGACTTTGGCTAAGGCTTAAGTTACAGATATTTTATCTATATAGTATGATTAAATATATTATAAAGTATTTCAAATTTGTATCTTAATAAAATAATAATAACAATAACCCCACATTAATAATAAAAACATGATTAGTTTCAGTTTTAAACTTTATAAAATAGTTTCGAGTTTAGATTATATAACCAAGTGTCGTGTTAACAAGAGTTTACGAATATATAATTAAATCATTGATATTTAACCATCTTTTTTGTTGGGCTGCAAAACTTTAAGAAAGCAAAATAGTAATAATATTTAAAAAATGTTACAAATGTTTTTTTTTGGAATATGAACAGAACAATATATATAATATATAGCAAAATCCGATAAATCGTAATAAGTGTGTAACTCAGTTTATTTAATGAGTTCTGGTTTAATGACGAACACAACAAATAATGCTTTCTCAAATGATTCAACGTTTGATATAAACCCTTTATCATTACCATATATACTATGAAGTATTTCAGGTATGATGTTTCCTGTTGCAGGAATGACATAAATTATCTTTTCATATATCATTTTAGGTGTAATACCAAGGATCTTATTACTAATCAAGAGGGAATCTGCCATTGCATTAATATTTGCAATAGAATCTGCATCAGGGGGATTTACTAGTTGATATGTAACGATGTTTCTTAAGGTTTTGACTTCATTTAAATATGCAAAACCTTTATCGTTAGATAAACGACCTTCAATCAAGAGATTGCCATCCGAAACGGCACGACTATATACTGATGTCTTTAATTCAGCGGTGTTTCCAATGAATTTCAAATATCCACTTGTTTGCCAAAATACCTCTGGATCGGTTATTTCCACTTTTTGTAACGGTAAGGAATGATTCTCATTATCTGTTTCTTTTGTATTTGGCACTTCAACAACAACATCACCAGCATCATCATTTTCATTGTTGTCATCATTGGCATTAATTTGAATCTCTGGTTTCTGTTCTTCAAGATCTTCGTCAGATATACTTCTTCTCCTAATATTATCCTTTGAATATATTTCATCCGGTTCTTTATTAAAATCGTCGGAGTCTTTGATATTTGCAGAATTTGCACTCTCATCCATTTCAATAGTGAATCTATTTAAAGATTTAGTATCTCTTCTTTTTTTATATTGTTGCAAATCCGGATTAGCCAATTCATTAACACTCATTCTAACTAATCTATCCATTGGTAATATATTATTAATTACATGGGATTTTAAATCCAAATTCTTTCTATCTTTTAAATTTGCAAATAAACTTCGAACTTTCTCAGGATAATTCTTGCTCAATTGATTTGATGCTTTATCTAGGCAACTTTCAAATAAAGCTTCTTCAAGGGATTCACCCATTTGTGTAGCAATTTGCTCTATTTTAGTATTTGGTGGCAATGTATACGTTTGTCCCTCAATGGTATCTGGTATAATATATTTGGTAAATAGATCGATAAACATTTTTTTAGCATTTTGCCTTATCTTTGAATGTCTTTCATGATCAGCGGTGGATATATTGTTAGTTGCAGATGTTGTAGTAGAAGTATCATCTTTATTCTTAGTCTTGGATTTCGTGGTAGTCTGTTTCTTATTCTTTGATATATTTGTTGATGTCGATATTGAACGCTTTTTGGATTTGCCTTTATTTAGAGGATCATCTTTTTCAAAATCTTCGATCTCTATAAAATCATCATCATCTTTTTGATGATGAGTAGATGCGTTTTTTTCTTCCACATATATATCATCATCGTTATCATCACTCACTTCTTCCTCACTATCAGATTTCTCTATTTCTTCTTCTTCTTCTTGCTCTTGCACCTCTTTTTTTTGTTCATTCTTAGATGGGTTTAATAAGTGTGGGTATAAATCAGGTCTACAATTGTTACAAAAATATTTCTCACCATCTACTAAAAATGGTTTAAGATCACTAAGGGTGTCTTCTTCTCTTGTACCAGTCATACATCCAATATGTTGCCACGTATCACATTGATCACATTGAATCATTTCACCTAACTCATCAGTATCTTCATTATAGTTTGAATCATTAGTTCCACAAGGTAGACATTTGACAACTTCTACAACTTTTTCTTTTAAAATTTTAGGTAATTGTTGTCTTTTTGATCTGTTCCTTCTAGCAGTTGTACTAGCAGATTGTGGCCGTTGTTGCTGTTCTTCTTCCTGCTGTAGCAATGTCTCTAAATGCCTATTGATACCTTTATTAGCCCTAGTTGATGCTCTTACAGCCATTCCGAAATAAATTTATAGGTATATGTATATATGTATATATATATAAATAATATTCCCAGTAATTGGTATATGTTTTGATCTTCAAATCGTCTCAGTTCACTTGGTTATTAATCAAAAAATGTAAACAATGCCTGATATATCCTAGTTCATTCAACGATGTTTTAAACTCCTCTTTCCTTTTGGTTAGAACAATAGAAAATGCCCAGCCAAAGTGAGCCCGAAGGGAAAAATCAACCCTATATTTCCTACTTAGGGTTTGTTTCCGCTACTGTATAGCTCTAACAAGATTACAAAGACGTTACCAAAGTAACTTACCGTACACTACGATGCCGCCATAGTACTTAAATATGTATATCGCCCATCTCTACCAGCTCTATCATCAATAACAAGAGATACAGACCAACTTTAAACCATTGTCTCTGCCATATCTTCCCTGTTTCCAGCACTAATCACAGCCAAAAGAAAAAGCGTTCAGAATAAATATATTTTGCACAGCGAGACGAGAGAGGAACAAATTTATTTTGCAAAAGCAAGCAAGAAAAATAAATAAATAAATAAATAAATAAATAAATAAATAACAACAAAGATTTAAAGGCATCGCATTCTGTGTTAGCGTTATAAACATCGATATTTTTAGTTTTGTTTAGCAGATATAGGTGCTGATTTGTATAGTCGAAGTTAATACTGTTTCTATTATCGTATATAACCATCATCAGTGTGGTTAGTTAGTTGTTTGTTTGGTTGTTGTTTTTGAAAAGAAGAGATTATTTACTTCGGTTGTTATCTGAGTTTTAAGAGATAGTGGTGTTTGTGTGTGAACCAATAGTACCTTATATTTCGTTATTTTGAATATCTGCCTTTAGAGGAGGATTTATCAATATATTTCTACTATTATCATAACATCATTTTCAATATATTTATTATAGACAAAAAAGAGAGAAGTTAGTTATTGTTTTTTTAGTTTTAAAGTTGCATATGGCAGGGTTTATTCATAGATGGTTTCTTTCCGAGAGACCTATTAATAGTAAAGTTTCAGAATTGGAGACAAGTTGGGATCCTCGTGTCTCTTTAATTAAATTACAAAATTATAAATTAACTACAAAGGATATATGTCATTATGGATTTTTATCAAGTGTTTTACTCTTTGTATTTATTTCGTTTCCAGCACCATGGATTTTAAAATTTTTAGTTTATGCATTATTTGGTTTATTATTTATGATTCCAATTACTTCACAATTTTTTTTCAATGCTTTACCAATTTTCACATGGTTAGCATTATATTTTAATTCATCATTCTTTCCTGCAAGTAATAGACCTCCTATTACTGTTAAAGTTTTACCAGCTATTGAAACTATATTATATGGTGATAATTTAAGTGATATCTTAGCTACTTCAACAAATTCATTTTATGATATCTTAGCATGGATTCCTTATGGTTTATTTCATTTTGGTGCACCATTTGTTGTTGCTGCAATTTTATTCATATTTGGACCTCCAACAATTTTGCAAGGTTATGCTTTTGCATTTGGTTATATGAATTTATTTGGTGTTATTATGCAAAATATATTCCCTGCTGCTCCACCTTGGTATAAAATTATGTATGGTTTAAATTCAGCAAATTATGGCATGCATGGATCACCAGGTGGTTTAGCTAGAATTGATAAATTATTAAACATTAATATTTATACAAAAGGGTTTTCAAATTCAAGTGTCATTTTTGGTGCATTCCCATCATTACATTCAGGTTGTGCTACCATGGAAGCTTTATTCTTTTCATATTGTTTCCCATTCTTAAGACCTTTATTTATTGGTTATGTTTGTTGGTTATGGTGGTCTACAATGTATTTAACCCATCATTATTTTGTTGATTTAATGGCAGGTTCTGTTTTATCGTATGTGATATTCATGTATACCAAATATACTCATTTACCATTAGTTGATACAGATTTATTCTGTAGATGGTCATATGGTTCGATTGACAAATTTAATATGGCAAAGAATAATCCATTAAATAATGATCCAAGTGATGTAGAGAACGTTCCATTGAACATGATGGCTACAAGTTCAACTATTGGATCTGAATTGGATGATGATGATGAAGATGCAGGAAATTCACGTAGTTTAAGTCCCACATTATTTGATTTATCAAATTCTTCAGCAACTTCTAATACGTCATTAGATTTACAAGGAGAAGCTACACCTAGATCAGTGAAACCAAGATTTGATTAAATCAATTAGTTTTATTGAAAATTTAAGGAAAAAACAGACAAAATTAGCTTTTTTAACCCTTTATCATAGCATGGACTTAATCAAGTATTGAAAATATAATCACGCATATATACAAATACATATATTATATAACATTTTATTTTATTAAATTTTATTTTTTTGATTCTAGAGATTATCATTATATGTTTTTAGGAATGAATGTATTGTAGTAATATTTATTTACATGTTATATATGAGATCAGTGTTTTGCTTGAATAACAGAATCTTGACCCAAAGCCTTATGCAATGAAGATGGTGTATTTAATCTTTTCTCCAAATCAACTTTAACAATAGAGGATCTAATGACTCTGGGATCCTTCTTTAACGTTCTAAGGATTTCAGATTGAACTGCAGCCGAGGAATCAAATAACATTAAGAAATGATACCCATTAATATGTTGTTCTTGGTCCTTCTTCATAATTTTCGGCAGTTGTCTTTGACCTAACGGTACAATTTTTCTTATTACACCTCTATTATTTAGAATTAATTTACCAACTGTAGTGAGAAGTTCTTTAGCCTCAGTAGTTTGTGAAGCACGATTCAAAGTACGTACTATTCCAACTAATTCATATAACATCAGGGGTATGGGGACAGTAAATATATCTTATTTTAATTGGTATTAAAAATGTATCTGAATAAGTTTATCTATCTATACGTATATATGACGAATATCTTCTAAGGGACAACTTATTGTTTATGATTGGTTCTTTGTATATATATGCTCCCTCTTTCTGTCTTAGTTTAGCCTAGTTAGTTTTAAAATTTATATATATTGACTGGTCAGTTTCTCTTTGGGTTTTTGTTTTTCTTTCAGCTTGTTGTATTGGGCTTTTCGGGTTCGCTTTTCTTCGAAGTGAGGCCAAAATGTTTCTATAAAACAAATATTTCATATAGACACATTTGATGACTACAATAGGGTGTAACTTCCTGAGAAGATATTTGAATAAAACGTCATCTGGCTGAAAATAGTATATGGCGTGTATGTATTAGAAAGTTAAAAGTGGTTAAAACGTATGCTTTAATTTATTTATATTTTCATTGGATATGATATATGCTATGTAAATGAGATGCGAAATAATTCTATTATATAACAAGGAGTTCTTTGTAATATATTGATAAAATGCTAAATTGTATAGATGAGAGTGTTCGTATAATTTTTTGAGATATAACAAGAAATCCATTCAGGCCAGTAAGGCCGGCTCTTGTCTTTGTTGTTCTTCGTCGATTGGCTTCTTTACAGGCGTAGTATCTTCGATCTTTGGTTTTGAATTGTTTAATTCTGGTAACTTCTCTACCGATGGCATATTTGGTACAGGGTTTGACTCTAACTCTTCGTGTGGTAATAGCTCCTTCTCCATCGCTTCTAATTCTTTATCTATCTCATCTTCATAATCGTTGACACCTGACACATGTTGAGCAAGTGCTTCATTTATTTCATCTTGATATGCAATTTGTTCCTGAACATCATCTAGAACTTCATCAACATTAGTAAATTCTTTATTTAATTTAGTTAAGATTTTATTACCATTTTGTAAACCTTCAAAAAATTGTTTTTCTACTAATTTAAATTCTATATTGGATAACATATTTTCTAAATTTATTAATTGATCAGATGCTTGATCCAAAAGATGTTCTTGATAGTGTATTCTTTTCAAAATGAATCTTGTTTTTTTATTCTCTTTATATTTTTGAGGATTATTTTGAATTAAAATTTTCAATTCTTGTTTCTCATGACTAATTAAATCACTAGTTCGTTTTGTATATTTATGTATTGAATCCTTTGATTGTTTTAATTGAAGAACAGCTCTATCCTGTTCTGTAATCTTTATCTTGCTACCCTTTTGGCCCATTGTCTTTAAAAAATAAAATGTGTTATGACTCGTTTCTATTGACCAATAACTGGTAATGCTCCTTTCTAAATGAAAAATTGGTAAAAGAGGCACAATAGTCTCTATTTTATTTTTTCTGTTGCTATAAACTGTTCCAATCCTACCGGGACTCCGTGAATATCTCCCTATACCTATCCTTCTATATGCTGTTCACCTTCCAAAGGGTTGCAACATTTAAAATCGTTTAGATTGATTAACTTTTAAATTATAATAGATCAAGAAATAAAGGTTAGCATTGATAAGCCGCAGCTCGTGCGATGTGATTTTACAAGATAGAGGAAAGAAAACAAAAAGAGACAAGGTATCAGAGTTTTTACTAATGGTAGTACTATACAGTAATATAAACTATTTATAAATCGTTTGTATTACGATGAAACTTGTCCCGTGTAACGATACCTTTCGTTTCGAACAGGACTTCTTATTCCCGTATTTACTATCTCTCGCTGAGACTAATAAAGATAGTTCATCTGTATATATATCGACCATACAACAATGTGTGGTTTATAGACATATCATTAGCATATACAGACATATATCCTTCTTCTAAGACTTATTCTCACACCTACCTGCATATATATATATGTATACATATTGATGATATAATAAAGATAGACCAGCCTTATTTAATGAAAAATCGCGGAAAAACCGAAAACCGAAAACCGAAATTTTATTACCGAATTAATAACAGTAATAAATTTAAAAAGGATGGTCTAAAACAGTTCCAAGAACTGTCACAATTCACCTTTGAAAGAATCACCAGCATATCCGAATTGAATTAATCAGAACTATATTAGAATTTTTGATACAATTAAGGAGTGGATAAAGTTTTTATTTCTGGTTTGTGTTGCGTGTTTTATTCATTGTATTTTATTTCAGCCGTTGTAACATTATTTAGATAACTATTGGCAATTATAACACCATTTTAAGACATTCATTGATATCGATATCGTGATTATTTATCACTGTTTGAATCATGTCGGTTAATCATGGGTTAGATCTGGAGTCAGTGACCATGGACGACTATACAAAACGAATTGAGTCCCTAGGTGGAACCTTTAAAGGTGAAGTTAGATGGACTACTAATATTAAATTAAACGATTGGAAGACCCATTTTTTAGAGATAACAAAAACAGGTTCTTTGGTTCATTCTGTAGATAAAAACCATATGACATTGTCTCAAGGTAATAAATTATCATCATTAAGTCTCGATGATATGAGTGATGGTATACAAGAGAAAAATAAACATCCTGTATTAAGGAATTTATCAGGCTGTAAATTACGTATATTGAAAAATATTAATGGAAGAACTAGAGTTTTGAAAAATATCATTAAGGTTTCTGAAAATTCAAATACAACTGAAAATTCAAGTGCAATCTATTTAAATGTAGCATCAGAAACTAAACTACTGGACCTCTTTTGTAGTTTAACATGGTGGAGCGCTTTGAAACCAAAAGGTATATTTGATAAGATGACCTTAGTGAAAAAACAAGAAGATATAAATAATAAAAGTTCCAAAACAGTTTTGTTTATTACATCTGACGTTAATGTATTTGGTCCGATATCGGAAAATGTCATTTTAGAGACAAATACAATAAAGACACCTGAAATGTTTGTTCATTATGGCTCTAAAGATGAATGTTCATATGGATGGTTTCAAGCAACTATTAAATTGTTTTCGAATGGTGAAGTTGAAGTTTTAAATTCAACAAATGATCATTCTCTTTTTTCAATTAACGTTAAAAATTTGATAAGGTCTGAGATTAGATTATTGGATTATTCATTATTTCAAGATGAAAATTTGTTATTTTTAGGTATTTTACCTCAATTAAGGAAACAACTAAATTTATTTGATAATGGTGAAGGAACAATTTTTTTCAATTTAGTAGATGGGAAACCTTTAGATAGTCTAACTTTTAATTTCAAAAATAGTAAGACTCAAAGAGATGATTGGCTCATAGCTTTAAAATCTTTTGCAATTTTAGAGATTCTGAGTTTAAATGGTTCTGACAGGTCTAACAAAATGACAGTATCGAATAAATTTAAATTAACAATCTTAGAGGCAGATTTCCAGACATTAGATTTAACAGCAAATGATAGAGACATCTATCTTCATGCTGAGATCTGGATATGGGGTCGAATGTGGGCAAGAACTACATCAATTAAAAATGAAAATTCACCTTTTTGGAGAGATGAATTTTCATTAGATGAAATCGTTAGTATTGATCAGTTAGAGATTCGATTGATACAAGAGATAACGGAAAAGGACAATATTAAACCATTGAGGTATGAAGTACTGGGTACTTTCAAATTAAGTCAAGATGAAATAACAAGTAATCAATACCAGAAGGAAAGCAGAGTTCTTGTTTTCGCGGAGGATCATCAACATTTTCAAGTCGCCACATTATGTTTTAAAGTTGAGCATAAATTAGAATTTATATTACCATCTATTAATTTTACAAAATTCCAGACTGTACTGTCATCCGTTCCATTAAATGAGGTGACACGATTGATATATGATAATGTTGATGAGTTAACTCGTGGTGGTAAATTAGATACTCTTTCATCGATTACGTTGGAATTATTTCAATCAACTGGTAAAGAAGACGTTTGGTTTCAAACTTTAATGGAAAGAGAATTATCTGACATTGATAGTGTGGTCCTTAGAAACTTGAATAATAACCATTCATCAGGGCATATCTTTAGTACGCTATTTCGAGGTAATTCCCTCCTTACCAAATCTACTGAACTTTATTTTTTTGAAGTTGGTAAGGAATATATCAGTTTAGTTATGACACCAATATTGCGTGAAATTATTGAATCTAATGAATCGTGTGAAATTGACCCCTCAAAGATAAATTTACCTCATGATGAAAAAGAAATTGTTCTAGAGGCTAATTATAACCGTCTAATTGGATGGGTATCACGCTTATGGCAATTATTATATAAAACGAGTAAAGATTTACCATTGGGGATTCGATCTCATTTAAAGAATTTTAGAAGGGAATTAGAGAAATTTTGTTTAAAGGATAATGAAGAGGCGACATTAAATTGTATATCAGGTTTCTTATTTTTAAGATTTTTTTGTCCTGTTATATTAAATCCTAAATTATTTAATGTTACATTCGATCATTTGAATAATACTAATAGACGTTCGTTAACATTAATCTGTAAAATTTTATTAAATTTATCAACGTTAAAGAAATTTGGTGAAAAGGAACCATTTATGGTAAAAGTTAATGATTTTATTAATGAAAATTGTGATAATCTTAAGGATTATATCGATAAAATTACTCAAAAGAAGATTGATTTTACAACAACTGTATTAAATCTTTCAGAAACAACTAAGAGTAGATTAAAGGATGTCACTTTCAATCAAGAGGAATTAAAAGAATTACCTGTTAACCCTTTCAGATTGGATAAGGGTTTAAGAGAAACAGAATTTATCAAAATTCTTAATAGTTTGAATAAGACCATGGTTATTAAACCATTAAATAACCCTACTAACGATAAGATTCAAGATTCAACAAAGGATATAAAAAATTCAAATCCTGTTGCGATTGGAGAATTAGAATTTGAGAAATTAACGGAAAATAACGCAGAAATATTTGGAGATGAATTCATGCAATATTTAGAAGTTGAGAATGAGGATAGCAATGAAAGAAATGCTAATGGTGATATGGTTAGCCATGCTGATTCTAAAAATGAAATAATTGGTTCAGCTACATCGTTAACAAATAAGAATGATATTATGATGGCTCAATTACTTCAAGAGACATCTTTATTATGTTTCAAACAAGAAAGAATTATTAGAACTCTGTCCGATTATGAATATCCCCTGGATGATATGTATAATAATTCGACATATGCTAAAAGATTAGCAAAAAGTATCTTTTCCACTAATAAGAGGAAAATATTAATAGACTTAACCAATGGACTACTTCAACCTAACAATGAGTATATACAGATGTTTGCCGGTTCAAACAAAGAAACTAAATGTAATCCCAATATATTTTATTTGGATTCCAAAGATTCAAAATATTCTTCCGACGAAGAAGAGGAAGAAGAAGAAGATGATGAAGAAGAAATTGAAATTAATGGTAATGATTTCTACATGGGGAATACAAATTCATCTTCCACAAGGACTTTAAGTAAGTTTGCTAATTTGATTAAAGGTGGATCATTTAATGAAAATAAAGATGATTCAGAACGAATTAGTCCCAGTAAACTTTCTAGATGGTTCAAAAAGAAATAATTTGCAAATACTTATAGAGTATTAGACTAGTGGAGTCAAAAATGCGATACGTATAAAAAGGACAAAAAAGACTTTTATGATAAAGTATATTATTTAATTTAAATAACTATCATTGTAATATTAAAAAAAAAGTAATGAAAAAAAAGTAAGACGTATGAATATATAATGTGTAGATGATGGTGGGGGAGGGGGAGCGCGAATTTCTCTAGGAGAAAGAGTTTGCTAATGATTGTTCAATAAATGATTTTTGTCTTTTTGTTACATTTGCCAAATCATCAGTAGTGTCTGAAATACGATTTAAATTTAAATCAGAATGAGAGTTATCATCTGTTTGCATGATAACATTATTTCTTGGTAAATCATTATTAATTGATACATCCGTAGTGGTTGAAGATGCATCTTCGAATGCCAAAGCATCCAAATCGGAAGAAATATATTTCTCTAGACCATATAAGTGTGTTAAAATTGATGAACAAGAAGAATGTGATAGAGTCTTTGGACGAACCCAACAATTATCATGACTAATATTACCACTACTTGTTGTAGCACTAAGACTTGAATAAGGTGTGTCAACTGTTGAAGTTATAGGTAGACCATTTGAAAAACTTCTATGACTAGTTACATTTCTTTGTTGTTGTCCGGGACTTTGTTCAACCATGCTTGAACGTAACGGTCTTCTTGATTGTTGTTGAATATAGCAACTAGAGTTAGTACGTGTTCTTCTTAATGATAATCCATTATTATTCGTTGTACTTCTTCTTCTTCTGGATAGTAACTGCCGTTGTCTTTCTTTAGTTATATCCGTTCCTTTATTAAATGGGTTTGTCCAAATTAATGGTTCATCAATATTAGTATCTTCATTTTTCTCAGTAGTAGTAGTTTGTTGTAAATTCTCCGGAGATAATTCTACTTCATGCAAAGGATCTAATTCATCTAATTCATTATCACTATGGTTATCTGTGACATCATTCATATGAATAGGATCTGATTGGTTTTGTCTCCACATGGTAGAAAATCCAGAATCATCTTCATTATCACAACCATGCGAACATGGATCCTGCACAGCTCTTTCAAACATATTCAGACAAGATATACCATTCCTGATACTAGTATTAGCCATCTTCCCTTCCTGGGTCTCTCTATATATATATTTTGTTTCTAAAAAAAAATAATAATAATAATAATAATAATTTGCGTGCAAATCTGTTTAGCTTGGGATTAGTTTCAGGTATATATATATAGATGTGTGTGCGAACATGCAAAAGCACAGATAATGATATGATCAGTTATTGTTGAGAATAACCTTTATAATTCCAATAGTACTCTATCCCTTCAGTAAACTACGATAGTATACCTTTAAAATGTCTATGTCTGCTAGAATGTAAATCTATATCTATGGGACGACTGCCATTTTATATTTATTGCAAAACCTGCCAAGGAGAAACCCAAAAAGTATCCCAACCTCCGTTAGCCATGGCTGCACTGCGAGAGGCTTGCTTTGTATGGCTGGAAGTTACAATAAATATCTCCGGCTGTATTCTTTCTGCAGGAGATGAGCAGCAGCAGCCACACGGCAAAGCAAGGCGAACTGAAAGAGTTTTTGCCGTCGTGGGGAACACGGCATTAAAGCAGCGTGGGGGTGGGTGGGTGAGAAGTAGTCGTCTATTTACATGGATAAGTGCACTTTCTTACGATATGTATTTTGTTAAATTAGATAGTAGGATGTGTATGTATATATAGTGTTGGGGGCAGGGGGAGATTTGGTATTTATTTAGGTATTATGCGTATATCTTTATTCTTCTTGGGGATGTTCTTCTAGCCATGTGACCAATTCTTTGAATGCAGCGTTGACTTGAGGCTCTTTTTCTAACGAAAATATTGAATGCTTCATACCAGGTAAAAGTCTTAAAGTCTTATCAGTAGCGGGACACTTCTCAATAAATACTTCAGAGCCATGAGGATCATTGATTGTATCATCTTCTCCGTGGAAGATGATAATAGGTATATCAATAGGATAATTTCTCTGTATATAATTCTCTTTATTATCATATAATTTTTTACCACGTTTCAAAAAATCTTGAATTTGTCTAAAGGATCCCTTTAATGGAACACTCATTGGATCGTTAGCTAAAAATTTCTTATATTCGGGATCATTAGTAATACCATCAAGATCTAATCCCGTATCAATACAAACATTTGGTAAACAATTAGCCAATACAGGTGCAATAAATTGTGTAATCTTATTTGGTGCAGAATGTGGATGTAATACAATCAATGGTCCGGACCCAATATAACCAGCTATTTGTTTCTTATATTGACCTTGACAAGCATAATTAAGGATTATTCCACCACCCATAGAATGACCCCATAAATACAGTGGTATATTCATACTTTCAGTTTCTTTTAAATTTTTTTGCAAAAAAAAATCTAAATCTTTAAATGTATGTGATTCATTAGTAATACCTTTTGTCTTGTTGGGACTGGTAACACCTGCACCACGTTGATCAAATGTAAATGACTCAAATCCTTGAAGCGATAAATAATCCATTAATCGATATTGAATTCGAGTATATTCTCCAAATCCATGTACTAAAAATACACGACCTTTAGGTTTAGTCGGATCTATATGGGATGGCCATAACATATAACCAAATTTAGCACCATTGAATTCTTCATATTGTAATGGAGGTTCCTCAGTTTGAATCTTATAAGGATATGGATATGGCATTTTTTTTTTTCCAATTAATTTTATGTATGATTCTTTGTATATATGGAGAAATCTGTCTGTTCAATACCAAAACACAATCTTTCGATGCATATATATATATATATATATAAATACCTTTTCTGTTCAAGAAAGACTTGTACTCAACAATTTAATTCTGTTGATCTCTCCAGTTTCTATACTATTTTGTTTTTTATTTTATTTTTCTTGCTGCAATAAAAGTGCAAGGGAAAGGGACTATCAAACAGCCCACGGCGAGCCCCGAAGAAAGCGTAACGTCGAATTACTACTGCCCTTTACATATACATATATATAAATATGTATATATATATATATAATTGTTTTATATTAATTTTCTGATTTTTTCTTGAAGAAACCCTGTACCCTTGCAAATGAGGCTGTCTTTTATTTCAATTCATGAGACTCCCAGACCCAAGTTTCAACTTTGTTTTCTTCTTCTTCTTCCTTTTCACTATTAACCGATTTACATCAAGCTGTTCAGGTTTAGTCAAATTGATTGGTCCCGTTGACGTTGAGGAAACAGGTTTGTTATCATTTATCTTTTCATCTGCATTACGCTTAAATGCTTCCTCGGCTAACCTCTCTACATCACTATCGTCCTCAATTGGTTCAGATGACTCGGTTTGTTTCTCACGAGCATTTGTAATCCTTGCAAAGGTTTCATCTGCATTCTTTATTCTATCATAATTTTGTTTGCGGAGTCTTTCTATTTCTTCTGCACTTTCTTGTTCCTTTTGAATCTTTATTAATCGTTCTTCTAATGCAGCCATCTTATCCTCTCCTGTGTTTCCACGACGTTTATTTCCATCATCGATATTGGTAATATCTCTATTAAGTAATCGTTCTTTCTCTCTTTCATCATGTTCTTGTTCATGAGCTAATCTCTCTAAAGTTTCATCGATACTTTCTGTCCTATCATCACCAATTACATCAGTTTTCTTCACGAAATTTCGTATGGCACCATTTTCCATTACATAATCTGCACTTTTAGGATCTGTACGAAATGATATAGATTGTGAGCATAATGGACATCGAATACTTAATCTGAAGATTTTAATATTATTTAAATATCGTTCATTTAATAATTCTTTCTTACCATTAAATTTTCGACTCTTTGGGATGAATGTTTCACATTTAGTACAGCGCATACTAAATGGTGTCATTAATCTAATTGTCGTGATATCTTTATTTGTATTCTTTAACTTTTTAGATAATTTTCTAGCGGCCCTTTCGGCCTCTAAGGGATTATAATCTGGTGGATAATATTTGTTAATAGATTTACGTTCTGACATATTGTATATCTATTCTAATTTTGTATATCTGTATCTTTGTCTTACTGTTAACCTGTTTAAGTATTAGACCAATGAGTTCATATATATAGCTCATCTCTTTTAAAACTGTAAAAGGTTTAATGAACAAAAGAAAAAAATTATTTTTCGGCCCTTTTAGTTGCGAAAAAAAAATTATTCAGTTTTCAAAATATGAATAAGTTTAAATAATTGAAATTTAAAATATTAAGTATTAGAAATTAAGAAATATTAAATGAGTTTTATTGCAAAATGAATTATATATATGTTTATATAATAGTATTATTAAAATGTTATAACCATACGACCTCAAGCGTATGAAAACTAATTAATTGAAAAGCAAAATGAAGTTACGAATTGTAAAAAAGGGGTTTGATTAATATGATGAATTTATTATTATGATTATTTGGTTGTTGTTGTTATTGTCTCATTGGAGAGTTTTTAAGTTCTCTATAGTAATAGAGCAGCAGCGGCTAAGATACCGGCACCTAAACCACCAACGTTCTTAACAGCATTGTTTTCACTTTGAACAGTAACGGAAGCAGTGGCTTGAATTTGACCATCACCAATTTGAGAAACAGCAGCCTTTGTAGTAGCAGTAGTAGCTTGGATTTGGCCATCAGCAATTTGGGAGACAGCAGCCTTTGTGGCCGTAGTAGCTTGGATTTGACCATCACCGATTTGAGAAACGGCAGCCTTTGTGGCAGTAGTAGCTTGGATTTGACCATCACCGATTTGAGAAACGGCAGCTTTGGTAGCAGTGGCAGCTTGAACTTGACCATCATTAATTTGAGAAGCTGCACCACCAACAGCAGAAGAAGCGGCGGCAGCAGAAGAAGAAGTAGCAGCAGAAGAAGTAACAGCAGAAGAAGTAGCAGCAGAAGAATCAGAAGAACCTTCGAAATCTGGAACAACGGCACCAGTTGGAGATGTAGTATCAACTGTTCTTAAAGCGACACCGGTAGCACCGTCACTAGTCTTTGTGGATAAAGTGTAAGCACCTTGGCCTTCAATACCATAGAAACCAGAAGAACCATCAAGAGTTAAACGACCTTGAGTGATGGCAAAACCTTTAGTAGCATCAGATTCTGAACCTTCTTTGATGGTACCATCTGATTGAACGACAGCAAAAGTATTATCAGATAATTTTAATTTACTGTCATCTGTTACAACCATAGTAAATGGATCTTTATAACTACCTAAGACTAAAGTACCATCTTTAGCGTATAATGAAGCATATTGTAATGCAGAACCTGAATGGATACTAATGATACCAAATGTTTGAGAATCAGCAATAACTTTTTGAACTAAAGCTAATAGAGCGATTGTGGATAATTTGGAAAATTGCATTTGTTAAAAATATGAAAGTTTGTTTTTGTTTTTGTTTTTTTTGATAAATAATAGAAAACTAATTAATTTCTGTTTGAATTATTATTATTGTTAATAATAATATAATAAATGATATTTTAATTAAACAAGAATGAAAAGATTAAACAAAACAATTATATTCTTGATGGTATTAGACTACTTTATATATGACAAAAAAAAAATTGTAACATCAACTGAATACTTTAAAATTGCTTAATTTTAGATAATTGCATAATTTAATGAAAAAATAAAATTATTAAAGGATTACTATGGTAATACACTTTCCCTTATACCCCAAAATAGAATTTAATTTATTAATAGCATTTTAATCAAGTACAAGAGTATGTTATGTTACACAAAAAAGGATTAGCTCATAGTTGTAAATATACAATTGAAACTGCACACTATTTGCTAATATTGTCAACGAATGTTTATGTTTATGTGTGTGTGTATGACCCAACCAGTAATTAAAGGAAAGAACAACGGCAAATATAATTTATATTAATAGGTAATAATTTCTAATTTAATATCCATTTCCGGTAATGTGATAACAAATTTGGTCAAGGAACACACAAAGAACAAATAAATTCTTTTGCTACGTACGTACATAAATTACCAAATGCTCTGCAAACTTCCTAATTAGGAAACTATCAAAGCTATTTAGGAAGAACAGGGACCCAAAACAAAAAAGAAACGCTACTGCAATTATGTATAATTTTGTACGGTAGTTTATTACATCTCGAAGAATACATGTGTGGTGTATGGGTGTGATGTTTGATTTTCTTTGCTGGGTTTTTTAATTTTGGAAAAATTTTGGGGGACCGACACAGAGGCTATTCTACGGCCACTTCTTGGTATCTTGACCATTATAATATTTCTTGGTCTCCTGTTTTTTGACCTAACTGTCTCCCCGCTGACGTCATATAGAGAACTACGTAGAATGGATCATAAATAATGGAAGAAGGGATGTAAAGAATATATCTGCTGTTAGCCACTCGTGCAAGTCTTCCTTTTTGGAAAGAGGAGATAAATTTTGTGAATGACTGATTTGTTACGTAAAAGCAATATGGGAAATAGAGATCTTGACAACACAATCTATTTTTAGAATGGAGGTTTCTATTCCGTTTTTTGGCTGTTTTTTTTTGGGGGGGGATGAGATGATTACGAAGTTTCGAGGAAAGATACTGTAATGAAAGCGAAATACCTAGGTAGAAAGGTTAGAAATCTGATGTAAGCCCCGGGAATTCTTTTAGATAAACTGTCTTATCAAATAAAAACAATATTAAATCCAATTTGTTTGGGTTTGGTTGTTGTTTTTAACAATATACAAGTTTAAGCAAGATATGCAATGATCTATCTTTTTTTTTTTCATTGTTTACCTTTCGAGAACAGTTTGTTCTTTGCATTTTCCCAGCTACATAATGCTTTTATTTTAGATTTTGACGAACTGTAAAAAAAAGATATTTTTAATCTTCTTATCAGTAATTTGACTCATATCACTATGTATATATAAAACCCTTATGGATTTTATTTGTTTATTTGTTTTTGACTATTTATCCGTTGATTTCCAAAAATATCATGAGTTGTTTTCAATTAACACTATGCAATATGTTATATTAATCGTAAAAATTTAGAGAGTTTTATTTTATTTGGAGATTCTTTAGATGTATATATGAATAAATAAGATAAAGTAAATAATTAATGTATTAATAGCATTACTGGCGAAAAAGAAAAGTCTTTGATTTTCTTTCTTTACTCCTTTTTATTCCTTATAACAATAGAGCAGCGGCAACGGCAACAGCACCGAAGCCAACAACTTGCTTACCAGCACCGTTACTAGATTGTTCATGGACAGTAGCAGTGTTAGTAGTAGTGGTTTCCTTAACTGTGTTAGTAGTGGTAGTAGCTACGTTAGTCTTAGCGGTAGTTGAAGCAGTACCGGCAGTAGCTTGGATTTGACCGTCAGTAATTTGAGAAATGGCAGCAGCTTTGTTTTCAGTAGCAGAGGCAAATTTAGCTAAAGCAAATAGAGTAGCGAAGGAAACAGTAGAGAATTGCATTGTTGTTGTTGTTGTTGTTGTTGTTGTTATATGAGAAGAAACGAATGATTGATTTGTTTAATGATTTATTTATTTTTTTTACAAATATCAAAATAATTTAACAGAAACTAAGAAAAGAAGTTTTAAATTTTTGAAATGGTTACTATTTACTGTTTATATATGATTATAAAAACAAACTACAATATTCATAATACCTGAAGGAAATAGATCTGGTAAACAAAGAAAAAAGAGTCTAGGCCAAATAACTTTGAACCAATTGTAAAGACACACATAACTATGTTTTGACATTCTTTGAAAATATTAAAGTTTCTACTTATTTACAGTATAACATGATCTCTTGTTGAAAGAGAAAAAGAAAAGTCAAGGACATAAAATCATTCATTAAAATTCCAAAGAATGTGCCGGAGAATAATGTTATTTTGGACCAAAAAAAAAAAAGAGTTGTATTGAATCAGAAAACCAAAATTGATACCCTTACGTCTATTGAAGTATCAAAATTGTTACAGAGAGGTTCGAGCTGTAACTCTGGCGTAAAAGAGAGCCAGACACGAACCAGCAACGAAAAAAAATAAATAAATAAAAAAGCACTAATACGGTTAGCTCGAATCAACGGAGTGTACCAAAAATAGTAACCTCTAAGTGTCTACTTGAATGTACAAAAACAAAACAATTATTATTTCGTTGATGTGTAAGTCTGCAATGTTAAGATATAAACTATCAGGTAAAGTGGAGGAGACGCGTCTCCCCAATAAGGAATTTGAATGAGGCGCGGTGAAGATTCTTTATGGTAATACAACAGTAACGAAAAGATACGCGTTTTATCATGAGACGATTAAGGTTATTCATTTTCGGTGAAATTAATTGTAATGGCAGCGTACGCCATTTGTGTGTGTATTTATGGTTTTCTATTCGCGTTATTTATTGTCCAGCCCACAATGTAAGAAAGTCTCACTCACATGTATGTACATAGACACACACAGATAGACAGAGGAAAAGGGTGAGTAAAAGACATTTAAAGTCAATGAACTCATTACACATTCCTCTACCTTCATACTTCAAAAGATAAATACTGCAGGGACCTCTCTCTGGTTTGAGAGTAGTAACAGGACGGTTTTGATTATTTGTGTTTTTGTTGGTCAATTCATAACAAAGGTTTGCATTAAATGGATTTTTAGACTCCGAACAAGGTAAAATAAATAAATATAAAAACGTCATTTATTCATTACAACTGGATTTGCTGGTTACATGGATATATATTTCGCGTTCTCTTTATTTACAATTATTTAATTGCTGTATAAGGTTTTGCGTCATATATGTTTACATATTTATAAATAGACCAAATCTGGTTCATTTGTATTTACATTCTCACTGCATTAAAAAGTAGCAGCAATAAAAACAATAACGATAAATTCTTTCTTTCAAATAGCTGGAACAATCTTGTTTAATGTATTTTCTACCACTAAATATTCCAAAAATAATGGATTATCTAATTTAGATGACATTTCCATTTTAACTTTTGATATATTATCTAAAAATTCTTGAATTAATTTATAATCACTACCATATAATCTACTTGGATCTCTTCTAGCACTATTGATTAATACTAAATGCATTGGAAAATATATGAAACTCATCTCTTTCACAATATTAGGTGTCACATAGTTTTTACCTTGATCATAACTGTATAATTTACATAATAAAATCATACTGTCTAATGCATCTTTAATTATTCCACCACCTTTGCTATGATATGCTAAGCGATGCATACGTAAATGAACCATGATATCAAGGATATAACGTCGTACAGATGGTTCGATATGAACCTCTGAAAAATCATTTTTGATTCGAACACTCTCTATTGTCTCAGGTATATCATCGTCAACGTCGTTTTCATCGTTAGTCCCCGATATATTATTATTAGTCGAGGTAAAACTTTCATCAGGCATCGAGCCAGCGATCCAGAATTTATGTTTTAACCAGTCCGCGACAGTAATACTAGGTTTCAATACAGTCTTATGTGGTTTGGTAATATTACCATCTAATATTTCAGGTGTATCGACAGACCATGGTACAATTCCAATAAAAATTTGAACGGGTTTTGTAGACATTAAATCATCTGATGGTTTTGGCATTGTAAAATCGACTAACATATGTTTTGCTAATAGGATTTGTTCCTCATTAGTTAATGCATTCAAATTTGGAATAATTCGTATATCATATCGAAGATCTGATTCTTTATCATCTTCTAAACTTAAGCATGATAGTGAAATTTCATTCAAAATGGTACATTTATATCTTAATCCGTGTAACAAATGATCCACAGCACGCTCAACTAAAAATTGTGGTGCAGTTGTAACTTGTTCATGATTCTCTCTTTCAACTTTATCAGCAATGAAATCATTTCTTACAAACGTTAAAAAACTTCGTTTCCCCAATATACTATACTTTAAGCATTCTTCAAACCCAGGTAACTCCTTACGAAGCATTATGTATATATATATATATATTCCTTCTTAGATTATTGCTAGTAATATATCGCTCCCCCCTTTCTATATGGGCGTTATACAGAATATTAGATATAGATAATGTAATATACTGTATGTATCACTTATATATTATTCTATTCTTTATTTCCTAGTGAAAAGTTTTGCCCTCGTTTTACTCAGTGTTGAAACCCTAATATCGCACGCTTTTGGGAAAGAAACGAAAATTGAAAAAAAAAATGAAAATTTTAAAGCTCATCGATAAAATTTCAAATAAAAATATTAAAAAAACATCTTCAACTAATAGTACATACATATATAATATTAGGTGAATCAAGGACAGATCGTTAAATAATTAGTAGGTTAACTGCTCTAAACTCAATAAGTTTTTATACTAAAATTAAGAAATGGCAAAGTTAGTGCACGATGTCCAAAAGAGACAGCACAGAGAACGTTCTCAAGTGACTAGTCGTGCAAGACTAGGTTTCCTAGAGAAACACAAGGATTATGTTAAGCGTGCTCAAGATTACCATAAGAAGCAAAACACATTAAAGGTATTGAAGACAAGAGCCAAAGAACGTAACCCTGATGAATTCTACTATGGAATGAATTCCAGAAAGGTGGATTCTAAGGGACTACTGATAACATCTCGTCGTGGTGAAGATGAGGATGAATCCCTCTCTATGGATCAAGTGAAATTACTTAAGACACAAGATAGTAACTATGTAAGGACTTTGAGACAACAAGAATTAAACCAATTGGAAAGGAAAACAAAAAAGTTAATGTTTCAAGCTAGTGGTAAGCATACGGTTTTCACAGAAGATAGAGCCGAAAGAGATAACTTCGACGCTGCTGAATATTTTAATACTACTGATGACATGTTAAATAGAAGAGAAAACAGACTCACAAAGGACCAATTGACAATGAGTTTGACAAAGGCTTCTTTGGATTCTGCAGACTCGATAATGCCAAAGGAATCACTCGATAAAAAGAAAGTTAAAAAATTCAAGATCGTTAAACAACATATTGAAAGAGAGAATAAATTGAAAGAAGTTCAAAGGCGTATGGACATGCAAAGGGAGGTAATGAAGAATGGTTCTAAAAAGAAGGTTGTGGATAAGAAAGGTAATGTAACGTTTAAATGGAAAAAACAACGTAAGCGTTAAGTCATATACTCATTTCTTATGATATTCAATATAACATATTACTCAATTAGCATCTCAAAACCCTGTATATTATATACGATTATAAAACAATAATAACGAAGAAAATTTTGTACATCCCTGATGGGTTTGTATATAATTTAGCAGGCTATAATACACTAAAACATAATTAACAAAATTCGTACTTCGTTCAGATAATCAATAAAATTTACTACCATACGAATCTATAAATTAAAATGAATCGTATTAATTTAAAATTATTTTCATATTCAGGTGAATACAGTGAAGTATGTATAAAGATACATATCTATATATAACGTGGTTTATATTCAATAAAATATTTTTCTCGAGTTCTACATTGTGTCTATTTTCTTAACAACGGCGGTTACACTATTGTTCAATTTTTCGAATTGTGTTTGAGCATTAGCGTCGTTGGCTCTGCTTTTCTTAGAAATAGTTAACGTGGACTTCTTGAAGTTACCAACAATCTTTACCTTAAATTTAAAATTACCTTCAATAAATTTACAATCATAATCAACCTTTTCATAGTGTGCCCTCTTATCAAATCCTTTTAGATTGTAGCTAATACCATTCTTTCCAAAGTAATCGACAGCTAGAGTGTGCAAACTTTCAAATGATAGTTTTGTTGGATGGTCCTGTGATATTTGAGATGAATTAATACTAAATCCTTGGAAAAGTTTGTTAAACCAACTCTTTTTAGGTATTTTTATTTTGGATTCAGTGGAATCCTTCTCAATAACTTTCGAAGATTTTACAACAGCTCTATCATTGGTATTTTTATGCTTGGTCGTTAAAGAATTTTTCAAAATTAGTTTAACCTCAGATTTTGTGTCTAAACCTGTTTGTTCCTCATTGGCATTTTGAGATGAAACCTTCTCGGACACCTTCACATTTTTAGTTTGGTTATCGTCATCGAAAATCATGGTAACCCTATTATGTTTACCTTTAGGGTCTTGAGTATTTGACAGTTCGTCATCTCCATCGTTTAAAAGATCAGCCTGGGAAGGATTATCATTTTGGTCTTCCTCAAGATCCTTGAACATTGGCATCATGCTAGAAGAAGTGTGAAGGATGTCAGATTGTCTCTTAGAAGCTGCTGATGAATATCTTTTTTGAATTAGATGACCATTTGAAACATCTGGGGAAAGCTTAAATCTGGAAAGTAGTTCTTCGGTTGTCTCACGTTTTATTGTTTTACCAGAAAACTCTCCATTGTTATTTCCATACAGACTAACTCTTACATCTGGGCTACGTGTAACAATATTATTTGTATTTGAGGTGCCTATTGAAACAGCCTTCTTATGAACAATTGCACTTTGGTCACCATCGCTCGAGGTTGTTATGAAAGAAGTAGAATCTGTTAATGCATCTTCAAATATGTTTACATTTTTGTCAGTAAATGACATGCTAGTTGTGTTTTTTTCACTAATAGAGGTGGAGAGTCCATTACTTAGACCCAATGCATTTTGATTACGTTCTTTTTGTTCAGTGTTCAATTTATTGGAATCATTGAAGTTCCTGTGATGAACTCCTCCATTGGATATAGTAACAGCTTGTGCTGTGAATGTACTGGTAGGAATTTCTAATGCAAATGTCATATCGGAGATTTCAGCAGCGTCAAAATTTAGTCCACCAGATGTGTTATGTGCATCATTGTTCGACAAGTCGTGTAAACCTGCAGTGAGATTAAAATTTGGAGTTAATGATATGTTTGTAATTGGTCTTTGTGGAGCCAATGATATTTTCTTTGCAGGTCTAGTAGCAGTTACTTGTGATTGCTCCTGTTCAATATTATTCGTATTATCATTAATAGAGGTTTGGTCAAAATTTAAGAAATGTGACAAGTCCTTGAAAGTGTTTGTTTGATTTAGTCTCGATGATGGAGTGGCAATTTGACAATCTTTAATAGTGCTAGAATGAGCTAAAATTTCTGTGTTTTCTTTTTCATATTGAACGTTATGTTTTACACTATTTTCAATCTCCTTTGTTTCGTTGATAACTGAAGAGTTGTTCAAATCTTTCTTGTTTAGTAAATTATCTAAACCATTATTCACAGTTGCAAATAGGGAACCTCTCTTGTAATTCCATTCCTTGGTGTTCGTAGAGTTCTTTTTCGGAAGACCTCTTAACATTTTTGAAACTAAAGTATCGTTTGGTTGAGATATGTTACGACGAGGGTCAAGTGATGATTTTCGTATTTGTTGTGGTTGAGGATCAGATGATAATCTGTTCATTTCATACTTTGGATAGCCCACAAATTCCCTAGGGGCCCTGGTACCTTCATTTTTAGATTGAGGGGTAGTATATGGAACAGCTGGTATTTCTTGGCGAGGAATTGAGTGTGAAGGCTGTTTTTTCTTGGTAAAACTGAATTCGTTGTCTGTAGTTTCGAATGAATTTGTAATATTTTTTAAAGGTACCCTCTGAGTACCGATAACCTCATTTGAAGATGAAGAGGTGCTGTTATTATCCAATAGACTTTCAGAATATTGACCATGTTGCTTAGAAGGATCTGGAAGAGTAAAAGCTGCTGCAAATTCTTTTTGTTCGTTCATTGGAACTGTCTCTTCTGATTTTTTTAGCGTGCTTTGACTGGTTTGTGAGAATGTGGAGAGAGGTGACTGTTCTTTAGTTATATCAGTCGTTTCCTCTTCTAAAATATTATCTAATGCATTACCAAACAAAATTTGATTACATAAAACTTCAAAGTCATTGTTGGATGACAAACTTGGTAAGGGCGGTACATCATTAGCACTGACCTCGTCATTTAGTAAGTAATCATTTAGATTCACTGAACGTTTAGAGATAGATTGTAAGGAATATAGTGACCTTTTTGATTCAGAGTTGTGTAATGTTCTTCTAAATTTTCCTGTAGGAGTCTGAATATTGTTATGGTTAGTCTTGCTATGAATTGATGCGTTTGAGTTAGAATGTGTCGCAGTCTTTTTGGACATATATTTACGCAATGAAACTCCTGATTTCGAAGTAGACATAGATACATTGGAGCGCATTGTTAATGTAGAACCACTCTTTCTAAAAGTTCTAGATGACGATACTGGAAAGATAGGTATGGCAGGGACCATACTTGGAATTTGTTTCTCCAAGCTTTCCGATTTCAAGGCAGGAATACTGAATTGAGATTTTTGTATCAAAGTTGGAGTTTGTGGATCTTGTGAGGTTTCGTTACCATTAGTTGAATTACTTGAAGTATTATTACTGGTTGAAGAATCCTCGTTAGAGACAGTTGCAGAATCTGTAAAATTGTTTATTATACCTAAGTTCTTTGTAGAGACCGTTTTCACAAGAGGAATTGAATTTTTCTGTTTGTATTGGAGAAGTAAAGAATAAAACATTTTTTCTTCTGAAGTAGGTTTTTGTAATAATTTGGCAACTATTAATTCACGAGATGTTCCGTGCCACAATATCTGTAAATTTCTCAAGATAGATTCATCAATATCTTGTATAGATTGTATTTCTATCATTGCAGGACCAGCAGCGTCTAAAATATGTAGATTAGAATTAGATTTACCATTTTTATAGTTGTTTTTGTTCTTAACGGGGATATTGAATGGACTTCTTTCGTACTTTGTAATTAATGGGTGTGTTAAGATATCCGTTGTATGAATTCTTTTACTTGGATCAACTACTAATATTCTAGAGATCAGGTCCTTAGCCTCAAGAGATATATTATGAGGCATTTGATATCTACCAGATTGAACTTTTAGAAGTAGTTTTTTAATATTGTTATCATTGAAGGGTAAGTGTCCAGTAAGTAATGCAAAAAGAATAATACCACATGACCAAACATCTGAAGGAGCACCATGGTATGATTTACCCATTACAATTTCTGGAGAAGCGTAATGAGGAGAACCACATGAGGTCTCTAATAATTTATTTGGTAACTCTAATGCAGCCATACCAAAATCTGCAATCTTTATAGATTTATCTTTTTTATCCAATAATAAATTTTCTGGCTTTAAATCACGATGACAAATATTAAACGAGTGACAATAAGATACACCTTCAATAATTTGTTTAAAATAATGAACGGCTTCCCCTTCTGATAATTTACCCTTTGAGACTAAATAGTCAAATAATTCACCACCATCAACATATTCTAATACAAGAAATAATTCAGATTTATTTTCCCAAACTTCATATAGACCCATAACATTCGGATGTGAGATTAATTTCATGATAACTATTTCACGTTCAATACCGTATGGATTCACTGGGTTCTCTTGATTCTCATTATTATTTTCATAATTTCCAGGTTTATTTTGCCCATATGTAGATGTAAGTGCTGTTGAAGCTTTTGAAGAAATAGAATTAAAGGATTCTATTGTATTCGAAATTGGTTGTTGGGTTTTCCCTGTTGATTTGTCTGTTCTAATATATTTTTTCTTTGGTACAATCTTAATGGCAGCCAATTGACCTGTTTCGATATTTTTAGCTAGTCTAACTCTACCTGAAGAACCTTTTCCTAAAGTCTTACCAAGTTTCCATGGTCCAATCGTATCTCTAGATTTTCTTTTTGAAGATTTTGTATTTGTAGAGGTAATATTGATATTACTGTTGTTACCACTATTATTATGTGCATCGCTTATAATTGATTGAACTTGAGATAATCTCTTTGTAGCATCCGTAACAGATTGGACTACTCTATCCAATTGGTTTGAAGATGATATTGAATGGTTATGATTATGAGTATTATTTTTCTTTGATGATTTCAACATTGCATTTCTTGCGGCTGCCTTTGCTGTAGAACTTGATATGATCGGTTTTCTTATCCTTGACTCCAAGGTTGTACTAATGGCCATTGAATTGAATATAATAAAATATGTTTAAAAAAGGAATGAATAATAGTTGGTGTTTGTTTTATTGATTAAATAAAATTTCTTTTGAGAATAATGAATCTATTCAATTTTAATGTCGTATGGTATGTGTCTTTTTTCTTCAATAGAATGATAAGGAGATTGATAATACTAGAATCTATTGGAATGAGAGTATATATATTAGAAAAATGAAACTCACAAATATTCAGAAAAGTATGATGGTTTCCAAAGGAAAACTAATATCGTTATATAAAATATATTTTATTCTTGTTATTATATTACTTCAAGATGGTAGCAGACAAGAAAACAAAAAAAAAAGAACGATAAAGAATCTATATTAATAAACTTTATCTCTGAGTAGAACAATTATATGAAGTTCTTAAAATGCATGATAATAATTAGACTTAGTAGAACGAAAGACACGTTCCTACACGTTAATAAATGGTTGAATGTATGTTTCTGGCAAAGACAGTTGATATGATCCTTCCTTTTTCACTTAGTTCTTCATATTATTGCTCTAGATATTAATCGTGTCATCGAATATCTTTTCACTTCATCCTTTGTTAAAATTAAACATCTTTGTTCTATTATGAAGAGGAATACATCTAGCGCAGAACAAATTATCCTACCATATTAAATATTAAATAATAAAAACGCGAATTGTCAAATAATTAATAAGAGTTTTTGTCCACCCCTTCTCTTAGACAATTTCTTAGAGAAAATAAGTTTTCACTATATATAGTACAAATAAATTTCAGACGCCAATTGTTATTTTCATTATTTGGCACGCCGTTATACAGTAAACAGCCCGTACCGAAATTAACTATTATTTTTAAATTTCCAAAAATTTTCGCGATTTTTTTTTGAAATTGAAATTGTCGTCGACAGTGATTTCCCTCAGTTTTTGTTTTCTTCGCTTGATAACCCTAAATTAGGGTATGTAGTAGGAGAAAAATGATTACGATTTAGCCGCTGAGAGGAAAGAAAAATAACAATGCTTTAGATTTTTCTATTGGAATATATGATATAGTCTAGGTGTAATATTATCTACAGGGCAGGAACAGTATAATTTTGTGATAGAATTCCTCGTTTCTATCTTGTTGAGCATTGATTATTTTTTTATTATACAGATATTCTACAGATAATTCTTCTTAATATATTTCGGAAAGTATTACTTAATATACAAATTATGTATTTCATACCTATGTCTTTATATATTACGAATTTAATGGCGTAGTTGTTTACCTTCACATTCATGAACTTCTTATTCAAATATCGTCTTATAAACCTATTCAATTATAACAATTGCACACAACATTCTGTGTGTTATTTAATTAATGTTAATATTAGTGTTCCTGATCATTAATTATTATACTCGTACGAATATCTTATACTATATACCCTTAGAATCTTCAGCTCACCATATTCTACTTGCAATTTTGGTTAAGTACTGAAAATGGTATTCGTTTTCTTCCTGTAACTTCAGTTAAGATGTCATATCGAATGATCAGCTATAAAGGTAAGAAATATTAGTAGAAAATGTTAGGACTCTAGCCTTAAAAATGCTTTGTTACTTGTTATAAGGTAATGGCAACATGTCAGTTACCATTTTATCGTACTTTTTTGGTTCCTTTTTAAGGAAATAGCTACTTTTTACTGACATATACATTATCGCAAAAGTTTTTTTTTTCCCTTTAACATTATATAATTTATTGCATTTAGTACTAGTTTATAAGTGTTATTGAATATTAATTTATGTAAACAAAAGATTAAAAGTGATAAAAAAAAAATACACAGACGCTTAGGATGCAATTTCTATCTCTCTATTTAATAACTGTATATAGCAAGCACAATTTCCTAAAAGATATATTCACAACGATAGTCAAATATGTGTGCTAAACCATCATTGAACCTCGAAGTTCAACATTTTTCAATTAGCTTAGCCTATATATATATTGCTTCATAGTTAAGCTAAATTAAATTTAACCTGATTAAGTAAAAGAGAGAGAATTCCTGGTGCAAAAAAACACTTAATTATGAAGAACAGAACGGGGTGGCACACAAATATGAAAAATAAATAAGAGCGAGAGAGTTCAATATTCACCGAAACAGTAAGAAACAGACTGAGCAGAAGGTTGTGTTCTTTCCTAACACAGACAACTCCGTGGTAGTAATATATGCCCATTACCTATTAAAAAGGGGTGTCTTGTCTCTCCCACAGGCTTTAGTTGTGATTTTGTTTTATGTAATCTGCTTAGTTTGATTGACTAAAGCCAAGTGATATAATCAATTAACTTGTATCAAGTAAGGATAACACAACCACTATTTATCAAGATTATCCTGTGGTTACCATGGCGAAGTTGATTGATTTATATTTTGAGTGGGATATGGTCCTCTCTTGTAAAGGTAAAAAAATATTTAAAATTGAAATTTTAATTAATTAATTAGTAATCCATTCTTGGTACCAGTCTTAATCTGATCGTTTATCTTGTGAGACACCCCCAAAAAATACAAACAAAAAAGTTTATATTGCTGTTTATTTCTCATTTGATAGTTAATGTTAATGAATTCGGAGTAACCCTTACTTTAATATTTTTTTTAATTTAAATCATATATAAATACGTTTATTATTTTAGAAAAAAAAAAGATTATAATCGTTACATCTTTCTTTTAGTTTGTTATTATTATTAATATTTTCCTTCCTAACTAGATAACAGTACATATAAAGAAACGATTAAACACATTACGAAAAGATGAGCAATATGGATGAACAATTGGTCATTATTGAACAATTGAAGAAAACTCTGCAATTGTTAACTGTTGAACAAGAAGAAAATAAAATTAAAGCAAGTACTATAAACACTACTAATGACAATGATTTTAACGCAAAATTCCTTTATGAAGATTGTGCCGATTTATTCATTGATTTCACTTATAAGAATCCAACTACTTATCATGTTGTAAAATTTGCTGCTAATATGTTAGAAAAGAGTGGTTTCAAATATCTTTGTGAAAAGGGTAATTGGGATAAATGTATCGGCAAAGAAGGCGGTAAATTCTATACTATTAGAAATGGTACTAATCTTGTTGCTTTTATTGTTGGTAAGAATTGGACTATTGAAAAGGGTGCAGGTGTGATCGGTTCTCATATTGATTCTTTAGCTGTTAAGTTAAAGCCGGCTTCTTTGAAGGATCACGTTGAAGGCTTTGATGTTATCGGTGTTGCTCCTTATGGTGGTGCTTTAAGTGATAAATGGCTAGATAGAGATTTAGGTCTTGGTGGCCGTATCTTATATCATGATGAAGATTCTGATGTTATTAAGGAAAAATTGATTGATACTACACCTGTTCCAATTGCCAAAATTCCTTCTTTAGCCCCACATTTTGGTAAACCAGCTGAAGGTCCATTTGATAAAGAAGATCAAACTATTCCAATTGTTGGTTATCCAACTGGTACTCCAGTTCCACCAAATGAAAAGGAAAAGACTTCTCCTTTAGTTGGTAAGCATTGTATCAATTTATTAAGATATATTGCTAAATTAGCTGGTTTAAAAGTTTGTCAATTAACTCAATTAGATTTAGATTTATTTGATGTTCAAAAGGGTGTCATTGGTGGTATTAATCAAGATTTTATTTTTGCACCACGTTTAGATGATAGATTATGTAGTTTTGCTGCATTATGGGCTATGGATATGTATTCTCATGATGTTGATATTTCTACATCAGAGAATTTCTCTGTATTAGCTTTATATGATAATGAAGAAGTTGGTTCAATGTCAAGACAAGGTGCTAAAGGTGGTTTATTAGAATCCATTGTTGATCGTGTTGCTCAAGCTCATGCCAATGCTACATGTGCAGAAATTCGTACCTTATATGCTAATTCTATTATCTTATCTGCTGATGTTAACCACATGTTTAACCCTAACTTTAAGGAAGTTTATTTAGAAAGACATTCTCCAAAACCAAATGTTGGTGTTACATTATCATTAGATCCAAATGGTCATATGGCTACTGATAGTGTTGGTGTTGCCTTTATTGAACAATTAGCTAAGAAAAATGATGATAAATTACAATATTTCCAAATTAAGAATAATTCAAGATCTGGTGGTACTATTGGCCCAACATTATCCTTGACTGGTGCTCGTGTCATTGATTTAGGTATTGCACAATTATCTATGCACAGTATTAGAGCCGCTACAGGTTCTCAAGATGTTGGTCTTGGTATTAAGTTCTTTAACGGTTTCTACCAAAACTGGAGATCAGTCTACGATAACTTTGGTGACTTGTAAGAGATTCTCGAACTTTTTTCTTCCTCTCTAACGTCAACGTCTATATAACGTGGGTTCAATAAAACCTTTCTTCATGTTTAAAACACAAATAAATAAATATATTATTTCATAAGCCTTCTTTTTATTAATAGACTATAAAATATAAACATACTATCATCTTAAACGATAGCCTCGGCCTCCCGACACCATTTCGGATGGCTTCTTTTTTTCAAATAATTATTATTAGATCTGTATCGGGTGTTCGTACAACATGATCACGGATTATATAATGGATGAAGACATCACAGTTTTTTATTATGTACATATTTCCTAATTAGGTAATATAATTCTAGGCCACTGTGGCCAAAATGAAATGTGCGGCTCCTCCTTTTTCTCTTAAAATATTCGAAACTTGATGGTTCATGATACATAGTATTAATTAAAGAGGAAGAACAACGATTTATGATGATATTTCATCAGTTGAATAAAGGTTCTTTGTCAATGGTGATCAGTGCACCATTATGACAAAGGGTGCTCTCAACGACCCACTTATATGTTCTATAAACTGAAACTCGAGAGACCGAAAGGTCTGTTTCCTTTTTTTCCATTCTTGTTTACATTATCTTGAAAGAGTCACAAATAACTAAATAAGAATATATATATATGTATGTAAATTTATGTTATTTTTACTTTGATCTTGTTTTTAGAACAAAAAGGACACCTTTACTATTAATAAGTAAATATATATTTTCTCTTTTCTTATATCTATTTCTATTTATTTTCTCTTAAAAAGCATTTTACTGAAATTACTATTTTCTTTCTGTTTTGTTTTGTGATTTTTACTATAATAGGAAGAACAAAAAACAAGAGGGAAAAAAAATTCAAAGAGAGAAAGAAAGAAGAAAGTTGATAAATTATTTATTTATTTTATTTCAAACATAAGTTTATCAATATACATATCTTTATCTTTTCTTCAAAGCTTTTAAGAGATAATTAACAAAATAATAGTATCAAAACAATAATTATAGTGACAATATGTGTGGTATTTTTGGGTATTGTAACTATTTGGTCGAGAAATCCAGGGGAGATATCATCGACACCATAGTAGAAGGTTTAGAAAGATTAGAATACAGAGGTTATGATTCAACTGGTATTGCCATTGATGGTGATGAATTAGACTCTACTATGATCATTAAACAAATTGGTAAAGTTAGTGCTTTGAAACAAGAAATCGCTAAAGTGAATCCTAATAGAGATGTTACATTTGTTAGTCATTGTGCTATTGCGCATACTAGATGGGCTACACATGGTGAACCAAAACAAGTAAATTGTCATCCACAAAGATCTGATTTAAATAATGAATTTGTTATTGTTCATAATGGTATTATTACAAATTTTAGAGAATTAAAAACTTTGTTACTAAATAAAGGTTATAAATTCGAAAGTGAAACAGATACTGAATGTATTGCCAAATTATTTAAACATCTTTATGATATTAATTATCAGAATGGTCATGAATTAGACTTTCATGAATTAACTAAATTAGTTTTATTAGAAATTGAAGGTTCTTACGGTTTATTATGTAGATCTTCTCATTATCCAAATGAAGTTATTGCTACTAGAAAGGGTTCTCCATTATTAATTGGTGTTAAATCTGAAAAAAAATTAAAAGTTGATTTTGTTGATGTTGAATTCCCAGATGAATCTAATTTAGGTAGACCTGAAACTCCTTTGATTGCTGCTAATGGTAAAGCAATTTCTTCAGATGATAATAATAATATTACTGTCACTACAAATAAGAAAAATCCAAACGCATTTTTAAATGGTACTGGTCATAGTAGTAGTTCACATGACGATAACTTATTACCAATTGCTGCCAATGAATTTAATTTAAGATATTCTCAATCTAGAGCTTTCTTATCTGAGGATGGTTCTCCAACACCAGTTGAATTCTTTTTATCTTCAGATGCTTCCTCTGTTATTAAACACACTAAGAAAGTTTTATTCTTAGAAGATGATGATATTGCTCACATTTATGATGGTGAATTACATATCCATAGATCAAGAAGAGAAGTTGGTGCCTCTATGACTAGATCTATTCAAACATTAGAAATGGAATTGGCTCAAATTATGAAAGGTCCATATAAGCATTTCATGCAAAAGGAAATTTATGAACAACCAGAATCTACTTTTAATACAATGAGAGGTAGAATTGATTTTGAAACTAGTTCTATTAATTTAGGTGGGTTAAAAGCTTGGTTACCTGCTATTAGAAGAGCTCGTAGAATAATAATGATTGCATGTGGTACTTCGTATCATTCATGTTTAGCTACAAGAGCCATCTTTGAAGAATTATCAGAGATTCCAGTAAGTGTTGAATTAGCATCCGATTTCTTAGATAGAAAGAGTCCAGTCTTTAGAGATGATATTTGTGTCTTTGTATCTCAAAGTGGTGAAACTGCGGATACTATGTTAGCTTTGAATTATACTTTAGAAAGAGGTGCTTTAACTGTCGGTATTGTTAATACTGTCGGTTCATCTATCTCTAGAGCCACTCATTGTGGTGTTCATATTAATGCTGGTCCAGAAATTGGTGTTGCGTCAACAAAGGCTTATACATCTCAGTATATTGCATTAGTAATGTTTGCATTATCTTTATCAGATGATAGAGTTTCTAAATTGGAAAGAAGAGAAGCAATTGTACAAGGTTTGAAATTAATTCCAAGTCAAGTTAAACAAGTCTTAAAGTTGGAACCAAAGATTAAAGAATTATGTAAAACAAAATTAGCAGATCAAAAATCGTTATTAATTCTTGGTAGAGGTTATCAATTTGCTAGTGCATTAGAAGGTGCTTTAAAGATTAAAGAAATTTCTTATATGCATTCAGAAGGTGTCCTTGCAGGTGAATTAAAACATGGTGTCTTGGCATTAGTTGATGAAAACCTACCAATTATTGCATTTGGTACTAGAGATTCTTTATTCCCTAAAGTTTTATCTTCTATTGAACAAGTTACAGCAAGAAAAGGTCATCCAATCGTTATTTGTAATGAAAATGATGAAGTCTGGATGGAAAAAGCTGTTGATTCTAATTTAGAAACCTTGGAGGTTCCACAAACTGTAGATTGTTTACAAGGTCTATTAAATATCGTCCCATTACAACTGATGTCATATTGGCTAGCTGTTAATAAAGGTATCGATGTTGATTTCCCAAGAAACCTTGCAAAATCAGTCACTGTCGAGTGATTTAAGAAAAAAAGAAAAATAAGAATAATAATTTTTTTTATTACCTTTTATTACCTAACTATTCAATGTAACATGCAAACCAAAATAAAATAGAAAATAATGAAGAACCAATGCTAATATAACTAATTCGGATATTTAAATAACAAATGTCTAATACATATATATATACATATATCTAAAAACAAGAAACTAATTTAACAAACGATTCATAGTTCTATGAATCGGTGCTAACAAAAACAAGCAGATTACTTCTATTCCCTCACACATCAGATTGTTCTACTAAGAGGATATATAAAATGTTTGAATTTGACACATTAATTACGGTGTCTTTCCCTCTCGTCAAAAACCAACCCCCTGTAATGACCTATTTCAAAGCCAACCCACGTTCATCATGACATAGAAAACACTTTCAGGTTCGACACTTCTTAATTTAGCGGAGTAAAGTTACATAACCCGGTTCCGAAAAGGAAATGCCGGAACTGTTTCAAAAAAAAGGGACAATCAACCGAGGAGATCTTTAAATACTCGATGAATAAATGAGATATATATGGTAACGTCGTTTATAAGAAATTTTTTTCCCGTCTCCCTTCAGAAATTAAACCAACTAGTTTATTTACTAGTTATTGATCTATTTGATTATTTACAGGCTAAATCACCAAGACTCTAATTACTTAATTTATGAACATTTGCTGGAATCAAACTCATAAAGAAGAAATACCTATACATATTTGTTTACAATGCACACATCAAAACGGTATTCACATGTAAGGACATTTAGTAATGAAGCAATTGCTGCTGCTACTACAGCTACCTCGGGCGAGTTATCTTCTAGAACGAGTTCTCTCGTTAGAAGTAAATCAGTACCAAGACATACTCATAGTTTTAGAAGGACGGCTAGTATAATGAGTGACCCAGAAAGTAGAAGATCACATCGCAGGGTGAATAGCTATGGCATTTCAGGAAGGACATTTAGCACCTCTATAATACCAACTGATTACGATGAGAGCCAAATAATTGATGCAAATATGGCATTCGATAATTTTGATGGTAGTACTGATGAAATGAATGAAAATAATATTTATCCTCCTCAAAGACGATACAGACATATAAGTAATGGAGGAATGCAACTACAACAACCTAAATATTTGGAAGTTGTAGAAAAATATGTCCCTGGACCACGAGGACTATCAATTGTGCAGGTTCCAGTAATAAAGCAATCATCGCAAAAATTGAGAAAGGATTATCCACAACAACAACTGTTATCATCACCTACAAGAAGTGTTTCGGATTATACATCATCTGAAAGAGCATCATTATCTCCAAAAACATTGAAAAGACACGGAGCAGTTAGAAGGTCGAAAATTGCTCACTCATCAGAAGATTCTCGACTTCCTATATCTCCTCATCATTCTATGAGGGAAGTCGAACCAGTATCCCCAAGAGATTTCCATGCTACCTACGAGGATGGGATAAATATGATTGAAAAGACAGTGACTACAAGACAAACTAAAGACCATGGAAGTGTGGAGACAACAACAATTATACGTAGACATACTAAGAAAGAAACCAAGCCTGATTTGGTAGTATCTAATAACACTAATGATCATACTTCAAATACAAAGGAAAATGTGTTAAAACTCCGTGCTGAAGTTAAAAAGTCCGAACTTGAGGAGAAACAACTAGAACTTGAACTAGAAAAAATAAAAATTGCTGAAATGACATTGACCACTCAGAAAGAAAATCATAATTTGGAGAATGAAGTTAAAATTCAAGTTCCATCTTCTGTAATAAAACCCAAATATCAACATGAAAAACTCAAGGGACCAATAAAGGTAGTCAAAAAAACAACAAATTACCCAAGAAACGTTGATGATGACTCGAGTAATGAAGGTGAAGGCAATTTCAGTGGGGACAATGAAAGTACATCTATTGTTTCCAGCATGGTTTATGATGACCATTTAAGTACAATTCAATCTATTGAAGTTGAGCCAACTAAACAAGAGAGCCAACCTCGGAAACATGACCTTCAAAAAGATACATCAAATCAAGATATCAAGATATTAAATGGGAAATTGAATGAATTCTTAGATAAGGAAATGGTTGAAGAAGATAATGATTTTGGTAATGGCGTGTCCTATGAATCTCTTCTTATGAACACGTCAACTACAGAGCCTATTCCAGGGACCTCGAGCAAGTTTAACTCGAAAATATCGCTTGATTTAAATGACTCTCAAATCAGTGTAGTACCAAGCTTAGACTTGGGTCAAGGTGAACATGAAGAGATTAAAATATCTGAGACTAAAGTCCCATCCGAGAGTAGGCACCACCCGTCAATGGCACAATATTTAAAAGCTTCGCATCCTTACCTTATTAGTTCGGACGAAGAGTTAGAGAATGGGCAGGAGAATAGCACGTACCTATCTCATAGTAATGATACCGAAAGGAGGATATCATTTGATACAGATTCAAATATCGACAGTACTTTATCTATTAATCTTCCACACGGCAGAATTCCGACCTCATCATACACATCTGTCGATTCTCATAGTAAAAGTGAACGGATTTTGAATATGGGGAATAAAGATTTAACAAAACCATTCTTGAATATTTCTAGCACAGAAGCGAACATTAAGCATTCTAAATCATCCCAGACCACTGTAAATGGCTCGCAATCAACAGGTATTTCATCTTCAATTGACGTACCAGGAAGTTTCAAAAATAATAATGCAGATACAACAGTGAACAGTTTTAAGAGTGAGTCATCATCTGTTTACTCCTATCATCCGACAAAGAATGTTAATCAGCCCAGAATAATACGTCTTGATAATTTAGGGGAAACACTTGGCGAGTTTAATCATATGAGAGGTTCTTCTTTGGATGAAAAAAAATTGGTTTTAAGTAAAAGAGAGGAAAGGGGTAAAGGACATAAGAGCCACAGAATAAGTCAATCGGTTGATTTAGATATGCACAAAGATAGTACACGGAGAAGAAGTGAAAAAATTTCAACTTTTAATGGACAAGTGCAAGTGCGATCCAAATCGTTGACTAGGAGACTTTCATTTCAAAGTACTTTGAAGAATATTAATAATATTGAGAATGAAACATTTAAGAAACATTCAAGAAACAGCAGTATAAGTAAAAGCTTAAAAAAGATGTTTGGTATCCATTCAAAATAGTACAGGCTTCCATATCAAATAGAGAACTTATTATTTGGTAACATTAAACTCACAATATCTTATCTTAATGACATATCTTTATTATTAAATTATTAATCTTATATAAATATTTTTATAAAAAAGGTATGAATGCAAAAAACAAACAAATAAAGAACAATTACAACCATAATTTTGCAATTTCTTTCAGTTCATTTGGATTGATTTTCAATTTTCTTGAATGTATCACAAACGTATTCTATATTTGAATCATTAATACCACTTAAAGATAGTCTACCATCGTCTGTTAAATAGATAGAATATTTATCTCTTAACTCTTGAACAACGGGTAATGAAAATCTTGTAAAATAAAACATCCCGTGTTGTTGAGAATCATTTACAGTACTCCAATCTAAATTTGTGGATAATTGATCTCTAATACCTTGTAATCTATTCACCATAATGTTAACGTCCTTAAACCATTGAGATTTTAAACCTGGGTCTGATAAAACAAGATTGGCCACTCTAGAACCATACCCAGGTGGTGAAGAATATATGGACCTAATGATTCTTTTCAATTGTGAATCTACTGCTTCTTTAACTCTTGGTGGAGAATGACTCGGTGCTACGATACTTAAAGAACCAACACGTTCACCGTATAAACCCATATTCTTCGCAAATGATTGGCATAGAAATAATCCATTATCCCAAACATATTTTGGGTCAATGCATTTTCTTAATAAGTATGCATCCTGAATCAAATTACCTGATTCTAAACCTTGATAAGCCATATCAATTATTGGAATCATTTTCAATTCGTTAATTGTATCAATAATTTTATCCCAATCTTCTCTTGTAGGATCTAAACCAGTTGGATTATGACAACATGCATGTAATATAATACAATGAGGTTCTGGTGATTTATCTTTACTTACTTTTTCTTTAAGATCATTTAGCCAATTATCTACTGTCAATTGACCAGATTTCACATCATAATATGAATAATAATGAATATCTTTAAATCCATTTTTATTAAAGATATTCATATGATTTGCCCAAGAGAAATTTGGTATCCAAACTTTCTTCGATATGAAAAGAGCTAAAAATTTAGCAGAAATGGCTAATGCACCAGTACCACTTAAAGTTTGAGCAAAAGATATTCTATTGTTATCTATTAATTGTTTACCATAATTTTTCTCACTTCCTGCAACTAAATTAGTTGATGATGAACATGATTCATCATAAAGAAAATGTTTTACATTTTCTGCATAATCTTTCCCGCCTTTTATAGGTAAATAAGATAAATTCTTATTTAAACCTAATTCTCTATCTATCAATTTTTGTGCTTTAGAAATTGATGGGAAAGTTGTAACTTTACCATAGTTATCCTTATATATTCCAACAGTTAAATTAACCTTTGATGGGTTTGTATCATTATTAAATGTCTCTGTAAGACCTAAAATCTTATCAGGAGGAGCAAGTTCTATTTGATTTAATAAAGAAAGTTTATTTGTAGTGTTTAAATATCTATTGAATTGTTTCATAGGAATTGCAGAATTTTGACTCCCCTTTGCTAATATTTTTATTATCGTCATTTTATTTATTTAATTGTTATTATTTCCTTTTAGTCTAATTGAAAAAAAAAAGATATTTATTATATTCAGATCTTAATAATGTTGGTGCTTATATATCAAAAAAAATGTAGAATTGACCTTTTCAATGACTAAAAATGATCGTCAATTTCTATAAATTGGAGAAATGAGTAATTGTTATCTTGAATCGGATGTTAAGTAAGCAATATACATATATATATATATACCCCAACTTTTTTTTGAAACCGAATACAAATAAGAAACAGTTTTGTATTCTTCTCCAACCTACAAATTTCGTTTATTCAACTTCTCATCACTGGCTGCATCCTCAAAGGTAGCAAGCGATATCTATCAACTACATACCATCATTGAACCATCTATCGGGGAGGATCTTCTCTTTCCCTCTCTTTGTTCCGAGGACTCTCTCTCCCTCTGCTTCTACAATAGTCAATCAAATTTGTGTGCGTGACTCTCTGTAAATGCGCGCGGCTTTGTTAGTGGAATATCTTGCAATGAGTTATTATATAAGAAGTATATCTCAATTATGAAAGACGGTAGATCAACAACTAGGCAAGCTGAAGTAATATCAAGAGGGGAAAGAATACATGCCAGGGTTAGGGGTTTCAGCTGGATGTAAGAGGAGATGACGTATACTTGAATAGGATCCTAGATGTGGTAATAACAATACTTGTTTGTAGTGTGCGTCTTGTCGCTTTGTCTTTCTCTATATGTCAAGGTCATGTAATGCGGCACACGAGCAAATATATGTAATTATTGCCTTTGAGAGGGCTATTTTAATAAGGCTATATTGATATGTCATGATGTGGTTTGGAATCAAATAAGTCTTGAGTTGAAAAAAAAATATGCATTATATTTCGTTATATAGATATGTATCTGAGGATATGAGATTCTCGGTAAACTAGCGTCTATGGAACCGCTTGGTGAAATTATTACGTTTCTTTGATGGTAATTTCAATCTTCTGAAATTGTTACTGACTAAATTATATTTCTTCTTACGTGATGATTTCTTCTTTTGAGAAGTAATAACGTTATTTTCATCTTCGTCTTCACTACTGTCATCTTCACTTTCACTGAGAATTGTTTGATCTTCTATATTTAAATCCTTCATTATCTTTCGTAATTGTTTTTTCTTTAATTTATGCATCTTTTTATGTAAATTGATCTTAAGTGTAGTAGAATTATCAGTCTTCATAAATCTATCGTCAAATCTTCTAATACGGAATTTCCTTCTTTTTCCTTTAGGTATTATGTCCTTATCATCATTGTTATAGTCATTATTCTTACTGTTTGTTGAAGAACCTTCTATACCATTTATATCATTATCATTCTGTTGTTCTGAATTATGTGTATGCATTGGGACAAACGTCTTTGATGCCTCAATGAATTCATCTTCAAGATCTTTTAATGATTTAGAAATATTTCTTTTCCATAGTGATGGTGGTGTATATTTCAACGAATCATTATCTTGCATAGAACGTATTCTTCTTTTTATACTTGGTGTATGAGACTGTATTTGAACACTTAGATCGGATGGTAACTTTAACGGAGAATTAGGTCCATAATTTTTCAATATGGGTACCATTAATTTACCCATTTCTGGTTCCATAGAAGTTGTGGTAGTATCAATAATTGTATCACTACTAGGTTGAATGTCTACTGGTTCATCAACAAATGGCGAATTGTTAAAATCCATTCCAAATATGTCATTATCGATCTTAGTGGTGGATTCATTATAGAGGTTATCATCTTCGAGAAGTTTATTAGTTTTGTTAGGTATTTGTAACCTTCTCTTCACAGGTGATAAATTTAATTCAAATATGCTTATAGATTTCCCAAATATCTGGGGCGTCGGTCCAATTTCAATAATTGTACTTTTTTCATCATGTTTCACTATGGGACTCCTTATTTCATGGCTTCTCTGTGTATGATTTTGCATCTTAGTAACATTTGAACTAGATTTTTTGGATTGATTTCTCTTCAATTTCGAATATTGTTTATATTTGTATTGTATCGATGGATTTGCATTGATATCTTTCTTGGTTGGTGATCGATGTTGAATATTAATAAAATTATGTTCCCAGTCTTTCAACTCTTTTCTCAAAGAGGATAATTGGATATCATTTGTCGACATAACCGTATCCCACCGCCTTATTATTGTCTTGTTTATATTTCAAAGCAAAGAAGATACAGATTTATCTTTTTAAGTTAAGCTTAAAGTTTTCTTCTGTATGTCTACTGATCTTTACGAACAAGCTCCTCATTGAAATCTTTCTCATCAATTTTTTTTTGGTCTTACGCGTGAAATGAAAACAAACGCCAAATGTTTAAAACGAAAGAAACTTGCGCTACACAATGAAAACCTTAAAGTGGATTATGCATATATATATGTATATATATATATATATATATTAGCAATGTGAACATATTTTTTTCCCAAGAAATGGTACTAAGCAATGCTCGACTATGTATTTGTATATGTATAAGTGTTCTCCTTTAGTGACGATTACCAAAAAGACGTAATACTTTACTTTTTAGATTTTATACAATGTGTACCTCTGAGTCAACAGTATTGATAGAAGAAGTTTTGTAAATGAAGTTAATTTAATATGCTATCTGTGTATAATATAAAATGTAGATGGTGGATAAGATATTCCCTTTATTTCAAAATGTATATTGCAGACATTTTATGCATTGAAAGAAACACAGATTAAATGAACTTCTAAGTTCTTATTTTAAAAGAAGCAAGGGGATAATGTCCCCCCCCCCTGGGTTTTACTAATACAGCAAGAAAATTTAAACAGTGCTGTCTATTAATGTAAATGAAAATAAAAAATATTATTCTTTCGCTTTATTATCACAGTTAAAGAAAATGTAGTTAATTGAAAACAAAATGTATCTTATTTGGGCATTCTTAAGGCCCATTTCAGGTATAAATATCTAAGAATATGTATATGTATGTATATATATATATCATAAATTTCTCATGTTATGTATATGTCAAAGGGTTGAATGTTATTTGTTGTTGTATTTTATTCTTTGTTAGATTAATAATCATATTCTACTATAATACCTGTCTATGACAATGTAGTAAGAAGAAATAAAAATCTAAAAAGTTTCAGATTTCAAAATATCGAAATCATGGTCATCATCGAAATCATTACTGTTGATAAAATTTTTCATATTATTTGACGTAAAATCATTAACATCGTTAAATGTAGAAGAAATGTTATTGTTAGTTGTTATATTGTTGTTAGACGTATCTTCAAATAAATTCATGAAATTGTCTTGTTCATCCATTAGTTCTTCTAACGATGGAGCAACATAAAGATAGTTAGCATTAGTCTTCTCAGACTCATTGTTAATTTTCTTCTTGTTAACTTGTTCATCCTTATGAACGGTTTTATTGTTGGTATAACGTGGTAGGAATTCCCATATAGTATTATATAGTTCATCTTCAGTGTCAAGTGTTAAATTAGTGTCATCAGTAGTTGCTGACATTTCTTTGTTTGTAGAACTGGGGCTCATAGTAGCAGAAGGATGGGAAAATAATTCGAAATCCATATCGACATCTTGAATGATATCCATTTCATCGTACATCTTTTGAAAGTATGCATTTTCGTCCATTCTGTTGATTTTATCAGCAGATGGTTTAATTGGAGCAGAAAATCTTCTTTGGAATTGGTCAGCGGCTGATGAATTATTTGGTGTTGAAACCATTGTTGCACTTGGAGATACATCTAATGGAGAACGTGGAACTTCTTTACCTGATATCTTAATATGTTTAGCTAAATTCAAAGGAGATGCACTTTTCACATTAGATGTTGTTGGAGTCATTTCTTTTGAATTATTATTAGAGACCATTAATAAAGGTAGATTCTTTGTGGTAACCCTTGTGGTTGGGATTGAATCATGAATCAATGTTTGACCACTACCATTTGATGTTGATCTATCAGTTTCGTCACTTTCTTCAAAGTTCAAAAATGCTAAATAATTCAACTCACCTCTTTGTTGTTTTGATGTAAAAATCTTGTCATTATGATGATGATGTTGTTGCTGTTTTAGTTCCTTCTTTGGAATATTAATTGATTTGACTGTTTTTGAAGTTGTATGCAAAGTAGTGGAAGAAGTAATCTTCTGTTTATTTTGTTGATTATTAGATGCAGATGATGTTGAAGAAGAAGGAATTGAGATTGAAGTATGCTTTTGAGAATTTGAATTTAAAGAAGTAGTACTGGTAACACTAGTATTATTATTTGGAACATTCCTCTTACCAGGTCTTGGTCTTGGAGGTAAAATCCAACGTTTTGAAGTTTTAATAACTAAATGAGGTGAACCAGTAGAGCTACCATTATTATTTTTCTTTGAGATTGAACTCTTTGGAATTAATGGAGTAAAATGTAGTTTAGAATTATTTGATGTTGAATTATTAAAATTCTGTTGTTTTAAATTGACTTGTGTAATAGCAGATGGCATTATTGTTTATATTTGAATATTAATTTTGAGTTTTTTATACTGTTATAATTTAAAGAATATGTGATAAACTTTTGGAATAAATAAATAAATTTTTCCTTAAAAATTGGATGGATAATAAATAGATGAGGTTTTTATTTTATGAAAAAGGATTAAATTACAATTTGTCTGGCATGTAATTATGATTCTCTTTTTTTTCTTCTTTTTGATTTGTTAAATTAAATTTTTCCTTTTTTTTAATTATCTGATAAGTAAAATAAAAGAATATATTAACAAAATAAATTAAAATGATAAAAGCAGCTAGTATCTGAAAAAATAAAATAATGATTTGAATTTAAATTGAATTTGTAAAGACGAAAAAAGATAATAATTCGTCAATGTTATAAATGATTCAATGTTAAATGTTTTTTGGGGGAAAGAAAGTAATTGAGGATAATAATAAAAAAAGTAGTCACTTGATTATTATTCGAAATTTTCTTTCTCGATGTGTCTAATGTCTCCTTATAGTTTAGTAGTATGCCCTTGTTTTAAAATTTCTTTAAATATTTAAAGGGTACGGAGTTTACTGCGTAGTGAGGAGAAGTAGTAAAAAAGCGAACAGCGAAAAGCGAAAAAAACAAATAAAAAAATATGTTGTTAAACGCAGGCCTGTTTAATAGAATAGCTAGTAGTAAATGTAAAACTACTAATTATTTGACGCACAAAGGTATGTGTTAGAAACTGTAAAATGTATGTGTTGATTTTTCTTCTTTACTTTTTTTTTTCAAAATAAATGAACTTATAGTAGCAACAACAGTCAAATTGAGGGGCTTCTACCGAGGAGAGAGGTATTTCAAAAAATAAAGTTTACAAAAAAATGCGTGAAAAATAGAAATTTTTTGACCAACACAAAGGAGAAAAAAAATAATATTAAATAAAATTATTCGGTTAATGCAGAAAAAAGTTCAGAGCGACTCTTTTAATTTTAACTAAATAGGAATAAAATATTATTTGAATAAATGTCAGGTAATTTTATGTTTGTTTGTTTTTTTTAAAACTACCGTGGATGTATTAAAATGATTTAAGCTTTCCGATTGTAAATTACAAAAAAAAAAAGGAAAGTTAATAGCGAATAAATTAATATATTGGTACCTCTTTTATTTTTAAATATGTAATAAGAGGGGGAGGAGTTGAGGATAAATATGTGAATATATTAAAGTAAAATATAAAGAAACGAATTCTTTTGAATGAATATTAATTTTTAGGAAATGAATAATAAAGTGTGAGATCCGATTAAATGATTTGAATTTAAATTGGAAAACTAAATGAATATATTAAAATTTAATTGGGAAAATATGTCTGAAATATATTGTATAAGTTCTTTATCGAATTTCTAGATGTGCGAATATATATATATAGAGACAGATAGTATTAATGTAGTAAATCCCGATTAAAATTTCTGTGTGGGTTTTATTATTTTTTTTACTTTGAAATTTAGTGTGTAAGTAAAAATGGTTTGATGTGTGTATTGATGAATATTAAAAAAATGTGAATCGATTGTTTTATTGTAATAAATAAATAAATAAAAATAACAGTTCCTAGAAATGAAAAGAAGTTCTAAAGTATCATTAAAAGTTATAACTACTAAAAAAAATAGATTGATCTCTTGTGTTATATATATATTCTTTAATATAATTAAAAGAAGTAGTATAATTTCTAAATTTTCTTTTTTAGTCTGTTGGATCGTGTTACTTTTTTACAAAAAAAATTTCATTAAGATAGTGAAATGCGTAACAATGTGATGAAAAAACCCTTCAACGAAAGAAAGTAAGAAAAAAAAATAGAAAAAACACGTCGAAGTTTATGCTACTTTACTTTACTTACAAAAATTGATATATGCGGATATTATTTATTGTCATTAATCTTCAAGCGATAAAAACGAGAGAAGAAAAAAAAAAGAAGGCAGCTGTTCAAGAAAAGAAAAAGCCGTTCTACGTGCTCTTCACTGGAATAATATGAATGACACTGTAATAAATAAATAATATTATTGCGATGGAAAGCAGTCCCTTTCGATTTAAATTTTTCAGTATTTGCTACACAGATACATTAAAAATAACATCAACATTTTACTATAGCCTAATTTGAATATCTTTACTACGTGATACTTGTGTGGTAAATCAACTTACCACGCATTTTTCTCGAGCTTGTTCATTTTATTTTTATTTTTATTATTATTACTATTATTATTGACGGAAATACATATTAAAGATAATACTATTTTACTCTTTCTTTTCCCTGTCTTAATTATTGCTTGGACATCAGACTTCTTTCCGCCCCGCCCCCTAATTAATCATTTTATCGTGTGTATCTGTGTATCCCAGTAAAGAATAACGTTTATAACAAACAGGTGATAGATTAAGAGAAATTAATTTCCCGTCTCAGAAAAGCAAAAATAAAAACGAGAAAAAGGTTGTTCGCTATCGGTTCTCTCTCCACATATAATACAATAAAGAAAAATAATCTAATATTAATTACATAGACGGGGCAGCACTGGCAACATCTCTTGATTGTTCAAGAAAAAATTAAAAAAAAGGATTTATTTAACCCGTACCTTAATTTTTCTACCAGCATATGTATGTACGTATATATTTACATTGGCAGTGAACCCTTCGTACTAACAATCTGTTGTTATTTTTTCGGTTTTCTTTGTTTCCGCTCTCAAAGACCGACTAAGTGGGAAAGTATAAAATAAAAACAAAAAACAGAAAAATAACATTTTTGGATACTATACACAGAGAAGGACAAAGAGGGAAGGGGGGAGAAGACTACTGCACAGAACCTTCGGCACAATAATAAAATGTTCACATACATACGAAAAAAAAAAATTTATTTCTCTCTTATGTATGCGTGAGTACATTTGACATAAATATGCTTGCACAAAGCATATGTAGATCTCTGGGGGATTTTCAGTGAGGACAAAGGTGAGAAACATAAATGAAACAAACAAACCTGGAGTGCATTCTAATAGTAGCCGTCGTAAATAGTTTTTGTTTAATAATTCGAAATATTTTCATTGAGAAACAAAAGAAATGTAAATCAATTACTGTTATAGTATTTTTTTTCTTTCCCGCTTATGATTATTCTGTTCTATTTTCTTCTTTCAAACGAATTGTAAATGAACAAACACCAAAAAGAAAAGAAAAAAAGGTGTTGGTACGTGGATCTCTTAGTGTCTCCGAATGGAAGTAACACATACTTATCATATTCTGTGATACTTTTTGTGACAAGAAACAAGACATAAATTCACTCTTTTTGGAATTATAGCCGGTGAAATGACTTCATCACATAAATATAGAATGAGTAAAAGAAAATAATTTCAGTAGTGATTAATATCTTAATAATTTGTGAATATTTTAGTTATGTATCGCTATGTAAATAAACGTATCCTTTCTTCCGTTAATTTGTTACCCTTTTCCCTTGTTTTAAAACAATAGTTTAATAATAATAGCAATAATAATTACGCGGGGCCATTATTATTATTACCTTGATGGAAAAACAAAAAATATGTCATTATTATTCATTTAATTTTAATGTTACTGTTGTTGTGATTTTTTGCAGTTTCTTTCTTTGTTCTCTTCTTCTTTTGTCTACTGTTTTGCTTAGTAACGCATTCCGTAAAAGTTGATGATGTCTCAACTGGTGACGGTTCATATTCTAAATCTTCATCATCAGTTGCTCGATAGAGAAAAGGAAAGTCGATATTTGGCCAAGCACAGCACTAACTGAAAAAAAATTATGGCTGACTCTCATCTTCGATAGTATCGGGATTATCAAAATAACAAAGCGTAATATTGATAGCGGTAAAAAATAAAAAGAACAAGGAATACCGAGATATCGCTTAATGAGAAAATGATTCACAGAAATTCAAGTAGAAATCCAAATTTAACTAAACGCTTAGTTGTTCAATACATGACCATATGTAAACGTTACATACATATATGTATGTATCTCTGTGTGCACATAGTATCCACACTGTTTCTCTTGGGGCCCCCACACCATTAATTCTCTTTGCGGGACAATCTGAGGATTGAAATTAAAAAAAATGGGACAGTGGTACAATTTCTTGTACGAGTATTCACTGTCCTGCACTACTAAAATATAGTACCCATAAGCCCGTTGTCATTTAATCTTTCTTGCTTTTTGGCCATTGATGCGAGAAAAAGTGAATAAAATTTGATTATATTCAATGGGAGAGCCAGAAAAACGAAGAAGAAGGTTAATTCTCCGTACACGGAAAATGCGTGATATTTGGGAAAAAAACAGAAAGAGTGAAAACTTTATTTAAATTATTCCCATCTGTCCTTATTTTCTTTTTGATTATTATTATTATTGTTGTCGTTGTTGTTGGCTTTGGGACAAAAGAAAAGCTTAAGCATAATGTACAACTTTTTGTGGTGTTCTTCGGGAATTTAGTAATGTAAAATCAGACAGCCATTCGTGTAACTAAAAGAATAGTAAACTTTTTTTTGTTGGCCACTTTACGAGTTCAGTCCCCTAAAAAAAATTCATGCTTTTTCTTTTTTCTTTGTCATCATTAGAAATTTGGGCCAGATCGTTTTGCTTGGTTTTACCATATACCTTGGCACTTTTTTTTGCTGTTTAACATTTTGAGGAGTGAAAAAACTAAAAACTAAAATGTAATTTTTCTCCTTAAAGGTTATTTTTCCATATTAATAGTTACTTCTACTACGTAATGGCGATGTCATCGAGGTGTAAGGTTGTTAAAATTCTGTGTTTTTACATGTTTTAGTTTACGAATAATAGTAATTTTGGCTCCTCGAATGGCGCTATCACGTTTTATTATTTACAGAAAAATTCGTAGAAAGTGAATAATATTAATTTGGCATTTTACTTTAAAATTTTATATTTTTTTAACATTTTTGTCCCTCTTTCACCCCGCAATAATTTTGTACAACATTTACTTATTTAGGATAACAAATATTGAATAGATCAACTACAAAAATATCCATTTTTTTTTCAATAAGAGTGCTACATACAAGTCTCCTTTTAGCATAATGTAGAAGTATGTCTATATTCTCTATTCGATTATTGTTGGACGTTATAAAGAAATGGGTGAACTTAATTTTAATGATATCACTATAATTGCAACACTTGTTAAGAAACCTAATTAATTATGCTAATTAAAGATATATATAAAGTGTAGCAAATATGAGTTTTTTCCTCGAGGTTGACTTACTTTAACAAAGGAAAGAATGTGCTACTATCGATGATATAACTATTTATTTATTTGTTCAATTATTTTTCTTTGTTTATCTCTCATCTATTTCAAATTACACTTCGTACTCCTCTTGATATATTATTTGTTTGCGATGACTAAAAAACGTGATCGAATATATTTCTGTTTCTCTTCTCCTCCCTCGACTGGAAGGCAAAGCAATTTTTTAATGTCAAGAAAGTCTCAGTTCCCTTAATTTGTTCGAAGATAGAAGTTATATAAAATTAATTTCAATATTATTGTGGTTTCTTTGTGTGTGTGAGGGGGGTGAATTTGTAACAGTATGTAGAGCAAAACAAATAATAATATTATTATTAATTTTAGTATCGGTGTTAATCAGATGAAATTAATAATCAAGATTGAAAAAATAGTGTTACTCTAACTTACTGGGCAAAGATATAAAGTGCTGTAATATATCCTGCATGTAACCTACCCATTCAGGTATTCTGAATAGGGAGAGGAATTCTTTTTTTTGTTGTTCCTATTCGGAATACACAAGATACTACAAAGAAGTTTATATTATTTGATGATTCTTTGATATATTCATTTTATTATTGAATAAAAGATCACCTTAAACATATGAATTGTTTAATATATATATTTAACACGTACCGCATTCTTGAATAAGGATGAAACAAATACTAGAAATTGCAATAGGAAGGGACTCCTTCCAAATGTATCTGATCTTATACTTTCTTATATCCGCTCTACGCGTTTAACACGGGAATTCAGAATTGAATTATTATACCCCTGTCATATTTAACTTTTCTGCAATAAAAATATTTGTTATTGTTTATGATTGTCTAATATCTTCCCGCCCTCGAGGTTTTTCTCAATCTCGAAGTTCCCCGTGGTTCGCATATTACGGCATTAATATCGAGATGTCAGTTTTAGATGCCAACATAAATGTGCATTGAATGTTTCGTTACCTCATCGAATCTTGATTAAATGAAGAGAGGTATCAAGGATGTTGTCCTTGGCTCCCTTACAGGTCGATATCAAAGACTCCATGACAATTCGAATATGTAGAAATTCCGTTTTATCCTATCTGCTCAATACAGGTTCTTCTTTGTATCTTTTCGTGTCACAAAATTTATTCAAAAAAAAAAATTCCTAGTGATTTAATAATGTACGTGAAATTGTGTTTTTCGCGGCTGCAGTTAAATTATGACATTAACAATAGAAAGCCAAAAAAAAAAGATATTTACTATGCGATGAACACCGCAAGACTACTGAAGAAAGAAAAAAAATTTTCAATACAAACTTTGTTGCTGGTTCATTTTCATATTACAGATGAGCTTGATTTCTTTATTTACTACATAGTAGTCCCTTATTTTTAATTGGAATTTGAAACAGTCTTTAGCTTGATTAAATAATTCAAATATAATTTTGCTTTTTTTCATTAATTATCTATCAAAAAGAAGAGATTTGAATTTATTGACCTCTAGTATCGCCATCCTTATTATTACACATCTTTCTTCAATTATTTTTCTTTATTGATATGCCTTTGATTTTACTATCTGGTTTTCCATCTAGTGGTAAGACTACCACGGCAGAAAGATTAGTTACATTATTACAAGAACAAATCGATAATACACCAGTATTGCAACAGAAACATTATTCGATAGTATTACATAGTGATGAATCTCTTGGGATAACGCATGATGATTATAAAACATCTCAAGATGAAAGAAAATTAAGATCAAGGATTACCTCTGCTGTAAGAAGAGATTTAAGTAAAAATAAAATCGTTATTGTAGATTCATTAAATTATATTAAAGGTTTTAGATATCAATTGCATTGTGAAGTGAAAAATATTGGAACTTCATTTTGTTTAATACAAACTATGTGTCCCGTAGAGACGGTTAAAGAATGGAATATAAAGAATAATTCGCCTTGGGATGAATCTTTATTAATTGAATTAATTCAAAGATATGAGGAACCTAATTCTCAAAATCGTTGGGATTCTCCTTTATTCCCAATTTTTACTCCAACTGATAAAATAGATACATTAATGCCCGAAATCTCTACAATTATCTTTCAATTATCTAAAAATGGTAGTACTACATCACTTAATGATGGTGCTTCGAATGATAGTACAGTAACTGGTCTAGCAAGACCTACTAGTGCTACAGTTTTAAAACCTGCACAAAAATCAAATTATTTACAAATTTTAGACAATGAAACAACACAAGTTGTGAAATTGATCATGGACACAATTAAGTCAAATGAATCGATTGGTGCATCATCACAAGGGGTTAGACTATTAGTAAATGGAACAGATATTGATGAGCCTGGTTGCTATTATATTGATCTACCATTATATAGTTTAACATTACCAAAGTTACAAAGATTAAAAAGACAATTTGTTATGTTGTACAAATTAAGAAGCCTGGAGACAGAAAGAATCGTTCCTTTATTTACTGATTATTTGAATAAACAATTTAACGAATAATCCATTAAAATTTTGAACTAAATTATACTGAAATGTTCAAAAACATGTATATACGTTATATCTATATACATATGCTCCAATAGATAGAATTCAATTGATAAAGAGCAATAAATATTTCAATAGTACCATTGAACCCTGGTGTTACGAGTTTCAACATAAGAAGAGATGGTTTCTGGTTCTTCCACTTTTGCCCTCAGAAGATGGCGCTCGGTAAGCTTTTTCATTTTACAAGGGAGATTTTCGTTTCGAGAAATAAAAAATACATATATATATTACTAAATCATATCATATATAACTAGCGAAAAATAAAAATAAAAGATTAATCCTGCATAACATTTACCATATATTACTAAGTAAAGGACCAACCTTAACAAAATTTCCCAATATATAAAAAAATATGTCCAAATTTATTAAATCAAGTACATCTAAGTACAAATTTGGTGCTCATATGTCAACCGCTGGTGGCGTATCAAATTCTGTAATCAATGCATATAATACAGGTTGTAATTCATTTGCTTTATTCCTTAAATCACCTAGAAAATGGGTATCTCCACAATATACACCTGAGGAGATCGAAAAGTTTAAAAAGTTTGTTAAAGAATATAAATATGATCCAATGACTGATATTTTACCTCATGGTCAATATTTTATTAACTTAGCCAACCCGGATGAAGAAAAAGCACAAAAGAGCTATGATTCCTTTATCGATGATCTTAAGAGATGTGAGTCTTTAGGTATTGGTCTTTACAATTTACATCCTGGCTCGTCGTTGAAAGGTGATCACCCAACACAATTAAAACAATTAGCATCTTATTTAAATAAAGCCATTAAGGAGACAGAATTCGTGACTATTTTACTTGAAAATATGGCTGGAACTGGGAATCTAGTGGGTAGTAATTTAGAAGATTTACATACAGTTATAGACCTTATTGATGACAAGTCAAGGATAGGTGTATGTGTCGATACTTGTCACACTTTTGCAGCAGGTTATGACATCTCTTCGGTGAGTGGACTTGAAAAATTTTGGGATAATTTTGATAAAACTGTTGGTTTAAAATATCTAAAAGCAATGCATTTGAATGATTCTAAAGCTCCTCTTGGTGCTAACAGAGATCTTCACGAGAAATTAGGCGAAGGGTATTTAACGTTAAAATTTTTCCATGTTTTAGCAACACATTTTGATTTCTTACAAAAGATACCTATTGTGTTAGAGACACCTCAAGATAATGACAATGGATATGGTGAAGAAATTAAATTATTGGAATGGTTAGAGACTATCCCAATAGATTCAAAACTTGATGATAATAAAGAATTTACAGACAAATATACAAACTTACAAAAAAACGGTTCCAAAAGTAGAAAGGAACAAATGACCAAGTTTGAAGCCAAACAGAAAAAACCAAAGAGACAAGCTGGAACTGATATTATGAGTCAAATGAAAAAGAAGGTTAAAAAATGAGAATTTTCAAGTGTATAATACATGATATTGGTTCCTTGTTTCAAACATGCATCAATGTATGACTATATATATATATCTATGACTTGTATATTCTAAGTATGGAAAATAACAGTGAATTCTTATTAAGTATGAAACACTTAAAAACTATCTCCGCTTTTTTTGTCTTTGTAGATTCCCCCAAACAGCATATTTGATCATCTGTAGTTTTGTATATTCATTAGAAACATATACATACATATGTATATATATATGAATGGCTGGGCTTATTATTACGGTAATCCGTAAAATTGTATGCTGACTTTTCGCTTCAAAAAAAAATACGTAAGATGTATAACAAGCTGTGCGTAAATCATTAAAAATAGATGAATCCATTGTCTTTTCAAATAAAGACGACACCACTTGCATATATATCAACTAGCAAAATTCTCGACACTCTCGATTCGGATTTTAGCTACTATATTATATATTCTAAGTAGTTTTTTGAACTGTTCTTTTCCTTTTTTTTTTGTCTAGAACGTCGTTTCCAAATGAATGTTGTATTATAAAACTTGAAATACTCACTCATTGTTTATTTAGAATCGCCGAGTTCATCTATTTAATACTACATCTTTTTTTGAAAACAGGAAGCCATAGAAAAGTTAGAAGCTTCAACATTTAATACTTTTAATAGCAACAGAACATATAATTAATATAATCATTGAAAAATGAAACCTCCAGAAAGCCATAGTAACAATAACCCTAAGACACCAAAATTAAGTCAAGAAGAGTTTGGACTTCCACCAAACATATTTCAAAATTCAAATGCACCAGCTATTGATTTGACAGATACTGTCAACACTGATCCTGTAAAAAACTCACAACAGGAGACTGAGCCAACAACAGTGAAGACTCCGTTGACTTTGAATATACCTACTTTCGACACAATTAATGCATTACCTACTCCTATGACATATACACCACTATCACCAAATCTGTTATCTTCAATGTCTCCAACTATTCAAATGCAACAACAACCATTTCAACAGTTAAATATAAAGAAGAGACGCAATAACAATAATCTGAATAATATAAATGGAATAAATACTTTTAAGTCACACTTTAACGAAATACGGAATTCAAAGGAATTAGATCAAGTCAAGAATATTGCAGCTTCTAATCGTGTTGTATCAGAATTAATTCCGCCCCCAACACTATCACCCCAACGTATAGTTTCTCTTCCTACGGTTAATGAAGAAGAGATCACATTCGATAATGAAGAGAGAACAAAGTTAGAAAACGAACAAAATGAGTTTTCTAATGAAGAAATTATTTTAAACGGTTATTTACTCAAGGATATGTCTCATGTAAGACAATGGAAAAAAATTAAGCATATTGGAACAGGTAATTTCAGTTTTGTGACATTATATGAGTCCTTAGACGAATTTGATAAATATTATCATCAAGTGGCGGTAAAGAAAATAAAGTACCCAAATAACATTTTAAACACAACTGATGACACATTATCTAGATTAGAGAGTTCACTAACAAGGGAATTAAGTGTTCTTAAAACATTAGATCACCCTTGCGTAGTAAAACTCTACGGTATTAACAACCCTATTTTCATTGAACAGAAGAGACCACTGACAACTTTACTTCAGGAGGGACACGCAAGTATTCCATCCTGTGAATTTATCATGTCTTATTGTAATGGTGGTGATCTCCTGAAGGAATTGACAGAATGTCAAGGTAACGTTCCAAGATGGTTAATTCAAAGATTGTATGGTGAATTGGTACTGGCAGTCAAGTATTTACATGAAAATCTAATTATTCACAGAGATTTAAAGTTAGAAAATATATTATTAAGGTATACTCTCGATGAAATAATCGGTATGAGAAATACTGCAAGTTATTATGAACAGAATATGATCGAATTAGGTGATTTTGGATTGTGTAAGAAAATTGAAAATGGAGAACTTTGTACCGCACGTTGTGGTTCGGAAGATTATGTGTCACCCGAAATATTGATGGGTATACCGTATAATGGTAATTTAACAGATACATGGGCATTAGGTGTTATATTATATGCTCTTCTGGAAGATCGATTACCCTTTGATGCACCACCCAATGCTAATCAACGACAACGAAATAGACCCGTTGCTCATAGAATAGCCAGGTTTGAATGGCGATGGAGCAAAACGTTGGATGAAGTTGGTCTTGATTCGGCCAAAGATATTGTTAAGAATACATTAACAAGGAAGAATCAGCGGTGGAACATTCAACAGATGTATGATTCCGACTATATAAAGGAGGTTGTCGGGACTTTGAAATTTTGAATATGTTTTTTTCTCATAATGCAGTCTGCTAAATTCCATGTTTTACAAACAAATCTTAATCTCTCTCTTTGCATAATGCATCACAATTTTAATTACTAATTCAAGTACTCTTTGTATTTATATTTGTATAATCGTAATGAACATTTAATGGTACATGTTTCATACGAAATTATGTCACTTTTGTTTTTTTGTTTACATGATATTTAATTTTTGAAAAGTTTTGAGAAATTTCAAAGCATTAAAATTATTTTCAAGATATTAATTTTTTTTGTAGTTTTGCGTAAACTCAACTAAATAAGAAAAAACACATCTTAATTCAAAGAAAAGTAATATTGATAGTAACTTGTTAGCGATAAGTCAGCAAGTAAGTTTACTTAGTTCTTGCATTCTTTTTTATTATACTTGAGTTCAAAAACGGACTAAATTTTCGTTGATGTTTAAATTACTGAGCTGAAGATTCTAAGGGTATATAGTATAAGCTATTCGCACGAGTATAATAATTAATGATCAGGAACACTAATATTAACATTAATTAAATAACACATAGAATGTTGTGTGCAATTGTTATACTTGAATAGGCTTACACGGCGATACTTTGAATAAGAAGTTCATGAATGTGAAGGTAAACAACTACGCCATTAAATTCGTAATATATAAAGACATAGGTATGAAATACATAATTTGTATATTAAGTAATACTTTCCGAAATATATTAAGAAGAATTATCTGTAGAATATCTGAATAATAAAAATAAAAATGAATGAGAATTAAAATATAATCAATGCTCAACAAGATAGAAACTTGGAATCCTATCATAAATAATCTTTTCTTTCACTTTCGTGGACATCACTGTAAGTCTCTTAAATCGTTGGTACAGGATCCGAGGAAAAAGAACTTCTGTAAATTAAAATTTTAAAACAGTTACATTTCTTATTTTCTCTATAAGAAATTCCTATAGAAGATTATTTTAAGCTTGTTCCAGTTTTGACATTTAAGTAAAGATATTTTTGACTATCAATGGTTTCCATTAGCTATGATGTTAATGTACTAAATAATAATATACTAAATATAAAACATATAAATACATTTGAAAATTTGGCAAGAAAAGGAATTTAAATGAAAAAAACACATTCGAAACATAGTTTCTCTATTTATCTTCTGATTCTTTTTCTTCATCCTCTTCTTCGTCTTCTGCTGTAGACAAGTTAGCCTTTTTATTTAGCAAGTCTCTCATTGCTGGGTCTTTCATCATCTCTTCAAAGTCAATACCACCAGCACCGTTACCAGAAGCGTTAGCAACGCCATCATTTAGAGCGCCACCCATACCACCCATACTGCTCATCAATTGACTTATATCAAAGTTTCCACCTGGGCCGCCCATGCCACCCATACCAGGCATACCAGGCATACCTGCCATACCTGGGCCACCCATACCGGCACCCATATTGGCACCAGAGAAGTCAATACCATTGTTGTCTGCGTCCACTTCATCTTGTTCGTCTTCGTCAACCCACTTATCGAAGTCAGTCTTGATGTATTGGTATTTAACCTTTTCTTTAGTTAGACGTGGCCAGTATTCAAGACCTAAATCCTTCTTATAGATCTTTAGGAAGTAATGTTGACCGTTAGCAATTTTGTGAAGGGTCTTATCTGGAATAATTTCTTTGAAGAAATCAATGTGAAGTTTGTATTTATTTGCAGTTTCATTACCAACGTGACCTTTTGAATTGGCGGTAAGTTCAAAATAAGTTGGTTCGATCTTTAGAACTGGTTCTGAACAATCAGTAATACCAATGGTAATTAAAAGATAGTTCTTTTCTTCATCTTTTTCATCTGATCTTTGAGCCCATTTAACTTCTGGGACTAGCACTTTACCTTCAGTAGACATGACGAGATATTTTTTTCAAGGATTTTTCTGTAATGGATATACGTACGTAATATAAACAATTGAAATCAATTAAAACCTCAATTAATCTCAAAATGTTGCTGTTACTTATCTTTAGAATGAATACTAACTCCTGTTTATATATACTTTGGCCACCGATTCTCTCGATTCTCCCCTTGACACTTTCAATTTTCCCACCGAACGCTTTTTCAATTTCAGAGCCCTCCTCCGTCGAAGGTCATTGAGGTGTAGAAGCTTTAAGAAGAAAATAGAACTATCGACAATAAGTTAATTTTTTCTGTGAGGAGAAGATAGTTGAGGTAGGAACTCGAGTATTTAAGCAACTGTAGCTACATGATATACGTGCACATATAAATCGAACTGGTCTAAAATCAAGACAAAAAGATTCTAACTTAGTTTTTATGAATAGTGCGTAAGCACAAAAAGTGTCAGACCTTCCTCTAGTGGAGAGCAAATGTCAATAAAAATAGTCTGATATTAACGTATTTAACAGCTTACTAGATTACATTTTTTAAAATTCTTGAAACGAAGTACAAGGTCAATATCGTAAGAAACAGGAACAGTAATTCTAAATGTTTTACCACTTCACCTACTATTACAATGTCTGCATGCATAACGCATACTAAACAAAGACAACCAAATAATAGTCACGAAAGTTGTCGAAGATTAGTACAGCATATAATATGGAATATACCAATTGTGTAGAACAGTCTTATTTAAATATTCTTTGTTTTGATAGAGATTTTTCATCTATAGGAAGTACTTATAGGTTGGGCGCTTCCAAGTAATTAATATTGTTATGTAGTTTCTCAATTTCTCAATTTTAAAAGAGTTTTGGGAGGAAGCAGGTATCGAAGTTGTTAACAAGAACGTTAAAAACATCGAATATACATCTATTAGACAAAAACAACTAAAACAAAGAGGAGACTATTAAAAAAATATGAGATGGAAAAAAAAATAATGGACGAGTTGGGAATCGAACCCAAGACCTCTCCCATGCTAAGGGAGCGCGCTACCAACTACGCCACACGCCCAGTTATTCGTTACAAAACAATTCTCTTTCAGCATATTTATAGTTAGAAGTTGTCCGGGTAACCTCTTTATATGCATTGCTTTGTTGGCAGAATTCGCCATCAAATTTGTAGGTAAACACATGAAATGAATATATATTTGAAATAGCATACTCTGAATATGATGAGTGCCTTGATGGGTAACCATCGAAGCGTTTGTATAATATTGTGAATATATTTTAAACTTTTTTGCAATGGTAGAATGTAGTGGTGTGGAGTTTTCAAAAGTTAGTCGTTAAAAGCAACACTATGATATAAGAATTAGATAAGAAAGAAATATTCGTCGAAAGTTGGGTTGACTTTTGTGTTTCACAACGGTTCAAGGATGGTTATTCGAATGCAACATTCTATGGGCAATGAAACATATTAATACAACGCAATCAGTTCTTTAGCGTCAACACTCTTATGCTATTTGAACTTATAACTAAACTCACCCTAAGAATATCCTTAATTAACCTCAGTTATAGGGACAGCGGGAAATAGTTTGTCGGTAAAGAAAATAAAAACATTATCAAGTTATTATTTTTGCTACTTTTGTTACTTTCATTAATTCACTTTACAATGTACTTATCCCCAGGTTTAATATTCTGTACAAAATATCAATTAGGCTAAATAGTTTGATATCTACATTGATTGCTATTCCCAGCCATCTATGACCAATTCTGAATGGAAAATATACATAATTATTTATGAATATAGAATAAATCAAAGAAAATACCCCTAATAAGGTAAGTCAACTTACAAAAATACGATAGAAATACCTGGCTAACGATAGGGTTTTTTAAACTGCACGTATTACGAAGTATGTTCACTCCAAATGGCAGAACTTACCAAAGGTGCACACTAATAATTTTTACAAAAAGGAATGGTCTTAGCACATATTTATCCCCACCAGTTTAGTAAAAGATAAACTTTGTACCTTATTAATTTCATACATATCGAATTGTTGCTCGTTGCGGAAAGGTATGAATTGACAATTGATGTGTTATTGATCTTTTTGGAAACCTTAAAATAACTGCCATCAGTTCTAAGTTTATCATTAATATAACATATAAGCTACCTATAAAGGTTAAAGGTTTTGTATCGTAACCTCCTCATTTATTCCTAGGTGTGTGCTGCTCAAAGTTTCTGAGCTAGCAATTTGTTCGAAGAACTAAGTATAATACTTTCAACTAAACATCTATTGCTTTCTACATTTGTGGTGTATACAATCCTTATCTTTGAATTAGTATTTTTCCATTATTTTGATATCCAATATCTACTTTATACCATCGAATTCCCTACTATAAGGTAGTTGCTGTCACTTAGTGTTGTACTTGAATAAGGAAGCACCCGGTGGGACGAAGCTCTCCCAACATAAAAATTAAGACCATCTCATTTTTCTGCTTGTTACAGATAATCCAAGATATTCGCATTCTACGCCCTGTTTTGTAATTTGATTCTTTTATTAGAGACTGTATCGTTGGGTTGAATACCTTTTCTAAGTCATCTCTTCTATTTTTTCAATTGTAACCTAGGCGATGGCAGCTGCCTGAGTAAATCAGTCAAAAAAAACAACAGCCAATATTTAAAAGACTTTACGCTGAAAACTTATGAGTTCTCTAAATTGGCACTACTACCATTTAAGGACATTAACACACTTCCATTATTGGAAAACAAAAAGACTAATATCCACTAATTTACTCTAACGATGTTTGAAATAAAACTAAACAAATGCCTAAAGACAGAACTAGAAAAACTTTCCTCAGAAGCTACAATAACCCAACAACAAAACCAAAGTTTCTCAAAGGATGAGATCAGTCGATACATTAAACATGACAGTATACCAATGTCTTCCTTACTTAGTATATATAATCTCTACTGGAAGGATAATACAGGCGTAACTATTAAAGAATTACTCACTCCATTAAGCTTTAAGTTCAAAGAAAAACGTAAACGTGGTGAGGGTTATTCAAAAGAATTCAAAGAGCAATTAGAGAAACTTCGACTAGTTCAGCAGGAGAATGATTATCAAAGGTTGGTTAGTCGGGAAAAGGAAACCAACAGCTTGGTTCATGTCAAAGAAGGCGACGAATTGGATCTTTCTCCAGCTCAAATTAATAAACAAATAAAAGAACAGGTGACTACGATTTTTAATATTCTTTTAAGTGTGCTCTCAGTTATCTTTGCTATATGGTACTGGACTGGGACTTCGATGAGAATAGATATTCCATACAGAATTCTGTTGTGCCTCTTTTTTGGCATTTTAGTGCTAGTTGCAGAGGTTGTTGTATATAATAGTTACTTAAACAAAATTGACGATGCTAGGAAGAAAGAAAGAAGTAAAGTAGAGAAAAAGAAAGTAATTAAAACATTGTAGTTTGAATGATAGAATTCTATATCTTTATATATGCATATCTAAAAAAAAAATGAAAGGTCAGGATAATAATTTGAAGTACGAGACAATAAAAGAGTATAATGAAAATCATAATAATTTGTTACATTTCATATTCAATAACCCCACTCTTTAAGAATATCGGAAAAGCTTATGTGCCTGTGTTATAATATTTTTAGAATTTGTAAATGTTTATTTTTAATGCATTAAAACTCTAGATTCCACTGAATGTACCAATTTCATAGTCTGTTCAAGGAATGTTAAAGTTAAAATGGTATGGGGAGCAATTCTAAATACTTGCGCTTCGAAACCTTTATATAATGCACTAATACCTTCTATTTTGACAGTTTTAACTAAACAATCTATCGGTCCCTTATATTTGTTTGTCTTTTGATTATATATTCTCGTTAGGATAACATCCCATGGATTCATCACAACTGCAACACCAAGACCCGCAACAGCACTAGATGTTAAATGTAATGCGGGACTATCTGACATAATATGATTTCTTAGAAGACCATGTTTTACGATATTATAGATAGGCAACTGAACTGCAGAACCTGATGCTGTTCTAATAATTGCTGCATCTACACCACGAAACAAACCAATTACACCTTCTGTCTTAAAAATTGTTCGTAACCCATTCCATACACCAGTATAATGTGTCTGATCACCGAGTGCTACAGCTTTAGAAAAGGATTGCATTCTAGTCTTAATCAAAAATAAGGGTGATCCCACAACGGCACCGATGATACCGGAGGATGCACCTGAAACCACATTAATAGGAACATTTTGAATTTTATGAGATGGACTTTCTGGATAAAATGTTTTATTTAGAATATTTCTAATCGGTTCATAGAAACCCAGTCTTGAACCGTTCAGACCAATTTGATATACATACGCAGCAATTAAACCACGTTGACAACCTCTGATCCCTTCATTTCTGAATATTACACTTATACCTTGAATAGGGTTTTTATAGATATTTTGTGAGACTGCCGACATTTCACCTTGTAATTGCATTCTAGTCTTAACAACTTCAATTGGGTTTGTAAACGTAACTGCAAGACATGCAGCCATACCACCTGCAGTAAATGAGCCAACTTTGCTAACTTTTTGAGCAGCAGTCTTCTTAAGGGGAGCCTTTTCATGTTTTTTTTGTTCTGACATTCTTCTATTGTAAGCTTGTATTATGTAAATCTACTTTATTTCTTTAACTTTCTTTATGTGTTAACGAATATTAATCTAGGGGTCACTACTATATAAAAGAAATGAAGATTCGTCTCTTAAATGTTGACAAAAGAAATAAAATTCATTAGATTCTTTTGTTTACACAGTTATCTACATTTATATATATATGTTTGTTGCACGAAATGACTTCTAGGACGAATAAGATGGTCAGATTTTAATCGTACTATACACTTACCCTTTTCTTGCACGCCATCTTCTTAGAAGAAGCATCAATCTACACATGAAATTGCTCGATGATTCATCGATTATCAAATATTTTTCAATTAAAATAAATGAGGGACCGGATTGTGATTTGATTTTCTTTCTTTTTCGGAAGATGTCAAACTGTACAGAGAGCGGTACCGGTGCATGTTTCTTCTGTTTCTTGAGCTTGCCACATTTTTTCAACCTTTAACTCATCATCACCTGTGAAAGTAGGGTGAATAACATAATAATATATAGTCAGATAGTGGATCCAGTTGGAAGTTGACAATAGAGTGATATTCTAACTAAACTCCAATAGGAACATTCTAATAATAATAAGGGATAAAAGATAAGAAGTATGTAAAATGGCTATATCTCATTATTATTATGCATTTTTATTTTGTTACTTTTTTTTATATATGAAAGGAAGGTACAAACATAGATATGTAAATGACTATAATTATCGGAAATTGTTAAGGGTAGTACCACAATCAACACATGAATAGTTGTTTTCTCTTTGTAACCCCATACTACTTGAGTATTGCGTAAAATTTGTACCATTACAGACATTACATCTTAATGATAATGCAGACAAGTTTGCGACTATGTTTCTACCAGTACCACTTTCTTTGGTATTCATATTTGAGTTTGAAGAACTGGTACTCTTTGCGTGTCTTCTAGATGATGAGTTTCCCATCAGTCTTCCGATACTTGAGGCAGATATATTATTTCTTGAACTTTTATACACTCCGTTATGTCCACTGGTTGGTTGAACATTGTTAATTATATGCCCATTTGGTGTTGTCAATATGTCACATTCCCCAGTAGGTAGTATATCTGCACTAGATGTAGGGGTTACTTCATCAGATCCCGATACTAGACTTGATTCAGTCTTGCTATTAGGTTCTTTCTTCATAGTCACGGAAGAGTCTGCTCTATTTGAATTATTGAAACAATTCATCGATTTAGGATGTCCATGACTATTAGCGTTAACGTTAATATCTTCGTAATATTGTCTTAGATCATTTAAGACCTTACTCCTTATCTTTGTTGGGATATCTGTTCTAAAAACTCTTATCGTGCCTTGATTATCTGTTGTAATCAAAATTGTTCCTATAGCCTTTACAACTTCTGCTGTATTTCCTGCGGATGATATAATAGATTGCTCGCTCGAGGCCATCTTATTGTCTCGAATTGTATTCAATGTTAATTCACAAATAAAATCATTAGAAAGTGATAGCACCTTTGAAGTTTCAACTGGAGCAACAAGAGATGTCGTCACTGGCGCATGGTGAGCATGGAAACAACTATATTTTGAGTTTTTAATTACACTATGATGTAGACGATGATGAGACTGTGCTAAATTTCTTATGGAATTCAAAATTTTGGAACGTCTCCGTACTCTGTTTTTATTTGGTGGAGATAATGATGCCTCTATTTTCTCATCTTCCTCATGATCCAACATATCTTCACTTAGATCCTCAGACCCCGTTGATGATAATGATGATATATCTAGATGTGAATCATGATTTTTATCAATCGTTGACCCCGATTGAGATCCTTCCTTCTCCATGGTGTTCTCATCCCTAGTTTTCAATGTCCAACCATATAACCAATGGTCGTCACTACTACATAGAACAGTTGATTCTCCATTATTATCAAGATAAAACGCTTGATGTTGAGATGAACCACTTTGGAATCCTTTTAAGAATTCTACCAACTTTCGTTTTTCAATATCGAATACACGAATCCTTGAATCATTACTTGTTATTAATAAAACTAAAGGTTCCTTTATTCCACCAACTATTTGGATTCCAGTAATACGTGGACCACTTATATGTTTTGAAGATGAAGGCAACTTTGCGTCGTTCTTTCCTATTTCTTTATCCGACACATGGAATGCCAATACAGGTGTTAGGCCCTTTGTTAACAGGACATGAATAAACCCATTGAAAGTACCAATGATCGTGTATTTCCCATCAAATTTCGATATTTCAATTGATGTTATAAGATCTTGACAATCATATTCGTAACTTACTTCGTTATCAATAATCGACCAAAGTCTACATTTATGATCTAGACAACCAGTAACAAAAAACCTATCATCAGTTGGATGAAATTTTGCACCTGTAACGAAATCTGCATGATGAAATGTTCTTAAAGATTCTTTCCTCTCTAAATGCCATAATTTGACAGTTTTATCCATTGATGCTGTCAAGAGAAAATTATTTTTGGACCAATCTAGATCCAAGACATCAAATGTATGTTCTTTAAAGATTTTATATGGAGTGTGGTGAAATACAGGCGCATATAAATTAGTAGAATCGCTGTTATTATTATGATGTTCAAAAGTATTATTTTCAAAGTCGGTAATATTCTCTCCCATTTTCCCATTGTTTAATTGATTAAAAGTAGATGATGCAGCCATTTGTTTCATTCGTAACATTTTTTTTGCTCTTGATTTTTTTTTGTATTCATCCATATTATCCATTTCCCATCGTTCAACAGGGGAACTAATAACTTTCAAAATCTTTACTGTTCCATCTTTACTTCCAACGGCCATATATTTCCCATCCAAACTAAACTGTATTTTCCAAATTGCTCTCTTCAAAGAATCCGAATTAGACACATTCGACGATACGGAGCCTCTACCCCTGCTTCTTGTCTTTTTCATCGAATTGTTATTCATTTTAGGATCAAATGAAAATTCATGTTCATCCGAAGTATCCTTTAACTCTTGAGCTAAAAACAATCTATTGAATATATTAAAATCAAGTTTTCTTGGTAAACATCTAATATAACTAGGTTTTTCTAAATATTCTTCGAACTGTTCTTTATCAATATTACCAAAATTCCAAGGCATACTATTTGAATTATTTTGAAAACGATTACCATTAGTCATTAAACCATTTGAATCAGAACTACCATTAGTTAGTCTTTGAATCTGCTTCCTAATTTGTTCCAATGAGTCAAGATATTCTCTGGGTGTATCCTTTGATTCCGCTTCAGGTTCAGGTTCAGGTTCAGGTTCAGGTTCAGGAGTTCTCTTCATTTTAAATGTTAACGGTTGAATATCAGCTGAGTATTCAGTCTCGTTATCTTTATCATCTTGTAAATCGATAGAATATCTTGATATATCATCGTTCCCTTGAATAAATGAATTAGATGCGCTATTTTGATTTTTATCTTTCTTATTTTTAGAACCACCTCTTTTATTTAATTTACTCCCATTAAACAATATATCAGGTATACTAGACACCTTTGACATAGGAGAACTAGGTTGATCTTTCAACATGCTCGAAGCGTTTCACAAAGAATAAGGATACTACTCTATTGTGACTTTGCCAAAAACAAACCAAAAAAAGGTAATAATCGATTTCAATCTCAATTTTAAAAACAAAGACAACAACAACAACAACAACGAAAACAAAAGAGAGTATAAGTTTGTTAATTAATATACTTTGTATCCTTTATTGTCTTCTTGAAAACAAATATCGGTTTAACTAAGCCTTAGTAAAATAGCCGAATAGTTTGTTTCAACTATTCCGAACGTTAAAAATAGAGAGAACAAAGGAGACAACTTTGAAAATTATCTTATTAAACAGAAAAACCCCAGAATGAAAAAAAAATATTATCCTCTACTTCAAGCAAAATTTACTCATTCATTTTTATGCAATTCTAAATACTCTTTACTGTCCCACTTCAACATTATATATCTGTAAAATGGTACTATGAATGAATGTAGTCTTACAATGCAGATTACAAAATAAATGCACCCAAGCTCTATATACTTTAAATAGTTTTTTTTATACATGTATCAGGTAAATAGAATAACGACCACTCTATCACCAAGAAAGAATACTCCTCCCTCCAATTTCCTTTAGATCTCAGTTTCAAAAACTTTGAAATGTTACAATTAGCTACATCACCAAACCACTGACAAGAAAAGGACAACTCCTTCTCTTTCCCTAACTAATTTGATTTTTTAATGCATCAGATAATGAAATATGTGCACATACCCAAATCAAACTCTGAAGGACATCGACAATAGTCACTAATTGAACTTATTAACCTTTGAATCATAGATATATACGTGGTGTATGGGGTCCCCCATTCCTTCGTTCTCTTAATCATCGCCCCCGTTTTGTTCGGAAAACAAAACAAAAACAAAAAATTAGGGCAGACATGTTCTACGACCCTAACTTTCGACCCTAGTGTGTCAGGTGACTATTAATTCTCAGTTTTTCATTTTTTGTGAAAAAATTCGTAAAAACGATGAAATTCTTTTTTCCACGTAATGGTGAGCAAGCATTTAAAAGCAAACGAACAAGAGAACACCTAAGAAAGACAGCCTTTATTCTCTGGAAAGAGAGCGCAGCAAAACACAGAGTAGCATATATTCGTAATTAATTATTGAAGTAGTATCCTAAAGGTTATCAATTGTTTAATAGTTGCGGCCACCACTAAGGAATAAGGAATTCTACTATATAATAAACAATCTCAACTAAGAGTAGGTGAATTAAGATCTATACACCAAAAATTATGTCAATTAAACCATTAGATTCATACATTAAGAATAGTGTACGCGTCTTCGAAGCAAACCCTTCAGAGACAATCTTTACAATAACGTATAAACCTCTACAAGAGAGTAATAATAATAATGACGATAATAATAAAAAAAATAAGAAGAAGAGTGGACCATCTGTAACATTTAAGACTCATAATAATCACCTTGATACAAATTATAAGTTCGCAACAAATAAGAGTAAGGATGTATCACGTCTTTTGAATGCTTTAGGTCCAAGAGGTGTCTCTATAATTCCAAGTAAAATTGAAAGACAAGCTATGAGAAAGAAAACTACAACAATTATTAAAGACGGTAATAATATTACTAAAAAGACTAAACGGACTAAAAAGTCAAAGATTGTTGATACAATTGGTATAAGTAGTTTAATTGTCAATTCAAAGGTTAAAGAATATAAACCAGAACAGAAGTTACAATCATCTACAACAAATAATGATAAAAAGAAAGGTAATAAAAAAAATAAAAATAAGAAGAAGCGTTAATAATATATAGAAAATACAAAACAAAAACAACAATAAATATGTAATTCCTTCTCTCTGGAATTATAAGCATAAATATACGATAATGATATAAAATATAACTATCTAGAAATTAATAATATAGCATTAATTATTTATAATAAACGCACACAAACTATAAAAAGTTGCCTATTAATGAAAGTAGAACTTCCAGTTTTCCTTATTCATTTTCTTCAAGTGAATCAAATATATGCATGAACTAATATACGACAATAAAAAAATTACGTATATACCTATAGGTATGTATATGAATAAATAAATAAATAAATTAATAAATAAGTGTCTCATTGAAATTTGCTCTCCTGTTACAGAAGAAAAATCGAAGGAAAAACATATTATTTTCTACCTCTTCCTTTCTTCTTCTTAGATTTCTTATTTTTCTTCTTTGGTTTCTTCTCATGACCATTTCTCTCTTCTACAACAATGGAATCAATATTTGGAATATCTTGATTGATAGCTGAACTTGAAGATAATAGCCCAGTTTCTTCATCAATATCCGACAAGGGCCTGTTATGATACCCATATTCGTTATCGTTATCATAATCGTTATGTACCCTATCATAGGTTGACGATATTCTTTCATAACTCTCCAAAGAATGACTCGTCCCTGGTAAAGAATTATTGTTTGAACCAGGAATTTGAGGAACATAGGAACCCTTTGGATATGCAGGTGGGAGTTCTTCTCCCTTTTGTAAGATAGTATCCTTTTTAGCTTCATTGCCATTATAAGATGGCGGAATACCAATTTCACCATATATACTATTAAATGCATATTTTTTAACATTAGCCTCAATAAATACAAATCCAAGCTGACCAAGGTTAACTTGTAACTCAACTTCGTCACTCTCAATTGCATCTCGTTCATTATGTGGATTGTGAACTCTTTGCAATTTTTCTGGTAATTCCACCTGCCCATTTTCAGATAATGAACTACGAAGTTCTACGTTATCTGGATCTTCTAATAAACCATCGGTTGTGTATGTTCTAGTATATGATGCATTGAAGGAACCCACACAAGGAAATAAATCTACATCAACATCCTCAGTGACATCCATCAATTTTTTACCATTATGCGTTATAAATATGGTCCCAGATTTATATTTATAACCAAACCCTACAACATCACCTTCCTCTAATTTTGGTAATAAAGTTGATGCTTCAAATGGATTATTTATTCTCAGTTTACCAGTTGATTCATATGCAATTGAAAATTTGGACATACCTGGAATTCTAAAATATGGATATGGAACAGTACTTAGACCTATACTGAATATACTATTAGAATCAACCATATGTTTGTACACTTTTGCTTCGAAATATACTGCATCTTTTTTATTATATGGTAATGGATAATTCAGTACTGTGGAGGCACTTTGATTATATTTTGTAAATAAAATATCCAATTTATCTTGTATTATAAAACTTGGCAAGAAATTACCAATTTTATCAATGTTATCATTTATACTAGGTAGAAAGAAAAACGCTTGTATACCCCTATCTTTAATAAAAGTTGTATCACTGGGTTTTAAATAACTGCCAAATTCATCTGTTAATGGAGGACATAATTCTTGTAATTCCTTTGCACGCATGTATAATTCTATTTCAAATGGTGACATTTTCTGGAAGGCCTCCTTTTCTAATGCTGCTAATTTTCCGGGATCATCTAGTTCAGTGGGACTAGTGAAGTCGGATCCTAATAGGATATTAGAATGCTTACCCGTAAACAATCTTCTAAATGGTCTATTTAGGTTTCTTATTCTATTTCCATTCACCCCATTTGCCCTTTCTTCATCATAATCAGATTCATCACCACCACAGAAAGTTACATACGTAGCTATAATCAAAAGCATGACCATCAATACTGCAAAAGTTACAGATAATGATATTAGGAAAGCTATGCTTATTGTTTCCGTATCCGAGTCCCCCGGGGGAGGAGTAGGGAGATTAGATTCATATGGTATCGTAGGATCAACTGCCATAACTTGTTGATCACTTGGCAGTATGTGCGTTATCATCTTCGTGGATGCCGCCGTTATAGGAATAAACATATTGCCAAAACGTGCTTTAGAGGTATTGATTTAGATGTTGAAATAAAAACTAATTATCTCTCAATTTTTTTCTTTTTTTTATAATGATTTAATTATAAATATAATGCAGGAACAAACATGTATATATATACCTTTTCTATCTAGCTATACATTTACTGTAATATCTTTTTACTAAATCAGAACTTATTTTAAAGTATTAATATTAAAAAATCTTATTGAAGACATTCGATTGGTAAGTTGTTGTGGGAGAACATTTCCCTCCATGAAAGGTTTATTTATTATATTTTTTCTGTTCTTCTTATTTTCTTTCAGGAAGCCGAATTGCGCGATACAGCCTTACATTTAGTTTTCACCCTTTCCCTGAAAATTTATTAGTCGAAGAGAAACTTTAATACACTATTTTCTCTAGAACTTTTAATTAAGTAAATGTCAAGTTAAATGATTAATTCTAATATTAGAAATGCAGTAATTATCTATATTTAAATAAATTTTAAATGTATATAAGAGTAGTTTTTTTGGCAGGGGGGTATGCTTCTTAATCGTCAGATTCGTCACTTTCATAGTCTCCAGAGACATCACTCCATTCGATATAATATCCTTGTACCATTTTCTTGTAGTTCTTTAGGAATAATGGATCGAATGGAAAGTAACTTTGTAAATCGATGAATTGTTGTCTTGTTGCTAATGACCAAGTAGAATTAGCTGCTCTCAGAGCTGGTGAACTTTCTTTCTTCCCCGTTGAATTATCAACTGTAGCTTTCCCCATTATACCTCTTAACCTTTCATTGTTATTATTTTCAATTATGCTAAAACAATATGCAATATCTTCATGTTGTGTTATTCTAGCAAACATTAACATTACATTCTCATTACAATATTTTAATGGATTAAATTTAGAAATGATCATTCTTTGGAAAAATTTATCAAGGTCACATTCCCATGAACCATCAACATCACGAAACAGGTTACGTCTAAAACAAAAAATATAACATAAGGATTGGAATGCAGCATAAAAATGTTTAAATCTATCCATCCCACCGATTTCATCTACTTCTGATTCTCGTTCGATTACGTACCTGTTTAACCAAGATGTAAGATAACTTGCGACAAATATAATCTGCGTTCTAGATAATTTTCTTGCACGAGCTATATATGAACCCAGATATTGTAACGATTTGACTTTTTTCTCTGATGTTTCATTAGGTGAGAATGAAATATCAATTAATGTGACTAAAAATGAATCCATAAGTTCAGGTTGTTGTTGTGATAACATAAACATAACATATTGAATAGATTTTGTAAAATATGTTGGTAAAACATGTGTTTTGAATAATGTGGTTAAAATGTTGAACACAACAACACCATCACCAGATTCCATATTCTCTGGTGTTAGTTCTTTAGCAATTGAACTACTTAGTAAAGTTAAAATAGAATCAATCTTTGTTGTCAAATCCTTTATATTCAGCGATATTTCTTTAACGTATTCTTCGTCATCTTCCAGCGCATTCTCTTCCTCAGAATCGGATTCACTACCATTATCATCATGGTTAGCAGAGATATCGTTATTTGTATCATCATCATCTTCATCATCAACACCAACGTCGTCATCTTCATCTTCATCTTCAAGGCCATCCTCCACATCATCATCCATCTCATCTAATTCATTTTGTAATTCTACATCTAAGGAAATAATCTTTTCAATAATCAAGGACCAAACTTGGAATCTTAATTCTTTACAATATGTTGTCAATTGCAATAAGTTTGATATATAATTAACCAAATTTGCTGTGGAGTCATTTTTATTTGGGAAAAATTTAGCAAGGTATGAATCCATGAAACTCATAGACGATGGTATCATCCGGAGAAAATATTGTAATAATGTATGGTGTGCTTTACAAGTTTCAGGTGATAATGTGAAACTTGTTATTAAAGTCATTGCTATATCTTGCCACCATTTAGGGACACTAGAACATAAAATTTTAATGAATGCACAATATTTGTTTAAAGTAACAGTAGGGAGTTCCCACCATTTTTCAAAATTAATAATGGATTGAATTAAATGATTTGCTCTTGACCTCTCTACTCTATTTACGTCACCCGAAAGAGCATCTAAAAGGACATTCATATTCTGTGGGTTCAGTCTCTCTGGGTTTTTAGCAGGTAATGATAGTCTATTAGCAATTTCATTAATCTTCGTATTGTTCCTGTTATCTAAATCATCTAAACCGGATTTGATAAATCTACCAAACATAGCAATAGTAAACTCATCTATGTCCTGATTTTCTGTTGTTGAAGGGACTGTATGCAAGGTAATTTCATTAGAGAACTGTACTTTTCTCTTTTTGGTATCCGTAGGAGATTGTATATCTTGAGATACTCTCTTGTTATTGTTTTCAAATGCCATCATCTTGATAAATGAGGGATGTGATTAAACAAAATGCAATGTAGGATAAAATAATATTAGTGAACTCAAAGGTATTAACAAGTTCAACTAACCAGGTGTTTAGAAAAAAAATCTATGAAACTAGGATAAAGTTGGAGAATAAAAATAAAACACAATGAGGATAAAGGGCGTCTATATTACCTCATAAAATTAGATAATAAAGATCAAAACTGTATGCAAAAGTTTAGCTGACACAGAGAATAACGAGCTAGCGAAGGCCTATCCTTTGATCTTAGAACAAGGAGTGTGATAAATGTCTTTCTAAATCTTATATAATAATAATAGGAACTTTGTTATATTTTTTTTAGAAGCCCTATATGTATACAATATCTCTATAAATACTACCGAATATAAGCGATAATATCCTCAGGTTGTCTATACTGTAGTGTATTTTGTGGTTAAATTGCACTTAAAATATGCTCTATACTTCAATTGAGATGACCTAATATATAGTATTTAGCTCATCAAAAAAAAAGTTTTTTTTCCTTCTTTTTGAAAATTTTCAAGTGGGTGTCAAAGGAAAATACGCAGCGGCTTTGTCTTGACCCTGAAGAAAAGAGAGATGAGGATGAGGATGTCTGGATGTATACACTCAGCAATAACAATAAGTACTTCCAATTACACAGTTATAATAGAAGTGATGATATATTTCAATTGATAATTTCTTAAATGTAATGATGGGATTATATGAATAAATACAAATGTAAATATATAGATTATCTGATACTCCTTCCTTGGACCATACTTGAACCTAATTGCTCGTTACCGACGTAAGTCCAGCCACCGAATTGTTTCTGAACACTCTCACTCAGGTATTCATCTACAACACTGTCCACTGGTTTCTCCTTTGTGAATTCCTGATCAAAATTACTGGTATCAGCTGCATTACTTACATGTGGTTTATATGGTGGAATGTAGCCCTTCATCCATAAACGTTTCCAGGATAATTGACTGAAGAATGGATGATTCTTGATTTCATCAGCACCATTACGACCAAGTCTTCTTGAAGGGTCTCTACTTAGTAAGCCAATCAATAAGTCCTTTGCATCTCTATCAAATCCATCAGGGAACCTTAGAGGTTCTTGTAGGATCTTCTTATACATCTTTGGCACATCTTCATCATAATAAGGAGGTAAACCTGTCAACATTTCATATAACAAGACACCCAAAGTCCACCAGTCCACCACTTTAGAATAACCTTGGCCCAATAGTAATTCTGGGGCCAAATATTCCGGTGTACCACAGAATGTGTCGGTCTTATCTTCATCCTTCATGTTCAATTTGCATAAACCGAAATCACATAGGGCGATATGACCTTGGTAATCCAGCAAAATATTTTCTGGTTTCAAATCACGATAAATTACATCCAAATCATGTAATGTCTCTAATGCACATAATAATTCAGCTGTATAGAATCTAGAACGAGATAAATCAAATCTCCCTTCTTTTTGTAAATGGTAAAATAATTCACCACCATTGATGAAAGCCAATACAAAATATAATTTCTCTGGAGATTGGAAAGAAAATTTTAATGGAACAATAAATGGACAATCTACTCTTGCTAGCACAGTTCTTTCAGCCAATGTATGTGTTACTTCCGATTTCGACACAATATAAGATTTTCTAATTGCCTTTAGAGCATATATTTTTTGAGTATCCTTCTTTCTCACTTGCATAACTTTACCAAACGATCCCTTCCCAATCACTTTCAATAAATCGAAATCATCAATAGTTATTGGTTTATTCTTGGAAGGTTTATAATCAACACTCAAATTAATTTTACCAAATCCATTATCTAAAGTGACCCAGTGATGATTATATAATCTGATATTAGCAGCAGAATCAATTTGCAAATTAATTGGTAAATGGAATGTATCCAAATGTATATCCTCATTTCTATTAATCTTTTCTAACATACCTTTTAATTTTTCATCAGATGCACTCATCTTTTGTTGCCATGTTCTTGAAGGTAACAATATAGATGGAATTCTTGCAAAGACATCGATTTTCAAAAAAGTTAATTTTCTGGTAACATCGAATGTAGAGATCTTATTGAAGATAGGTTGTTCCATAGTACCATATTCTGGCTCAATTGTAGCCACTGTATTATCGAATTCAATAGTGAAATATAATAATGGATTTAATTTATTTGAGCCTGGTAATAAAATTGTGGCAGGTATAAACTTTGAAGAAATTTCATCTGGTATCAAAGATTCATCTCCTGGACCTTGATTATTGATAGTAACACGAGACAACTGTGCAATTAACTGATCAACATTCACAGCATTAGGTTGAGAAGAATGCTGTTCCACGTGAGCTACCCCAGAATTTAACAACTTTGATAAAATCTGATTATTAGCTGTAATCGGGAATGGTAAATTGAAACCATCACCGTTATACACTTTGATAGTCATGACACCACTGGTGGATGTTGATGTGTTTGGTACAGGTTGAGAACCTGTAAAATCTTGATGTTGGTCAACATTTTCATTGATTTCAGGTCCACTATTGCTAAATTGACTTAACTCATCGGACAAATTAGTTGTCGATGTGGCTGTCGATGAAGCATCTCTCGAAGAGCGCATTGGAGCAATCACAGAAGGTGAATCAGTAGTGATTGTCTCCTTACGAGACATATCAGAATTTTTATGAGATGATGCCTCTTCTTGCTTATTCTCATTGTGATGGAAAAATCCAGATGTATGCTTAACTTCCTTCTCCTCCTTAGACTTCCCAAACTTGAACTTATTCTTCCAGGAATACATATCTGTGTAAAATTGTACTTAACCCTTTGTGTATATGCTTATCTAATCTAAATTAAATGAAAACAAACAAACTAACAAATCAAAAAGATCCTGATAAATAAATAAATATATGTATGTATATTTAGATCCGTAATATTTTGAGAATGGTTTTCAATAATTATTAACTCTTATACCGTACCACTAAGAGTCTCTGAAAGTAGTATATTTCTTCGAGATAATAGATGACCTAATTATCACTCTTTATTCTTGTTTTTTTTTGCTTTTACTAATATCTTGTTATCATAATAAATAATAATGCGCTTCACTGGGGCAACTTTTTACCTTTCACTACGCTCGCGTTAAAATGTTTCTCAGCTATTAAAAGCAGTTATCACACACATAGGAGAGAAAAAGAGAGAGAGAGAAAAGGGGCACAGTTGTATTAACTCCTATCAAGAAAGAAACGGAAAGAATCAAAGTAGATTATGATGATCTTCTTGGTTCGTAAACTTTTAAAAGGTTTCCTTCAATCGGTTTAATGTTAAAAGTAGCAATTAATTAAAATTAGTTAATTATATCAAACGTATATATGCATATGCATAATCTATATAAAAAGGCATTAGAAAGAAAATAAATTTCCTTATGTACGGACAGTTGGTTCTTCAGTTCCAATTAATTCTTTGAATTTTAAGAATTGTACAACTGGCTTAATAACACTTTGTAAGAAAACTTGTGCATCTTGTTGATAAGTGGATTTATCATCAGAATATTGTTCAATATATAGTCTGATGGTAGCACCGGAAGAACCTGTCCCCGAAAGTCTTACAACGACTCTGGCACCGTTAGATAATTTAAAGAATAAACCTTGATGATCTGATACTGAACCATCTAAATCAGTGTAAGAGAAATCACCTGCTTCAGAAACAGTAACACCTGGTAAACCTGGGAAAGCAGAACCAACTGATTTTTTATCTTCAACAAAATCATTTAATAAATTAACAACTTTAGAAGCATCTTCTGAGCTAACACCTTCATAATCATAACGAGTGAAAAATGTTCTACCATATTTCTCCCAAAATTCATTTTGAATAGTTTTAATTGAAGCTAATTTTTCTGGATGATGTTTATTATAAATTGCTAAGACATTTAACCAAGCAACAATAGCCCAAAGACCATCTTTTTCTCTAATATGGTTTGAACCAGTACCAAAGGATTCTTCACCACAAATGGAAAGTTTCTTTGCGTCAAATAAAGCACAGAAGAATTTCCAACCTGTTGGAACTTCGTAACATTCTAAACCATGAGCTTTAGCAACTCTATCAATAGCAGCAGAAGTTGGGAAAGAACGAGCAAGACCATAAATACCTTGTTTAGCAAAATATGGAATTTCTGCGGCATATTCAGCAATAATTGCAACAGAATCACCTGGTGAAACAAAAGCTGGACCAGCACCATAAATCATATTTCTGTCACCATCACCATCAGAAGCTGCACCGAATTGAATCTTTTCACGATCAACTCTATCGACTAAAGTTTTAGCATAAGTTAAATTTGGATCTGGGTGTAATCCACCAAAATCTGGTTGTGGATGCCAATTTTGTAAAACTTCATCAGCTGGTAAATCAAATTCATTAACGAAGATAGCATGACCATAAGGACCTGTAATACCATTTAATGAATCGAATAGTAATTTAAAATTATTTTGTTCACGTTGTTCATGAATAAATTTTTTAATTAATGGGAAATCAAAAATTTCTTTTAAGAATTTAACATAAGCATCTGTTGTATCAATAATATCAACTAATAAAGGACCATATTTTTGATTATCACCAATTTTAGCTAAATCTAAAGTTGGTAAATTTGAAATAATTTTATAACTAGTTAATTTTTTAGAGACTTCCCAAATTGCATTAGTAACAGATTCAGGGGCTGGACCACCATTAGCTAAGTTATATTTAATACCCATATCATTAGTTGGACCACCTGGATTATGAGAGGCAGTTAAAATAATACCACCAGTGACAGGTTCTTTATAAGATCTAATTACATGAGATGCGGCAGGAGTTGATAATAAACCATTTTGACCAATAATTAATTTTTTTAAACCATTAGCAGCACCAATTGCAGCAATTTTATTTAATACAACATCGTTGTAAAAACGACCGTCACCACCAACAACTAAAGTAGCATCTTTGCTACCTTCTGGAATTGCATCAAGCATAGCTTGAATAAAATTTTCAGTATAATGTGGTTCATTCATAAAAATTGCAGTCTTCTTACGAAGACCTGAAGTACCAGGCTTTTGATCCTGGTAAGGTTTAGTGGCAATAGTTTCAATGGCAAAGGACATACTAATTGTATAAAATGTTTTGATTTAATTTATTATGGTTTGAAACTTAAATTGAAGAAACAAAATCAAATTCAAATCAAATAAAATAAGGGGAGACCTATTGTAGATATTTCACTATTTATATATAATTGGTGAAATGAAACGAATCTCAAATATTTTCACTTTCTGTAAAAAAAAAATCGATTTAAGCAACAATTACTGACTTGAAGGAGTAATCACTGAACAAAAAAATCAATGAAGAAGGGGGGTTGAAGTGGGATAGTTAAAGTTTCTTATTATGTAACTTCTGTAATGCAGGTTGTCGAGAAAATCAATGAAAAATTTCAGAAAAGACAAACAAAATACACAAAAGGAGAACGAGAGCGAGAGAGAGGGAAAGCCGGTCGTTATAGTTTAAAATTTTCTATTGAAAGAGTGTAGGTAGTATTAAGTATAACGTGCGGAGAGGGGCAGAACGAAAACAAACAATCAACAAAAACAAAAAAATAAGGGGAGGGGGTGATTATTGAAAGCTGCAGCGACAGATAATGTGTACAATCAATTAATCGAAGAGAGAGAAAAGTTGTATGAAAAGCGGCTGCTGTGATTATTTTCTTTCAGTTCTGAGTAGGAATCAAGATATGGAGTGGGGGGGGGAAGGTACAGGAGACAGATCCCATGAAGAAAAGGGGTTTCACGAGCAAGAAAGATAGTCGTGTCAGGAAACGTGAATATCTTGTTGACTTATATACATTTTTTTTTAATTATTTTGTAAAGTACTAATTGATCAGAAAAGGGTCGGAAGAGTTGATGGACTTCGACTGTTTTGATTGTTTAGCTAAAGAGCTGCCGGTTAGCGGAAGGGAGCGCTCCGCAAGTCGGAGCGAAGTTGTCCGGTACAAGTATACATTTATATTAATTTTGTAAATTGAATCGGAAGACAGTGGGGATGTGGAGATTTATTGACTATGTCAGCGATTCGATTTAAGATTTGGAATTCTCGGGTGACTAAATATCATGAATGTTACCGTGGAGTAAATGCTTACGCACTCGGTGCTTGTTATTACGTAAATTTTTTGTTTTGTTTTACAAACGATATACACATATACATTGAGTTTGTGCATACCTGCTTAGTTTATATATATATCTGTATATGAATATACTCAAAGTTGATATAATAATATATTAATTGTCTCTATTTTGAAAATACAAAACTGCTCATTGGCAATTTCTCGAGCATATAAGCAATTTATTTTTGCTTTTTTGCGAAATTTAACCGAACCTCTTAATATTAAGTTCCTATGTATATAAGAGAAAGTGAATATCGCGGTGTGTGAAAAAAGATATGTATATAAATATATGTATATTTACGTAACCATTTGATTTTATAAGCTGATATATTTTACGGATTTATACAGATCATACAACAATAGAACAAATCTTTAAAGAAAGAAAAATATGGAATTCGTTGCATTACCAGGATATTTTAGTTCCTTTGAAAAGGAAAATTCTCCTGCACTAGATAGTACATTAGTTGATCACAATGTATTGGTAAATCACGATGATTGGAAAATCTTATATGATTCTATCCCTCAGGATACAGAAAATACTCAATATAAATTATTATTGTTAGCAAGACATGGTCAGGGTTATCATAATTATTCTATGGAAAAATATGGTGTAAAATTATGGGATGATTATTGGTCATTATTAGAAGGTGATGAAGGTGGCTCATGGTTAGATTCAAGACTGACTGATCTTGGTAAACAACAAGTCTCTGAGACAGGCCGTACTGTATTGGTTCCAATAGTAGATCAATTAGGATTTTTACCTCATATTTTCTTTAATTCTCCAATGAGAAGATGTTTAGAGACATTTGCATTTTCATGGAATCATGTCTTTACAAAATATCCTGAATTAGTGACAGATTCAACTATTGTAACGAATAACGTGATTGAAAACCTAAGAGAAAACTTAGGATCTCATACATGTGATAAACGTGTAAATCATTCGGAAGCTGTTGCAGAATATCAAAATTTTAAAACAAAGTCAGGTCATACAGTAGCTTGGAAATACGAAGAAAATTATTCTGAACCAGATGCCTTATGGAAGGCTGATCATAGAGAAACTCCCGATGAAATGGATATTAGAACACGTACGGGTCTAGAACAATTATTTTCACAAGCCAGTTCCAAGGATAAGTTCCTATCATTGACTTGTCATGAGGGTGTCATCAATAGTGTTCTTAGAAATTTGGAACATCCTGGAGTTAAGAAACTACAAACTGGTAAGACTGTCGCTGTGGTTGTCAAAGTCACCACTACTTTATAAATTAACCAATTTTTCCATACTTTAACGTAATACATACATAGATCTATAGATCTCAACTTTTTCTCGAGATATCATATACAAAAACATTCAATCAAATACCAAATTCAATAAGCAGCACTTCAATGTCCGCCCACTCCTATATTATTATATACATACAATATGACATCGCGCGCTTTAATAAGCGATCTGTCAAAAACAAAAGCAAATATTATATAATTTCACCGGTATCGGGCAGTTGCCTACGGTAATTTCCCTGTGCCAGATAATGAGAAACACACACAGTTTTGATTTCTTTCTCCTAATACTCCTCAAAGGGATGAGGAAGAACAAAGTTAGGATGGGTCATCGTTAATCATTTAGCGATCGAGGGAATATTGGGACAGCCACAGTGTAAAGTACCTGGTTTTAAGAGCCATTTCGTTGGGTAAAGTGTTTACTTAATTGTTTTGCAACCGGTTCTCATCAACAGTGAGTCTATCTATATATATATATATAGGTACATATGCATCAATTGAAGATGATACCATAATTAATTATTTCTCTTCTGAGAGAAGAAAGGACAAGCAAGCAAAACCGTATCTTTAGATCCTTTCTAAATCAACTAGTTAGACATGATGAACGTTAGGACAGCCACTAGAGGCTGTGCCAGATATCCACAATATGTCTCATACGCTCAAAGACATGCTCGTAATTTCTACCCTGTTTTACAACGAGCACAACCCATTCAACAACATGTTAACAATAATAATTTCAGTTGTCGTATACGTCTATACACTCAGTCTCATGCTTCTTTGAGCCCTGCCGTGCAAATTAATGAACCACAATTATCTCATAATAAGAAGAATTATCGTACCGAGACACCTTCTGATAATACTTTGGTGGGACTCACTGGTGGTCAAATCTTCCATGAAATGATGATTCGTAATAATGTGGACACGGTATTTGGTTATCCAGGTGGTGCTATATTGCCTGTGTATGATGCCATTCATGAATCAAAAGCATTTAATTTTATCTTACCAAAACATGAACAAGGTGCTGGCCATATGGCAGAAGGTTATGCTAGAGCTTCTGGGAAACCAGGTGTTGTTCTCGTGACCTCTGGTCCAGGTGCTACAAATGTAGTTACTCCCTTAGCAGATGCTCTATCAGACGGTATTCCATTAGTGGTATTCACAGGCCAAGTCGCTACAAGTGCAATTGGTTCCGATGCATTCCAAGAAGCCGACGTTCTGGGGATAACAAGACCTTGCACAAAATGGAATGTCATGGTTAAGAATATAGAAGAATTACCACAACGTATAAATGAAGCCTTTAAAATCGCTACAAGTGGTAGACCAGGCCCCGTATTAGTAGATTTACCAAAGGATGTCACAGCAGGTGTTTTGAGGAAAATTAAAGAAATTAAACCATTGGTACCTGATTTACAAGTTAGCAATACAATTAAAACTCTGGAGAGAGAATATACTTTTGAAAGATTAACTAAAGCTGCAGAATTGATCAATTCTGCTAAAAAACCTGTCTTCTTTGTTGGGGCTGGTATTCTCAACAACCCAGACGGACCAAAATTATTAAAAGAATTGAGTAACAGAGCAAACATACCAGTGATGACCACTCTTCAAGGATTAGGTTCATTTGATCAAGAAGATCCAAAATCATTAGATATGGTTGGGATGCATGGTAGTGCTGTGGCAAATATGGCAATGCAAAATGCAGATCTAATTATTGCTGTTGGTGCCCGATTTGATGATCGTGTCACTGGGAATATTCAAAAATTTGCCCCTGTAGCACGTGAAGCTTCATTGGCAGGTACTGGTGGTATTATTCAATTTGAAATTAATCCTAAAAATATCAACAAAGTTGTTCAAACTGATGTTGCTATTGAAGGTGATGCTGCAACAAATCTAGGAAGAGTATTACCAATGGTATTCCCGATGAAAGAAAGAAAAGAATGGTTTAATGAAATTAAAGCCTGGAAGGAAAAATACCCTTATGACTATATGAAGGAAACTCCAGAATCAAAAATAAAACCACAGACTGTCATATCAAGATTATCCAAGATTGCAAATGCTACCGGTAGAGAAGTTATTGTCACTACTGGTGTCGGACAACATCAAATGTGGACAGCTCAACATTGGACATGGAAAAATCCACGTACTTTTATTACATCAGGTGGCCTGGGTACTATGGGTTACGGCCTACCATCAGCAATTGGTGCTCAAGTAGCAAAACCAAAAGCGTTAGTTATCGATATTGATGGTGATGCCTCTTTCAACATGACTTTGAATGAATTAAGCTCAGCAGTGCAAGCTGGTGTCCCAATTAAGGTACTACTATTGAATAATGAAGAACAAGGTATGGTTACCCAATGGCAATCTCTATTTTATCAGAACCGTTATTCGCATACCCATCAATTGAACCCTAATTTTACAAAACTGGCTGAGGCAATGGGTCTAAAAGCTATGAATGTCTCAAAGTTAGCTGATCTGAATAAAGCTTTAGAGGAATTTGTCTCAACTCCAGGTCCTGTCCTACTTGAAGTTGAAGTGGAGAAGAAGGTACCTGTATTACCAATGGTTCCATCAGGGAAGGGTTTGGATGAATTCATCGGTTTTAATGCAGATGTAGAAAATGAACAAAATAGAATACGTCACGAGCGTACAAATGGTCAATTCTGAAATCGAAGTCTAAAAGATGGACATCAATTCAACAAGGTTGAAAACTTTTCCCATCAACATAGCATAGCATAATATATATTTATTAATAATAACGAACTAATTTTAGAAAACCAATTGACAAAAAAAGAAAAGGAATGATGAACTTTAAGTAATCTTGGATGTTCTAGAAATGTTTAGATGATATGAAGTTGTATTTAGCGTAGTTTAAAATTTATATCGCGTCATACGGAATGAGGCTATTTTCTTCGGAATAGGAGAAGTCGCTTAACTTTTTCGAATTTACAATAGTAATCAACCCTTTGACACACTTTATTACATGTGCAGTTATAAAGCACTTTATCTATATCTGTTTATATTTCATTTATAACTCTTTTATACCGTAGCAAATAATAGGAGATTTCAAATAAAAAACCTTAATTATGGCTATTCTTAAAAGAGGTGCTCGTAATAAGACGGCACAGGCTCCAGAGAAGAGGTCTGCCAAGATTAAGAAAGCTACTTTCGATTCAGGAAAGAAGAAAGAAGTGGGTGTATCAGATCTAACGTTACTTTCGAAAATTTCAGACGATTCCATCAACCAGAATTTAAAAAAGAGATTTGAGAATGGTACTATTTATACTTATATTGGTCATGTGCTGATTAGTGTCAATCCTTTCCGTGATTTAGGTATTTACACTAAAGCTATTATGGACTCTTATGAAGGTAAGAATAGACTTGAAGTCCCACCCCATGTTTTTGCAATTGCTGAATCTATGTATTATAATATGAAGTCATATAACGAAAACCAATGTGTTATTATTTCTGGTGAATCTGGTGCCGGTAAGACTGAAGCAGCCAAGAAGATCATGGAATATATTGCTGAATCATCTACAGGTCATTCAGAATCTATTGGCAAAATTAAAGATATGGTTTTGGCCACTAATCCACTTCTTGAAGCTTTTGGTTGTGCTAAGACATTAAGAAATAATAACTCTTCAAGACATGGTAAATATTTAGAAATTAGATTTAATTCTCAATTCGAACCTTGTGCTGGTAACATTACCAATTACTTATTAGAAAAGCAAAGAGTGGTTAGTCAAATTAAAGGGGAAAGAAATTTCCATATTTTCTACCAATTCAGTAAAGGTGCATCTGAAAATTATAGAAAGATATTTGGTGTACAAAAGCCTGAACAATACGTGTACACTTCTAGATCTGGTTGTACATCCGTTGAAAATATGGATGACGAGGCGGAATTCCAAGAGACCTTAAAGGCAATGAATGTTATTGGTCTATCCCAAGATGAACAAGATCAGATATTTAGAATGTTAGCAGCCATCTTGTGGATTGGTAACATCTCGTTCGAGGAAAACGAAGAGGGTAATGCACAAGTCAGAGATACGTCTGTTACAGATTTTGTTGCTTATCTACTACAAGTTGATGCGCAAATTTTGATTAAAGCTTTAGTCGAAAGAGTCATGGAAACAAGTCACGGTATGAGGAGAGGTTCAGTTTATCATGTTCCATTAAATGTCGTTCAAGCCAATGCAGTAAGAGATGCCCTAGCAAAGGGTATTTACAACAACCTTTTCGATTGGATTGTCGATAGAGTCAATGTATCATTACAAGCATTTTCAGGTGCAGATAAATCTATTGGTATTTTAGATATCTATGGTTTTGAAATTTTTGAACACAATTCTTTCGAACAAATTTGTATTAATTATGTTAATGAAAAATTACAACAAATTTTTATTCAATTAACATTAAAATCCGAACAAGAAACATATGAGAGAGAGAAAATCAAATGGACTCCAATTAAATATTTTGATAATAAGGTCGTTTGTGATTTGATTGAAGCTAGAAGACCACCTGGTATTTTTGCTGCAATGAACGATTCTATCGCAACTGCACATGCTGACTCGAATGCTGCTGATCAAGCTTTTGCGCAACGTCTAAACTTGTTCTCATCCAATCCACATTTCGAATTAAGACAAAATAAGTTTGTTATCAAGCATTATGCTGGTGATGTTACATATGATGTTATAGGTATTACAGATAAGAATAAAGATCAATTACAAAAGGATCTAGTCGAGCTGATGGGTACAACTCAAAATGAATTTGTCAAAGTTATTTTCCCAGATAATGTTGATAGAGAATCGAAGAGAAGACCACCAACTGCTGGTGATAAGATTATCAAAAGTGCTAATGAACTGGTTGAAACTATTTCCAAGGCTCAACCTTCCTACATTAGAACTATCAAACCAAATCAAACCAAATCTCCTAATGATTATGATGACCGTCAAGTTTTACATCAAGTCAAGTATTTAGGTTTACAGGAGAATGTTCGTATCAGAAGAGCAGGTTTTGCTTACAGACAAACATTCGAAAAGTTTGTTGAAAGATTTTATTTATTATCCCCTAAATGTTCATATGCCGGTGATTACACATGGCAAGGTGAAACACTAGATGCGGTCAGACATATTTTGGTGGATGCCTCTATCCCAGAAAAGGAATACCAACTGGGTGTTACATGTGTCTTTATTAAGACACCGGAGACCTTATTTGCCCTTGAACATATGAGAGACAAGTATTGGTACAATATGGCTGCCAGAATCCAAAGAGCTTGGAGGAGATATCTACAAAGAAGAATCGATGCTGCCGTTAAGATCCAACGTGTAATCAGAGAAAGAAAAGGTGGTAACAAGTATGAGAAATTACGTGATTATGGTACCAAATTGTTGAATAACCAAAAAGAAAGAAGATCCATGTCCCTACTTGGTTATAGAGCCTTTATGGGTGATTATTTATCATGTAATGAATCTAAGACAAAAGGTTCGTACATTAAAAGACAAGCGGGAATCAATGATAGAGTTGTATTTTCCATTAAGGGTGAGCAATTACTGACTAAATTCGGGAGATCTGCTCGTAGGATGAGAAAAGTTTTTATTCTTACTTCTAACAAATTCTACATTGTTGGGCAAACCAATGTTAACAACTCTATGAAATACACAGCTGAGTATTCAATTAGTTTGAATCAAATTAAGCAACTAAGTTTAACCAATCTTCAAGATGATTGGTTGGCAATCAACCTATCAAATAGCAGTCAACCAGATCCATTTATCAACACATACTTCAAAACTGAATTGATCACACACATCAAGAAACTGAATTCGAGTGTTCAAATAAAGATCGGTCCTATTATTGAATACCAAAAGAAAGTTGGAAAATTACACAGAATTAAATGCCAAACTTCCGATTCTGCTCCAAAGTATAGTGATCTGTACAAATCTAGTACGATTTCTGTTAGACACGGTAAACCTGCTAATTCTAGATCCAAAAAGAAACCAAGAAACAAGGGGGGTCTAAGTTCTGACAGTACTACGAGACAGTCATACCATACATCTACCAATACTCCTGTAAAACCAGTCTCGAGGGCCGCAACAAAGCAAGCACCGGTTCCACCTTCAACAAATGGTGCCTCACTTGCAGCTACGGCAGCCCAGGCTGCGTACCACCCCAACGGTAAGAGCAAACCGGCACCACCCGCCCCACAAGCATCTCGTAAACCTAGACCAAGCCCTCCAGTTCAAAAGACTCAAAGAAAAGCTGCACCCAAGCCTGCTCCAAAGCCTGCTCCACAACCTCAAGCTACCCAGAAACAAAATGTTATCCCGCCACCACCACCTCCTCCACCTCCAGCTGCTACTCCATCAGAACCAAGATTTGAGGCTGCATACGATTTCCCAGGTTCCGGTGCACCATCAGAATTACCATTAAAGAAGGGTCAAGTGGTTTACATCAGTAGACAAGAACCAAGTGGTTGGTCTCTAGCTAAACTACTCGATGGATCCAAGGAAGGTTGGGTTCCAACTGCATACATGGCTGAGTGTAAAACACCAGCTGCTGGTGGTATCCCAGCAGTCTCATCTATGACTACTACCCCTGTTCAGAATACACAACCTCAGCAACAACAAGTACAGCCTCAACAAGAGGTTCAACCAGCTGCCACCCCACAACCAAGTTTTGCAGATGGTCTAGCCTCTGCTTTGGCAGCTAGAGCAAATAAGGTTAGAGACGAAAGCGATGAAGAAGCTGATGAGGATGATGACTGGTAGTCAAAAGTTGATATTTGGCATCGAGCTACAGACATAAATGCGAAATATTATAAAGGATATTTAAACAAATTCATAATGACTGTATAATATACAAATATACAAAAAAATAATAAATAAATCTAATTAATTAATTAATAATTGAGGAATGTCTGGAATAGAAAACTTTCAGTTAAATCTTCTCAATATATAATCTGACGGTCGTCTTAGCAAACGTTTAACTATACTTAGACACTGATTAATATTAAGAGATCTCTCTTTCTCTTTCGTTTCCGTTTGCAGATACGCGCGGTTTTTTCTCTCTTTACGGTGATGAAATTTTCGAGGTGTCTGAATAGGTAATTAATGATACATTACATAGAAAAGAACAATACTTTGACTAAAAAATATTCATTTAAAAGTAAATAGTAATTTTAATAAATCAAGGTTAAGTTATAAAGTTGCGAATATAGGGTGTATCATATTGCTAGGAAGGAATCCATATATATAAGAAATGTCTAAAGGATTAGTGGACAGTAGCTGGTCAATTGAGAATTTTCAGGTCACCGATGAGATCATTAACTCGTTAGGAAAGATCTTACAGGTATATTCTGACTATTTATCTAGTCATATCCATATTTTAAATAAATTCATTAGCCATATGCGTAGAGTTTCGACTTTAAGATTCGAACGTACTACATTGATCAAATACGTCAAGAAATTAAGATTTTTCAACGACGTGCTTATTGAATATGATTTATCTCAATTACCTAAATATAACGACAACATAGGCGGACTACGAGAGGGAATTAAACCAATTGGAATGTATTTAGAAAAGATCTTGGAAACATTAGACCTAATGAATTTTTATTTGACTCAATCATTACAAAAAGAAATCATCTCCAAAACTTTAAATGAGGACTTAACATTGACTGAATCAAGTATCATAGCGATTGATGACACTTACAATCATTTTGTAAAATATACACAATGGATGATAGAGTCATTAGGAATTAAAAATGAATTATTACAATTGGAAGTTATCAAGTTTGCATTGAAATGTGCCGAGGAAGATGGTACAGACATGGAAGAAACTGAAAATATTTTCTTACATCAAGTTATGCCTGTCAATGACGAATATGAATACGCATCTATTACTGATCAATGGGCATCCGTCTTGGAAGGGAAATTAGATGTGCTGAAGAAAGAGTATAGCATGTTGGCTGAGAAATGGCATGAAAAATTTGGCAAAACCAAGAATTAAACGATACCCCAAAATATACATTTATTATCATCAGCCTCTTTCAACCAAAGAATCTTCACTTTAGAGTGCTTCAAACCACACAAATTATGACGAATGACTTTATAGAATATAATTGTTGAAAAAATCAGTAAAGATACCAGAATTTTACATAAATTCTTATATAATAATAAAAAACATAAAATACCCTTTGAAAAAGCAACTAATATGATGTCTATTCCTAAGGATAATATTTAGAAAATGGGAGCTAAACCTAGTCCTTCTTTGGATTTGCTGTGTCTCAAAAGGACATACTTGAAGATTATTGTTATTTGTTTGCAGAAGAGATTATTAGCTGCTTTTTAAGGCTCATATATAATTGAATATAAGAACTGACACATGACTCTACATCTTAAAGTAATAAACTCATTTCTTTAGTTAGGCTATATATTTTCTTTTCTCGTTTTCATGATTTAGTGCTGCGAAGTTCATCAGTTACTTCGATCTTGATAGAGTCATTGCTGTTTGCCTTCTCAAACCGCCCTGTGCATATCTCAACGTTGCTCGCCTTTATTGAAAAATGCAACAAACTGTGGCAGATGACCTTAACGATAAATATGTTAAGAACACAGTTGATTTTTGTAAGAACTTGAATAGAATACAAATTAAATTATTCAAATTTCAATATCAACCTCTTTATAAATATATACATATACACACACAACCATATACAATGGGTATTCAACTAGGACTATCAAGAATTACCAAACTACTTTCATATGCAGGCAGTCCTCACGAAAAGCTGAAAGTACTTCATGTGGCGGGAACAAATGGGAAAGGTTCAGTCTGTTCTTATCTATCAACATTACTACAGGATACCACCGACCCAAATGTGAAAATTGGAAAATTTACTTCTCCACATCTAGTCGATGTCACTGATTCAATCATGATTAACAATAGACCTATACCCATGCAAGAATATAACTATATCAAAACTCAGATGTCTGCATTGAATGAAAAATATCTATTAAATTGTTCAGAATTCGAATTACTTACATGTATTGCCTTCTCATATTTTCATAAATTAAAGTGTAGTTGGTGTGTTTTGGAAGTTGGTTTAGGTGGAAGAATAGACGCTACCAATGTTGTACCAGGTTTGAAAAAGTACGCTTGTGGTATTACAAAGATTGGTTTGGATCATCAAGGGTTCCTAGGAAACACATTGGCAGAAATTGCATTCGAAAAAGTAGGCATTATCACTAGAGGAACAAAATACGCAGTTGTTGATGGATCCAATGACCAGGCTGTGCTAGATGTTGCGAGAAAGAAATGTGAAGAAGAAAAATGCACATTAATGATAACAGATAGTGCCATTCATGGAAATATGATTAAAACTAATTCGTGGGGTAGTATGAAATTTGATCACTTACCCTTGAACGGAGATTACCAAATTTTTAACTTCAGAGTTGCATTAGCAATATTAGATCATTTACAACAAAGTAATGAATTATCATTAACATCAGAAGATATATATGAAAGATTAGAAAATACAACCTGGCCTGGTAGACTTCAAGATATAGATATACATTACGAAAAGGGTAAAAAAATCAATATATTACTAGATGGTGCTCACAATGGGTGTGCATCGCTCGAATTGGTTAAATACATTAGGAAGATATATGGACAACAACCTTTAACTTTTATAATTGCAGTGACATCTGGTAAGGACTTGGATCCTTTATTTAATCCATTACTAAGACCGATCGATAATGTTATTACCACAAAATTTTCATCTGTAGATGGAATGCCTTGGATTAAAGCAAATGATCCAAATGATCTGGCTAACATAATTAGAGAGAAATATACAACCAACGTAAGAGCTGAACCTAATTTATTAAAGGTTTTCCCAGGGATTCAAAACAATAATACGGAGGAGAATGGAAGACCGATTGTTGTCTGCGGGTCGTTATATCTGTGTGGGGAGATACTAAGGTTAAATGAAAGTACAAGCTCATGAAGGCGAAAACCATATTTTTTTTACAAATTCAGATATATTCTCGTATGTCATTAATATAATATTTATAGAATAAACTTAAAAGTGTCAATTAACAAACAAACATTATTTCTTTCTTTTGGCAATGGTCCGAGCTTCCCTTATAATTTTCGATCCGATATGTAATAATTTTTAAATTTTTTATATTTTGGCATCAAGTTTTACTTTTAATTAAGACCCCAGGTAGACCCTTAAATAAGTTCAAAAGAAAGTATATAATAGAAGCCACAATCATCAATACATCGGTTTCCCCTTCCGATAGCCAAATGGATTTTAGGATTTTTCACTTAACAAGCAGATGGAATTCTTTCAATAGACTTCTGAGAACTAGGAGTTATAGGTTCCAACAAAGCACTTATAAAGGTATAAAACCATTTAGGGGCTTTGTTATTAAATCAAGCATAATACCAGCTGGTAAACAACAAGTCTTTGGATACCTTGGGTTAGGGTTAGTTACCATTGGAATATGGTGGCAGTATTATCCACATAACCCATATCCACCTGGTGTTAGTAAATACCTTCGGAATGCTTCATGGCAAGAAATTAAAACAAAAGATTTTAAAAAGAGTATTCAATTTTATACAGATGCATTAAATGAATGTCTAGCCCTTGGATATGATCCTGTGGATGAAAAGGTAACTGGGATCGAAATTAAAATTGGTGAAATGTTCGAGAAACTTAATATGAAACAAGAGGAAACAGATGTATACCGAAAGTTATTAACAAAGTTATATAATGCAATCAAGCAACCTGATAGTGAATCCAGAGATAAAAAATTGTTAATTAAAAGAGATCTTAGTGTTGCTATTAAAATGGTAGAAAATATGGAAGCAACTGAAGAAGTTAAAAAAAGTATATTAATGAAACATATCAATTTGGTTCAAGATGAGATACTGACTGATTCCCCTGAGTTAGAGGATACTATAAAGAAAACCAATGAATCGTTCTTTGTAGATCTCAAAAACAAAGACTATGATTCTTTAATGGCAAAATTAAATAAATCTTCAAAAGTTTTTGAATCATTTAAGGAAGAATTTATCGTGTCTAGAGATTTATTTACAGAAATTTGCACAAATATCAATGATATAGATAATGCAATACATTCTAAGATGATAACTATTGGATGGATGGCCGTTTTAGGTTTGGATAGAGAAAAAATTTTGATGTCACAAGCAAATCTTGCTTCATTAATGTATATGAAGGCCGAAAACATCGAGAGTCACATATATCACCTTCAAAAAAATAACAATGTCGAAAGGAACCAATTCAATATTAAGAACTTATTAGAAAGATACAACAATATTCTGAACCTCTCTGAAAAATATTACCAAACTGTTCTGGAAAGAAGTAAGTACAGTAGGGTCCACTTTCCCGTCGGTGGGGAAGGAGATATAACTCTTTTACAAGCAAGATTATTATCTATGCATGGGTTGGGTGTTATAAAACTACATAAAGGCGACATACCGTCTGCTAACAAAATACTACTGGAGACAAAAGCCTTGGCAATAAAATATAATTTTATTGACGTTCAAAATGCTTGCGATAATGAACTACAAACTATCGCTAAAATATCGGTATAAATATTCCAAATTCCAAATTATTCTAAATATTCTCTTTAATTCTACAGTATGCAAATAAATAATAAATATATAGATATTTTTATTTTCATCAATCAATGACATTAGCCTGTGTTGTTATTGGTTTTGATGATTATTTCCATATATACAACTTAGCGCAAATGCCGGCTTTTGTTACTGCGGATCCTCCAGCGTAAAAGGGACAACAATTAATAAGAGTCTCTCCATACTATATTTGGATGCATTTGGATACATAATGACTTATCCTGAATTTTATATTAGATTATCAACTTCACATAAGTGTAGCAATTACAATTTAGGAGGAAGAAGAAGGTTTGCTTTAGTAATTTTCAGTCGACTATTGGTACTGGTTTTCTCCCAAGATATTTAGTTTATAGTCACCGAAGCTTCAATGTCGATGCGCCACTTAACCATACCTGTGATATCCAAGCCACAATTCATATTAAAAGGTCTATCAAAAGGTGTCCAGACTCGTTGGATTTCGATATCTCATATTAAACAAAATAATAGCGAACTTTCGTTAAAGAGAATATTTGATGATAACATTTTATGGAAGGACCTAAATAAACAAAATTATCAATATAATGACAAGCTTTCAAATTCAGACACGTATAAAGATAGATTTTTATCTACAATATCAGATTTCTCAAAAGAACGAAATGGTAAAAATGTTGGTTTATTCAATAACCCATATTTAACAGATCCTAAGGGTCTGAAAGAGTTCAGTAAAGCATCACTAAATAACGCTCGAGCATTAACTGAATTAATGAAAACAGATGCATCGAAGGAAGGACTGAAGAATTATATTGTTAATCTAGATAAGCTAAGCGATACACTATGTAGAGTTATCGATCTTTGTGAATTTATTCGTTCTGCACATCCTGATGAACGTTTCGTGAAAGCAGCTCAATTATGTCATGAGCAGATGTTTGAGTTTATGAATGTATTAAATACGGATGTTAAATTATATGATAGACTTAAGAAGGTTTTAACTGATGAAACTATTTTAGGAACATTATCAAAAGAAGAAATTAAGGTGGGCGGCATACTTTTAGAAGATTTTGAAAAATCTGGGATTTGTATGACGTCAGAGATAAGAGACAAATTTATATCACTTTCTCAAGATATCAGCCTTATAGGACAAGATTTTATCAATAATACCGGTGTCGCCAGAGAAACATATACAATTGTTAATGCGAAAGAATTGGAGAGTTGTAATATTCCTGTTTTCATATTAGATAAATTGAAAAGGGATCTAACTGGCAAACATTACAAAATTCCAACTTATGGTGCCATCCCATTTGCTATTTTAAGAGCAGCTACTAGCGAAAAGATTAGAGAACAAATATGGACCTCATTACACAGTTGTCCTGACGATCAGATTACTCGTTTAACTCATTTAATTAAGTTAAGGTCTATCTTAGCAAACCTGATGGGAAAATCAAGTTTCGCAGAGTATCAATTAGATGGGAAAATGGCAAAGACCCCACAAGGTGTTAAAAACTTTATCGGATCATTGGTAGAATCTACAAGACCTTTAGCTGCAAATGAACTTCAATTTATTTCAGATATGAAATGTGAAGAAATGCATACACAACCATCGAGGGACCCCCACAATGTTTTAGATAATGTACGCCCTTGGGATAGAGATTATTTCAGTTGGTTGTCAAAACAAAATATTACAAAGACGGAAGGTATCGTCGAAGATGAACCAATTTCTACTTACTTCACATTAGGCGGTGTCTTAGAAGGTCTCTCAGAAATTTTCCGTAGCGCATATGGTTTAGAATTAAAACCAGTGGTACCGCAACTTGGGGAAACTTGGTCTGCAGAAGTTCGAAGAATTAACGTTGTGTCAGAAACGGATGGAACTGTTGGTGTTATATACTGTGATTTATTTGAAAGGATCGGAAAGACTCAAAATCCTGCTCATTTCACAGTTTGTTGTTCAAGACAGACATATGCAAAAGAAAATGATGAGTCAATAATGCAAATTGGTGTAGATCCAAAGGGTGTAAGATATCAGCTACCAATAATATCACTAGTTTGCAATTTCTCTAAGACCAGCATATCATCTGATAAAAACATATGCCTCTTACAATTAAATGAAATTGAAACATTATTCCATGAGATGGGGCATGCTATTCATTCTATGCTGGGTAGAACTAGATTACAGAATATTAGTGGTACACGTTGCCCTACCGATTTTGTTGAGTTACCTAGTATCTTAATGGAACATTTTGCTAGAGATCCGCGAGTATTAAGAAACATAGGGATCCATTATATAACGGGTAAAACCATCCCAGAAGAATTACTTGTAAAACATTTGGAAGATAATAAATTTTTACAGAATTGCGAAACTTTTGCGCAAGCAAAGATGGCAATGCTAGATCAAGAACTACATGGAGCTAATATTATACAGAATATCAATACTGTGAATGTTGTTAAGATCTATCAAGATTTAGAACGCCAAATGGGTGTCTTAGTGGATGACAAAAGTAACTGGTGTGGAAGATTCGGACACTTATATGGTTATGGTGCTACGTATTACAGTTATTTGCTAGATAGGGCCATTGCATCAAAAGTATGGGAAAAGCTATTTTCGAAAGATCCATACAGTAGAGTAGGTGGCGCCCAATTCAGAGACAAAGTATTGAAATGGGGTGGCCTTAAGGACCCATGGGCCTGTATTACAGACGTATTAGAACAACCCACACTTATAAAAGGTGATTCTGAAGCCATGAAGTACTTCGGGAACACACAAGACCTATAAATAGATAATTAGCATGTAAATATAACATAAAAAACTGAGCTTAACTATTGGTAAGTTATTGGTATTATAGTGGGTAATTACTGAAAAAGAAAGGTTACCCAGCCGTTCTAAAAATATTTTATTTTCTTTTTCACGATGAAACATTCGCACAAACCTTGAGTCGATGAAAAATTGATTTAAACAAAAAGTGCGAAAATGTAATCTCGCTCAGTGGCACAGAGCAAACAGAACGTTAACCATGTGAGTTGACCATTCATGGACCTGGTAGATTATCTATCAGATGCAAAATGTAAAGCGAAATTTAGGACACATGAACGGGACCTTTCATGAAGAGCAACAAAATTCACCATCAGTGGTTGAAGAAAGAACGAATTCGAGTTTTGAGTGATATACATAATATCCGTCACGTTTGTTCAACACTAACTTAATTTAAGGAAAGGACCATTCACTTATATACTTTCAGTCCGATTAGATTTAAGATTTTGAAAATAGTATGGCTCCACTGGATAAAAAAATTAAGAAGTTCTTGAAGAATTCAATTAGGGTTGCACCTAAGATTTCTGACAAAGGTGAACTAGCAGAATTGAGAACAGGCCTAGTATCACAATATCCACAGACTCGTAAAGATGCAATCAAACAGACTATTAAACAAATGACGCTTGGGAAGGATGTATCTACGTTATTTCCCGATGTGCTAAAAAATATCGCAACAAATGATATAGAACAAAAGAAATTGGTATATCTTTATGTGATGAATTACGCTGAAATACATCCAGAACTATGCATACTAGTTGTGAATACTTTTGTTACAGATGCACAAGACCCTAATCCGTTGATTCGTTGTATGGCTATTAGAACTATGTCTATGATTCGTGTGGATAAAATTTTGGAGTATATCGAAACGCCTTTACGTAAGACACTTCAAGATGATAACCCATACGTTAGGAAAACAGCTGTGATATGTGTTGCCAAATTATTCCAATTGAATAAAGAGTTATGTATTGAACTTGGTGTCCTTGAAGATCTGTCTAATGCTTTAGGTGATGAGAATCCAATGGTGATTGCTAATGCAATTGCATCCTTGGCAGAAATATACAATTTAGATGAATCAGCTGTTCCATTACCCACATTAATTCAATCTCATGTTGATCAGTTTTTGAATGCGTTAAATGAATGTACAGAATGGGCTAGAGTTACCATATTAACTGCATTGTCAGAATATCGTGCTGCAGACTCTTTAGAGGCTCAAAACATTATAGATAGAGTAACCGCACACTTACAACATGTTAACCCAGCTGTTGTCTTAGCCACCATTAAAGTCATAATTAAAAACCTTGGTATTATTGATGGAGGTCAAAAGAGTGATCTTATCATGAAAAAAATTTCTTCAGCATTGATTTCTCTTATGTCAACTCCACCTGAATTACAATATGTTGCTTTAAAAAATATAAGAATAATCCTAGAGAAATACCCTGAAATACTGACGAAAGAATTGAGAATTTTTTACATTAAATTTAACGATCCTTTATATGTTAAATTAGAAAAAGTTGAAATTTTGATTAGATTGGTAGATCCATCAAATTTGAAACAGTGTACATTGCTATTAAATGAATTAAAGGAATACTCCATGGAATTTGATCCAGAATTCGTCTCTCGTTGCATCTTAGGTCTTTCTCAATTAGGTATCAAATACTCTGATGAAAGATTTATACAGAAAGTTTTAGATATACTAGTAGAATTACTTGAATCAGGTCAGGATTCCATCAAGGATGATTGCTGTATTGCTATGTGCAACTTATTAAGACATTGTCCAACTAATGCATCTATGAGTAAAAATATTTGTTCTATATTGAATTCATGGGTTTCACCTGTAACCTTATTACAACAAGACACGGCGAAGTGTAATTACATATGGCTAATGGGTGAATATCCCCAATATTTCTCAACTTTAAACGATAAGATTGATGAATTTGTTGAAAATTTTAGCGCCGAAAGTACATTAACACAAACTTCATTATTAATAACGGTGGTAAAATTACATAATTCATTAAAAGGTAGTGTACTACAAACTGTACTCGAGGCAGCTACACATGAAACGTCAGAGATAGATGTAAGAGATATGGCGATGATATATTGGAGATGTTTATCGATTGATGATTCTTCTGCGCTAGTGTCACAACTATGTAACTTACATGCTCCTGTAATCAACAGTACGATTGACTCATTTACACCAGAAGTACTAGAAAAATTGTTGAGCCAATTAGGAACAATAAGTTCAGTATATTTTAAACCAATGGATGATTCTATGCGTAAACAACTGCAACATCAAAACGTAATCAAAGGTAAACACTTTGATGAGCTACAGAGTCTTGCCAAAAATGAATTGGAAAGTAAAAATAATGATGATATTTTATTAGATTTTGATTCAGAGTCGGTGAACCAAAATACATCGGCCCAAACACAAAACAACAACTTACTAAGTGATCTTGACGATCTATTCGACTTCGGTGCAACAGCTACACCAAACAACAATTCTACACCTGGAACGGTGACCGAAGGTATGAAAAATCTGTCCTTAAACAACGATGCCTCTAAATCGAATACAACTAGTTCTAATACCGAAGATTTATTAAATCTATTTTAATGGAACAAGAACTAGACACTCTCACCCTTTCGCGTCTGATGAAATACCTAAACATATTATATTGCACTCTTCAAAAACAATTAAAAGTAAAATACACAATTATTTGTGAAATGTTAAATGATATGAACATTTATTGTAATGATGAACTTCACAAAATGTAATATTTAAGATAGTACTAGGAAAGTACCAGATATTCATTTAACTTATGTATATATATATATTGTATTTACAGTTTCCCTCTTTTTTTTTAAAAGAGGAATCATATAGAAATAAACTACCAGAGTTTAGTAATTTTCATGTTTTTATTTATTATTATTGTTATTATTATTATTATTCTGATTAATAATCTTTCAATTGAAGTATTGCCATACCATTATTTAGCGTTTGCCTTTGTCTCATTCAACTGTTTTTCTAGTTTAGCAATCTTTGTAAGAACGATCAAATCTCTCTCATTATCCAGATTCTTATCAGTCTGAAATGCAATAATACAATCTTTCATTTTATCACGTTGCTGTTCACAAGCAGGAAATACTTTAATACCATGGGCCTTCGCACAGTCTGCCATTGCTTTAACAAATTCATTACATGATTTATAAGCTGAATCTTTCAAATTAGCACGAGCTTTCTTCTCCTCCTGGGGTGATAAGGCCCATATTGGTAACCTTGAACCGGAGCTTTGTCCCTTAGCTTCTGTTGACATTTGAGATGCGATGTGAATATTTGCGTTAATGGGGAATATCTATAAATTGAATAGCAAGACAGGAAAAGACGGAATATCTATCTAGTTGAACTATGATCAATTACCATTCAGTGTCCTTCAAAGTCCAATTACGTTAAATCTACTGGTGTTTTCGGGGGCTTCAAAAGTTCTCGAACTCGGTCTTCTTTTTAATCTATTTCGTCTTCAAATCTGCAAGCGAACCAAAAGCAAAAAAGCAAAAATTATACATTCAACTCAAATATTGTAATTAATCGAAAGGAGAACAGAAAATATCTAGGATAAGTTAGTGATATATCTCTTTATAATAACAAAGAATACTATAATTACTGTTTCATTGTGATATAGAAACAATAAAAGGGAATAGATACTTCACAGGGATACATTTTTTATTAAATTTTATAAATCCAAATCACACTATTCATACAGTTTCGATGTTCGGTGCATTCAAATCAACAAACACATTACTTGGAGGTCTACTTTGGAAGATTCCATGGAGATTGTCGGCACCTCAAAAGAGAAGACAAAGACAAAGACTGAGAGATGTAGATAATGTGATCAAACAACTGACATTAGGTTTGCATGTCATGAGGTCTCAAGCAAAGGGACTAACTTTTGAAGAAAGTTTGGTCGCTAAGAAGATGTACAAACCAAGAAGTGAAGCAATGCGACTAATTAATAAACCTTCATTTTTTCCTAAGGAAAACCAGATGTCTAGTAAAGATAAATATACTGTATTTAGCAAAAAGGACAATGGTTATAGAAAGGGAGTACATAAAGTACCAAAATGGACAAAACTATCCCTAAGGAGAAACCCTAAGTTTTTTTAATTTTACGTGCTTTAACTATAACAAGATTCTCTTTCGTTCGTTAGAAACATTCTCTCAAGAATAATTACCTGTAGATACAAAACATTTTGAGATTTGTTAATCCTTCGAAGCAGTCAAAGAGACTTTCATACCTTCGAGCCATATCATGAATTTTCATATTACGTACTAGATACATACACACAAACATATATATAACAATATTATATTCTGAATAATAAAGAAAATAATCTCGAGGCCAGTCTCTTGAGGTTGTTTGTCAAATTATGTTTTCGTTGTTAAAAGTTTGAAAGTATTCTTTTACTGTGAAAATAACCTTAATAACTTTTGCTGCGCGAAATTCTCAAAATAGTACTCAGACATATACATGCGATGTTAATTCTATAAAATAAACAATAACACCAAATTTCGTAAACGGATCGAAGAGTGATAAAAGATTATAACTAAATAGATATCTAGGGAGTCATCACAACAAATTAATTTCTGCGCAACTAAGTGTAAAAGAGTTGAAGCATCTATTTTATTGAGGAGAAATGGAAAGTACGAAACAGAGACAATATGCATATTTAGCAAAACAATTAGATCAGTTACATGCAAACCTTCAAGTTACCAAAGAAGAGATGGAAACTATGTCGTCTCAATGTAATACGCATCTAATAGGCCAATTGGGTAAAGTCAATGCAAGTTGGTTCATTGCGTCAAACAGGTTTTTAATCCATGAGTTCTTTCAGAATGAGAAAACAAGTGAAGAGAAATGAATAAAAAAAACATTATTAATATTTATCTCTGCCGTCATATATATATTTACATATTCCATTCATACGTATTTCCTAATATTATAAATTAAAATATATTTTTAACTGAGTTAATTTACTATAGAAAAACACAAATGCAGGTGATTGACTAATGCTATATATATGTTGACTATAATATTACATTTGTATATATATATATATTAGTTTTATTTTGATTTATCCTTTTGTTGTTTTCTGGCAAGTTTAATCTCATACTCGTGGCAACCACCAAGTGTACCATCATTTGGCTTCAGAACTAATGGTTCAGGCTGTGGGTTCTCTGTGAAATATGGACTTGCTAATGCTTCTGTTGCACTCAGACGAGTACTTTGATTGTAACGCAATAAACCTTTAACCATCTTAAAACATTCATAACTTGGTAACATTGTTTGATATTTAAGATCAAATGTTTCTTCATATTTCTCCTGTATTAATGGTATCATCATGAAAAACCAAGGCATTTCAAATAAATTTGGCCAAGTTTCTAAAGTTGGGGTACCCATTATCTTAAATATAGATATCAATTGTTCTAGTTCATTTGTTCCTTGAAATAATGCACCAGACACAAATAATTCCACCAATAAACAACCACACCCCCACATATCCACTTCACTACTATAGTCTGTAGTACCCAATAATAATTCAGGAGGTCTATACCATAACGTGATCACTCTGTTTGTATAGTCATTTTTAACAATTATATCATCTTCATTATTGGTTATCATACGTCTGGCAAGTCCAAAATCAGTGATTCGAAGAACACCATTATTATCAACTAATATATTGGAACCTTTGATATCTCTATGCAGTATTTCATTTTTATGTAAATATTCACAACCTTGTAATAATTGCTTTAATATATCTTTCTTTTGAGCATCCGAAATGGTAATATTTTTGTTAAGAAGAAGTCCACCTAAGTCGTTATCTGCATATTCAAATATCATATATATATTACGATTTTGTTCTACCATAATTTCTCTAATGGTTGCCACATTAGGATGATCAAATGTTTGCAATAATTTAATTTCTCTAATCGAAGTTATCGGGAAACCTTCTCTCTCATTTTGTAATCTTAATTTTTTCAATGCTACTAAACTATCTGTATTTGTATTTTTTGCTTTATACACCTTACCATATGTACCTTCACCAACTTGTAATATTCTATCATATATTGATGAAGTACGTTTTTGGATAATATAAGTTGGATTAATTTTCTTTCTATACCTTGAAGGTTGATTTTTTATTTGGGCTCTGGTGCCCATAGGTATTGGTGATTTTCTATCCTGTAGTGAATTATTGGTATTATCATGACTATTGTTACTGTTAGAATAACGAGATGCGCTAGATGAGGAAGCCCTTGGCCCCTTTGGTAGTTGTGCTAAAAATTTTGTATTTGGTAGTTGTTTAACATCTTCACGTTGGTTATGATATCTTGAATCCGTTTGTCTACTTGTACCTTGAGAATGAGAACCTTCATAACGTGAGGTACGCAATGCGGCAAGACTATTCATATCGGTTTCTTGAGACGAAGATGAGTACCTTGATGGTGCTTTACGTTGTTCATCAACATTACGTCGTACTCTTTTCTTATTATCATTCGATCCATTTGAATCGAATTGATTACCTCTCTTGAATTGAGGTTTACCTCTTGAATTATTTTTGAAACTATTCTTTTGAAATCGTCCGCTACCACCACCACCTTGGATATTCATTTTTTTAGAACTTGACGGTCTTCTATTACTTTCTGAATACTCTTTGTTATCGTTATAATTATAGGACATGATTTAATTTGCCTTCTGGAAATAGCTATATATATGTATGTACCTATGAGATCTTCTTTTCCAACATGTATTAAAGGTCAAATACACTCCTAAAAATCTATAATTTGTTTGTTGCCACAATGAGAAAAAACTTTAAAACAAACGCAAACCAGAATCCACTTTGTAAAATCTTTCTCTCTGTTATTAAACTGTTTACTTGTTCTATGTTTGAACTTGACATTTAGTAGTTCATTACTATTCTTCTCTTAGTGTGTGAAAAAAAAAAGTGCAATAAATTGCGAAGTACCGCTTTCCATGCTGAAAAAAAAAAATTAATTAGTATTATTGTGATGAAGAGTGTCATATAAAGTAGCAATTGTGCTAGGAAAAAGCTATTTAAAGAAAAAATAGGCAGAAGCTCTAGAGTTATCTTTGAGATCTTAAGGTTTTCTTGAAGCTATTATTATGATTATTATTTATTATGACCGTTTTTTTTTTGTATATATGTATGTGTGTATTATATGAATTTCTAGCGAATAAAATATTTCTTGAAGTGAAAGTGCAAAAGTGTTAGAAATGAGATGACCAAAAACACTCGACCATAGGAGAGTAACCGTTTCTAAATGTGGAAAAAAAGATATATATATATATTTATATCTAATCCAGTCTATGGTTCATTTGAAAGATATCTACTCAATCTTCTCTGTTGAACTCTATTTTGATGGATTGTATCTTCATCTAGAAAACTATTATTATGTGATTCATCTTCATCATCTTCATCAACAGCAAGATCATCTTCATCTTCATTGGCAATGGCATCATCGTAATTTTCTTCGTCGTTATTATTATTAGAGATAGGACCATCGACAATTTCTAATTGTTGTTCATCAGGAGCCACAGTGTCTTCAACACTAATTCTACTCTCTGAATCAGGGATTTTTTCATTTGGAGCAATAACATCATTTTCATCATGAGGAGATAAATTATGAATATTACTTCTTAAAGGATCATTATCCATCAAACCCATAACACTTCCACGTCTTTGTGAAAATGGTGATATTTTTGTTTGTGAACCTGGTGTTGATAATACTCTTGTTGTTAATGGTTCACTTAAATTATCCATTGTTCTCATTTTATTTGAAGGAATAGCATTTAATAATCTTCCTGTATTAGTTAACGTTTGACGACGTCTAGTTGTCGTTGTACCAAATTCACTTGCACTTGAATCACGTCTTGATATGCTTGGCAGTAAATTTGCGCCAATGTTATCAAAAAATTCAATGAATTTTAAAACTTTTGATATTACTAGAACATCAGTATATTGACCCCAAATTAAATCTAAATGTTCATGATTATCAACTTTAACATCGAATACAGAAGTTGCAGGTAAATTTCTTTTCATAACTTTAATATCAACTAACAGATCATTACCACCATAAATTAATAAAATTGGAATTTTAATATTTGTTCTTGTTGGGAAAGTTGGTACTAAATAAGGTCTTGTTAAAGAATTAAACATATCATCAGATTCTTCAAACATGCTAAATTTTTGTGATCTTAAAATTTGAAACCAATGAACAATTGATTTAACACTTGTAGTTGAATATAATTTTGCATAACAAGCAATTTTTTGTTCTTTTGTAATATTTGAAGATTTCCAATTAAATAAAATTCTATTACCAATATCAATTAATTTATTAAAAATTTTTGGATGAATTGTTCTTTGCCATGTTGTTGCACTTGGTAAAATAATGTTTCTACCAAAGAATAAATACATTAAAGTTGGTGAAGATTTAGCAAAAGTATCAGCAATTCTATTATGTAATCTTTTAGGTGTCATAGCAGGTGCAATAGCAATAAAATGTGAAACTTTACTATTTAATTTTTCATTTAATGAAAATGAAGCAAACATTTGAGCAGAACCTTGTGAAAATCCAATACAAATTAATTTTTCAACTTTACAAAAATCCAAAATAAATTCAATTGAATTTGGAATATCAAAAAATGCAAATTCATCAATTGAAAAATCCCAGAATTTTTTTGATTTTGGTGCATGATATAAATGGGCAGTTGAATATTTATTACCACGATTATTACCCATCCAAACTTCATAACCTAAATCATGTAAAACAAATGGTAAATTTTTATTTCTATCTGTTTGACAACACCAAACATCTGAACACATTAATAAACCATGATGCAAATAAACAACTTTACCATTTTCTGTGCCTGGAATTGGTTTAATTCTATGAATGGTCAGGATATAATTATCTTCTGTACGAACTAAATGATCTTCAACATAAATATTAAATAAAGCGCACATTTCATGAATTGTTGGACATTCTCTTAATTTTTCTTCAATAGTAGATTCATCGATATCGACACTATAATTAATAATTGAACTGAAAAAATTAAAAATTGGTTGTGGTATTAATGCAAGGATTGACGCTACTAACGTTTCCAAATACACTAATAATATTACCCAATAGTCTGCAAATGACAGTCTTCCAATAAACGGCACAATCATTATGTTTCGTCTGTCGTGTATTGATTACAATTTAAAAATGTATATGTATATATATTTGTGTGGTCTATATCTTTATTAATCCAAAATTTTTCATTTTGTGTAGTATGTGTGTCATTTTCACTTTCTCTCTCTCTATATATATATACAGTATATTAATATATATTAAGATGGCTAGCACCCATCCCTCGCTCGAGTTGCCTTAAAAATTGGAATTTTAAAGGAAAAAAAAGTGAACGCGAAGAATTTTGTGTGCAGTGCATGCAAAAATTCGCCCTATACGATACCAGCAGCAGCGACTAAATCTAGTTGTTCTGCGTAACAATGTCAGGGATGTGTTCCCCTTACATTGTCCTGTTTCGTATAGGAAATAATACATGGATTAAGTAAATGAACCAGCTGAGAGGGCAAAGAGAGATATCTTTGAAGTTTTCCAAATAAATAAGTAAATAAATAGATAGGTTATAGAATATATATATAGAGAGAGAGAGATAGGTGTGTACGTGACGATATGTTCACTTACCACTGAGGTAGAACGTCATAACAATCTGTTTTATAATGATAGTAAATAGGTACCTATCAATGCACCAAAACCTATAGCAGCATAACCTGTTCTATAGACACCCTTTAAAGTTAGTTCTTTTGCTGCGTCCCAAATCATATGTCTTACAGCTAAACCATAATGGAATGCGAATAAATAGGCGAAACCTGTCTTTAATGAAATTTGAGAAAATTTTGATACCGTAGTATGATACCAATTAGTAACAGATTCTGTATTTACCTTGGAACCCATACCTAATAATGCAGCACCACCAAATAATATTGTCAATGCATAAAATGCGCCACCCATAAAAATCAAAGAAACACGATGTACGGATGATAAATACCAAGTTAATTGTGGTTGATAGATAGTTAAGTGAGGTGAAATTGGTCTTGTCTTTCTCTGTGAAATTAATAATTCAGATTCACCTGGTTTTAATGAATCAATTTTAACATATGGTGGATCTTTTAATGAAATTGAAGTAGATTTAAATCCTCTAATCAAAGCTGGTCTAGCCAACAAAGTACGTCTAGCAAGTACAGGTACTGCTTTATTTAAACCCAGTTGTACTAACATCGTGCGTGCGTATGTGTATGTATGTACTTGTATATACCTCTTGTCACTATATGTGTAGTATCCACTTCACCAGGATTCAAATCCATCCATCCATCTTTATATATATATATATATATTGAGGATATAGTTTTGCCAAAAGACTCACTCCGCGAAGCACTAAAATATTGCTATTTTCAGTAAAGAAATGCGCAGGGAGCCGATTTTTTGATTTTCGGGTTCATTGTTGGAACTGGTATCTGTGATGTGATTGGTGGGATTTGACTATGGTGCTGTGCTTTCTGTATATAGTAGTATTGGTGGTAGATTTGCCTTGCTGAAGTGATAATTTGTCTCACTGGTTATTATGATCAGATATATGTGTGGCGGAGAGAGAGAGAGAGAAATTGATTAGTAGAGTGTCGTGCACAGTGAGGTGCACGTGATGCGCACGTGACAGATTTTACCCTGACTCCGAAACTATTCATTTCATTCTTTGCCCGCTTACTCTTTCCCTTCCAAAGAAAATATTAAAGGAGGACAAGGCCTGTCAATGTGAGATAGATAGTTGAATATTCATGATTAAGTGGAGGTGTACCAATACAATACATAAGGTGATATACATATACTTACTGGGATAAACACCTGCAGGTGGTATTAAATAGAATACACACATACACATACACATATACACATTAAGATGTGGTCATTTTTTGGAGGATCCAGTAGTAATAATGCTAAGAGTAAAGAATTACCTAAAAAAGCTATTGTTGAATTAAGAGAACATATTAATTTATTAACTAAAAAACAAACACATTTACAAACACAATTAATTACACAAGAGAATGAAGCACGTAAATTCTTATCATTAGGTAATAAAACGTTAGCTTTAAATTCATTGAAAAAGAAGAAAATTTATGAAAATCAATTAAATAAGCTTGATGGACAAATTGATTCATTGGAACAACAACTATTTTCTATCGAATCTGCAAATTTGAATTTAGAAACTTTAAGAGCAATGAAACAAGGTTCAAAGGCAATGAAAGCTATACATACAGGTATGGATATTGATAAAGTCGATGAAACGATGGATGATATTAGAGAACAAGTGGAATTAGGTGAAGAAATTAGTGATGCTATATCGAGACCAATGTATTCAGGTATGAATGATATTGATGAAGATGAATTAGATGAAGAATTAGATATGTTAGCACAAGAAGAAACTGCTAAACAAATTGGTAACATACCAATAACAGAACCAATTGAAACTAATAAGATTAATAATGAAAGAGTGTCAGATTTACCTAATGTTCCAGTAAATAAAATTTCACCATCACCACAGCATAATAACAAAGAAGAGGAAGAGGAAGAAGATGAAGATGAACGTGCATTAAAAGAATTACAAGCAGAAATGGGACTGTAACAAAAAAACAAATAGTTTTTGAAACGATAAATAAAAAATAACTGTTCTAAGTTTTTTAAATAGTTTGCACTTTCTTTATGATTGTTCTCTCTCTCTCTTTCTATTGTTTACTTCTAATTTTATTTTATCTTTTCTTATAAATGTACTATACAATAAGATTTATATATATATACATATTTTGTCATTTCATTCTCATTTTAAATTTATCATTTACCAAAAGAAAATAACAGTAACATGTTTACTCATTTCTCAGTTTACAAGTACCCATAATAAGAAGAATACAAAGATGATAAAGAATATTTTTACCGCTAACCATCTGTTACTCTTCACTCTATCAAAATATTTAAGTAATTCTCGTTGCGCTCCACTAATATTCATATCAACATCATCTACATTTGCATCAATCCGTTGTATCACTTCACCTTGTTCTTGAACCATCGATGCTAGTTGTTGGAAAAGATTACCAACTTCTTGAATAGTAGTTTCAATAGTCTCAACAGCACGATTACGTTCTTGTAAATATTGATTATTGCTTAATCCTTCTTCCATCATTAATAATTGAGAATCACTATCTGGTAAGATTAATGATTGATCATTGCCTGTGTTCCCTTGATGTGATTGCGTTTGTTCATCTTCTTCCATCATCGCTGTCATAAATGGATTCGAATTATTATATCCTATATTCATATTAGAACGATCATTATTATTACCATTTATTGTATCTGTACCACCATTTGTACTCATTTGTTGTTGATGTTGTTCACTTAATTTATCCCAACGATCTCTATTATTCAATTCAAGTCTTTGTCTTTCCTCCAATACACTCTTGAAATCCCCTGAGATATTTTTCATCTTTCTATTCAAAAGATTCATAACATTACTTGAGTGACCAGTAGTACTCTTTGTCAATTGTGCATCAGGTCCATGAATCTGTTGATTCAATTTAATCAGTTGTTGTTCAACAGAATATATTTTCCTTTTAATTAAGAACGATAACTCGGCAATTTCTACTGGATTATCATTAAACATAGGTTTCCTTTTTGCCAAAATAGCTAATTTAGATAACAATTGTGCTGTTTCTGATATATCATGTGCAATTAATGAGGCGTTCCTTTGGAACTCCGATTGCTTTGGTTTTACATGAACTTCCTCGGTGACTTGTTTGCTACGTGATTTGTTCAACTTCTTATATGTTACCACACTTCGTTGAAATTCTGATGTTCTATCTCTAATATCCATAACTTATTTATGTATATTTTTTTTCTATGTTCTATGACTGTATTGTTGAATTTAAAAAAGAAAGAAAAAACAACCTTTTACCACTAATTCTATTGCAAAATTACAAAATGAAATGGACGAATACTAAGGTAGTGAAATAGTGTAATCCAACCTCAATATCTATGCCTGGTAACCAAATAAATAAAAGAGTACACGTTTACCTTATCACCTTATTTTAAATTCGAACATTCACTCTATTTACAACAAATAAAAGTATATCCATTGATATAATTATTTTCAACGAGAGACAAACCCATTACCAGTTTTCTGTTTTCCCGACACTGCGGCGCAATACAAATACACGTAAATTTATATATAGAGAGAAACAGTGATAATGACAAGCAATATCCATCGAAATGAATGTTAAATATCTGTAAGGTAATGATGGAATAAATGATTAGACAGTTGGGGTGTATACCAATGTATGGAAACATCATTCAAATAATGTTTCCTGTATGGTATTTCATTACTATAGTACGTACATATATGTATATAAAGTATTTAGAAAACTGGAAAGATGTCTTACAACTTCGATTGAGTTAGGTAGTGGCGAACAACTTCATCAATGGCTTTGGCAACATATTCAACATTACCTTCATTCAAACCAGCAATGGAGGCTCTACCAGAACCAACCATGTACACAGCATGTTCTTCTTCTAATCTCTTCACCATTTCTGGAGATAATCCTGTGAAGGAAAACATACCACATTGTTCAACAATGTGATCCCAGTTACCAGGAGTCTTTAATTCAACTAATGCATCTCTTAATCTGACTCTCATTTTTTGAATTCTAGAAGACATGGTAATCATATCGTCATACCATTGGTTAGTCAATACATCATCTGCCAAGATAGTACCAACAATTTTAGCACCATATGCAGGTGGGTTGGAGACTTCACTTCTAACAATCTTAGCCAATTGAGATTGTACTGCAGGTCTTACAACAGCTGTGGTTTCTTCTGATTGATTTGGAAGAACAATGTGGAAGCAACCAACACGTTCACCATACATACCAACATTCTTAGCAAAAGATTGACAGACTAATATTGGTGATGCTAGAGCCAATTTTTGCATACCTAGTCTAACAGCATAAGCATCCTTAGACAAAGAACCAGAAGCAAACCCTTGGTAAGCAGAATCAAATAAAGCAATGTGGTCATATTTACCAATGGTATCAATCAATTCAGCCCATTGTTCTTCAGTTGGGTCCAAACCTGTTGGGTTATGGGCACATGCATGTAGTACAAAGACAGAACCTTCTGGGGCAGTCTCTATAGTTTGTAAAAATTCTTGGAATCTTAGAGATTTTGAGGCAGCATTCCAGTATGGGTATGTTGAAGTAGCTAGACCTTGAGCTTCAAAGATAGCCTTGTGGTTGGCCCAAGTTGGGTCAGATAAATATATTTTCTTGGAACTGAAAAATTTGGATAAGAATTTAGCTGCAATGTGTAGAGCGCCGGTACCTGAGATAGATTGAACGGTGACAATTCTGTCACTATGTTTAGCGACTAATTCTTCGCCGAAAAGAACCTTGGCAGCACCTTTAGTTAAGGATGGTAGACCAGTAATTGGTAAATATTCGTGGTTATAAGTGGCTACATCCGCATGGATCTTCTCCTCGGCAGCTCTAACAGCTGGTAAAACCCATGGCTTACCAGTGTTATCTCTGTATGCACCAATACCCAGATCAACTTTGGTGGCACGGTCATCTTGACCATATCTTTGTTTAATACCGAAAAGAGCATCGGCTGGTAGTTGTTCGATTTCGTTCAAAATAGTTAATTGGGACATCGTGTAATTAATTACAGGGGGAGATGTTGTTGTTGCGATTGTTAATTATTAATTATTAGAAAATAGAATCTAAAAACGTGAAAATACTACAAAGGTTTATTCAAGTCTTACCTGAGATTAATAAACTCGTTTTTATAGTAAATTAATTTTTCACTTTGCCAAATTTTGCTCATTTCTTCAAAAAACGACGATGATTCATAATTTTTCTATTAGTTGAAAGAGAGACGGCGCATTCAAAATCTCATTTGGGGTGTAAAGATAATGAGAAATTAAAGGTAAACCATAAAGGGGAAAACTCATATGGGAAGATAAGAAACCCTTGAAGAGTTTTGATGAGTATAACAGTTTTACTAACTTAATTTTAGAAATTGTCTTTATTATTTTTGGGTTTATCTTAGAAATAACGTAGAGGTCATTAGTAGTGCCGGCGCTAATATATAACCTGTTATTATTGAATTACAGTAACCCTAATAATGAACAGGGTTAGTAATGTACATACTGCATTATCTACAGGTGTAGATGCAGATGCATTCATTCTAGATCATGCACCTCTGTATGAGACTATATTTTATTATTATATGGGGTACTTATTATCTCCTTTTGCGATGCTATGTTTCCTAACTAACCTTATATTGAATAGAGTAATTGTAATGTCTTCTGTACGTTATAAGTATGGTAATCATGGAAGACATTCACGTTTGCCTCTATGGTCAAAAGTGGTAGTCCATGGTAGTACTTTAATTCTTTTGGGACTATGCTTTACACAATTGTTATGCGAGTTGGATTTAACAAATATATTTTTGAAGATTATCAATGAAAACGATGATTCTACTTCCATATACATAAGATTGCTGGCTGTGATAGCTTTTTCACACATAATTGAGGCATTTATGACTACCACATCGAATGTTGCCACATTATATGACTTTGATTATTCATTATTTGAAATGGCATTGCAATACTATTTATATATGGTATCTTTAAAACATAGAGCACCATTATCCCAAATGGCTGAGAATCTTACTCATAATCAAATGCTTCTGGATTCATTGGCTGTAATAACCAATAATATAGTGATTCATATTGCAGAATTATTAAATTTAAGGCAATGTAGATTGATTTTATCCATTGTTACTAATATTATTCATTTTTATTATACAAAGAATAATATTATGGTAATTTTAGGTACTAATAGATTATACATTACTTATTTGAGACTATTTTTCAAATTTATACCGACAATTATAATATTATGGAATATTATATATATGTCATTGGCATTATTTATTCGTAAATGTTTTTTGAAGGATATCTCTAATCAATTGCAATTTTTCAATGAGTTGAACAGTTTCTACAGAGCAAATTCAGATCAAGAAATGACAAGAACTATCATGATTTTATCTAGACAGATGTTAGAAAATAGATCTTCTTTTCAAAAGGACACATATACTATATCAGACTCCTTAAATGATGTCTTGGAGACCGATGTCGATTCCAACGGAACACAAAATGGTAATATTTTTATAAGTGGATATTTGAATAAATTACAAACTACACCTGAAGATGTGACGATTCAGGAAAATAAGACGCCCAATAGTAGTTCTAGTAGTACTCAGGATAAGAGTGATAACGAAAATTATAAATTGAATATTCCTTTCTGTTTCACCAAACTTAAATGGTCCGCAGATATATTTTGTTTATTACCAAAAACGATTTGGGATGTAGCTATTCAAATAATGATGATAGTATTTATATTTTTAAGAATTAAGAAATTACCCAATGTAGAAGATGAAAATACTGATAAGCATAGAAGAGGAGTCCACGATCATGACCATCATGTTAGGGATCTCAATAGGTTAATTACATCGCATAACTATCATAAATTTTTGACGAGATATGCAATTGCTGCTGACGGGAATCAAAATATCGAACAATTTGATTTACATAAATACTTATTACCTGACAATGATACATCCCCTGACTATAGTTTACCAGATGAAATTCGGGATCATAACAAAGCGTTAAAGGCCCAAGATAAAACTACATTCATTCCTACAGATACTGATGGAATGAAGGATGAGTTAGTTCAATTGTTTTCTGATTTTAATTCCAACATGATGGAATCCACAGAAAATTTGAACTGGTACAATTCCATGTACTCTATCTTAAAATATGAACTAGAAAATGATAAAGAAAGGGTAACAAGGTCTCAATATGGGGCGTCAAATGATGAAACTATCTTGAATGAAGTTGTTCTCGAGAGATGGACTGCTAACGAAGATTTACGTGAGCAAGTAAACGGAGAAAACTCGAACGTGTTTGATGACTGCGATGATGATGATGATGATACGGATGAAGAGTTAGATTTAGTGTGTATAGTCTGTTTGCAAGAAGTAAGGAATGTTGTCTTTTGGCCTTGCAGATGCTTAGCCATATGTAACGATTGTCGAACAGCCCTTGGGTCAAGAGGGTTAACCACATGTGTGGCTTGCAAATCGGATGTCAAGGGGTACACCAAGCTAAACATAGTATAAATTAAAAAAAAAGAAAAAGGATTGGGATCGGGATAATCGATGACCTGTTCCTTCCTGTGTAACTAAGTACCATTGGACCCTAGTCAATATCTTGCCCTATGCACAAATAATAACTTAGAAATTCGTAGAAAAAAAAACATAAAAATTGCATGCGGGTAAAATTTCAAGACAAAACGAAAAAAATTTTTTTTCACAGACGTATATAAAGAGTCAATGATGTAGAAATGAAAAAGAAGATGAAAATTTTGTATTCCATTAATTTATAGTTTTATATTTCATTTTTTGTTTTATTCCTTCCTAAAATAACCATAGACTCGTGGTGGGTTGTTACCGGGAGAGAGAAATGTGTATCAATCTTCGGATCCATACATATAGTTTCGTGCTATTATTGCTTAGTTCTTCCAACTTACGGCCCATCAATTTCAACGCTAGAGAGGCAAAGTCTTAAGGAACTATATACAAAGAGCCTGTGTGCTAGGTGTACTTCTCCTCTGGTATAGTCTTCGGATTATATCGGGGTATTGAGTCGTCGGCTTTCATACGTCGTTGTTCTTTTTAGTTGTTGCCACTATGTATGTGGATAAGACAGAAGTAGCCCCGTTGACGAGTATAACTTAAATTAAGTAAGATGCATGACTTTGAATTCTTCTTATTGTCGAACTATTTGGTGAATTTCTAGTAGAACTTCGGTTTTGTTGGGATGTGTCTTATAATTTGCGATGAGAATTGAGTTCGGTCATCTTTGTTGTCATTTTACCGCGGTATATTCCTAAACACTATGAAGGCTATATTTAGTCAATTATCATTTGAGTCAAACCATACTGCAGACATCCTATCTCCTCTGTATCTTAATGTGTATTAGTTTTGTTTATGTAGTTCTCTTGCAGTTTTGCCTTATTATCATTTTTTGTTGTATTATTATTTATTACACATATTACACTTTGATATATATGTGGGCTACATATTTGTGTGTGTCTGCGTTCACATAAGATTACACATAGTTAGAATAGAATTATTATTCAAAAGAAGGAACAAAAAGTGGGAGGATTTAATTAACAAATGCCCTATATTAGTTTTTTTTCTTCTGTCAAATTATTACATTAATGGTGGAATAAACGAATTGGATTCTCAACATAAACCACATCGAATGAGTCAGCAGCAGCAAGGACAGATTTATCCATCATTGAACCAGTTGGTGCAGCAATATATTTCACACCAGATCTAACTGCTCTATAGACGTTATCTGGGAATGGGAAAAATGCATCAGATGATAAGGAAACATTATTTAATTTAGATAACCATTCTTTTCTTTCCTCTTTAGTTAATGGGGTTGGTAATTCTTCAAATTTAGATTCGTACTCATCTTTTTCAGGACCATCCTCTGGGATTTGATTAGTTACAAATAAATCAATAGCATTAGACTTTTCAGGTCTCTTTACACCTTTGGCCCATTTGAAACCTAATACAATTGGATGTTGTCTTAACCACCAATTGTCAGCTTTGTCACCAGCTAATCTTGTACAGTGGATTCTAGATTGTTGGCCGGCACCTAAACCGATTGCCATACCATTCTTAGCATAACATACGGAGTTTGACTGTGTATATTTTAAAGCTAATGTAGCAACTGTTAAATCTATGATTGCTTGATCTGTCAAATCTCTGTTTTGAGAAACAATTTCTTTAAAAGATGATTTGTTAATAATTGCATCGTTTCTCTTTTGTTGTAAAGATATACCAAAGACTTGTCTTGTTTCTATTGGTGCAGGAACATAATTTGGATCTATTTGTAAGATACAATATTTACCATTTTTCTTCTTTCTTAAAATCTCTAAAGCTTCCGGTTCATAACCAGGTGCAACAACACCATCGGATACCTCCTTGGCAATAATTTGAGCAGTAGAAATATCAACTCTGTTAGATAACGCAATGAAGTCTCCAAATGAGGACATTCTATCGGCACCACGAGCTCTAGCATAAGCACATGCCAAGGGTGATAAGTTTTCAATATCATTGACGAAATAAATTTGTTTTTCAATCTCTGTTAATGGTAACCCTACAGCAACACCAGCTGGTGAAACGTGTTTGAAAGATGCAGCGGCAGGTAAATTCAAAGAAGCAGATAATTCTTTCACCAATGGCCATGAATTAAATGCATCTAGTAAATTAATATAGCCAGGAACACCGCATAATACTTTGAATGGTAATTCATCTTGATCAGAGATAAAAGCTTGTGCCGGTTTTTGATGAGGATTACAACCATAGCGTAAAGTCAATTGTGCAACATCTTCAGAGTATTGTTTTCTGAAAAAATCAGATATAACAGAGTCATACTCTGCAGTATGTTCGAATGCTTTCAAAGCCAGTTTATTTCTTAGTTCCATAGATATTTCACCAGTCTTGTTTTCGTATAATTCTTGTAGAAAGACAGCATAATCTTCTGGGTCACTTAGGATAGTAACTCTGATATGGTTCTTGGCAGCAGCTCTAATAAGTGTGACACCACCAATGTCAATTTCCTCTACTGCTTCATCCATTGTGACACCTATTTTACCTACTGTCTCTTTGAAAGGGTATAAATTGCAAATGACAAAATCAACTTTATCTATATTTTGTGCTCTTAAATCTTCTTCATCAGATTCTATATCTCTAGCTAAGATACCACCATGAATAGCAGGGTGTAAAGTCTTAACTCTACCACCCAACATCTCTGGGGCATGTGTAATAGAAGATATATCATCCACTGGGAAACCAGATTCACGAATGAACTGGGCCGTACCACCGGAAGCTAGCATACGAACATTATTCTCAGTTAACCCCTTAGCAAGGTCTAATAGACCTGTCTTATCATAAACTGAAATAATTGCAGTTTTCTGATGTTCTGGCATGATAATATTTGTTTTAATATGTTCTTAATAAATTAACTTATACGGATATATAATTTCAACCTTCTGAGTTTAATTATTTTTAAAATGGTAAAGTTTAATGTGTACGTCAATGTTTACCTATTATTTATTAGATAATAATGATAACTAAACACCAAATAGAACTCAATGTAACGAACCTTTATCCTTTTTTCAGTTCAGATTAAAAATAAGTAATTGAAATAGAAAGAGTCCAATTAGTACGAAATTATGATAGAAACTGTCAAGATCAAAATAAATTATTTAAGAACAAACAGAGTGTGTTGTGTGACTTTCTTTACTCTTAATATAAAAAAAGGATTCCTGTGTAATGGTTTCCTTTTTTTTTTTGCTTCGGTTTACTCTCGCTCGATTTGTTCCGCACAATTTTATACGCTCCCTCTATATATCTTCAAATGTATTTTAAAAACAATGGATAAATAATTCTATGCCAATGTAATCAGAATTGAAGATGCATGAACAGATAAGTTCAAGTTCTATTATTAATTATAATGTCTTATCCTTTCGAATTTACGTAAATGATAACAGAGTACATTATATGGTTCGGACATTTTAATTATATAATTCATTAGAACAGATCAATATGTTAAAAAAAAATTGCAAATAAAAGAAAAAAATCCAAAAAAAAAGGTCTTTTTCTTTTGGTTAATGTATATTGAGTTTTAAAATAATTATGTATATAAGGATATATCTAAATTACAAGTTCAACAAAACACATCCAAATGAAAACAAAAACACCTTGTTTAAAGAGATAAATAAAATGTGAAAAGAAAGTATATTATAATATTTCTTAAACAGATTATTTTCTGTATCTCCATAGAGACAAAGTGTTTTGCTTCTTCCAGGTCTTTCTTCTACCGGCAGAAGTGTTGTGGAACTTGTGACCCTTGTTAATACCTCTGGATTTCTTACCAGTGGCAGTTAGACCTCTAGATTCACGGTGCTTGTGAACTGGGTTACAGATCCAGTTGTAACGAGCATCTCTTCTGATAGCCTTGTGAGATGGGTCGACTAGAATAACTTCGAAGTACTTGTAAGTAGAATCTTGGTTAACCCAGTAAGAGTTTAGAACTCTCAAGTTAGCAGCACGACGGCCAACTCTTTCTTCAGCAGTAGCTCTCAAGGATCTTTGGAATTTCAATTCGTTAACACCTTGGTTGGTTGGCTTACCGTAAGTAGCACCCTTTGGAACAGGTCTCTTTCTGTTACCACGTCTAACTCTGACACGGTAGATAACGAAACCTTGCTTGGCCTTGTAACCTAATCTTCTAGCCTTGTCTGGTCTAGATGGTCTGGAAGCTCTGTGAATGACATTCTTTTGTCTGTATTCCCAGACTCTGACTCTTTGCAAGAATCTAAGGACATCAGATTGCTTCTTTCTTTGTAATTCTTCTAAATACTTGTAGGCACCCATTTTTGGTTGTTAAGTTATTGATAATTGATCTTTTATATATTAAAAGTAAATGTAATTTAACAAGAACCATTAAGTAAAACTTAATACTGAAAGAAATTAGAAATACAAATTACACTTCTATGTATGCATATATATATATATATATGTATTTGAAAGAAAGAAAAAAATTTTCTTGCAAGATTAGTTTGCAGTGACAACTTCGACGGCCACCTCGTCCCACTGAAAAAAAAATCGAAAAACGAAAAATTTAGCAGAAGAAAAAATTCAAAGTTGCGTCTCTTTTTTATTTTTTTTGTGCGTCTGTCGGACTGGAACTTTCACCTGAGCGTGACGAAATGTTCACGCACGAAATGTTATTAGTGTCTGTCTGTTTTTCCGTTAGGGTTTATTTGAGACGGCTGGGATACATGCCAATAATTCTATATTAGGATGAAAGGCGACAGAGATTTTTATTCTGTTAGACGCCAATTAATTGAATATGCGTCACAGTTGTGTCAGTTAAGACACTTGAGAGAATTTGTTGTAAATAATGTTTATTCTGTTTGAGATTTAAGAGATAAGTGAGGAGTAGATTAATATTTTCTCGTAAAAATTAGTAGATGGATGTACATCTGTATTATCTTAAATTCAAGTTGTGCTTCGGTACAGCTTTTAGTAAATAGATAAATCGGAGTAAATCACCAAATAATATATATAGAGAGAGAGTAGGAGAATAAGAGAGTTATTATAAATTTTTTGACAGATGAAATTGATGAAAGGTGAACAAAATTCAAAGAAAAAGATATCTTTAATATCAAATGACTCATCTTCAGATATTAGTTTTTGTCACATGGGGAATTTATTAACTTATAAAGATAATGTAATAAAAGATCAATATAAGAATAGTTTAGAATATTTACCAAATATAGATCCTATGACATCAAAAAGTTCTTCAAATTCCTTTCTCTCTACATCTTCTAGAAGAGTATCATCTTCACTATTTTCATTGAAAAAAAATGTTAGAACTATAAAAAATAAACAATCACAATTACCAATATCAGTTGAAGAGATTCAAGACATAAATTACAATAATTTGATTAACGGTAATGTAAGAATTTCTCAATTGCCTTGTATATCTTCTATTGGGGAGGTTAGTCCACTATTTAAGATAAATCTTTCTCGGGATTCGACTTCAGATAATCAAGATATAAATCATAATAACGATGAAAGAAAACTCACGAGGAAAGAAGCAAAATCTGAAACAATTTTAGATGATGAGATTGAAGTACCAGGATTAATACCTTTCAAAAATTCAGGTTTAATATCTTCTCAGAAAACTGAACAATATCGAGTATTACCTACTAATAATAATATTATTCAAACTGAGATTGATTTAAGCACAAAACATTTTTCTGAACCAAAACCAATTTATAATAATGATTTGACAAAAGTTGTTAAGTTTAATGACAGTGGTGCATATCCTATAAAACAGGAAACAAATATAAATAAGAATTGGGAAATTCCAAGACATATGGATTCGATACAGTATAAATTGCCCGTTCCATCTACAGATTTGGGTTCAAATGAACTAATACAGAACAATAACTTAATTACTGATAGTCCGAAAAATGATATTATTTCTAACCATACATCTATTTCAGATACTCCCATTCCTAACATAGACTTTACAGATGAAGAATATGATGATAAAACTAATTATAATGATAATAATATTGAACGATCTTCCACAGAGGCAAACGAGGAGTACGTTGTCAATAAACCAAAGGAAAATAAAAACTACACGTATTTAAACAAACTGATAACAAACATTGATGAAATTTTGGAAAGAAATATAAGTACAACTGATTTACAAAGTAGAAGTATTTCTCCATTATCAATCATTAATTGTTACACAGAGCGTAATTCTTCGAATGATGGGAGCAAAGAAGCAAAAGATAGTAAGAAGGATGTTTCACAGTATGAAGAGTGTAGGAATAACTGTCAAAAATTATCGAAGGAGAAAGATATTCTTTTAGAAAGAAACTTTTTCTTAGCCCAACAATTAGAGAGTATTTCAAGTAAAATTTTAGAAAATCTACATGATAATAAATATAACTTTCAAAATAGTAAACTTATCATTGAAACGATTAATTTGAAAAAAAAAGTGGCTTCTATGAGTAAAGAAAACATCGAATTGAAAGCGTTATTGAAATCATATGAGGAGAGTCAATGAGATATATTTATATCATAATATTTTAAATAATTATTTTCAATATATTTTTTTCCTTATAAAAATGTATCCGAAATGTGGGCGGCTAATTGAATAAGTAATAATTTTTGTGTAAATGTATATATATATATACATATATATGTATATTGTTTAACAGCTGATCCAAAGTTTCCTATTTTAAAAACAGTTTACTCTGAGATTTCTATTTGGGTAATTGTTCTTGGTGTTTTCAAAAATAAATATAAATTATCTTATTTATTAATAACGTTATGGTATCTATTTTAGAGGAAACTCATTCAAGTTCAAATGTTATTAGATCAAATATAGAGATCACCTTAAAACACCGAGGAGAAAATCTTTACAATCGACCAACGAAACACCATATTGAACAGTGTGTTAATGAAATTAGACACATTGGAGAATCAAGTTGTAGTTTTGTCGAAGAGTGTAGTGTTCTAAAGGACATGATTTCGAGAGAAATTAGCCTGTCAAGCAATTCTTCAGAAGCTATCTTTAAGACTATAAATGCACTGATAATTGAGCAACCACATAAACAACCCGATGTTGCCTTTTTAATAATTGGTATTGCTGAAGATGAACCACAAGTTTCAATCCTGATCATCAGCTATTTAATTCAAGAATTACAAACACAGTTAGACTTAACCCGCAATAACAATAAACTTGAGACGTCCCCAGTTGAACCATGGACTGCTATTAAATTATTCACAAGGTTCCTCTCTCTTCTTTCCCCAATTCTTAACTTAAGAGATATTGTTAATCATTATAAAAGCATTTTAAAACTAGCTTATGAGATAAACAATAAAAATGCTGTTTTAGGAAATCTTATTTTAGAAAGTGTTTTACTAAATATTCCATATCTTTTCTATTTTAATAGAAAAAATAAAATTTTACAGTTTGAAATTATTAATTTAATCAATGTTACAGAAGTTAATTTTACCGGAAATCATCAAGTTATTGATTTATATCATCCCTTTTGTCTTGAAAATGTGAAGAATTCGAATAAGAGTCAAGTTACTATTGCCGAGCTAAAGCAACTACTCTATGGAGGGTTAGATAAGTTCAATAAAATATTCCCTGAGTCGATAAATACAATATCAGAGTTATCTTGTAAAAAACTTGATCAACAATGGACACTACATTATCCGACTGTAAGCAGCATTCTAGCTCTCAAAGAAACTCAAACAAACAATTATTTTACAGATTGTCTTTGGAATTCTCCTTTGTACCAAGATTATGAAGCACAATTTGGTAAAATCTCCAATACTTCAAATAAAACGCCAATAAAAAAATATAGCAAACAGGTTGTTAGGGATAATATTATTGATATTGTCCATAATATCGAATTTAATAAAATAGAAGCTTGTGAAAAGTTAATGCAATTTCATAAGTATTTTCAAGACATTTACTTAAATTGTGGATGGGATGATTGCACGGAAAATATATATCGTATTGTAATACAAACAATTGTTAGTTTATTATTAAGGTTACCTCATTCTACAATTCCGAATGTATATTATGCTACATTACTTCAACAGTTCTGTAAAAAATCGCCCAAGCAATTTGCACCCCTCATTGGAGAACACTTTCGTTTCCTTTACAAGAATCTTTATAATTTGGATTACGAAACAAATTTAGAATTCGAAAAATGGTTTAGATTCCAGGTGACAAATTTTAACTATCAATGGAAATGGGATGAATGGATAGATGATTGTGATAAATACCAAGTTTATTCGTATAATGCTAAATGGATATTTCATGTTAATGTTGTAAAACGGTTAGCAAGTTCCACATCAAATTTACAAGAATTTAAAATGAGTTTACCATTAACATTTCAAAATATTTTAAGTAAAAAATATTTCGATAATTATAACATGATTCAGTATATGAACAATCTCTTTGATTTTGATCATAATTGTATCGATTTTGAAGACGTTGGATTGTTATACCTCCAAGACGGTTTCCCGTTTAATCAAACTGTTTTACATATTCTCGATTGTATGCACATACGTAATAATGATGGGACCAACGGTGACATAAATGAACTGATACATCTTGTTGAACAGATTGGAAAGGATAATTTAAAGTTTTTCAAAAATTTTGAAATTTTTAAGATAATTATATTGATACAATGTATATGTCATAGTGGGAGGAGATCACTGTCACATGCAAATAGGTATATAGAGGCGCTTGGTGATACAATTTTTGAAATATTTCAACAAGTCGAAATAAATAAAAACTACTTACAGTTTGTTGTGATTGACTCGGTTATTAGATATTGGAATAGTAACGTATCAACAGGATTTTTGCTTATCAATTCATTTAAGCAATTTGATTTTGTCAGTGATTTGGTAATTGTAGATTTTTTGTTTTGTGATGCGAATCATGAACTCAAAATAATTACAAATTATGAGGCAAGGGAATATTTGTTGCAAACGTTAGAAGAAAATATGAGATGGTCCGAGGGCTCTAATTATGAGTTGTTCATAAGATCATATCGATTAACATTGAAGATCATATCCGATGCATTAAATGAATTAAATATAGGTGATCAGACAACGATTACACTTCCTGATTTTATGGAAGAAAGTGAAACCCAAAGGAGGAATTCTAATAGCACATGGAAGTACTTTGAAGGTATTAAACTAATAAAATGTTTGTTGAGAAAGTTTCATTGCGTCTATAGACAACTTACTGATATATTGTTCGATCTACCTCATCAGATTGATTTGACACATTTTCAAACAATTGAAAGAATTGCTCTTTGGATCAAGGAATGTCAAAATTTGGGTTAGTTAATAAAATATGGTATTTAATTTATTAGATGGTATCAAAAACAAGGATATTTCGATTACCTTCTTCATTAGCTGATTCATGATCTTAAACTATGAAAAAGGAAGTGACGGTTGTGTTACTTTCTTGATCTTTCTCTACCTCTATTTCAATGTTTTGATATATATTAATTAAAGATAAGTGTTTAAAGACGCGTAATAACTTCACTTCGCGTAACGTCCCCAAATATTTACATTTATATATAGAAATTATATTGTGAGATGAGTAAACTTATATTCAAAATCGGGGGCTATTCTATACCTAAATATATTATATTTACATCGTTATTTAGTAAATATTTGATACCTAGTGTAGAAAATCAATAAAATGACTGATCCAGGAACGCCTAAAGAAGATAGAAAGAGGTTTTTTAAAGATGAACTAGAATCCTCTGAAAGTCAAATACCATCTTTGGCACAAAGACTCGATAACAGTAAATCGTTTCTTTTCAGTGAAAATATCAAACCGGAAGACAAGGGGTCATCATTATTTGTCCCTAGTCAAATGGATATTGTTGAGTTTGAGAAAGGACTCAAAGATATTATGCCGGATATTAGTGATGAAATGTGTAAAAAACTATACAAGAAATTTGAAAATGACACTAAACCTGTTGCGAGTGCGGTCGAGTACTATTTTGATCATAATAAAAGTCTGACGAGAGAAAGCAAAAAAGATACTGAGATTATTGATCTTTCAGATGATTCATATGATGATGTGAATTCATCTAGCGTTTCATACAGTAATCACATGGATAGTGATCCGCCTATCCATAATGATTCACATCCAAGATTGACTTTTCAGTCGTTATTCTCCCAAAAGAGAGATGAAATCAAAAAGAGACGGACCAGAACTGTTAATGAAAGAATTGCAAAAAGGAGGAAGTCATCAGTTTTATGGAAAAAATTTCTGGGTTCCATGCAAGTCACTGCAATGGCAACAAGACCCACAATTAGGCCTTTAAAATATGGTTCAGTATTAAAACTTCATGTAACAGGATCGAAGAACCTTTCACCATCGAAAATATATGACTCAAAAGGAAAGAGAAAAGTTTCAATGGCACAGTTAGTTAAATTAAGAGATAGTATACAAGATAGAGAAATAGGAAGAATACCGGAAGATATTGCACAGATATTATATCCGTTGATTGATGAATCCGGTGTTTCATTTGAAGTTACGTTAGTATATAGTGGTGAAAAGCGACTAAGTATAGGGGATAGTTTTATTATTCAATTGGACTGCTTTTTAACATCGGACCTTTTTGAAGAAGAACCTGTTAGTTCTCAGCCAGATAGCACTTCATTGAAACAATCTGGTTGGGAAATGTCCACCAAAGCAATCTCAGAAACACAGGAAGAGGTTGCGAATAAATATAAGAGGGTAGGTCTTCTGGCCTTATTTAACAAATTAAGGATAAAAGAGGTCACTGATGAGACAAAAGCTTTGGAGAATATGAATAATAGTCAACCTGATATTGTAGATCTGGAAGATGACGATACATTCGAAAATATTGTAACAGACAACATCGAAGAGGAAGACATTAACCATACTGACACAATGGATTTAAACCAACTTCAAAATTTTTATAGTGTTGCACAGTCCTTAGAAGCTTTAAAAAACCTTCCTGAAACTACGCCATCAGAGGAAGTCATGAAATTAAACTTGAGAAGATATCAAAAGCAAGGACTGACGTGGATGTTAAGGAGAGAAGGTGAATTTTCAAAGGCAGCCTCCTCTGAAGAAGTTACCGCCCCAGATGCTATGATGAACCCGTTGTGGAAACAATTCATTTGGCCAAAAGATATGTCATGGGTATCAGAAAGAGAGTCAAGTGTTCCAAAATCAGATGATGAAAATATTTTCTTTTATGCTAATTTGCACACAGGTGAATTTTCTATGGAAAAGCCGATATTGGTTACCGCAATGAAGGGCGGTATTCTTTCTGATGAAATGGGATTAGGTAAAACAATATCGACATTGTCATTGATACTTACTGTACCTCAAGATTCTTCGGTTGAAACTAAGGACTTATTTGAAAAAGAGGTGCCTGAAATGCCGCAGAGTTTAAGCAAGAATTCCCAAAAACCATATGCCTCGAAAACAACATTAATCGTTGTTCCAATGTCCTTACTACACCAATGGCATTCAGAATTTGAAAAGTCCTGTGGAGATAAAAATTTACATGCCGAAATATATTATGGTGGTAATGTGAGTAACCTAAAAGTTCATTTAACCAAAAGTAAAAACCCGCCAGCTGTTTTGATTACCACATATGGTATAATTCAAAATGAATGGACCAAACTTGCTAAAACTTTGGGACCTGAGATGGATTTAAGTCTAACCACAGGATTATTCTCTGTATCTTTTTATAGAATTGTTTTGGATGAGGGTCATATAATAAGAAATCGACAAACAATAACCTCAAAGGCAGTCATGCAATTGAGTGGTAAGTGTAGATGGGTGCTAACAGGGACCCCAATCATCAATAGACTCGATGATATGTATAGTTTGGTGAAATTTTTAAATCTAGAGCCGTGGTCGCAGATCGGATTTTGGAAGCAATTTGTCTCGATCCCCTTCGAAAACAAGCATTTCAAAGAGGCATTTGACGTCGTAAATTCAATCTTAGAGCCAGTTTTTCTAAGAAGGACGAAACTAATGAAGGATGTAGATGGTAAGCCATTGGTAAATCTTCCACCTAAAGAAGTTATTGTTGAAAGGTTAAAATTCAACGAAGATCAAGATATAATATACAAACAGTTATTAAATAGAGCAGAAGATTCGGTCAAACTAGGATTAGCTCGAGGTGATTTATTAAAGAAGTATTCTACAATTTTAGTTAACATTCTAAGACTAAGACAAGTATGTTGTGACGTCAGATTGCTCGGCTCACAAGATGAAAATGATGAAGATTTGTCACATAATAATTCGATGTTAAATAGTCAAATCGATATAAGTTCATTACTTAAGAATAATGAGGCAGGTGCGAAACCAAATGGATTTAGTGAAAAAGAATTGGAAAATGCCATTGAAAGCCTTAATGAAAAATATCCTCGAATTGACGATAAATCATCATTCGAGTGCTCCATATGTACCACAGAACCTATAGATCTGAATGAGATGCTATTCACAGAATGTGAACATCCCTTTTGTAAAGGATGTTTGTTAGAATATTGCGATTATCAACATATGAAAAATCTTGACATGAAATGTCCATTATGTAGGCACGAAATTTCAAAAGATAGATTATTAACGTTGAAAAAGAATAATGACGGATCATATGAACCAGGACATTTCAACACCAAATCTAGAAGTTCAAAAATAGTTGCATTGGCCAATCATCTTCAACAACTCCAGGATTCAAGTCCTGGTGAACAAGTAGTTGTATTTTCTCAATTTTCAAGTTTTTTGGACATCCTAGAGAATGAATTAGGAGAAATTTTCCCTTCAAAAACGACAAAAATTTACAAGTTTGATGGTAGATTAAGCTTAAAGGATCGTAGTGCCGTACTAAAAGATTTTCAAATCAAAATCCCAGGGATGCAGAAGATTTTACTATTATCCTTGAAAGCTGGTGGCGTTGGTCTAAATTTAACTTCAGCATCGTATGCATTCATGATGGACCCGTGGTGGTCACCTAGTATGGAAGATCAAGCTATTGATAGAATTCATAGAATTGGACAGGTGAACAACGTGAAAGTCACACGTTTTATAATGGAAAATAGTATTGAAGAAAAGATGTTACAAATTCAAGAACGAAAGCGGACTATTGGAGAAGCTATGGATGCTGATGAAGATGATAGAAGAAAGAGAAGAATAGACGAGATTAAGATGTTATTTGAGTAAGTATTGATAAATTTATAGAATAGATAATTAAAAACAACTTCCAAAAATATTTTTATATTGGTCAAATAAGCATTTCGGAGCTGCTCCGAAACTCATTCAGTACCAGCTAAATGTAAACAAAAAATAAAAATTTAAGGTCATACTTTTTATAACATTTATTTAGTGGATCAATTATACCAACCACTACATAATAATACTCCTTGAAGTTGTACTAGAATAAGCTTTGCAGCAATCAGGCGACTATCTTCAAAATATAAAATCGATTGCTAGAATATTTGACATATTTTATTACGGACTCTTTACTCTTCCAGTTAGAGCCCAAGAACACCTCTGTATCTTATACCTCTAACGTTCAATTTTTTTTTTTAAAAAGGAATTAAAATACTACGTGATATCTACAAAACCATATCACATTCGTAATACTTCACCTTCATTAAGTATTTCTGTCACCTAAAATGACTTAAAATAGATATTTTCACGTGATTCAAAAATAATTTTTCCGTAGTTCTAGTAAATTTTTCTGTTCGCGATGAGGGAAAGCTTGAAAAATTTCAAACAGTGATGATTTAAAAGTATTTTCATTTTTCAATCGATGAGCTGTAACATATTTAGCCTTAAAAGTAACTAACTCACAACTGAGCCATATTGATACCAATCTAAACAAATCTTATCATCCCGTTATCAAAATGGGTACGTATAGAAAGAGATTTAACGAGAAGGCAAGATCCGGCCATATGGCCAGGCTGAAAGAACTAAAAAGAGTCAGAAATAAGCAGTTTCATAGAGATGAACCTGAATCTGAAAATATAAAAGGTGACGAGGTTACTGAACTAGACTCTAATTCATCTATTCTAAAACCCATGACTGAGAGTGAAAAGCAGGAAAAGAAACGTAAATTGGAAGACCTATTTACTCCTAAAGAATCAAAGGTATCTAGGCAAAAAAAAAAACGGTTAGATAAGTTTATTGAACATCAAATTAAAAGAGAAGAAAAGAAGGCATTGATAAATAAATTACAAGACTATAAGATAGATACATCGTTACTGACTAGCTCCAAGAATCTGGGGCATGGTAGACAAACAAAGAAGGAAGAATTTGCTGAAGCACTAAATCTGGAGAAACAAGGCAGAGGTAATGCAACTACTGATGAGATATTGTACGAAGAACACACCGCAAAATCATGGGACGAAGAGCAGTCAAATAGCTCAGTAGAAGATGAAGACTCTGAAAACGATGATTCAGGGGAAGACAATTTTGAAGACAAATTTGGTACAATTCCAGAAACAAAGAAATCCTCTTTTATTGATCATAGACCAGTTAAATTAGGTGGCCAAGGCGGTTTCGGCTTTGGATTTTCTAACATCAAAATTGTGACTAAAGAAGATAAGGTTAATAGCACAATGCCAAAGAAGAAGTATAACTGGAGACAACGTGTCGAATTACAAGAGAAAAGGCAAATCGATGAAGAAGATGCCCAAGATTTTGATTCCAGCTCTGAAGAAGAAAGTGAAGAAGAAAGTGAAGAAGCAAGTGAAGAAGCAAGTGAAGAAGCAAGTGAAGAAGAACAAGTAGGAAGTGATGACTCTTTGGATGAACAAAATTCCAGTTTTTCTGAAAATGAAAGCAATGAGCACAGTGATAATGATAACAGTGATGAAAAAACAGTAACTGTATCGAAAGATAAGAGTGATATTGCAGAGGAGTTCAAAACATGGGCGAACCAAAGTATACGAACTATGGAAGGTCGGGATATCGAAATGGTTACTCCAACATTGAGCTCTGAATATCAACCAATTGTGCGTACGGAGGACCTCGATGATGGATTACCAACTAGCAATGTTCCTGTTGATGAAACATCAAATAGAAAGGCTTTCTATGTTAAAATAGAAAGATCTGAAGAAATACAAGCAGCAAGGGTACAACTACCGGCATACGCCGAAGAACATAACATCATGGAAGCTATTCATCATAATGACGTCATAATTATTAGTGGTGAAACTGGTTCAGGTAAAACCACTCAAGTTCCCCAATTTCTTTATGAATCTGGCTTTGGTAATGATAAATCTCCTGACTACCCGGGTATGATAGGTATTACACAACCTAGAAGAGTTGCAGCTGTTTCAATGGCTAATCGTGTTGCAAATGAACTTGGTGATCATGGAAAATATGTTGCATACCAAATCCGTTTTGACTCATCTACAAAGAAAGATACCAAAGTTAAATTCATGACCGATGGTGTTTTATTGAGAGAGATGATGGAGGATTTTAAACTAACAAAATATTCATCAATTATTATAGATGAAGCACATGAAAGAAATATCAATACCGATATACTTATTGGTATGTTAAGTCGTTGTGTGCGTCTGCGTGCAAAAGAGCATGCTCAAAACCCACAGGGTAATAAACGTTTAAAGTTAATCATTATGTCAGCAACACTAAGAGTCGCTGACTTCAGTGAAAATACTACCCTTTTTGCAACTCCTCCACCTGTATTGAATGTAACAGCAAGACAATTCCCTGTATCTGTGCATTTTAATCGTAGAACGCCGTTCAACTATACCGATGAGGCTTTCAGAAAGACATGTAAAATCCATAGCAAACTTCCTCCAGGTGCAATTCTTATATTTTTAACAGGCCAACAAGAAATTACCCAAATGGTAAAGAAATTAAGGAAAGAATTTCCATTTAAAAATAAAAAAATAAATGTTAGTAACGAAATTTCAAAAATCAAGATCGATTCAAGAAATGCTGACATGGAAGCAGAAGATATAGACTTTAGTGTTCAAGTTATTGACGAAGAAAAATTTAAAGAAGAGATTGGTCCTGAAAATGACGGATCGGATAACGAATCAGAAGAAGAGGAAGGTTTCGAGGAAACATTAGAGGAAGGTCAGACAGAGAACGATCCTCTATATGTTTTGCCCCTATACTCTCTACTTCCAACCACCGAACAAATGAAAGTCTTTGAAAACCCTCCTGCTGGTTCTAGACTCTGTGTTGTCGCCACTAATGTTGCTGAAACATCATTGACCATACCTGGTGTTAGATATGTTGTCGATTGTGGGAGGTCCAAGGAAAGAAAGTATAACACCGAAACTGGTGTACAAAGTTTTGAAATTGATTGGGTGAGTAAAGCCAGTGCAGGTCAAAGGAGTGGTAGAGCTGGGCGTACGGGTCCCGGTCATTGTTACCGACTATACTCCTCTGCTGTATTTGAACGTGATTTTGCTCAATTTTCACGTCCAGAAATTTTAAGAACACCAGTAGAAAATGTTGTTTTACAAATGAAAAGTATGGCTATTCACAATATTACTAACTTTCCGTTCCCAACTCCACCTGAGAGATATGCTTTATCCACTGCTTTACAACTACTTCGTTACTTAGGTGCATTAGATGACAAAGAGAAGATTACTAGGGATGGTAGAAGAATGAGTTTGTTCCCATTATCAGCAAGGTTTTCAAAAATGTTATTAACATCAAATGAACACGATTGTCTACCATATGTTGTTTCAATCGTTAGTGCATTATCAGTAGGCGACCCTTTCATATCAGAGACAGAGTTGGGTATTGGTGCTATTCCAATAAAGAAGGTAGATGTTGAAGATGAAAAGGAAGATCATAGTGAGGATGACGATTTATCTCAACAAGAAAAAACCAATCTACGTGCAAAATTCCGTAAGGGTAGGAAGCTTTTTGATAAATTAGATAATTATTCTGATGTTTTCCGAACATTGAGTGCTGTCTGTGCATACGATTACGTAAAGAGACCAGACAAGATGTCATTTATACATAACCACTTCCTTAGAGGAAAACTTATGGATGAAATTGTCAAACTAAGAAAACAACTGATGTATATTATCAAATCAAATATATCTGAAGAGAATATTGCCGTATCAGTTAAGGATAGGGATCTTTTAGTTCCTGTTCCAACTGAAATCCAAATTAAATTATTAAAACAGATGGTTTGCTCTGGGTTCCCTGATCGCGTTGCAATTAGGGCTGATGCATTATTTCCTGAGGATGCAAAGATCACAAATAGAACCAACATCATAAACATCCCATATATTCCCGTTCTTACCAAGAAGCTGCCAGAAATTGAAGAATGTTTCTCTTATATTCATCCAACTTCCATCCTGACCAACAGCGGTGAAATGCCTCCAAAATTCTTAGTATTCTCTTCCTTACATCAGAACAATAATGGTAAAACAAGAATGTCAACACTATGTGATATCAAGAGCACTGCACTTGCTAATATTGCGAGAAAGGGTTCATTACTAGACTACAGTAAACCATTGGCTGGTAATGGTCTTAAGACAATCAACATGTCTCCCACAGAACGTTACTGTTATGTTGTACCACGTTTTGGTTCTAACGTTGATAGCGACATTAAAATTGGTTGGGATTTAAACCCAATCCCTGTTCACCAAAGAAAGATAAACGGGAAATGGGTTGTTGAAAAATTTATCACAAACAAAAACTACAAGACGCTAGAACAGAAACAAAAAGCCTGATAGAGTCAGTTAAACATCGAAACAAAACCAAATCAAAACAAAACACAATATTATCTCTGCATAGTAAAGTAGCATACCCTCTATAATTTTTTATGTATTTATAAATTTACCTTTTTTTACATTGCACAATATCATCAACTACATCTGTGTAATCTATATACAAAGAAATAAATCAAATGTTACTTTCATGTAATATCTTTTAAATTTTACTTGAGTGCTACCTTGCTTAGTAACTATCTACGAATCCTTGTAACAGTACCGAAGAAATCTGTTATTTATTTTTTCCTTCAGAAAGGCGAATTCTGGGAGCGACAGCTAAACAAACAAACCTAAAGACAAAAAAATAAATCAACAAATTCCAGAAATAAGTAAAAAACACACAATTGGCGTTTATTGACCGTTGAGACTCTTACAGGACTGCTAATAAAAAAAGAATTTGATCTTGATAACAAAACTACAAGGAAAAATTATATAAGGTAATTAATAACTTTCCTCCAATTACTAAATACCTAACATTAAGAATGTCTGCTAATGAGTTGTTAGATAATCTACAGGTCATATTGAAAGCTGCATCCACGAAATGTTTTGTAGTGGATGAAAAGTTTCCTAGCAAATTTTCTGAGATTAATCCTTCAAAGATATATGACTCTTACATCAAGTTTATGAGTAAACATGCTGCCGAAGATGGTGTGTCTATTAAAGATGAAGAAGCACTGGAATTGACTACTATATCACAGAAATTCGATGAACATGCCTATAAAGCCGAGAAGAATGGATTTTATAAATTATATCACGATATCACACTTGTCTGCCTCAATTTAATACATTATTATGCCCCAGGTTCTAGATTCTACCAAATGGTAGATAAATTCTACAGATTTGCTACTGAGCTGCTATTAAGAGAATGCTACAAGATTGGAGTGCAATTAAGTTCCATCGAGGATGATATTGAAAAAGAAGTTGAAGAGGAAGATGCCAAAGATGTGGAGAAAAACGAATTAAGTGAAGCTATTTCATTGGATTTCATAAAGATATCGACGTGCTATAGACTACCAACATCCCAAACATATCATATAAAGACAAAAGATCATGATTTATTCTCATCGATAATTTCAAAATCTGTATTAGATCATCGTCCTCAGGAACTTCCAAATTCTCATTTTGAAATAAATAGTATTATCCCACAAACAAATCTATTTGAAGAAGCACCAAGGCTTGGGTTCCTTGCTGCTAATACTAGCAATATCCCTGATCCAACTTTACCTCCCACTGAAATGATGTCTCGTTTTTTACATCCTAATTGGTATGCATTACCAACTACTACTTGGTTAAACTATGGGGACTACAAGAGTTGGGCACCACCTTTCGATGAAAATGGAACCGTCATGGATTCTACTACTCGTGGTGAGATTTGGTTAAAAAAGATAGGTTATAATGAAATTATAAGCCAAAAGACCAAACAAGAAGAAATAGAAAAAGAAACTGAAGAAAAAGAAAAGAGTATAATAACATCTGAATCGGAAGAGAAGGATGAAACATTGAAGACTGAAAATAATAACACTAATAATACTGCAGAAGAAGGTGATGAAACAGACACAACAAAAATACAAGATGCTGATATGAGTGGTGCAGAATCTGAAAAATCGGTAACAAAACTTGAAAACATTTTTAACTGGCAACCTGGTAATTATATCGAAAAAGATGAAATTGAATGTTTCGAAAACGGTACCGAAGATCAATTAATAAATGACTCACTTTCGAAAATACAAAGGCTAAGGAAAATAAGAATCGAGAAGAAAATATCGAAGCCTACTAACGAAGAATCAAACTTATATTATAAAGTAAAAAGACTGTTGAAAGAGGTAATTCTTAACAAGGAGATTGAAAACTTACCGAAAAATCATGCAAGATATATGCCAGTATTACAAGCCAACTATAATGGTAGTATACCAGTTGTGAGGGCTCAACCTACAAGAAGAAGAAAGTATAAAAAATAATCGAAGCCTTTATTGAGTTTTAAATAAAGAAAATAGTACATATTTATTTAATCTTGAAAAATAATGTACCAGTTGTAATTATTAAATTTTTTGTAAATTTTGATAGGATGAATGCTTAAAAAATTCTATAGAGTTATCGTGGTATATTTATATAAATGTCATTAAACTTTCAATTCATTAAAAAATAATAATAATGAAAGCTTAAGTTATCAAAGGAAATAAACACAGAGGTGGAAGAAGTTAATTAAGAAACTTGCAGAGCCCGGGGCTCAGCTAATTTTGTCTCTTAATGATGAATAAATGCAAAAGATGGTTGTTATTAGTATGGGTTAGTAGTCCAGAAAAATCCGAACTTGTTCTTAGAAATGGACATCACTACCCATTAAGAAGGATCCAACTAAGTAACAGTTCAAACCACCAATGGTAGCCCATACTAAAATAGCAGAATATGTTAATAGATTGCTATTAGTGAAATCTACTGTTTTCATACCAGTATTGTGACGAACCAAAGATGTATTTTCATCAATATTATCATGGTCATCAATGTGATCAAGTTCGTGATGTTCATCGTAAACAGTCATAATTTTTCTATTAGCAGTAAAATAGATCAAAGGTGCTGAGACCACAGGTAGAATCAAAGATAGAACAACTTGGGATAAGTTTAGAATATCAGAGATACCACGTTCACCCATGGTTAAAGTAACAAACAAACATGGAATAATGGCGATTAATCTTGTACACAATCTAGTAGCCCATGGTGGCAGAGTCCATTGAATAAAACCTTCTGAAACAATTTGACCTGCCATAGTACAAATGATACCTGCAGATTGACCTGAGAATAACATAGCCAAAGCGAAAATTAAACCTGCAGCTGGAGAAATGTAATGTACCAAAAGTTCATAAATGGAGAGTAAATCTGCATCGGCTGCTTCTGGTTTACCAGCCAAACTTGCACCTGCAACAATTAAGATTGCCGAATTAACAAATGTGGCGATTAAAAATAAGGAAATAATTAATTCTGCGTAAGAAAAATGTAAAGAATAATTAATGGCACTCAGGCTTGGTCTTTCGCTAACTTTACCGTACTTCTTTTTATCATAATGATTTAATCTTGGTTTTACAATGGAAGAACCTAAATACAAAGAATGAGGCATCACAGTGGCACCCAAGATACCTAGCGATATATATAGAGCCTGTTGATTCTTAAATATCACATTTGAAGGCATGAACCCCTTAAATAGTTCTTTCTTATCAGGTACACTGATCTTAAACATTTCTAATAGGAAACATAAACAAGTTAAAGATACCAATACACTAACGAAAATTTCAAAAGCACGTACTTTTTTCAAATCTGAATCCTCAGGTGTATAAAAGATTAAAATTATCAGGACATCTAATACAGTTAATATCACACCATACGTTAAAGGAATACCAAATAAAATCTGTAAAGCAATGGCTGTACCAACAACTTCAGCTAAATCTGTAGCAATAATAGCGATTTCAGCAAAGAAGTATAGGGTTAAATTTAACCATCTTGGTAAATGACGACGACAGTTTTCCGCTAAATCATACCCTGTAATCGTACCTAATTTAACACAGAGACACTGTAGTAAAACTGCAAAAATGTTTGAAATAAATACAGCAAACAATAATTGATATTTAAATTGTGCACCACCTGATACACTAGTTGAATAGTTACCAGGATCCATATAAGCGACACTGACCATAATACCAGGTCCTATAAATTTTGCAAACTTCCTTAATATCTGAAATATAGAAGCCATTTTATTATGACTATTTTTGAATGTAAACGTATGTATGAAAATAGTTTGTTGACGTTTAGAAGGGTTTTGATGACTATTTATTGATAATAATGATGATAAAAAAAAACAGAGAACAAAACACGCAAATATATGCTATAAAGATGTTGTTAAAATTTAAATGATTAATATGACTTTAGAATACTCAAACAATTATGCGGATGAATAAAAAACAAACTAAAAGTCAAAGAGTGTTATAGTTGTTGTTGTTATTAAGTATGTCGTCCAATATTGTTATTATTATTTTTTCAATATAAGAATCCGATGGAATGAAAAATATTATTAACCCTTTTTCAAGATGCTTGAAGTAATCTGAAAGTAAAACAACAATTGATAAAGACGATCAGAAAAGTGAGAATTTAAGAAATCCGGTTATCCTTTCTTATATATAAATATTTAAATGCATGATGTAAGCTACGGCAAACCAAGAATCATAGGATCTACCATTTCTTCATCGTTGTCAGGACAAAAAGAAAAAAAAAAAACGTAAAAAAGGTCTCCTCTTTGAAGTTACTTACCACTGTTAATCTTGTTATTAGTCGTAGATGTTATTTAATATGACAACAGAAAGATATTTCATCCATCCATTATTACTATTCCATCAACATTGTTGCATTAAATCACAAGAAGAAAGGGCAGATATGAGATTACCCAAAGAGAATATTAGTGCTTCTTAACTCATCTTCATCAATAATGAGCGTATGATGAAAATAACCAAAGAAAAAGCCGTAGCACAACTCTTATTTTGTTTTTGTTTCTCGTACTTAGAGGGAAAACCTCTTTTCTTAATAACTTGTTTTAGGCCATCGGGGGGTGCACTTTTGATAGGCGGCCGTATTATGTGAGGTACGCAGACTACGGCAGATTCTTTGAGAAAATGTATATATAAATATTTTTTTCAGAAACAGTCAGTGAGGGATGCACACCCATATTTTAGAATATCGTCTATTAGTTGTAAAGTGCTCAATAAGCACCATTTGGTCGTAACATTTGAGTTGCTTTTTAAGTTTTTATTTACATGGCCCCAGTGGATTAGGGTGTTAGGGGAATCATCAAATATCTATAAGGCCCGATATTTGACTGTGATTCTAAAGTGATTCTTGCAACAGGTACAGGTTCACATCACCAAGTTGTATACGTATAATTACCAATTTTAATATTAATAATAAATACATCTAAAATACTATGTTCCTGTACGTAAGCGTATGTTTTGTTAATATAAGAATAAAATCTTAGAAGTAAAGCATAAATTTAAGGAGTTTTGTAACGAAAGTAAGCCTTGTCAACTTGTTTTTGAAATTCTCGTTTCTTTTCTTGTACATTTCCGTAGGAAATGTGAAAAAAAGAAAAGATGCGAGGCGAGGCGGTTGGTTTTTTTGTCATAGCAACCGGACCTGTTCTGTCGACTATATTTAGGTGTAGAGAAAGAAGATATTTGAGGTGCTCAATAGGAAAGAGGTCTGGTCTATTCTTATACAGCCAAACCATATCTACGTACTTCAATGCCAAAGAGAGAAATGTTGTCCCTTAGGCGACACGGGGTTTAAGTTAAGGGTGAAGGAAACGAATTTTTCTTTTTATTTCTACTGTAGAGGTCATATATATGCTTAATAATTACATCAAGAAGTTCATGTTGCCATGGCATCCGTTTCGAAAAACAGAAGTACAACATGAAAAAGAGAAACCAGATATTTTCTATCATGATTATGCTCCTTTTCTATGGCAACACTTACTATAACTTGGTAGTACGAATAGTTTGTTCTGCTAGTAAAATATGAGGGTTTCAAAATTTTCATGCCTAGTACTTAGCATACTTATTTTTTAGAGAGCAATTTTAATTTATTAAACATTACGTTCATTTACTTGATGTATCGCTATTAAAAATATACCAACCGCTTGGTGTAACGGTGAGACATTTCCTTAAAGAACCCTTTTCTTTTCGATCGAAAAATAAACTTTCTAACTTGCTGCAAATATTATGCGACGGCATTGACTGTAATTTTCCACCTTTAAAATCCTCTTCGTCCTTCGTAACAGTCATATCATTGGGATAATATTGTAATTGTAACATTTGACTATTTGTGTACTCTGAAAACATTCGGATACTTCTACCTTTCTTTGCTGCTACTAGAGAGTTAACGATAGGTCTCGATTTTGTACTGTTTTGTTGTTTTACCTGTAATTCTATTAATTTTTCCTCTGTATCGCTAGAGACACGTCTTTTCCTACTGAGTAGTTCATTTAAGGGCGTGTCATCTACTTGGCTCTGCATCATAAAGTCTTGCTTCTTTTTCGTCCTATTAGAACTATTCATCTTAGCGATAATGAAGGGATTGGATAGTGACATATCCTTGGATAAATACAAGTCCTCATCATGATCCACTATATTAACGTCATTCTGATATTTTAATGAGGACTGAATGTCCTCGTCCTCTTCCGAACCAATTATTTCAATATCCAATGTAGGCGATTTCTCTAATAATGTATGAGTCCAATCATCATCATCATCCTCTTCTTTTTCTTCCTCATTAGCACCATCTACCACTTCTATCGATTTCTTTATATCAATGACATTATCATGTTTTTCATCGATATCGACCTCCTCCACCTTAGAAACAGTTCCCATATCGGGATCTGAAATAAAAATTTCTTTCTTCTCAAGTTCTTCGTCCCCTTCCCCTTCTTTACCTTCTTGAGGCTGCACAACAGTGGATTCGGTGTCGTCAACGTACCCAATACTTAACTCCTTAGATGTATTAAAGGGTTGCGATAATGTTTCAATTATATCATCCGAATGATTTTCATTATCTTTTGTGGGAGAGTCTGGTTTAATATTAAATTCAACTTCAAGTACCTTTATAATGCAATTTCGAATTTGAATCAGTAAAGCATCGTTATCTTTCAATAATATGTCATTCTTTTCTGGTTCAATATTAATATCGATAATTTTCATATCAATCTTGAAATTAATGTACCACACATGAGGCTCTAACAATTTTAAATCTCTGTAAATAGAATTAATAGTCCTATTAACCTCTTTACCGAAGTACAACTGAAGAGACATTGCCCTATCGTTCACTGAAAGAAATTTCATTGTCTTCTTATAATCTATTACATCAGAATTAATTATCATTCTCGGTAATATCATTTCTATGCTGATGTGTTTATTTATATCTAATGATTTTATTTCCAAAAAATTTAATGATACTGACTTCCTTAATTGAAGGATTGCTGATAATGCTCTCATCTTCGATATATTCGTAGTGACACTTTGTTGTAAATTCTTTGTCGATACAGTACCGTTCTTCTTTAAAGATACGAACGATAAATTAAACCTAATATTCCTAAAATCTAAGGTGTAGTGGTTAATCATATATTTAATTTCTTCTAACGTACGCCGTATATTAGATCGCATTTCAATATCTCTAGATCGGAGTCCACCTAGCAATTTTCTGATAGTTATTGTCGTACCAGGTGGAGTGGATGATCTACTTACACTATCTGTCTTGACCTGACCATTTACATCAACAAACCATTTAGTCCCAATTGGATCATCTTTGGTTCTTGTCATTATTTGCATAGATCCAATTTCTGCACTTAAAGTTGCTAACATAAAGAGTGCTTCACCTCGAAATCCCAAAGCGCTTAAATTTTGTAAATCATCAAATGTTGTAATCTTAGACGTTGTATGGTTTAAGCAAAGTAGACTTCGATCTACCTCACTTATTCCAACACCATCATCTCTAACGCTGAAATAGTCACATCCACCAGTTTTTGAATCTACATCAATGAATATACTTTTCGCCCCTGAATCGATACTATTATCAATGAGTTCTTTAATAGCTGTAGTTGGTCCATAAATAAACGAACCCGATGTAATCTTCCATTGTGAACCTGTTTCTATCTTGTGTATTGCCATTTAGTTTCATTAGAATGGCGAATTCACCTTTTATACACTTTAATTTATTGTATACTTTTGTTATTTATAACCTTTAATATATTAATATATGCCTATAATTTCCTATTGATAATGTTTATTACTTTTAAATGTCGCGGGCATCTCAAAGGTAAACAAATAAATAGCATTATTAATTATTAAGCAAAAGGTACATGAAATTTGAGAATAGTATATATAAGAGAGCAAACTTATTCGTTTGTAGCTTAGCTAATCTAGTATTGATAATACTATTGTGTTAATATTTTTCTTTTTTTGGCAGCTGGAATATCTTGATTTCTAAGCACCTGTGACCAAAATATGTATGATACTACTACAAATGGTTTAAATTGAGAATAACGTAATAAACTATTTAGTTTTAAAGAAGAATCAATTATTATATAATCAGAAAAAAGAATTTCAAATTGAAATTGAAATTTTTTTACATTCTATTAACAATAGTTAATTTATGATAACCGAATTACCAAAGAATGATAAAAAAAAAGCACAAAGAAACAAACAATTCTTTCTTTTGTAGCGTTAGTAATGAAAATATTAAACCAGTAGTTTCATGAATATACAAATATATAAAAATTAAAGTAGAGTAAGTATGTAGTGTCTCCTTTAGGAAGCTCATCTTCCTTATCGACACGTATACATAAATAGAGAGAGGGAAAAAAGGGAAAAAAGAAACACACATAAAATAGACAAATAGAATATTAATAAACTATTTGTTCACAATGATAACCAATTAAATGTATATATAAATGAACATTTTCAGTATGTCAAAAATGGGTCACAGTTATGTGAATTAAAAGGAATAGTTTCTTTTTCTCCTTGACTAGTTATTATTTTTTTTAGTTCATAATTATTCTGAGTTTAAATCAGCTGGGAAAATACCCTTTTCTCTTTGGTCATCCCATGTTTCGATCCAGTCGACAGGACATAAAGCAGAATAGGTTTTCCAGAAAGTTTTGCATGGAGCAAAATCTTCACCCTTCAGGTTTATACATTTGTGGTAATCCACATATGATTGCCAGCAGTGCTTGGTTTGATTTTGTTGTGGGAATCTAGCATCAAAACCGACAGTGTGTAGTGGAGTTTCCTCTTTTTTTGTAGTTTGTTCACTCATTATATTAAATGTATCGTTATATTAGTAGTTGTAGTAGTTACGTATGCTTAAATTAAAAACAAAGAAACAAAGAAAGTTAATTGATCAAATAAAAATTTAATGTATGCAAAAAGTTGCAAAAAAAGTATGTACCAAAAACCAAAAAATGTAGTTTTCTTGAAAACTTGTTATGTATAGTTTGTTATCTTTTACTAATTCCTTTCTTTATATATATTATATTAAGTGACCTATTTAATCCCGGCCACACACTCTATGTGTTTCTGCTTGTGAACCCCCGTAGAGGCTCCTTGTTTCCCGTGATGGCAACAGATTTTATCGGTTGAAACTGCGAAACGGTCTGCGCGGGCCACTAATAGTTTTCTCCGAAGCGTTCTGATTGGTCTGTTTTCATATTACTACTGTAAATTTTCTACAAAGTGAAACGTTCAATGCGTTTCTCGAGGACTCTAATGCAATATTAGCAAGAACAGTCCTTGGTGTTAGTACACGACATGATTACCGCATGTCCCTTACTTTAACGTGATATTTAGTTGTATTTATATGCATATATATATATATATATGTATAGTGAAAAATCTTAGCGTGTGGAGAGGAGGGGCAGGTTAGCCGTGATGACACATCTTATAGCATTTCCATAGCTCTATTCACTAAGTCCGTGTTATTTTCTTTATCAAGAGCCTTCAAGATACGGATTAGTTGGAAACACATGTCCCAACTATCTGAGGCCTTCTTACGTTCCCTGGTGCTAGCTGCCCCTGTGACTAAAATTTTCAAGATATGTAACATCATCTCTTGATCCTTTAAAATGTTCGGTATTGAATCCATTTGAGTTTGAGTAATATCGGCATCTTGTGCTAAATCTTGCATTAATTGGCCCTCACTTTCTTCTCCTTCATCGTTATAGTTTAAAAATACTAATAATAATATACCTAACACTCTAGTTTCATTGCATTCAATGCATAGTGCTAATAAATCTCTGGGAGTCATATCTAAATTAATGAATAACTGTTTCCAATATTTGACTTCAATTTTTCTTAAACAGTTACTAACGATCTCTAACATATCTACGCTTTGTAAATCTGTCGTTGGTAAATTTGGGTCATGACAAAGTTTTACTAATGTTATAATATCTGTTAAATCCTCTTGATTAATCACTTTCAATGAAAGTATCTTTTCTAGTGTAAATTTATAATGTTTTAACGGATAATAATTCTTTGTAATTGATTCTAGATCGACATTTGGTGTTTGTAATTTAGTTATGATTAATTTATCTAAATATATTTCATATTTCACAACCATTTTGGCCAACTCTTTATTAAATACACATTTCAATGAACGGAAAGAAGCAGTATCGGGAGTGACAGACATTGGGTATAATTCTTCTTCAATTGGTATTCTAACTATTGGTTCCCGACTATCCCATAGATCTTCAAACCGATATGCAATCATATCTTTTTTTTGAACTAAATATATTTCTTCTTTAATGACATCAATAATTCTTTCAATACCATTTAATATATTTTCAGTTTTCCAAGATTCTCTTTGATCATTCTTTTCCATCTTGAACATTTTATCCTTACATTGGATCAAATAACCATCCTTATAACTTGCTAACCATCCAATCTCACTTAAAAACTCCAAATCAATCATATGAATCTTACCAACTTCATAAATATTTTTCACTATATTTAGCCCACCAACTTCAATATTTGAAATTATATCAAATACAATAAATCCGGTATTGGTCACAACAATAATTTCCCCTGTCTTATAAATTAACTCACTATTGTTAATGACCTTAGATTCACCTTTATGTCTCATCTTCAATAACCTATATTTAGATATGGTATTTATAATAACATTGAAGACCTGTGTAGTCTCAGGTATTTCATACTGCCAAATAATATATTCAGAGAAAGGTTTAGGTGTAGCTTCTTGCATTGGAATTCTACTACAGATGACCATATTTAAATCATCATCTGTTCTAATATGACACACTAAATAAGATGTACCTAACCATTGCATATCAATGATCAACAATTCTTCATATCTAGTCCATGTGTTAGTTTCCATATTTTGAATTAATAATAAATCCTTATTTGCAATATGAACTGCCAATAGTTTTTGGTTTTCATTGACACATATATTACTAATACAATTATTGATGGTCTCTGTTGGTAATTTAATAGTTGGAAATACATCGATGTTTGTAGGTCTGTCATTAGATGGGGAATAGAGCACAATCTCATTACTGTTATTATTGAAGATGTGTGTCTTGCAGATACGGAAATTTGTAAATGACCCATTATTTAATTCGTATAGGGGCCATAATTGATATTCACCTGTCTCAGTAGTTGTTAATAAAGTTAAATCGAAATGTATCACATCGGTATATTTAAAGATAGGAAAACTACGAGTATCATCCTCATCATACTCTGTAGAAAATAATAAATTACCAAATCTAGAGAAAATTTGAAGGATATTTGTGTTTGTTAATGTAATAATTAAATCATCACTCAATTTTTTACAAATTTTGATTGGAGTAAGTAATGAATATTCATATTCAATTTGTTTAATTTCTAAATTAAAATGAACAATTTTATTTTCAAAAACAAGTGCCAAGTTTCCATTCATATCGAAAGATGTAATTAAATTTTTTTGTTGTGTTATTGCAAAGGATTTCACATCTAGATCCTTCATATCAATTGTATTAATAATTGGAATTTGTGTATCTGGATATTCACCAATGACTATAACGTTTCCATCACATACTGTGATACATTTACCATGTTCTACTTTAATTAAAGAACTCTTCCTTAATTTAAAATCTACAAGACTTAATAACTGTAATCCGTGAGGGAATAAAATTAATAAATGTTCTTCAATGGTTCCATCACCAACATTAGTATATTTTTTAAAGCCTAAAACGTCAATTATATTAGAATCAAATTTTAACACAATCTTTAATCTTAATTCAACTTTTTTAATTGGTAATTCTGTCACATTCTCTGGGTTTGTATTTAAGATTTGTTTAATTATACTTTTATCCTTTGATGCAGGGTATCCATCTTGTATAACTTTTGAACTTTTCCCTTTTTCAAACACTGTTAATGTATCTTCATCATCTAAATTATAATCATAATCTTGTTCTAATTTGCCTTTAAATTTATTTGGATTATATGCAGTGACACCATAATCTGTAAAAATATTAAATGGAGTCGAATTTTTCAAAATTTGGTAAGTTAAAAGATAATTATTACTAGTTTGAACATAAAATACGATTTTACCTTGAAACCAAACTAGAGAATCTCTTTCTCTTTCAGAAAATAACCCTGCGATTGGTTTCTCAAATTGAATAGATGGCTTCACAGTCACATTTTCACCAAATTCTTGTAAGGAACTAATACTACGTTCATGAGAGGATACTAATGCAAATGGTTTCATATTATAGACCAATACTCTTGCTGGGGTCAACATTATCACTAGGTTAGATTGGATCAATGGGATTGTCTTAATTATATGGTTATCATCTAACTGTAACCCTTCGTTTTCAGAGGAACGATTTGGGATCCTTAACGATTGAGGAGGACATTGTGGCCATACAGACATTGGAGAATGCGAAAAGAAAATAGAAAAATGTTATGACTAGTCTTAAATGACTGATTGTATAGATCAATAATCACTATACCGTTGTTAATAATATGTTATCCTTGTACATATATATATATATAAACCAAAAGACCCTTTGTTATATTGTCTGATGTTTAACAGTACGTAATGGATAAAATATATGTAAACAGCAGCGTTGTAAGTAAACATAAGCGTTTCCCGATTTCTACACGCCTATATAAATTTTTGCGCCTTGCCTACGCGGGGGTCTGTGTGAAATAGATATGACAGTGACTATATTACAAGATAACAATAAAGAACAATTATGTACTAAAATAAAAAGAGAAAGATTAAAGTTAATATTAAGTATATCGATGTCCTCATATATATAACTTTATAGAAGTAGATGGTGCTATAGTAGTATCCCCATAACTATGACTAACATATACAATGGAGCCGATAAAGACATGGTATTAGAAGGAGGAATACCATTATTTGAAGTCTTTGAAGTCTTCGTTGTTTCAGTTGATGAGCTAGAACTAAATAAAGTGGAAGAATTCGTATTGTTCCTTGATGATTGTGCACTTATAGAATTTGTAGTTGTATTAGTAGTAGTAGTAGTGACAGAATCTAACATAGAACTTTCTTCATTGCTGACACTAATAAAATCTCTTGGTAAATACATTGTAGTAATATCACCTTGTTTTAGAAGTGATGAATACCAAGGAAAATTTGTTACGAATGTTTGAAATTCGGTATATGGGAAAGAATTAATAATATCCAGTTCTAAATCTATTGTGCTTGGTAATTTAGCTAAGTGATTATAATAATCAGCAACTTGTTGTGGCAATTTTAACTTATTTTCAATCATATAAGATGTATATGAAGGATAGTTTGTATCAAAATCATTTAAAAAAGCTATAAAAAATTTGAAGTCTTTTTCTTCTGCCATTGATCTATAAAGATATTGGTCATCAGAGATAGTCGAGGCAGTAACACTATTAATTAAAGTGAATAGCGTGAATAATAATACAGTGGATAGCATTGTTGATGGTGTATGTATACAGTTGTTGATTAGGCATATATATTGCAAGAAAAGCGAAATATATAAAGGAATAATTGATGAATGGCAATAAGGTCATCGCCATATATATATCTATATATATATATATATATGTTTGTGTGAAGCGATGGCATTCAGATAAACTGTATCGATTGTTACTGTTAACAAACCTCTATACTTTCTTCAATACATGTAGTACTATGTATATGTCCTCAAAACTATGAGATGAGAACCTTTCTCGATGCAGTTTCCTAAATAGGTTTACAATGAGATATTATTTTAAAGAGAACAAAATGCGCACAACATTACACAGAGAGGAAACGAAGAAAAAAACACCCAAAAAACGAAGTTCAATTCAATTTACGTATAATGTCTCAGCTCCATCATAACTATATTGAGAAGGTGCCGAATATAATACAATAACTCTATTTCAAGAATAGAATACAGTAAGATGTTTGCTCTATATATAATAGAACCACCAACTTCTGATATGTATATATATCCTACTATCTTCATCACCACTCTAGTATACAATGGCAGGGATATAACGAGTGATAACTCCGGATGTTGCTCTCTTTGTGAAAAATTAAAAAAAAGAATTCGTTTTCTATTCGCTGTGTTTTCTCTCCATAGTAACAGAGTTTGGCAGGGATGGATGGATGGATGGAGAGTGAAACGGGGAAAAAAGGGAGTGGTTGATATTTTTCAGCTGTAAAGGATATGGCTGAATGGGAAACTGATTACAGCTTTTCAATTGGATCTCCAACTGGAAATATAAAGGACTTGTGATTCGCAAGTATATAAATATGCAAGAGTTGAAAGAATAATTCGATAAATTTAGGTTGTTGTTCTCTTTTGTGGTTGTGTTCTGTGTATATTTTCAATTTTCCGATTCCTGTCACTATTTATAAAAGCCACGCTTATATCTATATAGTATTTTTATTGTAGAATATTAGATCAAACATGGTTAAAGTTGCTGTATTGGGTGCATCCGGAGGTATTGGACAACCATTATCTTTATTATTAAAATTAAGTCCATATGTATCAAAATTGTCATTGTATGATGTTAGAGACCCAACGGGTACAGCGGTAGATTTATCTCATATTAATACAGTAGCAGAATGTCAATCTTTTAATAAAGACCAATTAGTTGATGCATTGAGAGGTGCAAGAGTTGTTGTTATTCCTGCGGGGGTCCCTAGAAAACCTGGAATGACTAGAGATGATTTATTTAAAGTTAATGCAAGTATTGTACGCGGACTTTGTGAACAAATTGTTCAAACTTGTCCAAATGCAACTGTATTAATTATTTCAAATCCAGTTAATTCACTGGTTCCAGTTGCTGTTGAAACATTTAAAAAATTTGGTATTAATGATACTACTAAAATTATGGGAATAACTACATTAGATTTAGTTCGTGCAGAAACATTTTTAGGTGATTATATGAATCATTCAAGAGTCACAACAGTTGGTTCAAATCAATTTGACAAGAGAAGAATGCATAAAGTTGTTAGTGTTATCGGTGGACATTCTGGTCATACTATTATTCCTGTAATGTTATTAAAGCCAATGGTGTACATGATGAAACCAGGTCAATATGATTCTTTTATTCATAGAGTTCAATTTGGTGGTGATGAAGTTGTTAAAGCAAAACAAGGACAAGGGTCAGCTACTTATTCTATGGCTTATGCGGGTTATAGATTTGTTGAATATATATTAAAAAGTATTCAACATGAATCACTTGAAGGATTAGGTTATATTCCTGCTTACGTTTATTTGCCAGGTTTAAAAAATGGTTCGATTGTTCAAAGTAAATTAGGTTCAAAAGAATTAGAATATTTTTCAATTCCAATTAATTTAATTAATGGTCGTATTGAATCTGTTGATACTACTATATTAGATAAATTATCAAAACAAGAAAAATTATTAGTTGATAAAGCTATTCCTGAATTGATTGATAATGCAAAGAAGGGGCAAAAGTTTATTCGTAATGCAGCCAAATTGTAGAGGCAAACTCAAGGATCCTCTTTTTATCTGTAAGTATTTTTTTATTTTTATTATTCCACTCAAATTTTATCTCAATACATATATATTCGTAAAGAAAATGTTATTATTATCTTTTTAATTTACTTCTTTCAACCTTCTCCCGATTCAAAGATTACTTAAATTAACAAAGGAGAGATCTTGTATTTAAAGGAAAATAATATAATGGGAAGGGGATCCTCTCTCTACTATAATAGAGCGAGAGAAAAGTAAACGCCGAACAAGCGAGGCATATATATATACATAAAAACAAAAATTAATTTATATATTTGTTCGGAAAACAAGAGAGACAAACAAATAAACGTAGTTAAAATTTAAATAAAGATTGACGTTTTGAGGGGTCCAGCTGAACAATAGTGCTATATATAATATATATATAAAGAGACAGATACGTAATGAACCGTAAAAAAAAGTGAAAATTTTGAAATATTGAAGGATAGATAATAAGTCAATATAGGTAAGAAAAAAAACAACTTATTTCCATATGGCGATGACTACTGTATTAAAGAAGTTATTACCCTTTGCATTTCCTTCAAGGACGAAACAGGAACAATCAGAAGATAAAAATACACGTCGAATGGTAATAGTATCTCGATCAATATATAAAAAGCAACAAAAGAACAAGAATGCTAAAGTAAATAAAAAAGATATTGAACAACAACAAGAAGAACCTAAGTTTCCAATTGATTATAAAGCACCAAATAATGACCCTATGTATATTGAAGCTATTGATGAAGCAATACGCTATAAATTAATTCACCAAGGTAATGAATCAGATATTAGTACATTAACAACAATTGGTAGAATTATAACTCAATATCAAAAGGATAATAATCCATATAGACAACATTATAATGGAGTTCATATTGTAAGAAACCCAAGTACAAATAGTGATAACAGTAACAATGAAATTATTAATAAAGATACAAATTTAAATAAACAAATTTCTATTGATACAATAGCTGGGACAACAAATATTACAGGAACGAGACGAAAACCATCTAAAAAGAATCGTAATACAATGATAGATCCTTTGAACGATGTTACTAACAATAATATTAATGAAATTCATTTATTAAATAAAAGGTCAACTAATACCATTGATCATAGTGGTGGTAGTTATGACAGTTCAGATAAACCATTAAGAAAGAAGTTACAAAAGAGTAAAAGCAAAAGTAGTCGATTAGATAAACTTAAGATAAATAAAATGATTATTCAAACCAATACAGAAAGTGTTATGAAAGGTATGTATTATAATAAGTTAAAATTATTTAACTTAAACTTACTAACTCCAACCCCCGTTGTTCATGTTTTAAAAATAAAATTTTAAACTTTTAACTGTTTTACTGCCATTAATATTTATGGAATATGATAATTAATTAGGATACGGGAACTTTATGAAAAGGTGCAAAATATAAGATGAGTTATTAAAAACAAAAAAAAAAAAAAATGATGATTACAATTTTTAAATGTCCGAATTCACGTGACTTCCAGATTCTCGGTGTCCGAAGAAAAAAAACTAAAACGGGCCGAAAATAGAAAGAAACAAAAAAATAGGGGAATGCGCCGTTAAAATCACATCATACAATAAATGTGTAGTAAATGTTCATATTGATTTGAAACAAAAGAAAATGAACCGATTACTATATTTTTGTTTCTCTAATTTCATTGGTTAGTTTACGCTTTAGTATATGGCTGATTTTACTTAAAAATGATTACTATTATTGGTTGGTTTGATATTTAAAACAATAATAACAATGAGAGAAGGAAAAATTAAATAGAAAGAAAGACACAGGGTTCAAAAGCGAATACATACAGAGCGGCGATAGGTATTGAAAAGCTAACTTGTTCATCAATCTGTTGACTTCTTGATCTCTCCATTTTATTTGATTTTTATTCTACAGCACTATCTCTCCCTATCTTAGGCATTTGAATGAAGTAAAAGAAAACTTCATTCGTTAGCCCAGTAAATCATATCTTCTTCCCGATAAACTCTGTCATCTTAACATTTTTTTCTGGCATCTCAACTGCCAACCTATAAACTCTACGCTGTATATATTTGACGTCCTTTAACGTTCATTGACATACAAAGAATATCTCTCACTGAATTTAAAAATCCGCTTCACACTCTCTCTCTCTCTCTCTCTCTGTGACAAATATAGAACGGGAAAGAGAAGAAAAACAAGGCGCTGTTCTCCGCACACATATCAGAAGAAAAACAGAAAAATTCAGAATTGGAAGCATACAGAGAGACAACCAGGCCGCTCACTAAAATCTGTTTAAACCAATATAAATCAATAATATTATATTTTATCCCCCTTGTTTCCCGGCTCAAAAGAAGAAAAACATAATAAGCTGGCCAGAGAGAGGCAAAGAAACAGAAATAAGTTACTTGATTGAATATTTGTTGTTGTTGTTGTTTTTAATTAAATTAAATTAAATTCAATCCCTTTAGTACTTGCATTCAGATAATTATTATCATATTGAAGTCGCCATTAATAACTAATTTCTTAAACTATCATATACCAATTTTTTTTTTCTTTTTCCTTTTGATTTGATTTTGATATACTCCTACCCTAATAACAACTTTGAGGATTAAAAAAGTGATTTTTGTGTTCTATTTTTAAAAAGAAACCACCATTCATCGAATATAAGTTGATAGTAAAACAAGTTGAAAAAAATTGATTAAAAGTTTTTAAAATAATAATAATAAATTAAACACGAACAACTTTAAAAATGAATATTGACTCATATACTAACAAAGAAATAGTACATAAACAAGTATATTACGGACATCCAGGTTTAAATGGAGAATCAAGTGATGATCATTTAACTCCAATACAGATATCATTTCCAACAACAGAAGTAATAGGACATGGTTCCTTTGGTGTTGTTTTTACAACAACAATACAAGAAACTAATGAATTAGTTGCAATTAAAAAGGTTTTACAAGATAAAAGATTTAAAAATAGAGAATTGGAAATAATGAAATTATTAAAACATCCAAACATAATTGATTTAAAATATTTTTTTTATGAAAAAGATGAACAAAATGAAGTTTATTTAAATTTGATTTTAGAATGTATGCCACAATCATTATATCAAAGATTACGTCATTTTGTACATCAAAGAGCATCAATGCCAAGATTAGAAATTAAATTTTACATGTATCAATTATTTAAATCATTAAATTATCTTCATGAACATGCTCATGTTTGTCATAGAGATATTAAACCACAAAATTTATTAGTAGATCCAAATACTTTATGTTTAAAACTATGTGATTTTGGTAGTGCAAAACAATTGAAACCAAGTGAACCAAATGTTTCATATATTTGTTCAAGATATTATAGAGCGCCTGAATTAATATTTGGTGCAACAAATTATACTAATCAAATTGATATTTGGTCAAGTGGTTGCGTTATGGCAGAATTATTATTAGGTCAACCAATGTTCCCAGGTGAGAGTGGTATTGATCAATTAGTTGAAATTATCAAAATTTTAGGTACACCATCAAAGGATGAAATTTCAACAATGAATCCAAATTATATGGAACATAAATTTCCACAAATTAAGCCAATACCATTAAATAGAGTCTTTAAAAAAGAAGACGATTTAACTGTTGATTTCTTAGATAATACATTAAAATATAGTCCATTAGAAAGATTTACTGCATTAGATTGTTTGTTACATCCTTATTATGATGAAATTAGAATATCAACGGATTCACAAGTTCAACAATATGTTAAAAATTTAGATTTACTTAAATTCGATCAAGATATTGAACAATCTCATTTCCCAAGTGATAAAATTGATGATATTAGAAAGAAATTATGTATTGAATAAGCTATTATTTTACAACAGCAACACATAGAGACACACACACACACACACAAAGGACTATGCCCCCTCACGGCCTCACGGCCTCACTCAACTTTAAATTAATTCAAAGCATTAGTGCACATTAAGAATTAATTGTAATATACTACTCTATTTAATGGTATTAAATCCATTATTAATAATGTTTGTTTGTTTGTTTTTATTTCTTTATCTTATCATCGTCATCACATCTGTACAAACTATTGCCCCCCCCTATAATAACATCTTGCCCTTTCACACTTTTTTACTTCATCACCATTTAATTTTTTTGCATTTTTTATTCTACTTTTCACATTCAAATTTTTTATTTAAAAATTAAATACCTACAATAAATATCAAATATGAAAATAATAAATATATATTTGTATATAGAGGGATATCATTCAAACTGGGATTGGCTTCATAATTGTTTCAATCAGCAGGTTCTTCATCAAATAACAAACAACATATTTATATATAGCTATCCTGTTAAGTACATATCACTTGCAGACCCTTTAAATGAATATTTAACTCATCGGTATTATTAAATCTGAACCTTAAACTTCTGTCTGCTAGTTTTGACTTCTTCGATGTTGACAAAAAATTGAATTGTTATCCGTCCCAGGCAAATTCTGCAGAGAACCCAAGAAACTATGACAATAATAATAAGTTGATGCGATTTGGAAAAAAATGAAAAATTGAGCATATTTGGCAGCACCGACTACCTTTCACTGACAGAATGGCTTGACAATCAATATACAGTAAGAACAGAAGCTGTACAATAATTTTAGAGTTGATGAATAGTATCAGATAGGATATTCTGCCGCATCTTCGAAAATTGTAGCTGTTCTGTTAATTAAATAGACCCTTTTCAATGATTTGAATTTATTGATGTCAATTTATTCTATCTTACATTTGTTTATCTTAATTCAGCCTTGGACACTACTAAAAATACCATTGTGATATCTACAGTCTATTTGTCGTTGATTTGATTTGATTTGAAAAGTTTTGAAAGTCATATAGTGTGTGAAAGTGGAAATTATTAGGTTATTCGTTTGTTTGCTGTTAGTGTTTTCTTGGTATGGTTTATATTGAAAGTGTTTTTTGATATATAGATTGTGAAAAGGTTGAAAATTGTTTCTCATTAATTTTGACATTTAAATTTTGGAAGAGTAAGATATTCTCATCGACAATTAAGTTATGTCATCATACTCACAGATAAATAATTTACCTCCACGGATTTCCGTAGGTGATTATATTTTCCATAGATTGAGACAATTGAAAGTGATGACAATATTTGGTTTACCTGGTGAATTTAGTATGCCATTGATGGATAAATTATATAGGGTTCCTGATATGAGATGGGCAGGTAACACTAATGAATTGAATGCTGCTTATGCTGTCGATGGTTATTCGAGATTGAAAAGATTAGGTTGCATAATTACGACGTTTGGTGTAGGTGAATTATCTGCAATGAATGGTATTGCAGGTTCCTTTGCAGAACACGTTGGGTTATTACATATTGTTGGGATGCCACCAACTAGTGCTACTACAAAACAATTACTTTTACATCATACTCTTGGAAATGGAGATTATGAAACTTTTTTTAGAATGGCTAATGATGTTACATGTTATAATACAATTATTATAGATTCGGATTTTTGTGCCGATGAAGTGGATATGTGTATAAGAATGGCCTGGGTGAAACAAAAGCCTACCTATATGGGAGTTCCATCGAATCAAATAGATTTACAAGTGGATTCAACACGTTTAGATATTGATTTAGATCTCCGACTGGATCCTTTGATTAGTAATAATAATAATAATAATAATATAGCATATAATGAAATTGAGAGTATCAGAACATTAAGTAATGATTCTCTTGAACAAGCAGAGTCGCAAAGGATGGAAGGAGAGATTACAAAGATAATATTGAAAAGGATTTATGAATCGAATAATCCAGCTATTGTGGTAGATGCATGTGTAGCAAGACAAGGTCTTTTAAGAGAAACTCAGTTATTTTGTGAATTAACTATGTTTCCAACGTTCGTTACACCAATGGCTAAAGGGATAATAAATGAGGATATGAATAATTTTGGTGGTGTCTTTACAGGATCAATATCTTCACCTGATGTTAGAGAGATTGTGGATTTTGCAGATTTGGTAATTGTGATAGGTTGTGTATTGGAAGAATTTAGTACATCAAGTTTCCATTTTAATATTAAACCAAAAAATCGAATAGTTATATTCGATGATTCTGTAAAGATTAAAACCGTTGCATATCCAGATATTAATATTAAAAATTTGTTAAAAAATATTTTATTCCAATTAGAACAATCAAAAATAAATTATTCGTTTCATAAGAATCTAGAGTTACAAGTACCGAGACAAGAACTCACTAGAGATCAATTGCTTCGACAGGAATTGGTTTGGGGTGAATTTTCACATTGGTTTAGACCAGGAGATATTATTATCACTGAAGTGGGTACATCTGCATTTGGGATCATCCAAACGAAATTTCCGAAGAATACATGGGGTATTTCACAAGCATTATGGGGATCTTCCGGTTATTCATTAGGTGCATGTCTTGGGGCATCATTTGCGGCACAAGAATTGAAACAAGAAGCAGCAATGTATGGGAATGTAAATAATGATCAATTGAGTCATAGGGTAATTCTGTTTGTTGGTGATGGTGCATTTCAAATTACTATGCAAGAATTATCAACAATTATAAAGGCAAATTTAAAGCCATATATTTTCATCATGAATAATCAAGGTTATTCTATTGATAGATTTTTACATCATAGATCAAATGCTAAATATTATGACATTCAACAATGGCATTATTTGTCTTTACTTTCAGTATTTGGTGCTACCGATTATGAAACAAGAAAAATTATTACTATGGGAGACCTACAGGATATGTTGGGGGACCAAAAATTTGCAATTAATGATAAAATTAGAATGCTGGAAATTATGGTACCATCAATGGATGTTCCTCAGGCAATCATTGATAAATGGCAAAGAGAAAAAGAAGGCAGCAATGTAATTAACGAAAACGATCATCCTCATTCCATTGAAACTTCAAATAGTGATGTTTTAAGTTGGAGTGAATCACCCTTAACAGAACTTGAACCCGATCGTAAGAAAAGATATTTGTAACCGTTAGATAAGGGTTTCTTCGGTTCCATATTTTTGCATAAAATTCTTATATTGATTTGTGACATTATTTTTTCTCTTTTTCCTTTGTATATATAGTTGGCTTGGTTAAAAAATGGGTACTATCATATAACATTATTTAAATATTCTACAACAATACAAAATAAATTTGGATGAAATTTTACATTTTGTTTTAAAAACACCCTTTTAGACCTACCTCTGCCTGGTGATGGCATGCAATCAGAAATAAACAAAACAGAGTAAATAATTAAAGGACATGATTTTATACCCATTTTTAAAAACACCTACATTCTACAAACCACCATAAACAATAATGATCAATCTTACTTCAACGTTTAGTTAAAATAAATAAGAATCAGTTAATAAAATGTTACATATTCAAGTTAACACTGCTTATGGAAAAGGTTTCATATGCCTACAGTCCTCATACATCCTAGCGTTATATTTTATTTTCTACTAATGAAATAAGTTTCATGATTTTTCTATTGTAGTTCTTCCTAATATCCTTCCAAACCTATTGCTACATATATATATATATATATACGTATTTATCAAATAAATTTTTAGCCGCCAAACAACTTTTTGTTTCAATTTAATCGTCTCGCACGGCTAGGTCGTGGATAATGATCACGCACAAAATTCGAAAATTTTTTTGAAAATTTCAGCGATGCGGTCTCAGTGGAAAAATGTGGGCAGAGCAGGAAATTCATTGAGAGAGGACTTCGTGACAGCTTACGGAATCTTGACGAGTTGTATTTACTATCAATTATTAAATTAATAACGATATTAACAAAACATTGAAACATTTACGTGTATAAATTATACATCTCTTGATATTTTGAAAATTTAGTCTTTAGTTGAAAGGGAACCAATCATATAAAATGTCTGACAACGTCGAAACTGCTCTATCTTACGCTGCTCTAGTTCTAGCTGATGCTGAAGTTGAAATTTCTTCTGAAAAGCTAGTTACTCTAGTTGAAGCTGCCAACATTCCAATCGAAGGTATCTGGGCTGATATCTTTGCCAAGGCTCTAGAAGGTCAAAACCTAAAGGACCTTTTGGTTAACTTCTCTGCTTCTGCTGCTCCAGCTTCTGCTGGTGCTGCTGGTTCAGCTGCTGGTGCCGCTGCCGGTGAAGCTGCTGAAGAAGCTGAAGAAGAAGCTAAGGAAGAATCCGATGATGACATGGGTTTCGGTCTATTCGATTAAGGAGAATATTAATAAATTTAAATTTTATATATATAATAATATTTACATCTATATTTTCTTTATAGAGTTTTAGTGCATACTTTTTTAATAACAAGAACTTAACCTATTTGAATATTGGTTGAACTTAAAATACAAAATCCATCGTATATAGCAAAATATTAACCATTGGAACAGTTTTAAGTTGAATGTTAATGAAATGAAACGCTCAATGTAAGGGATCAACAGCTTACTTATTTTTTGTTTTTTGCGAGCTATAGTCATTACTTAATGTAAGCATTTCTAGTTAGGAAGAAGATGATGATGTAAAATTATAAGTGATAAGTTCCCATTATACAATGTACATAATATATATATAAACAACAGAACGGAAAGAAAAAGTATGATGATTAAATATTAAATTTGTAATATTAAGCTTATTTCTTCTTTTCAGCTTCAGCTTCAGCCTTTTCTCTGGCTCTCTTTTCTCTGATACCCCTGTATCTCTTTTCAGATCTGGCCATTCTTAGAGTTCTGTAAGCAGATTCACCGTTGTCTTGAACAGCTCTGGTTTCAGTTTCAACAGCTGGTTGAGCAATTGGGAAAGCAGCAGCAGTGGATAGAACTTGTTCGGTTTCTGGGACCTTACCGTTTCTTGGGAAAACGATGATCTTGGATTGGTATTCCTTTAATCTTTGGACGTTTAGTTCGAACATTTCTTGGTTTTTGTTTTGACGTCTGTGGTCAACAGCAATACCGATGGTTCTGGCGTAAGCTGGGGTTAGACCGGCAGCCTTGACTTCACCGAAGGTGAAACCTCTACCAGCTCTGACCTTTCTGTTGTACTTGATGGTTGGAGCTCTGACAACTGGTCTTAGTAGGTCCAATGGTCTTGGGGCAATCTTAGCAGCCTTAGCAACTCTGGCGTCTCTTCTAGAAGCTTTCTTACCAGCTTGGTTGAAGTGGACCTTGACACGTTCTTGCCAGTGCTTTCTGAAATGGTTCTTTAGTAATGGTAGGTTCTTGGAGATAGCTGTAAAATGAAAAAGGTATCAATGTAAATAAATAACGTTAGTTATAAATATATTGATCTCATTATTTGTTAGTAAATTGAATATTCGTTAATCTAGTTATAATAATTTATAAGATTTTTAAGGCCTAATAGATTGTTAGATATGTGTTCTTAATCAAAGATACACATCATGTTATATGGATATTTACACTCTCTATAATGATATCCTCTGGGAGTTTTCTGGGCTCCATATCAGGATCAATATCTTTTAACTTGTATAGTCTTCCCAGTATACATATACAGTGCGTTGATTTCTCATCGATGCATCAAATGGTACTCATATTAACTTAAATGTTCATAAAATTCATAACATCCTGTCTGTTCTTAACATAATTTCCTCATATATCTTATATTCGAGTTTAAGTTCCTTTATCTAACTTGTTCCATTATTTCATTATCAATCTTATCCTCAGTTATCTAGTTATAACATACCCATTGCGTTTGATTTTTCTTGTCGATCTGATAAAACAAACTATAAAATAGAGGTTCAAGACTATATAAGCTTTTAAATTTACATACATTCATATATATTTACCAGTCTTTAATTTTGTTATTATGTTCGGTATACCATTGAACTGTTTGTTACTACTGAAACTTCCCAGTTCTCAACCTGTGTGATGCCCTACCGTTAGTGTATTGTGCCCTTTGCCAATAGTCAATAAAAATTCTAATGGTAATTGTGCTGCAGAGTGGATTTGTGTTTCATACTGAGTTGCCTCGTTGTATTGGCCTGGCGGGAATTAATGGAAAATAATCTTGTGTCCACTCTTCCTTCTGGGTAGAAACTACAACAGAATAGGCAAAACCAATTCACCAACTATTAGAGGCGGAATGGGGTTGGAAACCAGTTAGCCTGGGCGGGAATGGAAATTTTGGTTAACCTCTTAGACAGAAGTGGATGCGCATAGTCTGACATTGTCTTCCGTCTGCGACAATATCAGAGATGCTTACTGAAAAGTAAAACAAATATTATATTGACCGAAAATAAATATATTTTCATTTTTTCATTTTTTAATATTTTCAAAAATGTAAGGATGTAAGTGCAGAGCGCACAGTCACAAAAAATAGAATAGGACGGCACATTCCGTGCATTCTTTATCTATTTGTAACATCTCTACACCGCATAAGAAAATGTTTAAAAAAAGATTGAAAATGTCAAAAAACTAGTAGAGAATATGAAAATATCGGTAAAATGGTTTGGGACGCGAGGTGAAAAATTATTGGAACAATGTCTTCACCTATAGTTTGTCTAGGACTGGATTCATATCGCAACGTAAGATGGTTGCGATTCTGAGAAGTATGGTGAAGTTGTATTAGGTGCTGTGTGTATGGAATGGACTAGACATAGCTGAATTCAGGATAGCTAGTGCGACCTGAATAGAGCCATAGTAGCAACTTCATGCAATCTGTAGTAGTGAATGCTTGTTTAGTTCTTAAAGATATCATATAGATTAGGTATATTAAGGATATATAGGTATATATAGGTTATTCTTATTATTAATACATTGTAACGTTTTAAAAAACCGAATAAAAATAAGTGCAAGATGTCTACTGTCCCAAGTGTCCAAGTATGTACCATGGTTGGTGTAATAAAATATTGAGATTATGAGTGAAAGGTATTATAATAAAAAGTAAATTCAATGAAAATCGACATATAATATATACCATAATGTAACATGAAACCATATAGATACTTTAAAACAACGTTACATGTCTGAATGCTATGAGCGTTAAGGAATCATGAATAAGAAGATTTTAAAAGGAATACAGAGAAAAACAGGTATTATGTGAGTACTATGAATCGTATCAATCAAGTAATTTAAGTTACCCTTAAGGGAATGATTATACCAAACCTTCTGAGTATTATGCTATCCGTTTACCTTAAGTACCTAGAAGATATCAAAATTTAGATATTAAAAGAATATTGAACATAAAGGAATCTTATATGATGAAGAAGAATAACATTTTATTTATCGACAGATGTGATTAAATTGAATAGTCTTAAACCGGTTTATTAGAACCGCCATATGACACCACTCATACTCCAGCTCCTATGTTTCCTTTTTTTTTTTTTTTACAAATTACTAACGTTTAATGTTAAATTATGATTAATGATGAAATTCTTTTGAATTCATCATTTCATTATATTTAATTCTATTATTTTCTTATAGACTTTCGGTAAGAAGAAGTCCGCTACCGCCGTTGCCCACGTCAAGGCTGGTAAGGGTCTAATCAAGGTCAATGGTGCTCCAATCACCTTGGTCCAACCAGAAATCCTAAGATTCAAGGTTTACGAACCATTATTACTAGTTGGTCTAGACAAGTTCACCAACATTGACATTAGAGTTAGAGTCACTGGTGGTGGTCACGTATCTCAAGTTTACGCTATCAGACAAGCTATTGCCAAGGGTTTGATTGCTTACCACCAAAAGTTCGTCGATGAACAATCCAAGAACGAACTAAAGAGAGCTTTCACTCTATACGACAGAACCTTGTTGATTGCCGACTCCAGAATGCCAGAACCAAAGAAATTCGGTGGTAAGGGTGCTCGTTCCAGATTCCAAAAATCTTACCGTTAAGGAAGATTTCAAATGTCAAACAATTTTATATACGTATTTTTGTCATTTTATCACAACCTCATCTCGTTTTTTGGTATTCCACTTTTTACTTAAATAAACTGTATATTTTAATATCTAGGTAATATAAAAAAAAACGTTACTCACTATAAAATGGTATTACTAATTAGTTCATTATAGATGTAAGGAAACGTGTTCCATAGAATATCTACACTAGCATACTGTTGCGGTTAACTTAACAGAATAAACGTACATGCTCTGCTAATAGGAAGTAGCCAGTGAGTGATACTCCTTTCTGTATATTTTACTCTTTATTCTCCGTGTCTATTTTGATAACTCGCGTTTGTTTGTATACGCGTAAGAATAAAATAAATCTAGTCTGAGGAAAAACAGTACAAAATTGTTTTAGAATGAGTAGTATTTCAATACACATAGCAGATGATTTCAAAGTAGAAAATACTCACTCATTTACCGACATCAACTATCTGTATAATTAGCGATATTTGGTCAAATTAAGTCGATTATATACAAGTTGAAATTATTCTGAATTACATCAATCTCTCGACGACACATATTTTAAAGCATTTTGATTGTAGGTTGAAATAAACAATAACGACTTCTAAAATATTTTATTACACCATGAACACAAACATACCAATAGGCAATGATGAAATAACTCAAAAGATGTCTCCATTGACACCAGAAACCATTGTACAAACAAATGTCCTACAAGCGATTGAAATTGGGAAGAAATTCCTTCAGAGAGAGAAAGACTCTGACAAAACGATAGGATCAAACATACCTACAATAGCACATAATCCAACGGATGCCGAAACCGTAGTATGTTCATTAGTGGATGCATTGACCAACTCATCACAACACATCCAACAACTAAAATTCAAAAATCTGATGCTAAGTGGTACCAAGAGTAATATAGAATCAAGACACGAAGTGGAAGGCAATTTACAAAAACATGAATATGAACGTATAAAGACACAGATGCTTCATGAGAGACAAAATATGATACAAAATTTAAATACCTCTAACAATAAAGTTCAAAAATATAAGAAACGAATTGTAGAGAAAAACAGAGAAATTAATAAATTACTGAAACTATTAAATGATCATTCCATTGATGTCACACAAATAGAATTATCTTCTATCGAACCATCTAGTACATCATCAATTAGGGTAAAATCTCCTGATGATATATCCAAAAACCGTAAAGCTGACATGTTAAAAGCACTGGGAGCTTTAGCTACGCAAGTACTTAATGATGATACCGAAGATGGATCAATTAACCAAACTTATATTCAGAGTTCAATGCGTGCTGAAGATGAAAACATCACTGAGGCCGAAATATCTGTATACCAACCATACAATCATGCCAACCGCAATAACGAAACCCAACAAACAACTAGTTCAAATGTATTATTGCATAAATTTAGTAATGGACCAATCCTACCTGAAATTAAGAACAATAGCCAATTAACACCTGTTGTGTTACCAAAAATGAGGAGTTTTAGCACAATTGACAATAATGCAAAGAAACTATAATATTAAGTATACTTCCATACATTAAAACCTATGTTATATAATACGCACATTAAGAGCAAACATCTATTACTAATACTATTATAAATTTGTATTAAATATATATATATATATATAGACCGTTAACCATGATTACATACGAAACATTTATTTAATAAACTATAATGTCAGATGAGGAATACAACTTAGAAAATGATTACATTAAGCTCTTTTAACTCAAGAATAAAGCCGATGAAGAGGATATGTCTCATTTTCTAAATAAACTATGATATAAGGTGTTCTTGTTTGTTTTTTTGGGATAAATTATTATTTTTTTTTTTAATTCTATTTATGTAATGTTTGGTTATTAAATTATCGTTATTTTATTATATTTTTACCTTCCAAACATCTCATGTCATGGTAATTATATGAACAAAAATTAAAGGGATTCTGAAAGAGACAATTCTGCAATAAAAGTACAAAAATTTCCATTATTTTGTTTAGTTGTTCAAATAAGTTGATGGGTCAATACCTTCTTCTGGGAATTCGGCAATCTTAACGTCAAAACGCTCTTGGATCTTAGCAAGAACTTCTTCGTCTTCCTTGGTGGAAACGAAGGAGATACCTAGACCCTTGGTACCGAATCTACCGGCTCTCCCAACACGATGTAAGTATTGATCTGCTTCATTTGGTAAATCGTAATTGATAGCAAGATTAATACGTTCAATATCAATACCTCTACCAAAGACATCAGTAGAAACACAAATACGCTTTTCAAAGTCCTTGAATGCCTTGTAACGAGCAATACGTTCTTCTTGTTTCATATGACCGTGCACGGTAATAGCAGGGAAGTTAGAAGCATTTAGTAATTTTGTCAATTCATTGGCTCTGGCGGTAGATTTGACAAAGATAATAACTTGATTAAATTCTAAATCATCTAACAATTGTGCCAATTTACGGTTCTTTTCACGCTCTTCCAATTTAATATAGTATTGTTGTAAACCATGTAAAGTTAATTTAGCTTCATCATCAACGAAGATTTCCAATGGGTTTTGTAAGAATCTTCTACAGATTGGTCTAATCTCTTGGGACAAAGTTGCTGAGAACATCATAACTTGCTTGTCTCTTGGGGTAGCTCTAAAGATATCTTGAACGTCCTTTCTCATGTCCAATTCTTCTAGGACTTTATCACATTCATCAATGACGAAGTTCTTAACGTGAGATAAATCAATTAACTTATCTCTAACAAGAGCCTTTAAACGACCTGGAGTAGCGACAACAATATGTGGAGCGGTATCCTTGTTCTTCAATAATTCAGCATCCTTAGCAATTGGAGTACCACCGTAAAAGACAGCAGTCTTAACATCTGGCATATACTTTGAAAATCTCAAATATTCGTTACGAATTTGGTAAGCCAATTCTCTAGCATTACAAATAACAACAACGGAAACCTCACCTGGAACAGGATCCAATTGTTGCAAAGTGGATAGGACAAAAACAGCAGTCTTACCTAAACCAGATTTAGCTTGACATAGAACATCAGTACCATGGATAGATTGTGGAATAGTGTGTTGTTGAACTTCAGAAGGATGTTCAAAACCACAATCAATGATGGCTCTAGACAACTCTGGTTTTAAAAGGAAATCCTTGAAACCAGTAGAATGGATACCGACGTAAGAACCCTTCTTGTCACCATCAGTGGCAGCGGTAGAGGCTTCACCAGTGGCAGTAGCATCTGCGGTTTGGCCAGCTTCACCGGCTTTGGTAGCGTCAACTTGGATCTCTTGTTCGTTATCAGAGTATTCCAGTAAATCTTCTTCACCTTCGTGGGACATTGTTTAAAGTTCTTTATTCAATATGTAGATTGGGTAGATAGTAAACAAAAACAGACACACGTAAAAAAAAGGATATTAACCAAAATTAAGAGTATGCGAAAGATTAACCACTATATGCAATTAAGAGCAAGCTAGTATAAATATCCAATATAACCAAACAAATATATAAGATGATATCACTTAACTAGAATTGTTAATGTTATAGCCCTTACTTTAATAGGTATCATACTCCTTCCATGTGTATGTAAGAGAGTGTATTGACTTACCGCTTGTTGGCGTTGTTCATTTTGTTTATTCCGTGAAAGTTCCAACTCTTTTTTTTTTCGCCAGCTTTAAATTAAGAAAAAAATGAGGGTTACCCCATCTGAAGGGGCGTGTTATCACTGTGTACGTTGATGCGCACTATATCAATCCAAGTAACTAGATCGATTTCAATACCTGGCCATCTTGGCGATTAGCATCCAGGATTGAACAACAACTAGAAGGACAACGGGTAGAAAGAATATATATTTAAGCATTACATACTAGTTGTATTACATAAATATTAAAAAAAAAAATTAACATTTGGTGGAGGTTAGCAACTTAAAAAGAAAACATTAAATGGAGTTACGACCAAAGAAATAAAATTTAAACCAGTCCATCGAGACCATCAAAGTGTTTCTAATTGAGACACACATCGACAGATAGACGATTTTCCAGAATAAGAAAGCAAACGGACTACCACGTAATTGATAGTCTTTGCCAGCAATCTTTAATTCTGCAATGGCTCTCTCGGATCCAATGTAAGCTAAAGTACCTTTATAATTATATTCAAAATTTGGCATCTTATTATTAATAATATGATCTTGTTTTTTCTTTATATCGGTTAATTGTTTTTCAGTTGTACTTGGTAATTGACTCTTCCAATCTAATTGATCCAATTTATGTAATTGTTTAAAAATATTAGCCAAATATAAACCTTCTTGATGAGCTACTTGAGCTGTCGGTGCTAAACCACCATGAAATGTACAATCACCAATTGCATAAATAGATGATTCTGCACCTAATAATTGTAGTTTTTCATTAATTAATAATCCACGACGATCTGTTTGAATCTCAGGTAATATTTGTGCTAATTTACGTGTTATATCTCTTGGCTGAATACCTGTTGCCCAAATCAATACCCCATAAGGAATCTCTTGTTTTTCCTTATTAACTTCAACAGTAATTATATTAGGATCAACACCTTTAACAAAAGTATTTAATTTTAAATCAATTTTAGATTTTTTAATAAAAGCTTGCGTATACTCAATTAAATTTTTGTCAAACATGTTTAAGATATTTGGTAAACCTTCGACTAATTTAACTTGAATATCTTTAGATATCTCTGGCATCCATGTAGAAAGACTTTCATTAACATAATCTTGTAACTCTGCTGCCATTTCAACTCCGGTAGGTCCACCACCAACTACAACAAAAGTTAATAATTGTTTTCTCTTTGGATCATCCATCTCTAAGAAGGCTGCTCTTTCAATATTATTAAGAATTTTTTCCTTCATTCTAGTAGAATCATAAGCTTCTTTAATAAATATCGCATTTTCTCTGACACCAGGGATATGGAATGTAGTACTCTCTGCTCCGACACACATAACCAAATAATCGTAGGGTAAAGTTCTTGTTTCATTATTATTATTATCCATTATTTTAATATTTTTTTTTGTTGGATCTATATCAGTAGCATTTGCCTCTAAATAAACAACTTCACCTTTCTTTCTTTTCAAAATATGTCTAATAGGCTCCATTATAGACTTTAAATCAATAGTACCAACAGGTGTAGAGGTCAAAAGAGGAGTAAATAAGAAATAATTTCTTGGCGACACTACAACAACATTATACTCTGTAGTATCTAATTTTTTCAATAATGACACAGCACCCCAACCAGTACCCAATATTACCAGTCTTTTCCTTGGAGAACCATCCTTAAATGTAGTACTCTGTGGTAATTGTTTCCTTGGATGTAATTCCAAATATGTAATATACGTGAAATATCCTGTGATACCCAGCATGGCAAGCATACTGTATTTAAATAGTTTTTTTGAAACATTAGCTACAGATGATTGAAGCACAGGTTGTTGCTTCGAATAATTAAATTTGGCTTGTTTTGACCAAATAGGTCCTCTATGAAAACTCCTAATGGGGGATATACGAGCCACAGGCTTCAAATTTTTAAAACCAAATAGACTAATTCTATACGATAACATAGTGTTTCGTTTGTATCAATTTAAATTCTATATATCATTTACGCCAATACGTAACAACAATAAAATAATTTACAAGCTAAATTAAATCAGGATATATATATATATATATGTTCATTCTATCTTACCCCTCCCTTATATATGTTTCACAACTCTTGCTTAAGATTTACCCGTCATATTCTATTATTAATATTACACTATGTCTCTCTCTGTGTGACACATAAATTTCCTTCTACTTTAAGGGTACCTTCCTACTTTGCTCACCGCAAACAAACGACGCACAATGCACGGTGCTTCTGAGGACAGCGCTGCAGAACGGACTGGCCACCCTCAAACTATACAATTCCATAATGAACATAAAAGGATCCTCATCGATTAAAAAGAGAGATATACAATACTATAATATAAAGGAATTACTGTAAAAAAGGCTATACACTGATGGGTGATAACATATAGTGGGTTTAGTTAAAGAATGTGTAATACTATTAAGATTAACATACATGTTCAACAGGTTTATTATCATCTACAAATTCACCTAGATCTATTTTCAATTTTCTGTTAAATTGTTCAAATAAGAAACCTAGACAACTTTGAGTAATAGCAGCATCAAATCTACCTTTACTAAACTCATCACGAATAAATGCATGTTGTGCGTCCAATACTTCTAAGAAAGTAAAACGAACACCATTATCTCTTAAAGTCTTTCTAATCAGATCTCTCCCATCTGGTGATACATGTGTATCTAATGTACCAAAGATTAAAACCATTTCTTGATCTTTTGTAGCTTCTTTAGAGACACGTTCTAGTGAATCATCATTCTTACCCAAACCTAAACTCTTTAAATGGATATCAGTTGGGAAGAAACAAGTTGCACATGTAACTCTCTTATCTAATAAAGCTCTAAAGGCTAAATGACCACCAAGACACATACCTGTAGCACCAATTTTTTTACCATCAAAATTTGGTAAACCATATAATACATCACAACATAATTTATTATCTTCATCATAAGATTCTAAAGGCTTTTCAATTTTAAATTGATTACCTTTATCAGTACCTGGTACATCATATGGCAGAGGTTCAGGCCCAATAAAATTATGATAAATTGCAGGTGCTACTACAACATATCCATCAGACGCAATTCTTTGAGCAAATCTTTTAACTGGACCAGTCACTTGATAAATTTCACTATAGACAATCACCCCTGGGAATTTAGCTCCCGGGTAACCTTTGATAGAAGGAGAATAGATATATACACGTAATGTGGTACCATCTTTTGTGGCAACATCCTGATACGATTCAGTAATTAACATTTTTTATTATTATCTGAGGGTTATCTAAAACAATAATTGAACTTTAAAGAAATAAATATATTAAAATATCGATGGTTAGTATGACTGTGGTAATAGCTAACTCATCAATATATTCAATTAATAGGAAAACAATGCTCAATCTCTCTTAAACAACTTATATATATATATATATATATACATAAATTACCTACTCAACCATCCATTTACTCTAATCCCAATGACCCCTTGTTAACTTCATCCACTCATCTCATCGCCGGAGATAACGATTTTCTATTCTTTGCTCCAGAAAAAGCTGTAGAAAAAGAAACTGAAAAATTTCCCAAAGTTTGTTTTGCGTTTCCGTTGCCAATTCATCACTGTATTATATATATATATTCAATAACTCATCGGATTGAAACAAAGAATAAGAGGATGAATAAGTGTTAATTATACTTGCACTCGGTTCATACTGTTGTGATACTGAGGGTGGCTATGTTACTATTAAAGTATTGCAACATTTATTGCAATAGAAATGCTCAATAAACGTTGCACATTGAGCTCAATCAGGTGGATGTTTGTATTCCGAGAAGTTACCAATTGTCTTATATTCAAAGGCAGAAACTTGATGAGGATTCTAGTAATACAAAAGATGAACTTGCGACTCAATTGTAAATGCTCTCTATATCACTCATCTTCCATCCCATACAGTTTCTCACCGATTAGTACTGTCTCTCTTAATTTGTAAGGTCTTAGCCAGCCAAAAGACGTGGAATGTTTTTCAAGCACCGTTAACATTTTTTTATAAGCCGAGAACAGGCTTTGCCTATTCAATAGTATTTTATAACAATACACAATTACAAGCGCAATATATATGGCATAACCGTCTTTGTAACTGCGGTAATTCCAACATTGTGAGAAACCTTCATTCAATTGCTGGTCGAATGAATGGATATAACACCACGAAGATATGTAAAGGAATTACCACCAAAGGAATTCGATGTAAGAATAAAGTCACAAACGGCAAATATTGTAGATATCATATCAACAGCAATAACACAGAACGCAATGAGAATAAAAACAATCATCAAAGAAATACTAGAGTTCCAGGATGGTTTCCTGACTATTTGAACAAACCTATTCAACAGCCTAATCCACGTAGACCTGGTTATATATACATATACACCTATAAATTACTATATGACGGAATCTGTAGTGATGATCGTCAGGATTTAAAATGGCTAAAGATTGATAATTCTATATTGAAACAAGGTTTTGGTGAGAATATTGAGAATATTGAATGGAATGATATGACTCAAATTCTTTGCAAGATTGGAATGACTACAAAAACAAATGTTCAAGCAAGATTGAATGAATGGGAAACGTCATGCTTACATAAAGTGATAAATTTAACTCCTTCAAATATCGATCTATTAATACGTAATACATCACATAGCTCGAAAAATATCCCTAGTTTATCTAAATTGATGAAAAGGTTATCACTATCACCTCGAAAGAAAGAAAATCTCGAAAAGCATCATGAAGTAGTTCAGACTTATTGTAAAGATATTAAACTTTACACTTATAACAATGGTGGGTTTTATTCGGACGGTAAAGGATCAATGACATTACAAGATATAGAAAATGCTGTTCATCAATTATTATGGAAGAAATATGGTAAAGGTATCATCCATTGTTCTGGTTGTAAGAGGACGGGCACTGCATACAAAAAACATATAGAATGGTTTGTTATACCAATCAAAGATTTACCACTAATATTACAAATTATAGATAATTTCTGTTTTAGTCAAAATAGAATAAAATGAATAGCATATTACATTAAATTATATCAAGTTCATTTGCAACATCGAGAGATATATACACACACACACACACACACATATATATATATAAATAGGCATTTTATGGAAATCGAATATGTTTCTACCATTCACCACAATGAGCATACACTTTCTTATAATATCGGATCATTTGACCAAGAGTAGAATTTCGAATCTTGCCCTCATATAAATATTCAATACCTTCACGCCCTTCAATTAATACTCTTATGAAGTCATTAACCAGTTTTTCTGCCTTTTTTTCTTTGCTAACAGGTAAGTATGCTAATAACGGTTTATAGTAATTTCCGTGATTAATTTCTTTTAATTTTAATTCACTACTCATACCATCATGAAACTGGACCAAACCTGCTTGAGCTAAATGATAATATGTTGATCTACCTTCTTTCCCATGATCAGAATCCGATAATGCAGTGACGTTTATAATGTAAACATCTTTGTCATGCCCTACTAATTCGGTAATAAAAAGTTTGGTGGAAATCATCACGTTGATTAAATTGGCATTAATTATGTCTCGACAATTTTTCAGAGGGTCTTCATCAGTAATTCCATCTAATAATTCATTAACATTATTTATTAATACCGTAAATGACAATCCAAGCAATTTAGCCCTAAAGAAGGCATTATTAACTGATTTCCTTTGCGTGAAATCACAACGAATAAAATGGTATAATCCAGGACAATGACAATTTGGATCGTCATATCTGTCGAAATTCACCACCGTAGTCTTATATTTGTGTACTAGTACTTGGCAAAGTTTCTGTCCAAAGGAAGTAGTTGAACCGCCCAAGATCAGCACGACATCTTCTTTGGGATCAAACCTTTTCGTAACGCCAATAATCTTATAGATACTTAGCATTTGAGTATACAAATATTCGGTAAGCATACTTGGGAAATTTCACAGTTTTTCAATTTTAATAAAACTTGTTTTATTGAAAGTTTCTTTAAAACAAATCAATAAACAATATATATCGAATGTATATACTCAACCTTCTTTCTCTTTATATTTGTTCTTGTACTGTCTATAATTTGTGACACCATCCTCTCTCATATTGTCAAGGCTAAAAAAAATAAATATTTGTCAAATTAAAAAAGATAGAACGGATTTTTCACTTAATCTCACTATACACATATAATTCCATTATAAAGAATAGAGGAAGAACCCAACTCAACCAACACAACTATTATTTATTCTAACTGACTTTTAGAAATTATATGGCATTATACTCGTGAAAATACGTTCGATATTGCATTACAATAAATAACATTCAACAAGACAACAAAAAATGGGAACACCAGCCGCCGAACAGAGAAAACTTATAGAACAACTTATGGGTAAAGATATCCAAAGTCGATTTGGTGGCCGTAGTAGATATTATAAACAAAATTTAGGTATACGAGATCCTCGTGTGTGTAAATCCTACCTTGTTGGTAACTGTCCCTATGACCTATTTCAAGGTACCAAACAAAGTTTAGGAAAATGTCCACAGCTACATTTATCTAAATATAAGTTACAATACGATCGAGATATTGCCAATGATAAAAAATATCCTGAGTTTGAAAGAGAATACTATCTAGTATTAGCCAAGTTTGTTCACGATTGTAACGATCAAATAGAGGTAGCTTTAAAAAATTTAGAACATACATCGGAAGAAAGAGAAAGGATTAAATCAGTGACAAAGGAGTTAGATGATATCGACACCCAAATAGGTCTGATGATGCAAGAAATAGAATCTTTAACAACACATAACGAAGTATCAAAAGCTGTAATGCAATCTGTAAAATTAGAAGAAATGCAGGAAAGAAGGAAGGAGATTGCCAAAAACGTTAAAAATATTACAGAAAACGTAGGCCAGAGTGCCCAACAGAAATTACAAGTATGCGAAGTTTGTGGAGCATATTTATCTAGGCTTGATACTGACAGAAGATTAGCAGATCATTTCCTGGGGAAGATTCATTTAGGCTATGTCAGAATGAGGGAACATTACCAGTTATTTAGTAAACAGAGAGACAACTAAATGTTAATAAATGAAAACAAGCATTATAAAATTCCTTTACATTAAATATTCAAAATCTAAATATAAAATCTTTATAAAAAATTTATTTATGTTTTGTCTTCAATGATATCTAATTCGTTATTATGTTATGGGCATTAGTCTCATCAGGAATATCCTCAAACTCGAAAGTCAACCTGTTATATTTCTCCTTAACTAAATCACCGTTTAAAGAGTGAGTTTCGAAGATTGGGTTATGAAGAATAGATGGTTCAAATTTGACGAACGGTTGTCTATAATCTGTTGCATCTACCATCACATTTTGAAATCTTTTGTTAACATTAGGTTGAATAACCTTCTTCTGTATATCATCTATGGTTGCCGATGATATTATTGATTCGTCTACTAGTTTCACTTCATATCTTTGCAATATCACAAAGCTTAAAATTGACCAGTTTAATAGCACTACCAAAAAAGTTATAAATGAGACATCAGATATCCAAAGAAAACCTATTATAGTTGGGTTGAAAAAGACAAACAGTTGAGTCATGAATTTAGTTGGATTCCATTTATTCAATGTATAGAAATACTTATCACTTAATTCATGATCAAGCATTTCGCCATTAGTTTTCTCAAATATGAAGTATTTTAACATGGACCATATATTTTTTCTGCTTATGTATTTGTAATAACTCTTTGAAAGATCATCAAGGGAACATTTGGTTAAATTTGGTGAACTTTTTGAAGGTTCACTGTTGAATATCGAATAGGTTTTGAACTGTTGGTATAAATATGTGTATGATATTTTGATATCTATCAATATCAATACGAACAAAGCACAGTTAATAAATGTGTCAATGGTACTAAACCACGCATATTGTTTCCTTTCGACAGATATTTTGGACGTCAGGTATCGATCTAGATACGGCATTTCCCTCAATGTTTGAGATTTGGATAAATCAAAGGCATTTTGATTTCTATGTTCTTTATAATAATTTGGTTTAACAATGTTATCCTGTAATAATCTCAATGCGTAAAATAATAGAGTAGCACTCATCCCTAAAGGTTTAGCAATTTCAACTGCTTTGGCATCCCAGTTTATAGATTCTATCTGTTCATACACCACCAACTGAATATCTGATGGAGACATAGTCATATAGTATAGAATTTTACGTAGGTAACCTTTAGGTGCATTTATCTCTGATTCATTCATTTCATCATGTGTATCAAGGGGCGACACTCTCTGTGTCTTGGATATTCTCATAGACATGACAAGTTCGTTCAACAAGGGCTTCTTTATTTTCAAGCTAACATACAGTTCATCATCATAAATTGCGTTCTGTTAGCACTCACCAATTTGATGTACCTTGCAAAAGACTCTCATCTAATGAGTTACCTAAGTTTTCTTTGTCATATTGCCTGTGCCAGCCGTAAATCTAACAATTGTAATTAATTATTTTCAACCCAGAGAAAGAGCGAGGAGGCAAGTTGAATATCTGGACTGAATCTAATGATATATATCAGACACAAAAGATATTCAAAAAGCACCTAATGCCGATTGCCTATTTAACTACTACACTATTATTGACATTAACCGCTTTCTCTTTTGCTCACCCTTATAAATTTTTCATTATTGTTAATAATTTTGATAATTCAGTAAATTACGAGCTTACTTCAAAAGTTCAGTGTATAGTACCAAATACAGTAATTTACATGTATACCTGTTGCAATCATTATTGTGGCCTGCATCAAAAACTATCTTTAAAACCCTTTAGAATGTCTTTTACCTGAAAATTGATCGTACTGTTTCTTAATTAAAGTTCATTGTTTTGAGGTTAGGATCTGTTTACACAGATATCGCCGCACAATGCACGCACAACCAGATCGTCTATCCCCCCCAAAAATTAGTCTAACCTCTAAATAAAATTTCAATAAATTTCTTTTAAGGATTTGTTTCAAACCAAAATGGTCATTTGAAGGCTTAGAAGTCTCACTTCGGAAAAGGGTTACAACTACTGTCCAAGAAAAGTATTACGAGAACCTATTGTTTACTTTCAAAAAAGGTATCTGTATATTTGAGTAACATTTCTATAAAAGAGTGCCAAATTATTATTATTTTTAAGTACCTCGATATTTTTATAATTGACATTACTTAACTTGCTATGAGTGCTAAGGATATGGCTAGAGCAAACTACATAAGCTCAAAATTATTAGGAAGAAAGAGAAATACGGTTGAAATTGTTACTGAGGAACCAATTGAAAATATAATGAAGGAAATTGAGACAGATACCACAATCGACCGTCATAATGTAATGGATATGTGCCAGGAGTTATTGAATGAACCCGTCCAAACATTGAACCGTAAATTTGCATTAGAAGGCCTAATGTTTGCATTGAATTCAACAATGCCTCCACAGATGGTAGCACTGGATGCTGCACAAGCATGGACAGTGTACTGGATTACAAATTCTATGCAGGTGTTTGATCAGGAGACATTAGATGATGAGGACAGACGTAAGATAGTTGATAAATTATTCTTGATGTCTAAAGATAAGGGACCATTTAGTGGCGGTGAAAGTCAACTTCCGCACATTGCAAGTACATATGCTGCAATCAATGCGTTAGCACTATGTAACAATATCGATAATTGTTGGGATGCACTAGATAGGAAAGCCATATATGAATGGTTATTATCATTAAAACAAGCAGATGGTGGATTTACAACTTGCAACCCCGTGGGTGAATGTGATACAAGAGGTGTATATTGCGCGTTAAGCGTAGCATCGTTATTAAACATCGTGACAGATGAATTAACTGAAGGTGTAGTAAAATACTTAGAGAATTGTCAGACATACGAAGGTGGATTTGGAGCAACCCCTTTTCAAGATGAAGCTCATGGTGGATATACATTTTGTGCAGTAGCAAGTTTGTGTATTCTGAATAAATTACATACTATAAATGTTGAAAAATTAATGGAATGGTGTAGCGCACGTCAATACAATGAGGAATTGGGTCTGTGTGGTAGAGGTAATAAATTAGTTGACGGTTGTTATAGTTTCTGGGTTGGTTCTACAGCAGCAATGGTTGAAGCCACTACTGGGGTTGAATGCATAAACAAATCTGCATTGCGTAAATATATACTAAATTGTTGCCAGTCGAAAACAGGTATAGCATTAAGGGATAAACCTGGAAAGAACGGAGACTTTTACCATACAAATTACGTATTGATGGGTCTTGTAATCACTGAAAGTACATTTAAATTTAAAATTGATGCTGAGAGGAAATCTCCGTATGATATGGTATCAGTTCCTTCTACAACTGAGAGTGCAACATCTGACCTTATCCCAATAAATCCGATATACGGACTTCCCGCTGATACTGTTGAAAAGTTCCACAAACATTTTACTTGAGTGTGTATAATTCTCTTATATACGATTAAACTTTTGAATAATAAGTCATATCTTACTCTGAGCTTTAATATATTTATATCTACCTGCGCTCTTATACACTTATGAACAATTTGGCCTACGCATTGTGTAATAATAATAATTGCGCCTTAGGGCAAAAATAAAAGACTGTGAATACCGATTACTAGAGGGCAACTACAAAGGAAAAGGGTGAACATCATTAAAATTGCTAGAAAATCTTATTATAAATACGAAACGTTTTCCTGTAACCAATCTTTATCAATTTAACTAGGACTCAACCATAATAAATATTATATAACAATGAGTGTATTAGGTTATAGGGATCCACAGAACAACGTTCCCGGTGGATTTCCAGATCTAGCTGCAAATCAAGTAAACTCACAAAATACTAATTCACACGACATTGTACAAAGTGATCATCATGACGTAAATCAATACACCATGTCATTTAATAAAATTCTATATATATTTCTTCAAATTCCACTCACGTTATTATCATTGTTTCTAACCTTCACAGTATTTATAATTACAGTTACGAACAAATTTCTAAAAGTTACAAGCTTCTATGGTACGGTACACAAACAAACAGACCATAAATCGAACATCGTTGAATTATTGAATACCTTGAGTATGGAATCAAACGGTTCTGCAACTGCTGAGGATTTACTAAGGTATAATTTTGGTTCAGTTTACAATTCAACTAATAGTGTAATTTCAGGGGACAGTCTACAGACAAGTTATTCAGAACTATTAGATGCTTGCACAAAACAGTATAAATTCGGATTCATATATTTGCATGACAAATTAAAAGATAATAGTATGAGTTATGTGAATGACATTTTATGCACTGATCAATTCGTCAATATGGTAAAAAAACATCATGGCTTAATGTGGTTTGGTGATATAACCAAATCCGAAGGATTACAAGCTGCAAATAACTGGAAGGTTAGACATTTCCCATTTGTCGGTGTAATAATGGTGAAAAGATCTAACAAAATAGAACTAATAGCAAGGGCTGAAGGATCGTTAGCTAATTATAATCCAAATAAATTCGAAAGAATTCTCAAAAAAAATCAAGAAACATTAATACAATTGATCCAACAGCGACAAAATATAGAGATGCAACGTTTAATTAGAGAACAGCAAGATTCGAGATTTAGAGAATCTTTAAGAAGAGATCAAGAAAGGAATCGTGAGTTAGAAGAGTCCAGGCAAAGGGAACACGAAGAAGCGGAAGCTCATGAAAGACATCTAGAGGAAGAGAGACGGCAAGAAAAACTTCTACAAAAATGGTTAATTTGTAGACTTCATAGACTTCATCCCGAACCTACAACAGGGGACAATATTAGCAAAGTAGCTATTAAGCTTGCAAATGGTGAACGTATGGTTCGTAAATTTGACGGTAACCTTCCTATTGAAGAAATTTACGCCTTTGTAGAATTGAGTCAGAGAGGTATGACACCTACGCAAAATAACGACATATCAGATACAGTACCTCCTTATAATTATACTCATCATTACAAATTTAAACTAATATCACCTGTTCCAAGGGTTGAATTACAACCTGAAGATGTAATTAAGGAGAACACTGCAATATTTCCTTCTGGTAACATTCTAGTCGAAGATCTCGATTAAAGAGTGAAACATACCTTTCTCTACATAATTACATATAATGAAACCAAAGAATATTAAGTTCTTCCAATTGCATTACACATACATATATTTTTTCTTTTTTTCTTGATGTTTTTTGATTAATGACGTTATTATAGTACATAGTATTCATATTTATCTTATTATATCGTTATGCTACAATTCATGGGTATTTCATTTAGTGACTCTTTTAGATTTCTTTTTCTTGTCTTTGGAAGCAGAATTCTTGGATTTTTTCTTCTTCTTCTTAATTAAACCATTCATTCCACTCTTGGCAATATTTGAGTAATCTTGCCAAAATTTATCTAAATTAGAAGCATCAACAATGGAAGAACATTTGGTTTTCTTTGTATGGGATCCATACCATATTCTTATCAATAACGGATATTTTGTTGTTGAGTTATTTTCAACTTGTTTATTTATGGATGAGACTTTTGAAACATCATAAAGGGGAAGCTTAGTAGAATCTAGTTCTGGATTTCCTTCAACAGGATCTAGTTTTATTAATCTTTTTACTGTAACGTGAACTGTAACCTTCTTTTCGTTTGCAATCTTGAAGAATTCGGCTGCTTTTACCAAAAACTCGGATTCTTTCAAACAACCTTCATTTATCATTCTTCTTAAATGTATATATTACTCTCCAAAACGTGGTTCAACCTCAATTATGAAATTCGACTCTAGAACGAATAGAAGCAATTGAATTTTGAAATTGCTACTTAATGTAATGTGGCTACATTTGATTTTAAATAACTAACTGTTCTCTAATTCTTAATATTTTTACCGTTAAAAGTGAAGGCATTTGGGAAAAAAAAATTAAAAAAATCACATGATCACTTGTCAAAAATTACTCTGCGATGTTTTAAATTCACCTAAGAAACCACGACCTTCTACTTCTGAAAGTCATCATTATCACTTCCAATTAACGAGTACATAAAGACTTATTAAACTTAAATGTGCAATAATAATTATAAGAGAAAGAACATATTTATTAAGTTATGTAAAATGTTTCATATATTGATCATCAATTAGAGCTGACGATGTGTTTTTCCTTGATGACAGCGTTGGATTCTGCTAGGATCTTCTTCACTTCTTCTGGATCCAAGACATTACCAAATTCATCCTTAAATATCTTTTGACCTGGTTGGTTCATGATATCATCAAAATGAGCTTCTTGTTCAGCGACTCTTTCTTGACTTGGAATATTTGGATCTTGGGCTTCTTCTTGACCTTGTTGTTGTTGTTGTTGATTAACAACTGGTTGAGCACTTTCAATTGGATCTAATAAAGTGTTTCTAGGTTGAGTGAAGATGTGAGTCTCTAATTGGGTAAATGGACTTGGCTCTGGTAATTCAAAAGCCTTGTATTCATGATAGTTACCAAAGTAGTTCTTACATGGGTAATCCCAACTAGAACTCCATACGCTCTTAGTACATAGATCACGAGTCCATTCAGTACCATAAGCTAACGGTTTGTGGTCATTGAAAAAGTAGATAATGGAAGTGACAAATAATGCAATGATGACATAACCAATGTGAGCTCTGTTCTTGAAAGTAATAGTAACTAAGGAGTTCAATGCTAAACCAATAGCTAAAATACCGAAATAATAAGCTGGCAAGTAAGCAGAGATGAATAAATTGTTACCAAAGAAGATGAATGGAACAAAATGAACAGCATAACCTAATAAAAATTCAAGAGTCTCCAAATGGTAGCTGACGACTTCTGGTGTTTGTAGGATTGGCTTACCAACTTGCCATCTTAATAGTTGGACGACAGCAAAGATCGCGTAAACTACTAAGAAAACAGAAACAGACCACCATAGAGTAGCGTTACCTAAGAAATAAACGTTTCTGTGATTGTTACTCCAGTAATCAACACCACGAGACATTGTTGGCCAACTGAAAGCAGACGAACTAGCTGGATGTGGAGAATCCAATTTCTTCATCATATAGAACATCTTCTTATGTAATTCAACAAATTTTTGTAAGAGAGATGGTTTTGGATAAGATATTAATTCAGCATCTTCTGGTAGTAAGAAGTTTTCGTTTTTTTCGATGTACCATAGGGTTAATTCATCGATACCGGAAGAGGCACAAGTAATTTCTTGTTGATCAGAACCCCATTCTGGTAGTTTAGTGTTATGAGAAAACAACATACAACCAGTCATAGCGTGTCTCAATCTGAATTTAGTTTCAATGGCTCTAACACGTTCTTGAGCAGCACCTGGAGCAGAAGCATCTTTATCGATTTCAATGATCCAATCATCATTTGGATCACCTTCAAAACCTTGGTAACCATAACAAGAAACTTCCTTTTGCCAATCAGCATTTTCAGAGACTGGAGCCTTGTGATCGTGAGAATGCAATCTACAATGAGTATTATGTAATAATCTAATCTTGGTACGGTCAGTCAAGTTTTGGAAATCAACAAGGATCTCACCTGGCTTATCATATAATTCGATAGTCCAATCATTTGATTCATCGACAAATGGATAAACGGTAACTTCTTGTTGTTCTGAACCCTTTGGATAATTCAATTGATGAGAATGTAAGTAACCACCAGTGGTACCTGTATGTCTTAAAGAAACAGAAGAGCCGACACCGACTTCAACTTTAATGTCCTTTGGAACATCGTTACCGATCAAAGTTGATTTATATTCTGAGGAAATAAATTCAGAATCGTTAGAGACATTAGTCATTAAACTGATATGAGCGTAAAAGGAAAGGAAGTAAATAATAACTGGGATAACAATTAACATACTACCTTTGATTATGGTATGTTTAACTGATTTACAAACAGATTTAGTCAAATCACCCATCATGAAAGTGAATCTCCAAATGGATAATAAACCTAACCAAACGATGGTACATAAACCAACCCATTTAGAAGAAGAAGCACAACCAGCAGCGACTGCAGAAATGGTAACATATTTGTAAGAAGCACATGATTCATCCTTGTATAATTCTGATTTCTTAAAGGCATAAACAGCTAAAGCAATGAAAAAGATAATTGGAGAATCTGGTAGAATTAGACGAGAAGTAGTAACGAAAGCATTTTCAAAAATAAATGCGACAGAAGTAGCAAATGCTACATAAAGGTTAGCACCAGAAAGACGTAGAGTACTGTAGGTTAGAATAACAGAGAATAAACCTAAAGTAGCAGCAAATGATCTTAAAACAATGTATGGGATCTTTGAAGTGTAAAGAGTACCGACTTGATTGAAATTGAAGTTACCTTCATAACCACTAGATTTGGCGACTAAGTTATATAATAATCTAACCATTGGTGGCTCAGCATCTAAGAAAAATTCATTCTTAGCATATTTGGTAATTAGTTTTCCATAGTGGTTTTCATCATACACTACACTATTTGGCCATCCTAATTTATGGAATCTAACGAAGACAGCAATAATGATTAATACAGCTAATAATAGTTTTTCATTTAAAGTATGAGGAGTACGTTTGGTAACAACCTCGACAGATTTGTCAACAACGATATATGGTCTCACTGGACCTTCTTTAATCTCAACTTCAGAAGTTGCAGGAGTATCCTGAACTACGGAACCTTTGAATTTTTTACCAGACATACTGATGATTCAAAATGGATTGAATATGTTAAACAGTCCCGATGTCTTGTACAGCTTAGAGTGTAATAAGGAAATAAGCAAGAATGGATTTATTTCTAATTTTACTCAAATATAGCAATCGAAACAAGTTAATAGGAAATGTTATAAACCATTTAAAGAAATACTTCCTCTGAATCTGATGCATTCTACGTCTATACAAGTTTGCGATTTTGCTGAGACTAGCAAACAACAACAGTATCAATTGTTAATAAAACGCGCCCTTTGCAACGAATTTTTCAGCGAACACGTCAATATTAAAAATGAAAGACAATTGAATAAAATGATTTTCTCGGGAATTCCAAAAAGGGACGCGTTTCTCTCTCTTCCCGTCTTGAGTGACAAGTTTACAGTGAACATGGAGTTTTTTTGGCGGTTTTGTCGCGGTCGGCGGTGGGTGGGGGGGAAAATGAAAATTGTAAGCCTCATGGGAGGGAACCCTACATAAGGTGGTGCTCTTTTTTCCTTTTTTTGGGGGGGGGGGCGATGGGACATTGTAGGGAATATATATCTATTTGACCTATATAAGTTTAAGTGGTTGATATGTCACAAATGAACCTTTGGGCATTTTATTATCTATTTAAACTCTCTCATCCAGATCAAAGTATATCATTTATCGTTTTTAATATATAATCATTGGTTACTATCAACTGAACCCAGTGTCCATAATATTTTGAATTTATCTTTACGAGTAAGCCCAAGTAAATTGGGAACACTTAGAGAAAAATTGAAACAGTTTGCTATTTTTTTGTAAACTTCAAGATGTTTAACTCAATCTCTTGTATCTCTGAAAGTTCATTTGACTGCACAGTAGGATAAGAGATTAACAGCAATATAATTTGTTCAGCCAAACATATATATATCCCCCTTTTAATTATGCCCCTAGATACTCTATTTTCGACTTTAAAAAATTGTCTTCCTCGTCCAGAATTATGCCAACCCTAAAACTTTTTATTTTCGGGGAATTTTCCCATGCATCAGTAAATTTGGGGTCAAAAGTTCAATTCTGGACTAACTATGAAGATTCAATATCAAGAATACAACAACGTTATAAATCAATAATGAGTTCTTTATTTCGTGATGATGTGTATGTTCTATAGATGTTTGGTTTTTTTTTATAAAAAAATAAAATTTATATTATATATAAAAATGATGTGATAGAAATTGAACGAGTGTGCTCTACACCTCGACAATTTTCTGTTCAATCTTGAGAGCACCACCTTGAGCTTCCATAATCCTCTTGACTTCTTCAATATCAATTTCATTACCATTTTCGTCCAAGAATCTACTAAAACCTTCTTTATTGATGATATCATTCACCGATTCTTCTTTCTCTGGAGCATCAATATTACTAGCTGTGGATTTTTCACTAGCTTCTTCAACAACAAAATCTTCTTGCGTTGTCTCTAGTGGGATATCTTCAATGACTTCCTCAATAAACACAGGTTCATCGATTTCTAATGGTTCCGATGAGGTAACCACTGGCATATCTGTATCTTCTAATATATCGAATTGACTTCTAATAGTGTAATTTGAATATTCTTCATAAGTTTTAAAATATGATCCACAATGATAATCCCAACCAGATAGCCATTGAGATTTTTCACATAGTGAAACTGTCCATGGTAAACCATAAATCAATGGTTTATAAGCATTAAAGAAGAATAAACAACTTCCGAAAAATGTTATTATTAATAAATTACCAACAATTTTCTTATTTCTAAACATGAAGGAAACAATTATATCAAGTGCATGACCAAATGCTAGAATACCGAAATAATAAGCAGGTAAATAATGATGTAAAAACATTTGACGTTTCATTAAGAAAGATGGACCAACATGAACAAGGAACCCCAAAATATATTGAGCGACTTGAACATGGAAATTAAATACGTGGTCATCTTGTAGGATTGGTTTACCTAATTGCCAAGCAATTAATTCGATGATACAAACAATCACAAACAGTAACATGAATGCAGATACAGCCCACCATTCAATAGCATTACCTAATAAATAAACCATTCTATGGTGATCACCCCAATAACTGATACCACGTAATAATAGAGGCCAGTCCTGTGGTAAAGATTCATAGATGTGAGTCTCGACTAAGTTCTTATTTACAGTCCACATCTTAATGTGTGATTCGATAAATTTACCCCAAAATCCAGGTTTCACATAGGAGACATGTCTAGCGTCTTCTGATAATTCATGATTTTCATTAGCTTCAATATACCAAAGAGTTAAATCGTATCTACCTGTAGTAGCACAACTTACTTCTTGTTGATCGAACCCCCATTTAGGTAATTTAACATCATGAGAGAATAAATAACAATTTGAAATCATATGTTTTAATCTAAATTTTGTCTCAAGGGCAATAACACGTTCTTGAGCAACACCAGGTGTAGATCTTTTTTGATCAATTTCTAAAACCCAATTATCATTACTATCACCTTCAAATCCAGTAAAACCATAACAAGATACTTCAGTTTGCCAATCTGCATTTTCTGATACTGGAGCTTTATGGTCATGAGAATGTAATCTGCAATGAGTTGATGGATGTAATAATCTAATAATTGAACCATCTGTTAGATTTTGAAAATCTGGGAATGTTACACCTGGATTACTACTCAATTCAATTAGCCATTGATTATTTTCATCGATATGAGGATATAAAGTAATTTGTTGTTGACCAGAACCTGTTTCATAACGGAATGGATGAGAATGTAAATAACCACCAGATGTTCCAACGTGACGTAAGGAAACAATTGATGAAATACCAACATCTGCAAAAATATCAGTTGGAATAGTATTCCCATTTAAAGTGGATCTAAATTCAGATGAAAAAAATGATGCGCCTGGACCATCATAAATTAAAGTATCAAAATGAATCTTAAAGAAAAATGCATATAAGACAAATGGCACACCAAGTAAAAAGATTAATTTTGAGATTGCTGCAGATAGAGTAGAAGATACAGGTTTAGATAAATCACCTAACATAAACCAAAGTCTCCAAATACATAGTAAACCAATCCAAGCGATAGTAAATAACCCAACCCATTTAGCAGATGCAGCAAAACCTAAAGCAATTCCAGTAGCTAATAAAGTTTTATAAGATTTGATTGTTCCTTGAGGAAATAATTCATATTTTTTAAAACTATAAACTGCAGCGGCAATGAAAAAGATTAATGGTGCATCTAATAAGATATATCTTGAAATTGTTACATATGAATTTTCAATGGCAAAACATAAAGCACTAACAAATGCAACAAATTGACGAACACCAGAGGATCTAAGTGTAAAATATAACATAATTACGGTAAATACCCCTAATGAACCAGAAAATAATCTCATATGAAAATATGGAGTTGTTGAAGGAAATTCATCACCAATATTTTCAAAATCAAAATCACCTTTAAATCCAGCTAAGGATGCAACACCGGCATAAAGCATTTTAGCTAATGGTGGATGAACATCCATAAAAAAACTTCCATTGATATATTCTGATGCAAATCCACCAAAATGTACTTCATCAAAGACAACACTATTTGGCCATTCTAAACCATATAATCTAATAAAAGCTGTAAATGCAATTAAAACTATAATATAAAGTCTCTCACTTAAAGTAGATACTGAACGACGTGCTGGTAAATCACTTGGAGGTTCTGATACTAAATATGATCTAACTGGACCTTGTTTAACTTCAATATGAGCCACTGGATCTAGAGTTGACGCGTCCACTATTGGAGCGATTTTCTCTGTCTTTTCACCAGACGATGACATAATTATGTACACGTATTTGAAGCTATATTTGATTTCAATGATGCCTTTCAACAAATAGTCTAATTCATAAATCTGTATCAATTAAATACCTCTTCTTTATATCTGAATCTCAAATTTAATATATCAAGTCTCGCTGGTAAGTTTGACAGAGAGGTCTTCCAAGAAACTGACTTTTCGATTAACAGTAGCAGGTCCATTAAAGATGACCGTACATACTACCGTGCACTGCGGCCATTTAGTTAACTATTATTCCACGCCGTAAACTAAAAAAAAAATTGTTTTTGGCGGCGACAGAAAATTTCAGAAATTTTTTTAAACGAAATTTTATTTTTTTTTGTCTGCGATTGATTTATGTCTATCTATCTATATCTTTATATAGAGAGACATGTGAGAGGATCCAAGTGTTCTTGATCTTGCGGGTAGTGATGCACAGGTAAGGGAGTGAGGCCGGTAAAAGAACCACGATATATTCATTCTAGTAGTGTTTGGGATGCTTGTCGTTTTGACTGTAGTAATTGCATTCAATGAAAAGAGTGTGGAGCGGAGTACCGTTAGTCTTCAATAGGTGACTTATATATATATATATATATTTGCTTTGTTTTCTTGTTTGTATTGAGCATTATTTGAAGAAGAAATGTGGTGTTCTTTGTCTTATTCAGTAACTAGGCTGCAAGCAATTTGATTATATAACTCTTAATTGGATGGTTCTTGAAATGGTACCCAATTTGTGACTTTACTGATATCGCGTTGCACGACCCTGTTGTGTAGGTTTTCCCTTAACTATTATCAGTTTTAGTATTGCCCGTCTCTCACTAAATTTCGGGGTAACAAAGATTGAAGAAATTTTGGGTGGCAATTTGGAAGAGCAATTCACATAAAGAACTAGTATTCAAAATTAAGTATATATATATATACATATATTTTTTGTAATTGAATTATTCTTAGTAACATATTATTGAAACATTTACTTCTGTAGAAAAAAGGTGGGAGATCGATCAACTTTACCACATTCCAATTACCATCACATAAAATGTCGTTAGAAGAAGCAAGAAAATTAGTAAAGGATAAAGATTATAGTAAGGCAGAAGCCGTTTATCTACAATTATTAGATAGAGATATTTCTGAGTTTAACGATAAGATAAAAAATGAACAAGAATCTATTATATTGGAATTAGGTTCCTTATATGTAGAGACTCATAATACAGCTAAACTTCGTGATTTTATCCCACATTCGACTGATTATATGGCTCAATTTGCTAAATCAAAGACAGCAAAAGTATTAAAAACTTTAATTGAAAAATTTGAACAAGTGCCAGATTCTTTAGATGATCAAATATATGTATGTCAACGTAGTATCGAATTTGCTAAAAGTGAAAAAAGAGTGTTTCTAAGTCATGCATTATCAATTAAATTAGCTACTTTACAATATAAAAAGACTAATTATAAAGAATCATTAGATTTAGTCAATGATTTATTAATTCAATTTAAAAAATTAGATGATAAACCTTCTTTAGTAGATGTACATCTATTAGAAAGTAAAGTATATCATAAATTAAGAAATTTAGCTAAAGCTAAAGCGGCATTAACCGCTGCTAGAACTGCAGCAAACTCGATATATTGTCCAACTGTTACCGTTGCTGAATTGGATTTAATGTCAGGTAGCCTCCATTGTGAAGATAAAGATTATAAGACTGCATTCTCTTATTTCTATGAAAGTTTCGAAAGTTTCCATAACTTAACTACACCAAGTTCTTACGAAAGAGCTTGTCGGGTTTTGAAATATATGTTATTATCAAAGATTATGTTAAACTTAATTGATGATGTTAAGACTATATTAAATGCAAAATATACAAAGGAAACATATCAATCTCGTGGAATTGATGCCATGAAGGCAGTTGCAGAGGCTTACAATAACAGATCTCTACAAGAATTTAATACAGCTTTAAAAAATTATCAATCTGAATTGATGAGTGACGATCTTGTAAGGTCTCATTTCAACGCATTATACGACACTTTATTAGAATCTAATTTATGTAAGATCATTGAACCCTTCGAATGTGTTGAAATTTCTCATATCTCTAAAATGATTGGTTTAGATGCACAACAGGTAGAAGGTAAACTTTCTCAAATGATTCTGGATAAAGTATTTTATGGTGTCCTAGACCAAGGAAATGGTTGGCTATACGTTTACGATACACCACATAAGGATGCTACTTATGATTCAGCTTTGGAATTGGTCTCTGAATTAAATAAAACAGTGGACCTTTTATTCGATAAGGCTAGTGTTTTGTACTAAAAGTAATCCTCCTTTCAATAATCTCATATATTTACATACATCTGTATAAATAAACCCCAATATATAATTAACAATTGACTTGAGAAAATATGAAATTGAAAAATCAAGGAATGGTACTATAATATGTTGTGTACGATATATTCGATGTACATGTGTTTCTTTTTGCCTTTAGATAATGATCTCTTCAATATTTGTTCGATCGGTGCCTCTTAATATTAAAAAATAGTTTCTTAAATATTTTCCAATAAAAATTGTTTCTTCAATATAGAAAGAATGATTATTTTAATAGAGAGCAAAGATCATACATATCTATATACTTCGGTGCTGAACTGTCCATTAAAGTAAGATCATGTCTGATTTTGGTAGAAGGACATGGAATAGAGAGGACTACATTGGAGCGGGCTCCAAGACTGAAACTCCAATCTTTACAGACGTTCAATTGACAGCGTTGAAGGTGAAATATTCAAATTATGATAAACTTATGCAACAAACGAATCTCAATGTGAATGAAAAGACCCTTGTTACTAATGTATCATCATATAAGAAAGGGAAACAATTTGGATTTTATTGTGATCTTTGCGATTTAACTTTTAAGGATACCTTACAATACGTTAATCATTTGAATCATAAGGTTCATTTGTTGAAATATGAAGCACTATTTGGAGAATCTCTCATTTCTGATACAAGGGATAACGATGATATACCACTAGATGAATTTTCTGATAGTTATACACGGTTCGTACATGATTTTGTTAAGAAACATATTGATCGTCCTCAACAGCAAAGGAACAAACCTCGACAAAAGAAACCAGTCGATAATAAATCTGTGGAAGAGAATGATATAAGTAAGATGATGGGATTTGGTTCTTTTGGTAGTACGAAGAAGTAATTTGTTCTTACAAGAATAACTAGTTGTTCAGTTCATTTCACTGTTATGCATTTGTGTTTTTAATAAACATACACACACACATATATATATGTATATATATAATTAATACATATTCCTTGGGAAAAAGAAAAGTCAAGTTTTGCACTGTCTCCCTTAAAACTCAACAATTGGACCAGAACCAATACTCCTCCATGAAGTCATATCAATATTCCAGTTATGCCATTTGTCTAACATCACACGATCTATTACAGGGGCTTGAATTTGTTGTTGATCATTAATGTAATCGTTGTTACCCATATTTGGTAATTGTGCTGGTTGTGGAGAATTGAATTGAGCAAATTGCATAGCCGGCACAGATGTTTGAGAATTGATCCTTCTTTCAGCTTCATTTAATTTAATTTTAAGATTTGTAACTTCCTTGTTGGAATTTTCTAACTCAGTAGTAACAGATTGTAAACTAATTTTATTTTGTTCTAATTCTGCTTCTTGTTCTTCAATTGTAGTTTCTTGTTCCATATTCATAAATTTGAGTTTCTTGATCTCTTCAGCCATCTTTTTGATTTGTGCATTCAAGTTATCAATCTCAATATTATCCTTCTCCTTTTGAATTGAGCTCATAAAATCATCATCATCGTCTGCTTCATTGGTATCGAATAATTTATTAGCATTAGTTTTGTCAGATTCATTGACTATAGTGGTCCCTTCCACTACTGGCTCCTCTACTATTGGTTCCTTTGGCTCCGATACTTCTTCTGAGACAGGTTCCTCAGTGGTTGGTTCATCCTTCGTTTCTTCATCAGTTTCAGTGACAGACTCTATTTCTTTTGGCTCCGCTATTGACATCTCAATTGAAGCTTCTTCACTTTTTGTTTCCGCTTCTTCAGGTCCAGTTTGTTGGCTAAGTACTTCATTCATCTCAGGGGTCTCCTCAACATCTGCGGATTCAGCTTCCTTATTTTCTTCAATAGCTGTATCCTGTTCCACTAATTCTGAATCAGAGTTCTTGTCGTTAGTTGATATTTCTGGAGTCTCTTCACTGGCATTATCCGTACCCACTTTTTCTAAAGTAACATCGGATGCTTCTTCAATTTTTTCTGCATTCTTATTCTTATTTTTGTTCTTCTTGTTCTTGTTCTTATTCTTCTTTTTATTCTTCAACTCTTCAACTCTCTTTCTGGCCTCTTCCAGTTGTTTAGCTCTCTTATCGTCTTCTTCTGACATTATACTAGTTAAGATATATCAATGTGATTGTACTACTCTGATCAGCCCGACGGTTCGATTCTTTTAATTGTCAGACTTCTTTTTCTATCTTCTCTATCATTTTATAAATGTTATTTTCACATTGTTCCTTAATATTGTTCTTATAACTCATATTTGTTCAATCAATTCTCTCAGTATAACAGGAAGTCATTATGTTTTTTTGTTTTTTGCCAGGAAATTAAAGAGAGACCAGAAAAGAGCGAAAATTCCAACGGCGTAGGAAATGGAAATGAAACTGAATGGATTGATTACGTATCATGTAATTATCATACATATTATATACATCAATGGTTCTATGTATTGATAAAGTAGTTGTTCAAATATCTTTAATGCATTCTATACAGTTAGAAGAGAATATATCTACGATTAATTAGTCTTTTCAATCTCGTAAACAGCAACCATGGATCTAGATTTACAAGTTGACCCAAACCTACATTCCCTAATTACTTCAACTACTCACAAATGGATTTTTGTTGGTGGTAAAGGTGGTGTCGGTAAGACTACATCTTCCTCCTCTATTGCTATCCAAATGGCTTTGAACCAACCAGAGAAGCAATTTCTGTTGATCTCTACCGATCCAGCTCATAATTTAAGTGATGCCTTTGGTGAAAAATTTGGTAAAGATGCAAGAAAAGTTACAGGTATGAACAATTTGTCCTGTATGGAAATTGACCCCGCTGCTGCATTAAAAGATATGAATGATATGGCTGTCTCTCAAGGCCAAGGTGCCGACCAAGGTGGAATAAACGATTTGTTGCAAGGTGGTGCTCTAGCAGATTTAACAGGTTCCATTCCAGGTATCGATGAAGCTTTATCCTTTATGGAAGTCATGAAACATATTAAAAATCAAGAACAAGGTGAAGGTGAAACATTTGATACAGTTATCTTTGATACAGCTCCAACTGGTCATACTTTAAGATTTTTACAATTACCAACTACTTTATCTAAATTATTAGATAAATTCGGTGAAATTACTGGTAAATTGGGACCAATGTTAAACTCCTTCATGGGTAGTGGTAATGTCGATATTAGTGGTAAATTAAATGAATTGAAGGCTAATGTTGAGACCATTAGACAACAATTCACCGATCCAGATTTGACTACTTTTGTTTGTGTCTGTATCAGTGAGTTTTTGTCCTTATATGAAACTGAGAGATTGATCCAAGAATTAATTTCTTATGATATGGATGTCAACTCTATCATTGTCAACCAATTGTTGTTTGCAGATGACGACAAAGAGCACAACTGTAAGAGATGTCAAGCCAGATGGAAGATGCAAAAAAAATATTTGGATCAAATTGGAGAACTTTATGAAGACTTCCATGTGGTTAAGATGCCTCTTTGTGCGGGTGAAATCAGAGGTCTAACTAACTTAAAGAAATTCTCACATTTCTTAGATCAAGAATATAACCCAGCTACTGATGGTTCAGTAATTTACGAGTTGGAAGATAAAAATTAATAAGCGAAGGAGGGAAAAAGTATACATACATATATATGCCAATACGTACGTATGTATTTTGAAACAATATATATCTTCACGAAACCCTAATCAAAATAGTTTTATGTTTCAGTTGCAATCGGATCCATTGAGTTCAAATATATACCCTACATATATTAGTAACAATTGCAATATTACAATATTACTGTACACATTTTGCAGCAAATAATATATGCTGAGTGTGCCCTACTGCAATTATAATCAATGAAATTGCCGTAAAATAACTTCACAAATTATTAATTGTAAAGACCATTAGACAGTAAAAATTCAAGCAAAATTACCTAAAACAGATACATAACAGCTCACCAATTTAACGGGTACTGTGGTTTCCCTGGCAACAACAGCAACAGCAGCAACGAAAATAAAAAATGCCGGTGACAAATGATCGCAGTCTACGTGTTTATATTCTTGGAATGTAAATAAACCAAATAGGCAAATTTTGAAACGCGTAAGAAAGATCTTTCACCCACCAAAACTAAAAAGTGAAAAATTGTTTTATTTGATTACAGAGACTCTTGCACTGACAATTCTAAAAAGGATACATTAAGTAATCTATGTATATATATAAAAGAGTGTTCAAACATTTTTAAAATAAACATTAAATTTTCCAATACCTATCTCCATCAAATTTTTATCTTTTTGTCTGATATTTATATTAACAAACAATAAGAATAAAATTTCCCATTAATAGATCATTATGTCATTAGCCCAATCTATTTCAAAGAGAGAACATTCCGATGATCTCCTCCAATCCAATAAGAGACAACAAACTGGTTTAACTAATTACGAAACTAAAGAGACCTTGCCTCTGGTTGCCCAGCTATTTAATTTGATCCCTGGTAAAGAATGTACATACAATATAAGTGAAAAACCAATAACTACTATCGGAAGGAGTAGATCTTGTGATATCACACTTAATGAACCGGATATATCTACCACACACTGTGAACTACATTTAATTGATATGGAAGTCGATGGCATTCATCGTAAACTAATCAATATTATAGACAAAAGTAGAAACGGTACGTTCATAAATGGTAGTAGGTTAGTTAAGAAAGATTGCATTCTCAAAAACGGTGACAGAGTTGTCTTTGGTAAAACTTTTTCTTTTTTATTTAAATATGTCTCCATTAGTGATCTTAATAATGCAGAGTCAGACTCTGCCACCGCAGCTGCCGAATCTAAGGATGACAATACTGTCTTCAAGAAACCACAATTTAGTTTTACAAGTAGTCAAAATGCATTGAAAAGACAACCTCGTCAAAAACCTTCGTCAGTATTTGATAAATATTTGATTGGTAAAGAACTTGGATCAGGTCATTATGCAGTTGTTAAAGACGGTACAAATAAACAAACTGGTCAAGCAGTAGCCGTTAAGATATTTCATCCTCAACAAAATGACGATCAGAAGAAAAGTAAACAATTTAGAGAAGAAACAAACATTTTAATGAGAATACATCACCCAAATATTGTTAACTTGTTGGACAGCTTCGTTGAACCTATCAGCAAGTCTCAGATACAAAAGTATTTGGTTCTTGAAAAGATTGTTGACGGTGAGTTATTTGAAAGAATTGTTAAGAAGACATCTCTAAGGCAGGATGAAACTAAGTCCATATTCAAACAAATTTTGGTGGGGTTAAAGTATTTACACAACCAAAATATTATTCATAGAGACATTAAACCAGAAAATATTTTGTTAAATATCACTAGAAGAACTTCACCGGATCAGTTACAACTCGGCCCTTGGGATGAAGATGAAATAGATATCCAAGTTAAAATAGCAGATTTTGGGTTGGCTAAATTTACTGGTGAGATGCAGTTTACTAACACATTATGCGGGACTCCATCTTATGTCGCACCTGAAGTTTTAACCAAGACAGGCTATACATCAAAAGTCGATATGTGGAGTGCTGGTGTTATTCTTTATGTGTGTCTCTGTGGGTTTCCACCTTTTAGTGAACAATTGGGCCCACCTTCTTTAAAGGAACAAATTTTGCAAGCCAAATATGCTTTCTACACACCTTATTGGGATAATATTGACGATTCTATTTTACATCTAATATCGCACCTTCTTGTTTTAGATGCAAATAAAAGATATAGTGTCGATCAAGTTTTTGAGCATGAATGGTTGAAGGATTCCACCCCTCAGGCTAATGTCATCAAAGATATGAAGCGTCTCCAATTAAGCGATGGTCAATTACCAAAGACTTACTCCGAGATGTCATGTTTATAAAGGTATAATTTGCCTATATAATATGTATTAATTATTATAAATTTATATTATTCGATCGATTTTATATCATTTGGAGATTGTATTGTTTGGCCTATATTTGTAGTTTCTTTACCTGTATTAAAATTATAGTAATTGGGGTTTTCAAGGTATAATTGTAATGGTAAGTAATTGGATTAAAAATGTGTATCTATCTCTATCTCTAGATGGTACAAATATCATACAAGAGTTATGTAATCTACATGTCTTTCTTATATCTTTATTTGATATCTCATCTTTGTTTATTCCCAAATTGTCATTATCGCACTATGCGCCACTCTATTTTAAATCTTTACTGTCAAAACAATACAAGATTCAAGTTTTACTTTAGTATCATTTGTTCCAGTTTCGGTAGCTTTGATGACGAATATCACATATATTAATATTAGGATAATAAAAGAAAAATTATAAAAGGACCGATTTAGTCAAACTTCATTTATTAACTTATTTGAGTCTATCCAATGCACATATTTTACTAACATATGTAATTATAAAATGATATATAGTCTTTACCACTTACTTAATTGTTCAACCTTCTCTTGTAACTCTTTTTTCACTTTAACACGCATATAGAAAATATCACAGTTCTTATTAGAACACAGCACTTCATTATGTAAGTTACCTGCACAGCGTTGGCATTGAGTCCATAACCTTGAAAATTTATCTTCGAGATCTCGTACATCATAAAGAGCTTGGATATACAGTTCACTTGATTTAGATTGACAATTTTCACAGAGAGCAGTTTCACCCTTCTTTAGAGGGCTTTTACAATTTTTACAAACGTCTACCTTTTTAACAAACCCAAATAAACCACCTTTAGTTAAACCTGTATTAATTTTAATGGACTTAACTATAAACATCTCATTTGCTTTCTTTTCACCAATAATCGGGGCGGTAATGCTTAAGATTGGATTTTGCAATTGGTTATTCAGGTAATATTTAGAGTCGATTTGCAAATTATGCTCTAACACATATAATGGATCTTCGGCACGATTATACAGTTTATCGTTACCACCAATAATCACATAATCAACACGATCACCCACACTCGGTCCCATACCATCTCTTTTTTTCATACGCTCAGTAAGAACAGCATGGGGTTGTGGGTTTGTATAGTTTGGCGCCAACGTCTTTGAGATAATTAATTTTGATATATCAATTTTGTTGTGTAATATATCATCAATCACTGTTCTGACATAGGCAAGAGCACCATCTACATCTCTTTCAATTAAAATCTTTTTCAAAACCTTATTCATGACAATAGAAACTAATGGACATGAATCTCTTCTGACAGATGCAAGACCCTTTTGATCCAATTTATCATATTTCTCAGTATTAGTCCAGTATAAACCAGCATATCTCTTTTTATTAATTAATAAATATGGAAAATATGCCTTTTCAAATTCTAAGTTAATTGGATGTTTAAACAGAGTTGATACGTAAGCAGCAGCCTCAGTACCCATTTTCATAACTTCTCCTAAATCAGTACTGCCAAATTTCACCATGACAGAATCTGTATCACCATAGACAACGATAGAATCGTGTTCTGCACCATTTTTCTTAGAATACTTTTCTTGAACAGCATTCTTGGTAGTCATAATCATATCACGACCAAACGCAGTAACAGAGGAAGATATAGCCAGACATGGCAATTTACCAACAGTTGCACCGGTGAAACCATACACGGAATTGGCTGAAATTTTTAAAGCAAGTTGTCTACCGTTTAAGACATTCTTTTTAAATGGATCAGTTTCGGCCTTTAAATCATTTTTGGCTCTTTTTCTGGCTGAAATTAATTCTTCTAAGATAATTGGTAAGATACCATGCCTTTTCTTTGCTGTCACGAAGTAGTCATTGTTTGGTGTAATAATATAGTCTTCATCCTTCTTCAATTTTAATCTTTCCACAGTAGCCTTATTGCAAAGTGTTGTATAACATAAGTTATGTGCCATCATAATACTAGGATATAGGGAATTGAAATCCAGAGTTGCAATCGGTACATCGTAATAACCACGAATAGGTTCAATAACGGTCGCACCTTCATATTGTTCGTCTGTTGCTTGAGATTGCATGTTAGGTATTACTGTATCAATTTCTAGACATTTTCTAAACAATTGGGAAACAACTTTAATTTGCTGACCTCTGGCTAACAAGTATGAAAAAGGGACACCTGTAACACGAGCCATCTCTGTATAATTAACTAATGCCATCAAGTTTTCTAATAATCTTAAAGGTAAGTATGCGTCCTTCAAACAATATACTGCCAGTCTTCTTCTGGTTTCACTGGTACCATTTTGTAGATCAGTAATAATACTATAATGAACATCTTCCTTCTGTTCACCCAAAAAATAAGCGGACACTGCGTTTAATGTATACGATCTTAATTTGTATTCACGTTGAATAAATTGCAATAAATCTAATTGCAAACGACCATTGATATTTACATCTTTGGATTCCTTAGTACCATATGCTTTGGAAGAAAAAACTGTTTCTTTAATTTCTTGTTTTACATTGGATAATCTACCAAAATAAGGAAATTGTGCGACGTTAAGAGCCTTTGCACGGTTAATTAAGTAAGGAATATCAAAATTCGTGGTGTTATAACCAATAATCACGTCAGGATCGACATCCACTATAAAGTCACGCCAATGTGCCAACATATCTGCTTCTTTATCATGCGCATATATCTTAGAACCAGTGATAGGAGAACATGAATTGACAGTGAAAACGTTCCTTACGAACGGCTTTTTACTACCAGCTACTGAAACAACGTTAGCAATTTGGATAACTGCATCATGTTCAGGTTCTGGGAAAATACCTTTTCTACCAGCACATTCAATATCGAATGATAGTATACGCAATGGCGCAGAATGCGACCATTCACCTTCTGCCGGATGAGATATTAGTTCACGATAATTTATAAGAACTTCCAATTGGGCTGTAGACACCCTTCTGTCTTCAGGCACCATGGTATATTTACCCTTTGGTAAGGTAATCCAAGACATACCGACAATCCCACAATCAACCATACATCTTAAAGTATAAGCAAGATTATCATAGGTAGTAGTTCCAGAAGAAAACCAAGATTCAAAAGTCATGTGTCCCCTTTCAAACCCAGTCCTCAGTTTGTTAATAATATTAGGTTGAGTTGTGGAAATTTTCCAAAATGGAATTTTTGCATCACCAGAATAACCCCAGATGGATTGACGTGGCACCACATCAATAGAACTGACACAATTGTTGTAGTTTTCATTCAAATAACTTATAAATCGATCTCTGGTATTTTTATCATTTGCATTATCGGCTGCAGGTTGTGGCACGTATAAATAATGTTTGAAACCAGTAACATTACAAAGTATCGAATGACCATCGTTTGTCACACCGAAAAACCTAACTACTGTAGATGTATCTTCATCCTTAATATAAGATAATGTACTTTGTTCAACTTCAATTTGCTGGAATGAAATATCGTGTGTTTCACTAGAAAAGTCGGAAGGAAGTGCAGTTCTTAGATAGTTTTTAGCTTCAACGCCTTTTATACCAGTATCTTCTTCAGCAATATCAAGAGCTTCATGTTCCAGCTCTGATAATTCTCTCTCAAAGGCAGATTGCATCTGAGTTGCATTTAATTCTTTATCAGATGCCTTAAACCCTTGGGATCTATATTTTTTGTATGAATCAGAAGGAATAATTTCCATGGTAGAGACAGGTTCACTACCAACACTGTGGTCCTGAGATAACGTCTTTATTTTCTTACCTGTTATAGCAGTTAAACCCACATTGTCCGGGGAAGTTTCTTCCAAATCATCTGCAGCTCTTTTTAGATCACCAGACATTGCAGTTGTATGATATCACTATTGTCTTTTCTTTCAGGGATTTGTTACAATCTAAGCAAAAATAGATAAATATATACTTAATATTTGTCAGTAAGTACCATACAATACCTTCTTATTCCCTTTTAAAGGTTTATAATAAGTATAGGTTAATACCACATGATTATCAAATTATATTTCATTTCCCTCATTGCTGAATAATACATTTCCACTCTCATCAAATGAAATATATTTCACGCGACGCGTCGCACCTAACGAAGAAAATGGGCTAATTATAGACAAAGCAAGATCAGTCGTCGATGTCCAGTTTGTGAAACTCAGTACAAAGTCTATCTAATTGATGCTGCACATAGCTCATACTTAAGAATAAATATGAGATATCAGATTCATATAGGTTGTTATAGTTGTGTCAAAGTCCCAATATAGTATATTACAAGTTGAAAACTGCTTTGCCCAAACAATGACGCAAACAGAAATCGAAGAATTATTTACAAGAGAAGGCCAAGCCCATCTATTCAACCATGTCTCTAAGTTAGGCGCTACAGAGAAAGATGAATTATATAAGAATCTCTCTAAGCTTGCTGGGAGAATTACACCAATCAAGTTACAGGAGGCTTACCAAAAATCTTTAGAACATTTACAAAATGATGGCAACGTATCCTGTGATATCAAAACTTTACCAGAAACATCGTACCAATCAATTATCGGGAACCCTACTTTAGCAGAGGAATATTTTGACGTTGGTCTAAACTCCATTCAGAACGGCGAGGTGGCCGTTATCCTAATGGCTGGTGGTCAAGGTACCAGATTGGGATCTTCTAGTCCGAAAGGTTGTTACGATATTAATTTACCTTCTCATAAATCATTATTTCAAATACAAGCTGAGAAGATCTGGAGGTTGCAAGAACTCTCTAAATGTAAGAAAGTTATTCCATGGTACATCATGACGTCTGAACCTACAAGAGTCGCCACTGAAGCTTTTTTCATTCAAAATTCTTATTTTGGTTTACAGAAGAGTCAAATTCGTTTCTTTAATCAAGGTACTTTACCTGCTTTAGATTCCACAGGTTCTAAAATGTTTTTGTCTAGTCCAACAAATATTGTTCAATCTCCAGATGGTAATGGTGGGTTGTACCATGCCATTAAAGAGAACAATTTGCTAGAAGACTTCAAGAAAAGAGGGATAAAACACATTTATATGTACTGTGTTGATAATGTACTTTCCAAAGTAGCCGACCCAGTATTCATCGGATTTTCCATCAAACATAACTTTTTGTTATCTACGAAGGCTGTGAGAAAGAGGGATGCCCACGAATCAGTCGGTTTAATTGCAAGTAAAAACGGTAAACCTTGTGTTATCGAGTACTCTGAAATATCTAAGGAATTAGCAGAAGAACGTGATTCAGAAGGATTGTTGAAACTTAGGGCTGGTAATATCGTAAACCATTACTATTCTATTTCATTACTGGAAAAGCAACTAAACCATTGGTGTGAAAACTCCACTTACCATATAGCCAAGAAGAAGATACCATATTATGATAACTTATCTGGCGAGTATGTAAAACCCGAAGAACCAAATGGTATCAAACTAGAACAATTCATCTTTGATGTATTCCCAGAAATTCCCCTTGATAGATTCGGATGTTTGGAAGTTGAAAGATCAGAAGAATTTTCCCCATTAAAGAATGGTTTGGGATCTGCAAATGATAACCCGAATACTGCAAGACAAAGTTATTTAGAATTAGGTACATCCTGGTTAATTAAGGCCGGTGCTACAGTTGCTAAAGACGTACAAGTTGAAGTCTCTAACAAAATCAGTTATCAAGGTGAGAATTTATCCCAGTTTGTAGGGCAAACATTTAACGAGGATGATACTTTGTTAGAATTATAAATACTATTTAAATGAAAACATAGGCAATCAATTACTTTAACTTAAATTTGCTTTACTTCACTATACAAATACTAAACAATATAACAAACATTTATTTTTTTCACGCATATTTTTACGTACTTTTTCTTTTCAGTGATGTGTATATATTTAAAATGTAGAAGACTCATATTTAGTCATTAATAACATTACCATTATTACTACCCTGTTTTCCATTCTTATTGTTTAATGTTCCATTATTGTGATTTGTAGAACCATTACGAGACCCATCATTATTTTGGTTCGGAACATTGAAATTCATCATAGAAAAATCAATAATTGCATTTTCACTACTATTGTTTTGTTGTCCATGTGCTTGATTTTTTACCAACATTGATTTCAACATTGTCATATATTGTTGTTGCATACCAGGGTCTGAAAGATCCATTTTGATATTGGGGTCACCTTCTTGCATATTATTCATATTAATATTGGGCGAACCTGATGGTGCTGCCGATATTACTGCAGCTGCGGCAGCAGCAGCAGCATCTATACTTTGTCTTTGGGAATTTTGCATATGAGTTTGGTATTGTGCTTGCATCCCAGGTTGATTTGATACCTGTGAATGAGGGGAGGCGTTTCTCATATTTTCTGAATGTTTCCTCTTTTGCGATGCAAATTGAGCTTGTACTTGTTGTTGTTGATTTGAACTAACCATACCTTTAGCATTTTGGGCCAATTCAAAGTTATTATAAACCTGGGTACCATCTTTAGAGTTATTATGCAAGTCATTTGAAGTAATTACGTCTTGTGGCATTGATGGATATACAACTTGTCCATTATCATTCAACATTGGATTCTTATTTAACATTTGCTGCTGCTGTTGTTGCATACTCATCATATTTGGATATTGTGAAGCCATCATCTGTTGTTGCATGTACTGTGGAACCATTGCAGGATTCATTGGCATTCCATTTATCATTTGAGCTTGGTCTTGTCTCGGTATCTGCTGATTTGGTTGTTGGGATATCCCATATTGACCATTTCCCATCTGAGTTGAAGCATTCATATGTCTTTGTTGCTGACGTTGCTGTAGCTGTTGCTGTTGCTGTTGGTGTTGATGCTGTAGCTGTAGCTGTTGTTGTTGATGCTGTTGTTGTTGAGGCTGCTGTTGATGCTGCTGCTGTTGATGCTGCTGCTGTTGGTGTTGTTGCTGTTGCTGCTGTTGCTGCTGTTGCTGTTGTTGGTGTTGCTGCTGCTGCTGTAGCTGTTGCTGCTGTTGCTGTTGCTGCTGTTGCTGTTGCTGCTGTTGCTGTTGCTGCTGTTGCTGTTGCTGCTGTTGCTGCTGTTGCTGTTGTTGGTGTTGCTGCTGCTGCTGTAGCTGTTGCTGTTGTTGCTGTTGTTGATCAGGTTGCGATTTGGGATTATTTGTTGATTCCTTTGGGATATTATTGCTGCCACTATTATTATTATTATTATTATTATTGTTGTTGTTATTACTATTATTACCAGTTGGTGTACCATTTGACATAGGTCCATTTTGAGTCTGCATAGGTTGTAAATTATTTGGAGTTTGAGTCGAATTCATATAAGGATTACCAGATCTTTGTAAAGGTAAGATTGGTACTACTTTCCCTTGAGTAGGTACAGCAGAAAAATTCAATTTTGAACCTAATTCTTCTAAAGGAGTGCTATCCACGAAATTGTTTAATAACAATAACGATTGCCACCATTCTAATAAAAAAGTATCTGGTGAACTAATAATCATTTTTGACTTCAATAATTGATTTGGCCCTAAATCCTTTAAATTTAATGAATTATTATTTGTAGCTTTAGGATTATTTAAATTTGATAAAGGTACTTCAGCCTCCTTTAAAAACCTTTTTGCTGTCTCATAATAATTGTTCTGTAATAAATAGTTATAAACATGTGCATATAATAACTGACGAGAATTGACGGCCATAGCATCTGATACTACCATATTGAAATGGAAATCTGGTGTATTTTCATTCGGTAAGTGATTATTAGGACGATTTGTAGGCTCAACTGGTTTATTTTTAGTAGAAGTCTTCCGTTGTTTGGTGGCTCTAGGTTTCCTCACTTTACGAGTATTACTCTTACTTTCTTCAGAGGGACCACTAGCTGTTCCTGGTACGTCCATGCTGCTCTTCTTTACAATATTTTTTTAGAATCTCTCTAATTTCAACAAGAGTTTATCCCAATAATAATAAATTTATTTTATTGTTGTTGTTGTAAAAAGTACTACTCTTTGAATACCTAGATGAATCTTCCCGTGTATTGCTCATGCAAAGTCTCCCAAACGAAACAAGAGAAGGAGGATGACGATGATAAACTTAGTTCAGATGAGTTCCTAAGATGAATTTCGTCACTGTCGTCCTTTGATCATTATTACCAAACATATTCGAGATTTGATAATCAATTACGATTGAAAGCGAAAGAGACGACGAAAAAATAATACAGAATATTGACGTGTGTTAGTGCGGACAGTGCGTGAAGATAATATCGAAGCCCTCTTTCTCCGTGAAACTGAATTTTTAAATGTGAGAACAGAGAGAGATCTCAAATAACTGACTGGCTGGATGGAAATAAGAGAAGAGATTGTGGTTAGCTAAGTTCGGTTTGGTCTTCATTGCTGTAGAGTGTTACAAATGGAAAATTTGTATGGATAGACAAGAACAACGGTAGTAGTCGTGAGATGTTACGTTGTGGACAGAAAGTAGGGCTCCCTTTTTTACAGAGACGGTTATACCAAGTGCTAGCCATAGAGACCTCTTGCGATGATACAAGTGTAGCATGGTTGGATCATGATCCACAATCACAAAAAACGCATATTGTACAGAACTTGAAGACTACGCTTGATAGTGTAGCCGACGGTGGAATTATACCAACAGCAGCTCATGAACATCATCAAGTAAGTATTGGCCCATTAATAAGGCAAGTTATAGATACGACTGAATTAGATAGTAACCATCAAAAGAAGCCAGATCTTATCTGTGTCACTAGGGGCCCCGGAATGCTTGGCTCGTTATCGACGGGACTCGTTACAGCAAAGGCTTTGTCGATTGCTTGGGATGTACCTTTATTAGGGGTGAACCACATGTTAGGTCATCTCCTTGTGCCGAGATTGTACGATAAATCGATTCGTTTCCCATTTGTTTCGTTATTGGTAAGTGGAGGTCATTGTATCTTGGTTCATTCTACTAGCGTCACTGATCATAAGATTTTATGTGAGAGCATTGATATTGCAGCGGGTGATTCTTTAGATAAATGTGGCAGAGAAATTGGTTTAAGTGGAATAATGATTGGAAAATCGTTAAATCTGTATACAAATGATATTATTGACCCATGGGAAAAAGATGAGATCTTGGATACTTTTTGTAAGTTACCAAACCCTTTGACGAAGACAAAGAAATCTAGAATTGCATTTTCTTTTTCACCTTTCATTACTGCTGTGAAACAATTCTTAGCAAGTAACCCATTGGAAACACTTAGTGAAAGACAACATAAGTTGCTTGCCGCCAGGATTCAGGATTCGATTTTTAATCATATTATTACGAAAGTGAAACATACGATAGAACAAAACTCAGAAATGTTTCAAAATGTTAACGATTTTGTGTGTTCTGGTGGGGTTAGTGCTAATGATGTATTACGTGGTAAATTACAAAACACATTGAAGTCTAATTTCTCAAATTTTCATTATCCTCCTTTGGAATTATGTACAGATAATGCAGTTATGATTGGATACGCAGGAATTGAACTTTATGATAAATTCCAACATACAATTTCTAATGAGTTAGATATTTTACCATTACGTAAATGGTCATTAGAAAACATTGTACCTATCTCCAACTTTCAACGAAAAGATTCTAAGAAATCACATGTAAATAAATAACATTAATAAACATTAAATTTTTCATTCATCATTTATAAATTATATATATGTATATATATTCGTCAACATGCTTTTTTTTTTTAATTATGTCTCAAGGTAACTTGATGTAATATTAAACTTTTTAATTAATTTGGACCAAGTAGGTATATCCATTTGAAATATAATATGATGCTCTTCTGCATGTGAATTTTTATGTTTTTGAATATTTCTTTCTTCTTTATCTTTTCCCTTTGGTTTATTCTTTATTCGTATTATTGGATATCCATTATTTTCATCTTCTTCCATTACGATTTTACCAGCTTTAATTAAAAAACTAGTATAAAATAAATTTTCAACAGATTTTGGGAAAGAATTTGGATCAATGACAAATTTAAATAAAGATATACTATCCTCAGTGCCTAGTTTCTTAGATAAAATTTTAAAACATCTTTTTACTTGTTCTGGGGTAGTCTGTTCATCATTGTCAACTAGGTCTTTTGCAGATGGACGGTCGGGCTTGACTAATTCACCAACAACATCTACATTACGTTTCCTTATAACTTTTACTTTCACTTTCTTTTCAATGGCAAAAGGTCCAATTAAATTGTCTGTCACCACAGGCATTTTAGATAACCCGTTAAAGAGACTACCTAGTTTAAACCAATTAAATTGATAAAAAGAATCATAAGTTTGAAATTGATTTAAATAATCTTGCTTTAATGTCGATTTTTTCAATTCATCTATTTTTCTATTTTTAAATGATTCACCATTATCAACATTGTTTTGTATATTTTCCTCTTCATCATCATCATCTGCATCATCTGCATCATCTCCATGATTCGTCGAATCAAACCCGTTCTTAGTTTCTGTAATATTGTTCTGTTTAAAATGCTCTTGCAACATATATCGTTTACAATATGACATGATATCATCAATATTAGTCAAACCCTTAATTTCTCCCAATTTTAAATTACGAACAGTAATCTCTGCTAATTCAGTGATCCCAGCAATAGCCCTAGAATCCTCAGCGAACAAATTATTATTTTTCTTCTGTTTAATATATTCAAATAATTTATCAACTGTTTCTAATGTGTCTGTAGTAATATCGATATCTCCACCACGAAGTGCACGTACCCTACCTTTTGTTATATCACCCTGAAGTTGTCTGTATGCTTGCATCACTTCAAATTCAGATATATGTTTCCCTTCAGATGAAGTTTCTGAACTTTTGAATTTCTTTGTTGGTTGTTGTTGTTCAGTGACAACATCTGCGACTGAGTCATCATTTTCAGCAGTTCTTTTCATATTTTCTTAAACTATTTACACACACGCACACACACACACACTACTGAACACTCTCTTTATACCTTCCTAATACTTAATATAGAACACTAGAAGGTTAAACTGTAGATTATTCCCTTTTTATAAACCACCAACTCAGCCTTTGGCATATCGATCAAAACAAATATTCTGCCATCTCTCTTATTGCGCGTGTCGTTCAAATGGCGATGCTCTCCTTCACTGAAAAATAATTGAAAATTTAAAAGAAAAAAAGAATTGTTGAAATGAAAAAGTTTTAAAGGCTGAAACAGAGAGAATGTTACATATATTTTATGTGTCATCGTCTTAGGTTTCTTAGTACGAACGGTGTTTTGTAATTAAATGATTAATTAGTAAGGTGGTGTAAATCATATCGACACATAGAATACATACATAGTTGTTTCAAATTGCAGTGTGCTTTTTAAAATTTTCAAAGATTGTATTTGCTACAACTTGATATTTTAGACTGACATACTCTGAAAACCTTCACGAGAATAATATAATAGCAAGTGTTCAAAGCTTAAAGTCGAGATTATAAGTTATACAAGATATTATAATAGATATAAAAAGATAAATTAAGGATGCCTGACCGTTCTACTGAAAAGCAAAATTTCGATAATGCATCGTCATCTAATATGAATTTTCTTCCTACTGATCTCATGGGATTTCCTGACAATGACGTAAACATATTGTCAAATACAACAGTAAATCAACTATTAACAGATGTGAATAACGGCAATGATAATGCAATGACTGTTGGACAACAGCGTCCTTCCATATTTAGTAATACCCACTATCAAAGAACAACTGAAGGGAATTCTGCTTCTGATAATAATAGCAATATATCATCTAATGATCATAATCATAGAGACACTTCTCCAACAAGATCTAAACGTAAAAGAGTTCAACCAGAAGCATTAAGATTATTAAAGAGTCTTTATCGTACTACGTCTCATCCATCCATAAAACAACGTAAAGAATTATCAAGAAAAGTTAATATGTCAGAGAGATCTGTCACTGTATGGTTTCAGAATCGTAGAGCAAATACAAAGAAAAAACAAAGATTGGCTCAAGAAAAGAAACAAAGAAGGAAAGGTGATAACAAAAAATTTGCCTCCGATTCCGATGATTCTTCGAACGATGATTCAGACTCATTATCTGACATATCAGATGAAGGCGAAAAGCTGGGTTCATTTGATCAAGTACCATTAGATATTAACATGAATTATAATTTAATTGATATAAATATAATATCTGTAGGGTCCTGGAACCGTCGAAAGACAGGTATAATATCCAATGATGGCCAAGAGAGAGTCAAGGAAATGAGAAACCTTTCCCCAGATTCAATATACGGCATTCTTGAGGATGAAACCGATATGATTGTATTAATATCAAAGAAAAATCAAGAAATCAACTATTTCTTTTGTGCCCCATCAGAAAATGGGAAAATTTTATTTAGAATGTTTTACCCAATACGAATAGTATCAAATTGTACTTTAACACTTGAATCTGATACTGACCTTAGATCAAATAAAGAAACAGTTAATATTGGTGAATTAAAATTGGATTTAGATAAACCTCCAACGTTTGCAGTACATTATTCTAATAGTAATAATCCAGATATTCAAAATTTACCAAACCAAAATCAATGGTCCTTATGTGGAGACTTCTCTGATGGAAGACAAGTTAATGATGCATATGTGGGCGGATCTAATATGCCACATTGTTTAAAGGGTTTACAATCATCGTTGATATACATGAATTCTCTGATATTGGAACAAAAGGCTGCGCGCAGTACATTATCCATGGATATTTCTCCGAATGATAATGTCACTATGTCAGGTTCTTCAGCATCACCTGCAACAGATTTATCAAATATACCTCCAGCAGTAATAGCAGCTGTTCATGCTTCTATGGCTGCAAACGCATCTCCTAATAGTATGAATCAGAACACACCAATAAATTTTGATCCTAATGTACTTTTAGGATTAAATTCTAGTGATATGTCATATTCAAATAATAACCTTGGAACACCGAATGATTCAAATTTTTCACAACAACAGCATAGAAATTTGCTTGATAACACACATACGTTATTGACTCCTTTTACGCAACCAAATGGTCAACCAGGTATACCGTTGATACCGAACAACGAAAATTATAACGAAATGAGTATTAATTCAATGCAATTAGAAGATTACTTCCTTGGGAATAGTTACTTAGCTGATGTCAATGACACCCTTCTCTCATCATTTCCGACCCACGACAATAACGACACTAACAATAGTCAAAATAATAATAACCACAGCACTAATAAGAACAACCATCCATTTTAATCGAATCTGAATTCATTCGGTTTTATTGTCGTCTTTTAATCATAATTAGATTCATCTGTAATGGATATGTAATTCAATTACAGAAATTGGATTTTTCATTATCTAACATAAATAATAAGTCAATCCTTCCTATCCATTTACCAATTTTTGGAAGATAGGCTATTTGTAACATTAACGAATATTATTTTCTATTGTTATTTGTTTGATTATTTATTATTGTATATTTACACGATATTTACATTACCCAACGTGAACTTGGCGATTTCACTTTAGAGATGTCACCAGTAACAGAATTGGCATTGTTTTTAGTAGTAGAAGGTGTGCTTCTTTCGGATTTTGAATTTTTTAGAGCTATTTGAATTTTCTCCATTCTATTTGTAACGAACATCTTTATATAATTTTTATAGTTTTTATCCACATTTTTTAGGCTTTCCATACTTTTCAAACAATTGACACAATTAATATATTGTTTCGATTCAAAAGAACAATCAAAATAACCAAAGTAGCATTCAATTTCAAATACCTCCATTCCAATCTTAAACCATTCTTGGGCCTTACCATAATCTCTAAAATAGTTCATTTCAAGATATCCAAGTTCCTTGAATGCTTCTTTAAAACCTTGAGTGCAGCACTGTTCTAAAAGTATCTTTGATTTCATTGGGTCATATTTTATATATATTTGGGCCAAATAAAAATATGATTTAACACAATCTTGGAGTTTACAAATTTTAATTACCTCTAAAAATTTTTGTTCTGCAATTTTAATATTTTCAGGACCTTGTCTATATTGAATCTCTGCAATCTTTTCTAAAACTTCTCCCTTCCATTCATTTTTCAATTGTGGTTGTTCCAAAAACTTTTCATACCAACTGATACATTCTGCAGTTTGACCCATAGAATAATAAAGATCACCTACCACTTTAAAGCTTAGGCCATGCCCTAGCATTACCAGATCCTTTAGTAATTTTTCAGCTTCCTTTTTCTTTGGTGGTTTAACATCCTTATTTGACAATATTTCGTAACATAATAATGCAATGGCATCGTTCGATCCATTACTTGCAGATTGATACAGCAATGTATTTCTCATTTCTTTTAAGGGTATAGTTTCATAGTTACTCATTTTCCTTATTTTTGAGAGAACTCTATTCATTAAAAACAACACATCTCCATTGCTACGATATTTAATAGGGATTACCCGTTTCTCATATATGGATTGATAAATAGGTATAATTGTTCTTGAAGTGACATCCGAATCTAATTGGAATAGTATTCTATTTATGAGTTTTTTCGATGGAAATACCTTTGAAAATTCAGGTTTGATATTCATGTCAAAAAAAATGTCTCCAATCGCTGGGAGAAGTTCATTAATATGTGCAATAGACTATGATATGATAAAGGTCTTACCTGTGAACTTCCACTTTTCCCCTCTTGGTACCATTTCAAGTAGATGCACTGTTGTATCAACCATTTTGTCTCTTTAAAAATACGTAATAATCGTTTGGATAACCAAAGCAGTCGTTCTTGACGGTACATGATTTTGTTCAAACAGCGAAAACAGGGAACTACACTATAAAAGGAAATACAATATATAATCAACTATAAAATATTAAGAGATAATAATTAATACCTTTAAATAGGTTTGATACTTTGGAGGAATGATTAAAGGGCTGATGTTTTGTTTAATGATAGTAGCGCAAACATAGAATTGTCTTCCGACAGTTGTAAGTAAATAGTTAATCACATGGTCTACCCTTAAAGCTGTATAGATTCTGATGGTTTGATATTCAGAATAATTCACTCGAATTTATTCCCTGGCACATCTACAGTATTAACTAAATATTCTTATTTTTTGTTGTTCTGAAAAACAATTACTCAAACAACATGGGCACCTTCATGAAAATATATACAATTGATAATATGCTAATGTAATTAATGCAGTTATATACATCTGTATCTGTATATATAAGAGGACAAACTTTAATACATCTTTTTAGTATTATTATACCTTCTGCGAGAAAATGTTTATATCAGCTGGATCACTAGGGGCCGGTAGCTCTTTAAAATATTCACTTTCAAGACATTGAATAGTGTTCCATCTAGTTTGCGGGTTCATCATTAACATATTCTCCATTAAAGTTAATGCACTCTCTGTAGCAGCAATAAACCTCTTTCTTAATTCATCTCTTGATGGTGATGGATAAATTTGTAATTTATTATATCCAGGAAACGAAGAGACTTCCGGCCATTGTTTATCTGTAGGCGTACCTAATGCTCTAAATGTTACTTCCATTTGATTCATATCATCTTGACCTGGTAGATAGGGTATTCTTAACATTAACTCAGCAAATATTACACCAATAGACCAAACATCCACCGCATAAGTGTAATGTTTTGCACCAAATAACAGTTCAGGGGCTCTATACCATCTAGTAACCACATTGCTTGTTAACATTTCTCTTGGACCTGGGACAGCTCTGGCCAACCCAAAATCTGCTACTTTGATAAGACCATCAGGCGATATTAATAAATTATTAGGTTTCAAATCTCTGTGTAGTATAAAATTTCTGTGTACATGATATACCCCTCTTAAGGTCATCAACATCCATGATTTTATATCAGCAGGGGTAAACAAAATATTCTTGTCCTTTATGACAACTTCTAAATCCGTAGGTAAAAATTCTAAGACAAGATTTAGATTATCATAGGCCATGAAAATGTCAATCAAATTAATTACATTAGGATGATTCAACTCTTGCAAATACTTGACTTCCCTTATAGCTGACATATCCAATCCATCCTTAAACTCAGAAGTCTTAATTTCCTTCACAGCAATACTATCTCCAGAACTTAGCTGTTTGCCCAGGTAAACCACAGCATATGTACCTTCACCGACTTTTTTCTCCTTAGTATAGTTTGATTCACTCATTATTAATTCTATGTATACTATATATGTAGTAGACTAAATGTATGAAGCTCAACTGAAAATCTTTATGAGTTCTTTTCCTCTTATTTACAGTGTATATCAATGGTACTGTTAGTCTTAAAATAATGAAATTTTCATTAAATTGTTATTGATTGAGTTACCCCGAAGTTTCTTCCTCTTAAGGACGACCAGGATCGATGATCTGGAAATTAAGCATTTCTTGAAGAGACAAAAGGTACAGGAAGGTCAGTGATTGAATTACAGAAATTAGAAATGCTATCTCGCTATTGAGAAGTATCAGAAATCTTGTTCTTTAATAACTTCCAATCAGTGGCAATATTTTGCACCGTAAGATGTTGTAAGGTAAAATTGCTACCACAAACAAAATCAAGGAACACAAGTACTTAAATATAAAACCTCTTATAAAGTATATAACCATAAAACTATATCACAATCGTTCTTTGACAAACTCGAAAGTAGTTGATGGTTTGCCTAAGAATAAGGTAATACTCTCTTTCTTGAATTGGAAAGACTATAAAAAAGGAACAACTGAAAAAAATTTCTGGGAAAAAATATTTGTATACAGATATATGAACAGAACACAATGAAATAACGTTTTAAGATTGCGAATAGGGAAATACTTACATCCCAATGAAATTGTACAATTAGTATAATTATCTTCAGGTAAATTGAAAAAGAATCAGAATGAGCACAAAAGAAGACCAAGTGTTATACCATCAAAAATCTGCCGTTAAAGTTGGGGAAATAGAACGTTATGTCATCACATATACACCTTCTCAACGAGGTTCTAAACTCTCAGGATCCTTATCAATGATGGAATCGTTTAATAAATCGCTTTTCCTTAAGCTCAAGAATGTTTCGAAGTCTACTTATAGCGCAAATTACATAATGGGACCTTTCGATCTATATTGTGACGTTCGTACCAAGGATTACTACGATACTCAACGAGTTGTGATTAGTGTAGAAAAACCGCAATATGAAAGTCAGTTGATACCTCAAAAGAAATTTGTTGTTGAATTGATGATGAGACAATTGAAAAATCAATATGTATGGATTGTGGATGTTGTGAGTGGAATTATTTTCTCGACCGATAACCATACTTCATATGAGTTAACGATATCGTTTTCAAAGGAATCCTTGAAATGCAAGGTTTATTCAGACGTTTCCACTGAATGGTTCAAAATTCAAAAAATTAGTACCTCCAAATTATGGAAAATTCCACCTCAAATTTCAGAAAGTTCCAAACCCAAACATCTAATAATATTGACGCATGGTCTACACTCAAATGTAACTACAGATATGTTATATATTAAAGAAGAAATCGAGAAACAACAAAAGTTGTTTCCAAATGAAGAACTGGTTGTTGATGGATTCAAAGAAAATGTTTGTAGTACAGAGAAAGGTATAAAATATCTGGGAATACGACTTGCTGACTACGTAATTAAGTTAGTGAAGGAATATTCTGCCGCAAAACTTTCCTTTATTGGTCATTCATTAGGTGGGCTAATTCAAATGTTTGCTATGACATATATTTCGGTCACAAATCCAAATATTTTCCAAAATATTGAACTGTCTAACTTCATTGCATTAGCATCCCCTCTATTAGGTCTTGGTGCACATAATCCTAAATATGTGAAATATTCTTTATCACATGGTGTAATGGGACAGACTGGAAAGGATCTTGGATTACATAAAAGTAAAACAAACGATAACATACCTTTGTTATACTATTTATCTGGTGAGCCTACGCGATCAATTTTAAAGAGGTTTAAAAGAAGAACAATATATGCTAATTGTGAGAATGATGGAATTGTCCCTTTATATACATCAGCTTTGTTATATCTTGAATATACTCAAATACTTAACAGTTTACAAGAGTTCAAACAAAAGAAGCATGGAAAAAAAAAAGTTTCTAATGCATCATTACTTACATCTGTAACGTCACTAGTAATGCAACCAACACCACCATCTGCATATATCGACGACCCCTCAATTGGAGGATATCCAATACTTCATGACAAGGTATACACTATGGACGATTGTCAAAAATTAAAAGAGAAATATGCAGATACCATTTTGAAACCTTATCTAAAACATAAAGTCAAAGGCAAGGATAAAAGTTATCAATGTATCATTGCTGATAGACTGCAAGAAGGTATTGATTGGAGGAAAGTAATTGTCGCATTACCTCCAGACGCTCATAACAACATCATAGTAAGACGCCGTTTTACGAACGCATATGGTTGGTGTATAATTAGCCATCTGGTAAACACACATTTTAGTGAAGAAGAAGAAGCTTCTAAATACAAGAACGACACACAAATTGATCAACCAACTGAGACCGAGCCAGTAGAATTAGATAACTCATGGTTGACAACTTCGGATAAGAGCTCATCTGGTATTCTTTCCAGTACCTCGAACCTGATTGATCGGAATTGGCATAGACGTAAATCGGCTCTTGTTACTGCTGCCGATGAACCACTCGAACAAAGGACCTCAATAGACGACGATTGATATATCACCTGGGGATCCATATATACATGCATATATATAATCTACAACGTATTATATTAGTCATCAACTACCATAAGTATCCAATAATGTATCTAAATAGACAAAAAGTCGTAGAGCTTACCGTTCATTCTTACTTGTCTTTCTATCGATATAAATTATTGTTCGTGCAGCACCACGTTTCACGCGTTGTGAAGCCTCATCGATTAACTAAAAGTACGGCTCTCATCATTTTCAGAATCATTATATAAGGGGAGACCCAAAGAGGGGAACAACTGCGAAGGAAATATATCACTGGAGCAATTAAAAAGATTTAAGTTTAAAATAAAGAAAAACTATATTCGTATTAGGCTTTCCCATTTAACTATACGATATTTAATATATTAAAACAGTAATGTCAGCAGAAGGTATAAAAAGACCCATCCAAATTGAAGAATTTAAGGTAGCCATCAGGGAGTTGGGTGATGGAGAACTACAGCGTGTGCAGGATGAAATCAATAACAATATCAGACATTTGAGTAGGTCTAACAAAAGCTTACTGGCTTATATTGCTAAAATTGAGGGTAAGACTACCAAAGATGAGATGGAGGAATTTGAAGAATTGGATAATGTAGATGCTGATGATCTTGAATTGTTTAAGGAATCTTTGACAGAAAATGAGTTGATTCTTAAAAATAATGAAGAAAGAATTGACGCATTAGAACAAGAACATATATTCAGAACATCAAGAACGGACTCCAATGTTTGTGGCATGGGTCCAAGTATGAATGAACCGGCACCGACCCCAAAAACAAATGAACCTACCTCGATATACCTATAATTAATAAGCTTTTTGAAAAAGAAAAAAAAAATGACCTTTATCATAAATCAAATAATATTATAGCTCAGCCATTTTCTAATAATTCCGTACTAATATTGTTTTTAATTTACATCTATATTATTTAAATATATATATTAATTTACATATGTTGTATTGTGTAAGAATGAACAATGACAGCAGTTGCAGTTTGAATATTCATTGATCTAATAACCCCAAACTGTTGTATCTCTAAACAAAGATCTAATTCACTCAGTAAATCACCAGGAATACCATGCGCTTCAGTACCTAACAAAATTAAAGATTTCTTTGGAAATTTATATTCATCGTTCAACTTGACTGATCTATCAGTTTGTTCTAAACCAATCAAAGTGTATCCTTCTTTCTTCTTTTGTTTCATGAATTCTGTGATATCAACCACTGGAACTTCCTTCATTGGCATCCATTTATCTGCAGTGACAGCTACATTCTTAAATTGAGGGTGGTTTTTGACTCTGATGTCCTGAACAGTTAACAACCCAACACCTAGAACATCACATAATCTACAAATACCTCCGAGATTAGGTGGCTTATCAACTAATGAGGAAAGAACAATCAAATCAGATCTCTTAACAGATTCATTTGATTTGTCGTTGTCTAAGTCTAGAACGGTTTCCCATGCTCCACTCTTCGTTTGTAAAGGAGAAGGACCATCAGTAGAACTTTCAAATTTGTTATTCTTATTTCCTGAACCCTTAATGTCTCTTTTGCTTAACCAGTCTTCTTCTTCATCTTCACCTATGAAGACAGTTGATGGGAGGTCTGTTAAAGATTCGGTAAATTCCTTTTTCGAAATGTAAGATGTATTATGATCAGTCATCTTTCTTAACATACCACCAAATATATTAGTTAAGGTCAAGTTTAATACATTCCATGTATTAGCGTCACCAGATCTGTACTTTCCGACAATTTGTGCACTCTTGGCATTAGAATAGAGCTTTTCAAAAATGTTATTCAAATTTTTATCCTTCTCCAATACATTCTTAAACGCAGGCCAGAAGGATAATATTAAGGAATTTGAAAAGTGTCTAATTAAAGGTTTGTTCGAGGTTGCATTTGTAATTAGCGATGAAACAAATCTGTTCAATAATTCATTAGATCTTTTACTGGGTGTCAAATAGAATAAGGCTTTTAGAGATATGTACAAAATTTTTTGGGCACTAACTGTAACAACTGGTTGGGAATGGTCTTCCATAAGAGCAAATAATTCAGTTCCTTGGAATTTGTTTCTACCTTCACTATTAAATGCTGTAAAAACAAAAGCAATGAACCATTCTTTTAGGATTCTAACAAGCGGAGATGCCTCTGTTTTCAAACTCTCGATCATAGAGATAACTAATTCAAAATCCGTGTCTAGAGTTTCCATCAATGCTAAACACAATATACAGAGTTCCCATAACAACACCCTTTGTGCTTCTTCCGGACCATCGATTCTCTTGATTGCATTTATCGCATTAGTTTCAGTTATGATAAATTTGATTAACCCATCTCTAAACTCATCGTTAAAGTTGATAACTGCATTGATTATAGATGTTCTAACGCTCATCTCTGGGGGGCCGTATACTTCAGTGTATAATGAGCTTTTATCATTTTCATCAGTATTCAATTTATGGTCGTACAAGTTACCTATAACTGGTTTCAACTTGAAAATATTATCAGGTATTTGACTTCGAATAAAACTATAAACTGAAAGAACCACCAAAGAAAGATAATTTTTACCAAATTTATCTTGATTCTTTACAAGTTTTGAAAATTCAAATACTTTTTTCCCTAATAATGGTAAGAACCCTCTTCTTGAAACACTCAAGTTACAGATATCACGACCAATATCACATAAAGAGTGGTTAATCAAGAAAGATACCTCATCTTCACCAACAATAGCATGCTTTAAAAATTCCTTATGGAATAAAGTTTCAATAACTTTCAGATGTAAAACTCTTTCTTTTAATACTAATCTGTCACCATTTAAGTTATTCCAAAGAGATGACATAATCGACCACACCGTTGATATTAAAGAAATTCTTGGGTACTCTTCAGGATGAATATCATAAACATGATCCAATATGTATGACAATAGCTTTGTGATGGCCAGGTTACCGTGGTAGTGTCCGTTATCTCTTTCGACACAGTTTGCTGATATTAATAATACATCATCGATATTTGAAAGTTCTTTTTTTAAATTTTCTTTTAAGATATCAGATATTAAGTCGAAACATGAGGCAAAATCTTTATCCTTTGTGGAAATTGCAGCGCTACGCCCTTCGTTTCTATAATATTGTAACATTTTATCATAAACTGGAAATATTTCTTCTAGGGTAATTTCTTTCTTATTATCTTTTCCTTGCTTCAAATATAATGAAGAAATGTTACATGCGCATCTCAGACGAGTAACATTGAATTCATTATTAATTTCCTTCATATTAATAATGTTGTACAATTTTTCCATTTTTTCTTCATCAGATTTTAAATGGTCAATCAGAAGTGATATTTCATCACCTAATGTATCATCATTAGTTATGCCTAATTCGATAACATTGTATATCTCGTCTTTGAAACAGCCATTATTAGAGAACTTAGATTTGCATAATCCAACGAGAAATTCCTTTGTTGGAGTGGCAGGACGGATATCAAATATTAGGTACAATAATATATCATAATCCTCATGTAATTGCTTTGTGCAAGTTTCAATGTTAAATTTGTTTACAGCATAATATTTCAACTGGAAAAACACTTTTCTAAAGTATTTGTAATCGTAGTGAGTACAAATTAAATGTGTTTTTAAGGTCTCTAACCAATGCTGGATATGAACATCTGGTTGAACATAAAGAAGCATTTTCAAATATATTGTCTGTTGTGACATTTCAAAAATTTCTTCTTCGCATTCGAATTGGAATAGTTTACGCAATTGGTTGATATTCTCAAGGGACAATTTGGAATTATTTGTATTTTCAAGATACTTTAACACACCATAAGACATGTAGATTCTAGCTGGATCAAAAGAAGAACCTTCTTTTATTAAAAGGTTAAAGATACAAGTTAATATATCTGATGTTTTTGTTTCTGAAGCTGCCAATATTTGTGAGACAAAATCTGACACTTTATCACCATATGGGCAATCTAAGGATTCGACGTTGTAAAATTGAGCTTGCATAGTAGATAGTAGAATAGTGTTTTGCAAAATATCTAGATTGCTACTGAATACAGATAGATCTTCCACTTGAAATATTAGTGATAAGATATATTTTCTAACACTTTCCATTGATGAGTGTAACCCAGTTGCAAATAGAATTAAACTCCAGCTTGAATTAATATATTGATCTTTGAATAAATTTAAAATATCTTGACGAGCAGCTTGGATTTGATTAAGAGCAGTATCCAAAGCGACAATTTCGTATAATGTAGTAAATTTTTCCCATGATTTGACAAATTGACCTTTGGCAGATGGAACCCAAGAGAAAGTTTCACTTTCAAATGGTTCTGAGATAGTTAATAATTTTTTTATTGTCAATTTTAAGATAGATAATGCTAATTTTCTATTTTCATGTATTCTATGATTCAATGCTAATTGAAGTTGTTTCCAATAAGTATCTGTCTTGATGAAATTCAATAGATTCTGTGTAGTATCTTCTGATATAGTCAAGTATCTCAAATGGAAACATAAAGCATTTCTTTCCTTCCATTGGTATGTGCCTACATTTTGATAAATGTATTCAATGGATTTCCAAGTCAATTTATCAAAGGTAGTATCATTTAAACAATGATTAACGATATTTTTTTCCTTCCATCTCATTAGTTTTGAACTTGATACAGCGATCGATTCGATATTAGAACCCTGAAGATATAATAAAATACCATCTAATTCCATATCACAATTTTTTGAAATTTTTTCAGTCCAGAGAAATATTTTTTCTAAAAGAGTCAATAACAATTCAATTTCAGAATCTTCAATTTGAACACCGTTATCAATATTCTCAAAAGTGGTACTATATTTATGAATAAATTTTAATGTAACTTGATCATAAAATATTTTATCGAATAATCTACCATTATTGGAAATGGTATATTGAATAAGTTTAGTCTTCAACCATAATTCAACTTTGTTCCATAAACTTGGAATATTATCAATTAAGCTAATAAAAGTTTTCAAATATTCATCGTCAAACATTTTATCCAATACATTTTTTTCACCGATTGCAGTCTCGACATTATGGAAACTCCCGTATAATTTCTCCTTAAATGACTCAAAAATATATTCTATAATCTTATCTTCTTTAGACAGATCAATATTTGTAAACGAAATAATCTCAATTGCTTCATCGAATCTGTTAGCAAAGACCAACTCATTAACTAAGTCAAGTTGTTGAATTGGTGAAAGGAACTTCGATATCAAACCACCTTTAGACTCCATGATTGCTTTCCTTATAGTTATACTTCAATTAAGTCAATTTCTCCATAACACAGATATATAGATATATATATATATCACATATACCTTGGCAGAGCACCAATTGGCACAACAATTTTCACTCTTTCAATTCGTTTATCTCCCCAAATGACAGTTTCAAGACCTTGCGATGCACCTCATCAGTTGGTTCAATCCCATCGATTAATTTTGAAATTGTTGTTTCGCACCGAAAGAAGAAACAAAAAAAAACAATTTTTAATCATGTGACCACAAAACATATCTGCTACTGGTGTTTCTGTGTAAAACTCATATACACCCAAACACCATTCAACCTAGAGAGAGTAACCAAAAAATAATAGTATTGAGACTAAACCAAGAGAGGCAGAGGGATAATCATAATAAGAATAAGAATAATAAAGGTATCAAACAATACAAAGAATCTGTAATTTTAAAAGGGTTTTTGAAATTTTAGGGTAAAGTATTAAAGGGTACTTTACGTAATTAAGAAAAAGAACTAATCGTCTGTATTCGTATTACTTTTGAGATCTGAGGTTTAAAAAAATATTTATATATTCATTAGTTTTAACTTAATTCTTAACAATAGAGAATGGCTAAGAATAAGAATAGAAAAGGTAAGAAACAAGGTAACCAACCTGAGAAACCATCAAATAATTCAGGAGACATTACAAAACCGAATGTGTCAATTGTTGATATGAATCCATCTGAAGAGAGTTCGGATCAATTAGAATCAACTTCAAAAGAACAAACCAGAGAACCTAAGAGTAATGAAGATGTAAAGGATGATGCATTAAAAATCGATAACCTTAATAAACCCTCAATTGTTAACGATGATTCTAATTCAGTAGGTGATGTTGCAAGTCTTGTGGAGGCAAGAATGGTTCATACTGCAATTATTGAAAAGGATAATCCATTTTTGGAAGCACAATCTCAAATTGAAAAAGAAAATAATATCAATGAAAAGAATTCAAATAGTGAAAAACATTTAACCATTACGCAAAAGAGTCAAGATATTAAAAATCCAAATAAAATATATGAAGATGCAGAAAAGAATAATAATTATGATGATGATGATGATGATGATCTCGTATTACCAAAAATCAAACCCCTAAAATCAGAAATAACAGAAACTAATCTTGAATTACGAAACCCTAATGAGCAAATAAGTACTAAACTTAACGATAACCATTTGAATAATATAAATATCCAAATATTGGAAGCTAATAAAATATCAGAAGGACAAGGTAGAGCATATGTAGCATACACTATTAAATATGGAGATTCTATTGTAAAAAGAAGATATAGTGATTTTGAATCGTTGAAAAATATTTTAGTACGATTGTTCCCAACAACATTAATCCCACCGATTCCAAAGAAAGAAAGTATCAAAACATATGGAAAAGTTATCACAGGAAGTACAAATGATTTTATTTTACCATCAGATGATTTAGGATCCGTAGATTTATCATTTAGTGTAATAAATGGAAATATTCCAAATACAGATGCAAAATTAATACGACATAGGATAAGAATGTTGACTTTATTTTTAACAAAAGTTTTACAAAATAAAGAAATAAATAAAACATCTATAATAACTGACTTTTTGGAACCAAATCATGTAAATTGGAACGATTTTGTGGCTAGTTCTCCAACCTTTTCTTCTTTACCAAAAAATACTTTAAATTGTAATCCATTGGATCCAACTAATACATCAAGATTATATGTTTCCTTACCTATTCCTTCATCATCCCAAATTATACCAAAGGAAGTTAGAGGAGTTGCTACTTACCCCAAGAAATTCAAAGAAAAATTTGACCTGATAGATCAAGATTATAAATTATATGAAAATATTTTGTCAAATGGAATATATAAACATAATAAAAGGATCACAAAAACTTTATATGATTTAAAAAATGATTTTAATGAAATTAAGGAAATCTCAGCCATATTCGTGAAGAGTCCTCAACGAGATATTGGAATCCAAGAGCAATTGGTACACATTAGTGATACTTATTACGAAACAAGTTTTTTGTTGGAAAAGTTTGTTAGTCGTTTACATTATAATATTGATGAACCATTGAGTGAATTGGTTGGTATGGCTGGCTCTGCAAGAGATTTGATAAAATTCAGAAGATTAAAATATATTCAAAATGATATGATAAAAAAATCACTTAATAGTAAACAGAAACAACTTAACAAATTAGTAACCGAAAATAGTAGATTTAGTCATATGGATAATGCTATAGAGGATGCTATGGCAAACACTCAAACAGTATCACTTCAAAGACCAAATACAGAACCTAACAGCTATAGTGGTAAATTGTTCAGTAAGTTTAACAAATTGGCTTCTATTGTAAAAGAAAGTGTTACTTATCAAGAAGTTGATCCAAAGACAGCTGCCATAGAGTTGAAGAAAGAAATTGAAAAGTTGGAGAAATACCAAAACGTTACTATTCCTGATTTGAAAATAATTACAGATATGATACAAAATCAAGAATTAGCTGAATTTGAAAATGATAGGGCCCAAGAATTAAAGAAAATTCTAAAGAGCCACGCAACATACATGAGATCTTTTGCCCAAAAGAATTTAGAGCTTTGGAAAAATTTGAAGAAGCAACAAACAGATTAGAGATTAGGAATTTTTCAAAATTCTCTGTTCGATTGTAATACTTTAAATTTTCGAATAATAGTCTTTCGATAACTGATATATCTGAAGTATTTAAATGTATTTATTTTGATAGCGCTAAATGTTCTACAACACTTTTCGATAATAAGAGATAAATAAAAATATATTGATCCTACTTGATATACCTATAATGCGGTAACTTTATTCATCCCACTCATATGTTTTATCATCCATACAAAGGGCCAATCCAACGTGTTATAAACGGGTAGAAGATTAGTATAATACGGTCTTCTGATTATACAACGATTATTTGACTCGACAGCTTTAATAATATCAACAGATAATTTGGCCGGGTCAACATCTGGTGCTAACACTTTAGATGGTGTACTCACCACTTCAAACATTTTAGTTTCCAATTTTCCAGGACATACCAAAATTGTGTTTACATGACAGCAGGGGATCCGGGCTATATGGTCCGTTAACAGTTTATGAAATGCAGTTAAAGTGGCCTTTGATGCACCATATGTTGCTAATCTTGCAGGAGTAGTTTCTCCCAAAATTGAAGAAACATTTACCACACAGCCGGACATTCTTTCCAGTAAGTGAGGCAGAAACAAAGTTGTCAAGTAATATGCTCCTAAGAAATTTATATTGATGACATTGTCAATTTGATTATCATCTGTGGTAAATATTGTCTCGATGGTCGTCTTTCCCGCATTATTGATGAGGACTGAAATATAACCAAAATCTGAAATAACCTTTTTATATAAATGTTTAACTTGTTTCTCATCAGAAATATCACACTTCAGAAAAAGAACCTTTGGGTTGTTTAAATAGTCAGGGATTGGAGGTACAACATCAACTATTATGATCTTCTTGGAAGGCTTGGTAAGCAACAACTTGACAATTTCAGAGCCAAGACCATTAGCACCTCCTGTAATTAATGTCACTGTCTCAGCATTAAATTCAAATTTTCTATAATTGTCGAAATATCCGTACTGTTGTGCTTTAGCAAACATATATTTCACAGGCATGCTGTTTAGTACAAACCTAATTATTGGGCATTTGATATTATCAATTTTATAGTTTCTGAATGTCATTATGGAGGATTATATTATTTTTGTAGTTTTAAAACTCTAGAGAAGAGATGAAACTATAAATTATATAAATGATATTTAAATTAATATACTTGGCTGAAATAGAGAAAATAATAAAACATTTTGTTTTACAACAAAATTATTGTGTCGCAATTTTGCTAAATTAATCCGAACATTTATTCTGACGTTAGAACCCAAATTTTCAAAATTTTTACTAAACTTAATAAAATTACTTAAAGTGTTTTTTTTAATATGAATGCGTTTCAAACGTTCAATAATAATTATAGAACAAATATAACCAAGATATCTAGAACAATCGATCGGGTCATTTATCAAATGAATCAATATTTCAATAAAATCTTAAATGTCGTTGTTATGCACTATTTCCCAGTAACCCCCCTTACCGAAATTGCTTAAAAACGGAGATACCCGACTAACAAAGAAAGAAAGAACAAAAGAATACACTTCATTTAAAGGAACTTAAGATACGAAAATAAAGCTATTTTGTCAATTAATTCGATTTTGAACAATTGCACACTTGAAAAGGACTTCTACCAAGAACCTGTTGACGTTGAAGTAAAAACTTCGATAGATACATATTTATTATTTTTTATAATGACTAAAGCTCCAGAATTTATAAGAGTGAAAAGAAGGAGAGATGAGGGATCCGTTCATGCACTTCTGATAGATGAAGATAAGAGGGCCAAGAGAGCAAAATATGTTTTTAAGTTACAAAAAACAATAAATGAAAACTCATACGAAAACGAGAAGGAATCGAACACACCCTTGTTGAAACTATCTAACGATGATGGTCGACATTTTGTATTAGAACAACATAAGAGGAAAAGAGATAAACCTGATAGTGACAATGAAATAGAACCACAATTAGACAAACAAGGTGATCACACTGATAAATTGCCTACTGATATTGCTCAGATGGTAAATGACTATTTAAAATTACAACCAAATAATGACTCCACACGACTAAATACAAGCCAAAGGAAGAAACCGACAAAAAAAAGGTATTTAAATTCTGTAACATCCCTACCGAGTCAGGACTACGTCTACGATATTTACCACCTGGAGATTGTCCCAGATACGGAATTGATAACATATGATAGTGATAACAATGTCGGGTTCGTGAAAATTGTCAATAAATATGTAGATTTACTCCCAGATGATGAAGAATACTCTGATTCCCAAATAAGGTCCGACGATGAAGATTCCAATGATGAAAATTATTACCAAAATGACTATCCTGAAGATGAAGATGATGATAGATCAATCCTTTTTGGTGAAGAAGGCGAGGGTATTGCCGATGATGAAGATGAAATGAGCAAAAGTCAGCAGATATCTGAATTACAGAAGTGGGGAGTTGTACCTTCAAATGTAGAAGAATGGGAAGAATCTAAGAGTGGAGATCAAACGGTTGACAATACAAATGAGTATTCTGAGCTATTCAACAAATATGAAGATAGTGAAAATATTTTATACTCGATCAATAAAAATCACGTTGTTGACGTGGATATGGACAATACTAGGCAAGCCTACTACGATGAAGATGACAATATTGAAATAAATGACACAATCAGAAATTCAAGTGCCAACAACGATAACGATCGGAATTTTGAATATGAGCGGAACACTTTTTTTGAGACTGATCGTGACGATCCTCTGGCCCAACATCGAGACAAGATATTTGGCGAATTACAAAGAAAAATAAATGAATAGTTCATCACTGACTTCACAAAAAGTAGAAACTAACAAATACTATTTTTTTTGATTATGCGTGCTTTTTGTTCATGTAATATTAATAATATATATTTGTATATAGTTGTAATAGTCACTTATTATATTTATGCTACAAGGGTTGCCGTGTGTGCAACTAATTTTAAATATTCCTTCAACCTTCCACAAGACTGGAACAAAAGGTATATTTTATCTGTCTCATTAGCGACCAAATTGGTGAAACCCAATGCGTCACTTATAAAAGTAGGTATCTTAAGTAATTCAGCTGCTTCCACTAAGCCCTTGTGCAGTTCGATAATTAAGTATGGTGTGTATAAGGCTCTTATTTCATACAACACAGCAAAATCATCTGCGTTTTCGTCCTCTGTCAGAGATATTAAGAAACTCTTTGCCAAATCTATTGAATATTTTGAATACTGTTGAAATATTTCTATTAAAGTCGGTATATTCGACTCCGAATTCAGAAGTTTTATAGCTTTTTGCCAATCTCTATATTTTTTGAAACCTGTTACAAGTGACTGATACTGTTGGATTTCCTTGATAATAACATCATCCTCAACAAAATTTGAGTTGTCCAGTGATATCAACTCTGCCCTATAATCCTTAATCAGTTCTTCAATCTTGTTACATTCCATGAAATATTGAAGCGTCCCTACCTTACCATTTATTAATAGCCGTCTGGACATCGCTATCATGGAATGTAGTGCATCTGTATATAATCGTCCTTCAATTAGCCATTCTACTCCAAACAATAAATGTCTATCTATATCAGATATTTCATCTGTTACATCTATAGATTCATTTGGGGAGTAGTAAGATTCAGTTTCCTGGAAGACACGTTCGGTCGTTTTTTTTAAAATATTATTTTTTGGAAGTCTCAGTAGATTCATTAAATCCAATTGGGATTCTCTAATACCGGAATCTTCAATTGTGCATAAGATAAACGAATATGCGTCAACTGCGTTTGAGTCTCCTAGGAAACTTATATAAACTGGAATTGATTCATAGAGACCATGCAATTTTAACACAGAAATATATGCAGTAACCAGCTTAACTTTATCTGAAGTCGAAACAATCCCAGGTTCAATTATATCCAGTGTTATAGCCAAATGAGTTACGATTCTCAACAAGTAAGGCTCATCCAGTAAATCATTACTTGTTTCAAATCCTCTAACGATATCTAGTAACATATCGACAGATGAATGAATCATCGTAGGTAATGTATTTAAAATAACAGAGCCAACTAATGTTCTAACAGGATGTGTACTCTCATCCATATGTTTGGATGATACAACATTCAGAACTGTTTCTAATGTCGGCGATTGCCTTGGAATTGGTGTGATAATTTCATTAACATCACCTTTACCTTCTTTCAATAGATAATTGTCCACTTCAATTTGAATAATTTGATTCAAATTTAGTAATAATTCTGTTTCCCAATTTGTTTCGGCAAGAACGTCGTCATTGGGCATAGTGCCTGATAAAAAACTGTAAATTGCCCGTTCGTAAGCATCGAGTTGTGTCTGCTGAGATAAATTGTATACTGTACTTCTCCATAAAGTATGCTTTTTGATTCCCAATTGTGTGTCAAATTCTGAAGCTAATTGTTCATCAATCTTTGGATTTAGGTATTCTTGCATACCACACATAATCATGCACAACGTTAAATTTTCTGAAACTCTACACTCCTCAAATGCTTCCTCAAATTTACCTGCAATTAATAAATTGTAAATGTATTGGAAGAAAATGTGATCCTGCTCCTTATCCTTTATATCAATGTTGTTTGAGTTTTGAGGATCACGTAAAGGATAGTCTAAATCTGCACTTTTTAAACCACCCGCAATCAACGAATTAGACCACTTCGATGTCATCAGGTTTTCTGGTCTTTCTATTTCTGGCATATTCTGTTGCAACCAAACAATTATTATCCAAATCTGATATAAACTTTTATTCTCATGCATCAACTTCTTTTCGAATACAGCATTTGAATTATAGGAATTGATTGACATATGCGACGAAGTTGTTGTATCGAAATTATCTTGTTCATTCGCTACTCGGAAGCTTAGTAAAAGGTCTAATAAGTGCCAAAATCTTGCTTCTAATTCCCAATCATTACTTGATGTAATGTCACCTTTTCCGGAACTTATCAGATGGGCAGCTGATTGGGCTGCAATAGATCTAAATTCTTTTATTATGTCGAATGGATCAGGGTCATTATCTGCAACAGTATCGTACTCGTGCTCCTCAGATTTTCCTAAGAACTCGGTGACATAGTCCTTCAGAACGTTAGTAAAACTAACGAAAGGTTGTGGCTGTACTGTACCATCATCTAGGTTATCTACCTCCATTGTTATTTCTGTAATAATGAAACCACGCTAAGTTAATCTATCTAAAGTTAGAGTTTCGAGGTTCAATTGATTTCTTAAAAGTGTTCAAAGACACTGCTTCTTATTGTTATTCCAATTTTGATCTTTTTTATTTACAATTTTTTTAAAGTTATAATAGTTACTGAATTCCAAGACGCTTTAATAACTATTAAGTTCAAAAGAAAAACTGTTCAAGAAAAGTTCGTCCGAAATGATTTTATAGACGTCCCTTAGATAAAACAAAGGATATCAAGAGGAAGACTCTTTTATTATCTGCTAAGTCTCCTTTTTAGGCATGTTTCCTATAGTTATGTGCAGATTATGCGATATTGATGCAATTACTTAATGTAAATAGTAATTTATATATATATATATATTTACCGTGTATAGTACACTTATGATGAATGGATGGATGTTGTATATATGAACTATGAAATGCAGATCCACTCTGCAAAAGGACACCAACCAATCCCTGAGTCTGCTTTAATCAAACCAGTCCAAATACCTTCTTCCCTGAAGGTAATGCATGCATTCCAAGTCCCATGTGTCGTGTTTGGATATTGTTTTTTCATTTCATATATTTTACCTGAAGGTGATTTGATGGCCATCGATTGTCTCTTATTTTTAACCCTATTCCCATCATCAATAATATCTCCACTATCTGTATATATAACACCATCATATGGATTTTGAATGATCTCAAAATTGTATTCATTGTTTACAAACAAATAACGATTTTGAGGTTCTTTAATATATGTTTCGATATTTTGAACATTTTCTGATGGAATACGTATAACGAATTCGAATTTCATTTCCTCACGTTTATGTTCTAATGGAACTAGCATAGATAATGGATGTACATTGGCAATCGAAACCTGTTTCCCTCTTAGCCCAGAGTGTATATACAACGAACCAGAGGATGCGCCTGGAGGTAAAACTGCTTTAATTACTGCAATACGGCGCCCAGATTCAGGTTTATGTTTCTTAATTTGTGTCAATGCTAAATTCATCTCAGAATATCTCTTTGCCATTGTAGGGTCGTTATTATCAGGGGTAGCGACCACTGAGGCAAATATTTCAATATCATTAGGAATCTCTAAAGAACATTCATAGATTTCTGAATCTTCTAAATGGGAGAGGGCTGTGCTGAAATTATGTAGTGTTAAATCATTTTTAAAAAAAGACGGGAATACCAATGGTAAATATAACGCTGATAGCTGATCAATGCTGGGAACAATGTGTTGCTCGAATTCTCTTGGTGGAATATGTGTATAGATAAACTTCAATGGTTCAACTAGGAAATAACTATCATCGGCTGTCTTTCTTTTATGATTATTGATAAATGCATGAATTGGGTTCGTAGTATTGCCAAGAATAACATCGATGAATCTCCATTCTCTGTTGATTAAAACTCGCAACCAACAATGGTTATACTTAAATTCTGTATTATCATTTCCTGGTGTTTTTAAAAACCCAATGACAATTTCACATGTAATACCAAGGGAATTTGCAAGTCTCTTGAACAGCCAAGTCAATTGATATGGTGTACAATGTTTCTTGTGAAGAATTTCATTTAAGTTAGTTGGTTCTGAACTAAAATCAGAACTTCCATTATCGTCCACCAGATCGAACATTTCTGTACAAAATATATAAACACCTCTCAATTTTTCCAATGTTGTACCATATCTGGCAGAAAAAGTGGTGGTGGACCATGAGCTCAACTTCATATCATTTTCCTTTGAGCAACGTCTTCTTGTCATCTGGTCAATATAATCTATATTTAATTCTGTTAATAATAAATCAACGGTCCCAGGAGAAGTACCCATTTTAGTTTCATTTGTGTTTAACCCACTGTAGATCGAGTCCTGTGGATGAAGAACCAATTCGCGATCATTTTCTAAAGCTCTCATATATCTTGGATGTTTTTCATATTTTGTTAACGTTCTAGATCTATTGACCTGTGACTTAACTGTGATCCAGTCCTTAGCCTCTGAATGAGAACCGAAAGTAGAACTGTTGATGTTCAAATTTTGCAGAGAAGGTAGCTTGGGATAACTATTACTATTTGAAATATTACCATTTTTATTAGTATTATTATTATTAGCAGATCTTGGTAATATTTTTCTTAATAGATTCCCCATTTGACCATTATTTGAATTCGATAAAGATACTTTATTACTTGTATTGGGGGAATCACCAGGAGATGAACCACCGTTAATTGAGTTTTGTAGTAAGTCTATGTCATTAGAAGATGACAAAGGAGTTGCTTGGGATCTTTGTAAAGAATCAGAAAATGATTGAGCATATTTATGTCTTGCAAAACTACCTGCACTTGTAGCACTAAAGTCACTCATTAATGCGAAACTATTTTCACTATCAGTTGTTGAAGAATCCATATATTTTGAATTTGAAAATGAGTTTGATGCTATATTTTGATGCAAATAAGGTAGTCTACTACTGCCTTCTAATGAACGTCTAGAAAGATCTTCCATCTCTTCATCATAATAATGATGCTGTTGCTTATGATGAGAACGTTGATAAGAGTATTGATCATCATTACTTCTGGAAGAGGTAACATCATTTGAAGAATATGATTTGATTGGTCCTCTTGAACGATTAGAGATCATAGATTGTCTCTTAGATGACATATTAGGTAATGGTGGTAATGGTGGTAATGGATGATTATTTATGTTTCCAGTTTGATGGCGTGGTTTTAAATTACTTGAAGTATTAGCCGTTGATTTTCTTCGATTTGAACCTAAATCTGGAGATGATTGATGTTGATATTGTTCATAAAATTGATAATGATTTCTAGACATATGTTTCTTCGATATATAATTATCATGCATGGGACTTGATGGAGATGAAGAATTTGGTGAGTTATATGCTGGAGATGATGGAGATGAATGTAAAGAATCTGTAGATACCGATGTAGCAATTGGAGACAATGTTATATTCGCATTAGAATTTGTTAATTTCATATCTCTTGAAGATCGATTTAAACGTATTGATTTATTTTCATTAGTGGACCTGTTTGGAATATCCGGAATAACCATTTTTTGTTTTAAATCCTGATGATCAGATCTCTTCTTAGGAGACGATGATGTCATTGATCCTGTGGGGTTCATTTGTGATCGTGATAATTGATTAGTTTGTTGTTGTATTATTGTTACAAAGTTATGTGGGAAATAACCTGCACATTTTGTGTTTCTCATCAATTTACCATAATACCAAGCACCTGTTACTCTAGTGACTTCCATAATATCACCTTCAATGAAACCTAGATCACCTTTCGATTGACCTGACCAACCATATCTCGCCCTCACTCTAAAGGGTAGTTTAACTTCTGACATTAGTATGTGTTATGTTTATGAATTGAAATGCAAAAAAATGATGATGATGATGATGATGATGATGTAGGATACAAATGATCTCGATAGTTATCCTATAATTGTAGCGAGCGAATCTATATTAAAAATAAAAATTTAATTCTGTTGTATTCCTTTAAGTATAGATAACGAACAAGAACATATATTACAGCATTACGTTAGTAACAAAGAAAACAAGACCTCCCTCCCAAGAAGACAAACAACAACAAAATGAGTAAAACCAAAAAAAACCCTATTAAATGGAAACATTCTAAACTTAAACATCGCATATATATATCGATCAATAGTTCAACCTTCCATGCAAGTAATCTGGTCCCCATCATCACCAACCAGATCATTATTCCAACTTTTTCACTTCTCGACTGCCAGCAACAACGCCCAGCCATCTTCATTTTTTTTATGTTTTTTTACGCTGTTCACCCAGCGCGCGGGCCGCCAGAAGAAGAAGAAGAAGTTGACATAATGGCAATACGTAATAGAGGAGAGCGTTGTTTGCGCTTGCTATTCAATGCTGGGAAGTGTGCTATGCGTGGCACATAGTGGGTGGGTGGGCAGGTGACTGAGGGAGGGGACCGGCAAGCTGTCTTCCTTTCTTTGTGAAGTAAGCAATGTGGGAAATCAGCTGGACTTCGAGGAAAAAGTCTATGCATTGGTTGCCAAGATGGAGGTTAGGGGAATGGGAGGGGGGGGGCCTGCAGTGAGATCGGGTTTCCGTGGGTGTGTATGTGATCTGCAAGCTATGCAGAAATGGTGCGGTTGCTCTATAACAGCAGATATTCTTCTTGGTGAAATAAATATAAATACAGTTATATATGTATGTATATATGGTTGCAGTATAGTACATAGATGACAGAGGTAAAAGAGAATGAGAAATCGAGAAATAAATCTTCTGCACATCTGATCGGTGGATTTGTAGGCGGTCTGACTGCTGCAGTTGCGCTGCAACCACTGGATCTATTGAAGACAAGAATACAACAACAACCTAAAGGTGTTGCATCTGCTACTGCTGCTGGCTCCTCGAATAATGGAGTTGGTTCGATGTTTATCAAATTGATGAAGGAAAACCCTTTGCAACTGTGGAGAGGGACTTTGCCTTCTGCATTACGGACCTCTATTGGCAGTGGTCTATATTTATCATGCTTAAATTCAATGAGAACACAAGTTGCAATACTTCATTCAAGAAGAACTGGTGAAGCGATTCAAACTTCAAGAAGCAGTAAATTACCTGAATTATCAATGAGTGCTAATTTAGTTACAGGGGCCATTGCTAGAGGTGTTGTAGGTTATATTACAATGCCAATTACAATCATTAAAGTTCGTTATGAATCAACATTTTATGATTATCATAGTTTAAAGGATGCCGTAAGAGATATATATCGTACTGATAAAATTAATGGATTTTTTAAAGGGTTTGGTGCAACCTGCCTTAGAGATGCTCCTTATGCTGGTTTATATGTACTGTTATATGAAAAGGCTAAAGATTTTACACCTTTCATATTACCTTCAAAATTAATTTCTTTTGAAGACACTCATAATAATAAATATAGTACAGCGACTTCTACATTAATCAATACAACCAGTGCATTTGTAGCTGCTGGTATTGCTACAACTATTACTGCACCATTTGATACATTAAAGACTCGTATGCAATTGGAACCAAGTAAATTTAACAATTTCGTAATGACATTTAATCATATGTTGAAAAATGAAAGTATCTTATCTCTATTTAGTGGATTAAGTATGAGACTCACAAGGAAAGCTTTTAGTGCAGGTATAGCTTGGAGTATATACGAAGAGTTGATTAAAAGGTTTATGTAAATAGAAAATATCCAATACACACACATATATATATATATATATACATTAGCATTCTAATTTAAAATAAATGGCATAATTTTATTATTATTATTATCATTATTGTATTTTTTTTTCTTAAATAGTATATACTTATATACAAGTGTATGATGTGAAATTATCCTAAGATAATTTATTGAGATCACTGTAAACTACAATTATTCAAATATCTCCTAATGATGCAGTTGGAATTGCTTGTTGTAATTCGCTGGTTAATAAATCCGTTAAATTAAGTCCATTTCTTAGTGATATCCATTGTCCTTTATATAAATCAAATCTATTTGGACCAGACACTGGAGATGCTATCCAAATTTGCTTGTTAGGTGGTTGTTTATTGATCACATAGGGACCAAGACCAGAGATCTCTAATGTCATTACACCGTGATTCAATTCCACATCAGGCAATTCATTTGGGTTATCCTCACTCAGTTCTTCTAACCCCGTCAATAAATTTTCTAAATATTCATCAGCTGCATTATGATAATCATTCAACGTTAAATTTGCAACTTCTTCAGGAATTTCATTACCAAACGTACTATTGATATTATGTTCTGCATATCCCCTACTAAAAATATTTGTACTAATATATTTATTCCTTGTACGAGCCATCATCATCATTGGGATTCTACGAGATGATTGTCTCAGGGTTACCCTTGGTAACTGTGCTATTAGAGTTCGTTTGAACATTATTTTTACTATAGGTGGACCACTTAATTGATAGTCTTATAAATTTCACTGCTCCAAAGATATGTCGACATATCTAGCCAAATGAAACAAAACGTTTTAATATACTTCCACCAGTCATTTATTCATGATGATTATAAATACAATAATTGTTGTCACAGTCGTCCCCTGCTTCAAATTTCAGATTTCATCGCTCAGTGAAAGAGTTTTAGTAAAGTAAACTTTCCGAAGAATAAACCGAGGGAGGGTCATATAGGAAAAGAAAGGACAAACTAGAATAGTCAAACTTGTTTGACGATGAGCATTTAATATGCACTTCACATTTCTACTCAGAGGAAACCCAAATAGAGGTACATACATACATCGATTCTTGCTCAAATAACTATACTATTGTAAGAATTGTAATACTAAGTTGGTACCGCATAAAGAGAATTCAAAAAGGTCAAAAAAAGAAAAGTTATAATATAAGATGGAATTGTATGGATATTTGATCGTTTTGCTAGTCATTATTGCATTCGTTGCTTTATTACCGTTATTATCAGGTGTCGGTGGTTTTAATAAAGGTAATAGTACAGTACAAGGTAAACGTAAGACTGTAATCAACTTCAAATTGAAAGAAGGTGAAGATAATAAAGGGAAATCATCTACATTTGCTAACACACATAAATTTGATACTGATAATAAGACTGGGCTAAAGAGAAGAGTTATTGGAAAGTATGATAATGATCCAAACTCTTTCGATTATGATATCAATGAGTTGATTGATGAGGATGCGAATGAAGAAAAAAGAAAACAAGAGGAGAGATTGGCTGGCTTAAAAGGTAAAGAGGAAGAGCTATATGCCGATCTTGCATAGTTGATATGTTAATAGTAAATGTTTATACACATATATAGAACATGTCTAATATTAAAAATCATTTCGTTATTGTTACTTTTAAATGCGATATTATATACTTTTTAGATATATAGGTATATATATTTGTCTTTTCTTGTTCAATTTAACTTGTCTTCAGCTTGCATAGTTTCCAAACTTTCTGGTAATTGTTCTTCCTCAGTCAATGATTCTTCCTTTTCTTGTTCGTTGCTACGATTCTCTGAACGCTCATTGATATCTATTCCAGAGGCTTCTGTGGTTTGTTTTTCTGGAAGAATTTCTGGGAAGCTATCTTCTTCCTCATATTCTGCAATATCATCCTTCATTTTACCTGTAGCTTGATCATAGTCATATTCATAAAATAGCATGAATACACCTGGTGTAGACAAGACTTCTTCTTCCTCAACAACATCAGCAGTCTCATCAGAAATTCTCCACCATAACCCTCTATGTTTTCTAAAGACAATATAATGACCATAGTTATGAGTACCATAATGAATGATAACGGCTCTTAATGAATATGTTAATGGTGTTGCAGGAACAGTCGATAATTTTGGTACAATTTGTTCTTTAGTATCTTCGTCAAAATTTGTTTCTGGTTCTGAATCATCGCTGTCAGAATCCCTTCTGTCTTCTAAGGCAACATGATTCTCATCACTATCACAGTCCATATTATTTTCAACATGTTCAACGTCCATATCTTCCTTTTCATCCACATCATTTTCTTCTGTCTTAATTATTTTCCTTCTAATCGTATTTCCTAAGGAATCAACTTCTTCTATGTACTCAACACCGTCTTCCTCTTGACCATGTTGTTCTGTGGAATAATCTGAATCATCCATTTCACCACCAAGAGGATCATAGTCTGTTACATCTTTACGTCTGGCATTTTGCACATTATAACCTTCTTCATCACTATCTTCGTCACTATCTTCAAATTCTTGTTCGAATCTGTGGTGTAAATTAGCATAATATTCACCCCCAATATTTTCATCCTCACTGGATTCATCAGATACTGGTTCTTTTTTAGATAGAGGTAATCTAGCATCTAAATTAATCTCATTTGGTGTGCAACACCATGGTCCTAAGTTTATTCTAGACTTGAATAATACTCTTGAATTGTTTTTTCTAATCATATATGTACGTGGATCGAAAACAGATCTGTTAATATGGATTGACAATAATGGTGGTGGCCTTGACATAATAATTTGTTTAGATTTAGAACATTTACGAACCATATTTTCTGTATGTAGCTCCTTATAATCTTCATCATCAATCACAGGTTTAGACAAAACGTCATCTAATTTAGCGATTCTTCCCTTAATGGCATCGGCTAATTTAGTTGGCATTGCACTGTTAGATTCAATTTGATTTTGTAAATGTTCACGAACAGCATTAAGGGCACAACGATTACAATCAACACCTTCAATTATTTCAGGTTTACTCCATTCATTTAATAGCTCAGTTAATTTTAAAGTGGCACCAATGTTTTCACTTGGTAGGTTTAAACTTAGACCAGAGAATACAGAATATCTAATCCCACCATTCTCACCACAAGTTAAACAACCAACTCTTTCAACAGTTGTACCATCTAATGGAGTAACTAGTCTGAAAGGTGTATAATAATTCTCTTCTTTAGAGTTGACCAAGTTGGGTTCAATTTGGTCAGTTGGAATATAAACTGTTCCAACTTTTTGTAAATCATCTTGGTTTAATAGTGCATCGGTTGGTAGGTCTTTTTGGCAAACATGTTTTTTATGGTTACCATTGTTAGCCTTCTTTTCGTCTGCTTCTTCTTGATTAACCAATTTCACATCCTTTTCTAACTCAAGTAAAATTTGTTGGAAAAACTCTTGTGCATCTTCTTGATCATAACCCAATATAATATTTTTATTTGGTCCATTTGACATGGTTTTCAATAATTTGGTGGTTTCAAACCATGCTCTTTGCGTTCCATATTTCCCATCTAATTTATTCAATAGATCTAATAATGCAATGGAGAATTTGACTTCATTTGAGTCATCTTCATCTTTATCGATAGTCTCTTGAAGAAATTTCATTAACTCTTGTGATGATGCTAAAGATTGAAGAACAGAGTTCATAAAACATGTGTTACCTTCGTTCAGAAGACCAGCAAGGTAACCACCTCTCTTCAAAAATGCTTCATTTTGAACGTATCTGTTATTATTTCTAGGCATTAATAGGTTTCTTGTGTTTCTCTTTACGTTTGAATACATCCTTCTGGCAAATGGTAAACTTAATTTAATGATGAATAATGTTAACAGTAATTGAAAAAGTTGATAAAGATTCATAAAACAATATTAAAGTAATGAAATAAGAATAGAAAAAGTTAGATGATCGTAAAAATCTCAAACGTTCTTATAGTTTATTAGTTTGTTGCAATTAATATGACTTTTTATGAAACGACAGTTGGTCAAAGTTATTATGATATATAATAAAACTGCGTTTAGTGATGGACTTTTTATTCTTTTATAGTATTTTGCAGATTTTGAAATGTAAATTAAAAATCAAAAATTTGAGATTTTATTTAAAAGATATTCTTATTGCTGATCTTTTTGCTGAAAACTTCACCACAATTCTTTTTATTATTATGTAACTCTACTTGTGATAGTTAACCGTTCAATGAAAATTTTTCACATAGTACTGCACGTACTTCATCGCGAAATATTTATTGTAAGGGCGAAAGCTTAACAAGAGTATGGCATCGAAATTTCATTAAAAAAGCATATTTGAACATTCGAAGATGCCATACAAACAGATATAAGTGCTTATCAATTAATTGAACAAGGCTGTCTTAATTGTTCTATATACTAAATTTACATTCATACATAAAATGAGGTCGTAATTATTTAAAAGTCATCATTACAAACATGATTAAAGAAAAAAAAAATAAAGTAATAAAACCTTTGTAATATGGTAATTATAACAAATAAAAAAAATAGTAGATTAAAGGCGGGAGAAAAAAAAGGTACTGTGTAGATACTAAAGATAGGTTGAAAGTTTATAGTTCTTTCGACCGTTTCGCATTACCATAAATTTTTCTAAGGACTATTTTAAAGTAGAAATAAAGTAAAATAAAGGGGGGTGGGAAGGTCTGTTTATCATCAAATTCATATTTAAAATGTTTCAGAAAAATAGTATAAACAATAGTTGGGTAGTATTAACATACATTTACAAACATGTGTTTATTGTCTTAATATTTATTGTTGTTGAGGTTCTTGTTGTTCTTGAGGAGGCATTTGTTGTTGAGGATCACCCATTGGAGCATTACCCATCATAACTGGTGCCATCATACCCGGTTGTGGTGGACCTTGTGGTGGTTGTGGCATGAAGGTGTTTCTTTCTTTACCCCAACCAGTTCTTAGGTTTCTACCTTGGAATTGGAAGTTGGCTAAAGCAACTATACAGACAGCTGCTTGTTCATGAGTATCGTATTTAATGAAACAACATCCCTTTTCTGGGTAATAACTGAAATCTAAAATGAAACCAAAGTTTTGTAATAATGGAATCAAATCAGCTTCAGTAGCAAAATGTGGGATATTGCCAATGTAAGCAGTTGTAACTCTTTGTGGAGCTCTTCTGATCATGTCATCAATAGCTTGTGGGTTTACAGGTGGTGGAACCATTTGTTGTTGTTGTTGTGGTGGTTGTTGTGGTGGTTGCTGTTGTTGCATTGGTGGCATCATGTTGCCTTCAACTTGCATTGGGTGCATCATGCCGTTGTTGTTGTTGTTGCCGTTGTTACTGTGGCTTCTGTTGTTATTACGGAAGCCATTACCACCTCGGCGATTATTGTTATTATTGTTATGGCTATGTTGGTTATTGTTTTCACGTTTAGTAGCCCAGTTTATTCTTATTGGTCTACCATTAATTTCTTTACCTTGTAGGGCATCCATTGCTTTTTGAGCTTGTTCTTGATCTGAGAAAGAAGCAAAACCGTAACCTCTAGATCTACCAGTTTGCATATCCCACATGACGTGACCTTGAACAAAAGATGGAAATTCTTTGAAAGAAGCTCTTAAAGTTTCATCATCGACATCAACACTTAAATCACCAATAAATAAGTTGAAATTGTTTTCATCGGAAGTGTTTTGTTGAGATTGGAAAGCCCAATTGATTTTAACTTTCTTACTTTCTAGTTGAATACCATTCAAAGTTTGTAGAGCGACATTAGCATCATGATGAGTTAAATATTCAACAAAGGCGTAATTAACGTGAGCATTCTTCTTGTCAACCATAACTTTAACATCAGCAATTTGACCAGCAACTTGGAAGTATTGCTTTAAGACATCTTCAGTAATGGATTTATCTAAGTTACCAACATAAAGAACTTTATCAGAAGTTTCTCTACCACCTTGAGCAGCATTAGCTGGAACAATATTTTCATCCTTTTCATCACCTTCAGTGGTGGAAACAACGGTAGTAGTTTCGTCGTCCTTCTTTTCAGAATCCTCAGTTTCAGTAGTTTCTGTTTCTGTAACAGTTTCCTTACCATCCTCAGTAGTAGTTTCAACAGTAGTAGTAGTGGTACTGACAGTTTCAGTTGGAGTAGAAATAGTTTCTTCAACAACAGTAGTTGATTCAACAACAGGTTTGTTTTCTTGTTGTTCTTCAGCCATTTTTTTTTTTTTAAAGTTTAATGAATGTAAATGGGTGTTAAATATATTTATATGAATAAAAAGAGAAAATGAAAGTTAAATGATCTCTAAAGTGGGAAACGCAAAATAAAATACCTTTAATCAATTGATTTATTTGTATGATAATACTAGTCTTTACGTTAGATTATAATAACTTTTTTTTTTCTATTAATGGTTCTATCAATAAAAATAAAGATTTGATTTACAAATATTAATGCTATTGTAAATTGGAAAGGGGAAAGAGATGAAAAAAAACGAAATAAAATAAAAGAATCAAAGATATATTCAAATTCAAATAAGTTATCTTAATACTTTGAGCTAGACAAAGGATTAATTGAAATGAACAATTATGGATGACAGAAAAATAGAATAAAGAGAATTGAACTTAACTTATTGAGTAACTTTGGCAATTACATATTTTATTGCCAATAAAAACGAGAAAGAAAGCAAAAAAAATAAAAAAGTATATTGGGAAGGTGAAATAATCATTCCCATAGAATAAAATGCAAAAAAAATGCAATTAAAACTCGCACTGAAAAATATACCAAAAAAAAAAAATGATACGAATAAAAAAAGACAACAACGACTCCTACCTCCTTCCCTCTTAGCTTTTTCAGGTATATTGATCCAGCAAGTAATAACACTCAGCCAAATTTAATCTCAGAAACAACCGCGGGTTTTGTTAATTTCATCATCATCCTCATCTAATTTTTACATCATTTTTCTTTTACTCTTCGCTCTTATAATAGGGAATATCTATTTTGCCATCAAAAACAAAAAAAAATCAAATCAGAAAAGGTTAAAGCGTACCATGAGGGTAACATCCTATCACGTGATCTGGGCGGTTGCAGTAGACTAAAATGGGAACTAGGTATAATAACACATCAATATTTTTCATCTAATAGGTGTATGTAAGTTTTGTAAACTGAAAGAATTAACAATAATCATCATTATTCATTAACTCTAGCATCACTTTAGGGATCAAATATAAGCCCAATTCGTTAATAACGTTTCCAGGAATTGAGCAAACCAAATCTCGGAATTAGGAAGTCGTAGTTTTATAATTTCATTAGTACCCAAATGGACAAACCTTAGAAAGAACTACAAGGGAAAACATATTTAATCACGACGAGTCTTGGATCAGTCATTAGGTTATCAACAAAACTATTTATTATCAAATTCCATTACTTCTTGATTAATTAATTAGTTTTGAAGAAAGAAAAAAAAAGGGAACGCACCGAGAACCCACATACAGTGAAAACGAAATAGAAAAAAAAATTGAAAGAAAAAATAAAAAACAAAATAAATTTAGTAGAGAATCTTCAACAAACAAGGAAAAGAACAATAATAGACCTAGACTTGGTTAAGATGAGTAACTATTTGTAATAGTATATTTATTTAGATTTATATATATATCTATGTATATTGTAAAAAAAAGTATCACGACTGCTGACGTTTACATTAGTAAGAAAACTAGTAACATAATCATTAAAAACATTCGTTAACAATGAAGGAGATATCGCGTAAGGATAAGAGAAGATATAATATTGAGAACAAAGTAAGGAAGATTCAATCGTCATTCCTCAAGGATAAAGATAACTATTACAAGGATCGTCTAACTACTTTACAGACAGATTTAACTACTTTACATCAAGGAAATAATATGTTATTTCAAAGAAAATTGAGAGATTTACAAGAAGATAGAGATTTTGAATTGGTTAAATTACGTTTATATGAAGAGTATAGAGTAAGTCGAAGTAGTATAGAATTTCAAGAAGATATCACTAAAGCTAAAGATGATCATGAAAAATTGGTGAAATTATGTAAAGAAAAATTATATTCAAAAATTGAATCACAAATTAAAAAATTGAAAGAAGAAAAAATGTTAATGGATGTAGCTAATATACATTCTTATTCGATGGATTATAGTAAACCTTTTTATCAAAAAAATACTAGAAGTCATACTTCATCAAATAATATTGGAGATATAAATGGTACAGCAAGTCCAAATTATATGAAATCTGGAGCTGGATCGGGTTGGGAATCAAACAATGATTCTGCAACAGATACTGCAACTGGTTTAGATAGAAGAGCTTTAAGACGTAGGGTAAAAACAAGAGAAACTGGAGGTACGACAAGTGGATTCACTACAAATAATGATTACTATTCGGGAAATAATACACATTATACTGATGAATCTGATTCTAAAACAGGTTATTCAACAGCTCAAAGAGGAGGAAGAGGGAAATCTAGATCATCTACCACACCAGCTACAGAAAAAAAACAAAATGATTTGAATTCAGAATCTGATTTCTTACAGGGGATAAGTGATTATGCTGATTTACAAGTTTTATTGTTTGGGGAGAAAGAAGAAAAACCAGATAATAAGAAGAAGCATAGAAATAATCCACGTTATTCTGCTAAATCTGCCCCTCCATTGAATTCATTGACTCAAGATGAAGTCACTGATGATATTGCTTTATTGAAAACATTGTGTGGTGAACCACAAACACCATTCAAACCTCATGCGCCAGTATAAGATGAATTTTTTCAAGCACAATATCTTTTTACTAAGGTTATGACCAGGAAGATGAGAAAAATAATAATAATTACTATCAAATAGGCGATATCAATAATTTAATATATTTTGTATTTATCATAATTTAGACATCCATGATGTATTTATTTAGTAATGTAACAATAATATTAACATCTGTGTGAGATATTTTTTACTTTGGTCTTTTGTTAATAGGGAAACCAAATATACCAAGAATTTCTTAAGCGATGAACAAAAAAAAATATTTCAGGTAATATCGAGATCTGTCATAGTTCACAATATATATAATGACAGATCAAAGAAATTTATTGGTAAATAGGTGCAATCTCATTTTGTTAGTTGTTACTAATACTAAAGATAAATGTGTTAAATAATTCATAAAGGATAGGAACTAACTATACTTCTCAATAACCACTGATGATTCGCATGGCGCCTAGGTTTAGGCTATATAGAGATAGACATAAACCATTTTACTACAGCTTAATAATATTCTCTATTTTAGCACTAACTACCTATATATATTTAACATTTAATATTACAAAGCTAACAGAGGAAAAGTTTGTATCATACTCATATCAAGATTTAGATTCAGAGACACAACATACTTTCTATAAAGGTTGTTTAGACATCAAGTCATATTTGAATGATGCATCATATCGTAAGTCTAATGCGTCATTTGTTATGTTAGCAAGGAACCAAGAATTAGATGATGTATTGTCAACTTTGTGCGACATAGAATCACATTTCAATCAATGGTATCATTATCCGTATGTGTTTTTAAATGATGAACCATTCACAGAAGAATTCAAACAAAGGGTCAGACAAAACGTTACAGGTTCTGTTCAATTCGGTACTTTAAAGGAATTAGAATGGGAATTCCCAAATGAGGTTCGTGAAACTATAGAATTCACAGAAAGAATAAAGGATCAAGCAGATAGAGGTGTAATGTACGGTGATTTAGAGTCGTATCACAAGATGTGCAGATTTTATTCAGGTCTCTTTTACAAACATCCCCTGGTTAGAGCATATGATTGGTATTGGAGAATTGAACCGGATGTGAAATTTTTCTGTGATATCACATATGATCCCTTCTTTGAGATGGAGAGAAATGGGAAAGAGTACGGTTTCACAGTTGTTCTTCAAGAGTTATATTGGTCTGTGCCAGGTCTTTTCAGGGCCACGAGAAGTTATATTAGAAACAATAAAATAAAATTAGGTTCATTGTGGAAATTATTTGCAGGGTCTTTTGAATATGCTCAAACTAATGATAAATATTTAGAAAAGACAGTATTGGACGAAAAACTGCTGAAGGAAAAGCTCGAAGAAAAGATTAAAATTGATCGCTTGCTTCAAAAAACACAAAAAGACGATGTTGATCTCAACAATAAAGATGATATCGGTGGTTTAAATCATCTTATCAATAGGGCTCAATCAAAAGTGCCTATATTCGATGATAAAATCGATAATGAAGTATTTAACTTGTGTCATTTTTGGTCAAACTTCGAAATTGCGAAGAGAACAGTATTTGATAACCCAATTTATGATGAATATTTCAAACATTTAGAAGCTTCAGGAGGTTTCTGGAAAGAAAGATGGGGTGATGCGCCTGTACATTCATTAGGACTTGCACTGACCCTAGATATAGAACAGATACATTATTTTCGGGATATTGGTTACCAACATTCAACTATTGTTCATTGTCCAAAAAATGCACCACAAGAGTTGCAATTGCCATATATTGCTGGATATGATAAATTTTCGAAGAAAGACTCCAAGTATTATGATCCTCCATTTAATGTTGGTTCTGGGTGTAGATGTGAGTGTCCGTCTCGACATCTTGATATAGAGGACACATCTTACCCATGTATGGATTTCTGGTTGGAATTAGCACATGGTATTGAGGAAAATACGAATTTTGGCGATGGTGAATACTTTCCATATGTTGATCTGGACCAAAGAGAAGAAGAGATGAAGAATGAGTTTTATTCCAACGTTTGAACCTCTCATAGCATATATATATATATATATATATATATATATATATTAACTTGCATTAAACAAAAGAAAACTTTCAAATAATAATACACCAATAATTTATTTTATTGTATTTTACATAGAATATGATATATATATGTGATAATAAATTAAATATTTTGCAAAAGTACTTAGTTTGTCTTTTGTTATATTTAACCACCGAAACCGTACAGAGTCTTACCTTGTCTCTTTAGAGCGTAAACAACATCAAGAGAAGTAACAGTCTTTCTCTTAGCGTGTTCAGTGTAAGTGACAGCATCTCTAATGACAGATTCTAGGAATTGTTTTAGAACAGCTCTGACTTCTTCGTAAATTAAACCAGAGATACGCTTAACACCACCTCTTCTAGCTAATCTTCTGATAGCTGGCTTTGTAATACCTTGAATGTTATCTCTAAGGATCTTTCTGTGACGCTTAGCACCACCTTTACCTAGACCTTTACCACCTTTACCTCTACCGGACATTGTTTATATAATTTGTTAATTGATTATCTGTTTCTGTAAATTACAAAATAAACTGCAATACAAAAAAATAGACAAGTGATAAGAACTAAATAAAATAAAATGGTTGTTTCTTATATACTTTTTAAACATCGCAAGAGAAGTTATGATAAATAAACAAATAAACAAATCTCAACAGGGAGTAAAACGTTCACAGAAATCCTACTAAAAGGACCTACCTGGTATGTTGTAGGATCTCGCTCAGTATGAAATATCCAAATCAACAATCCACGATACGCGATCAATTCACGACACGACTGAATTTCGTCCCTCATTGCTGTTCATTCCCCTGCTAGTAGCCCGTTAAATCAACACAGCAAGGAATAATCCTCGAACTACGAACATTTCAATTCAGTTCAATTTAAAGCACAAAATGTATCTCTTGCAAATTCACGGTACACGACCTCTTTGATTCTGAGTGAAACCGGCTAATCCTTTCACGAATTAGTGTATGTTACTCTATTTTATTCTACGTATGAGGAAAATTCAAATCTTGAAGAGACTGGTCATTTATCGTGACTTTTTCAGAGAAATGACCGTAGCATATACGCGTTGTATAATCAACAACGCGACGCGAAAATATCGTAGTTGACACTTTAATTCACGTAACGTTCAAACTAAGAAGAGGCAAACACTTAGGGCAGGCACGATTAACTCTCTATCCAAAGGATGTACAATTGGAACAGTCTGTTGATCGGTTTGATTGTTTATTTCGAGTAGGGTTGAATTTGGTAATTATACAAGGGGGGGGGAGTGTTGGTGTATTTTGTTTGTTTATTCTGTGTATTTCATAGTAATGTAGTTACACGCGATCTATGCTATACACATACACATCCATTTATATATATATAAGCATGGTAATGTAACTTGTCTTTTCTAGTTTTCGTAATACTTTCCTCTTACTTATTTTTATTAATGTTCCTCCTTTTTAGCTTCTACTGTAAATAAACCAAACAAACGCAATGGCTAGAACCAAGCAAACAGCTAGAAAGTCCACTGGTGGTAAAGCACCAAGAAAGCAATTGGCCTCCAAGGCCGCTAGAAAGTCCGCCCCATCTACTGGTGGTGTTAAGAAGCCTCACAGATATAAGCCAGGTACTGTTGCTCTAAGAGAAATCAGAAGATTCCAAAAATCTACTGAACTTTTGATTAGAAAGCTACCTTTCCAAAGATTAGTTAGAGAAATTGCTCAAGATTTCAAGACTGATCTAAGATTCCAATCTTCTGCTATCGGTGCTCTACAAGAATCCGTCGAAGCTTATTTAGTTTCTCTATTCGAAGATACTAACTTGGCTGCCATTCACGCTAAGCGTGTTACCATCCAAAAGAAGGATGTTAAGTTGGCTAGAAGACTAAGAGGTGAAAGATCCTAATCTGTATTATTATATCAATATATTCATACTCATTTAATTAGATGGGTATGTTTGTTTTAACTCTTATATATTATTATTTAACGTGCAAGGTAAATGCAAACAAAATATCATAACTCAAATAACTATTCAATATTACTCAAGATCTCTCTATATATATATTATATATTTTTAATGCTGGTTAAACTGAAGATCATGCATCGAAAATAAAAAAGATGAGGCTCTATTAACTACAACGCTTTTGGTGGAAAGGGAAGACAGAAAAAACAAAATTAAGGATGAATAGTCATTAGATGTTTAAAAAAAGGGACTAGTATGTAAGAACAACTACCACTAAACGATTTTGTTACACAAATAGGTATTTGAAGTAAATATAAAGTGGTAAATTTACTATGTCTATTGAAGCATCAATACTGAAAGAGAAATCATTACATTCAAGATTGTATGAATTGACTTTGACACCGTATATAGGTTTAACAAATGCAGCATGCATTTTATTGTCCCCAATAATATCTCCAGCTGAAAAGTTAACTACATCAGCCATACCTCAACAATCGTATAGAACAATCCTGCCCTCTAGTAGCACTCGAGTTCGGGAGCTATTTAACGTTAAGAGGAAGCACGTTGGTTTGACAACCAGAAATGCTTTGGTTTTCGGAGTTGCTAATCTGGCTGGTTCATGGATGATATATGACGATGATATAGAAGACGGAAGTGGTTTCCTAATGGCCTGGTCAGCTTTGTTCTTAATAGTTAATGGTAAATCTTCATTGACAGCTTTAAGATACAGAATGGTGTGGCCGTTGGTACTAAGCACGATGGCACTAACTAATGTGGGCCTCTACGGTAGACGTTTTATCACAAGCTCATTTAAGTGATTAGATGATAGTATCTATCCACGTATGTGTGTATATATATATTCAAAATAGATGTAACGAGTCTAAATATCTTTAATAAAAATTTGAAGAGTTTCGTCTCTTATTCGATGACTTCCTCCTTTCACCCTTTTTCTTTGTTATGAGAGGGGGGATGATGTGTTGATTGTTCATCAAACGCCTCGCTTCACCCGATAAGGACCAGTTTTTCTAAGAATATCGAATCAGTTGGTGTGAATAAAGGCATCGACAATCGTACTACTTTACAATACAAGAGGTTGTTTTTTCAACTTAATCTTTTTCGATAGTTCGATAAGACAAATAATATAATAGCTACAACTAACATTAATAATAACACTAGCAAGTTTTTTTTCGCTAGATCTTTTTTTGCATTGCTACTACTCAAGATTACAATAAAATAATAATATAATGCGTTCGGTGGGGACAGCCACAGTGGGATCATCCACCATCAACTTAACGAAGACTATCGTTGGTGCAGGCATGCTAGCTATCCCATTTGTATTTAAGAATGATGGTGTCCTGGTCGGTGTACTGTTGACAATTTTGGCAGCCACAACTTCAGGGTTTGGTTTGTTTGTACTGGCAAAATGTTCGAAAGTGTTATCAAACCCTAGAACATCATCGTTTTTTACATTATGTATGATAACATACCCTTCTTTATCACCCTTGTTCGATATTGCAATGATAGTTCAATGTTTCGGTGTTGGTTTATCATATTTGGTTCTGATAGGTGACATTTTCCCTAGTTTATTTGGAGGTAAAAGAAATTTTTGGATATTAGCCTCTTCCTTAATAGTTTGGCCTTTATGTTCCTTGAAGAAAATGGACAGTTTGAGATATTCCAGTATTATTGGTCTCTTGGCACTTTCCTATATTTTCCTATTGGTCGTGTCTATGTTTTTCATAAATACCGTATTTTCTGAAAATGATCTTGTGGAAAGAGGTCCAGTGAACTGGCTACAAGTTTATAGTTGGAAGGGATTATTCTCATCGTTTAGCATTGTGATATTTGCATATACTGGCTCGATGAATCTTTTTAGTATTATTAATGAGCTGGAAGATAATTCAATGACACAAATAAACAAGATTGTTAATTCTTCTATTGCTATATCATCTTTCTTCTTCTTAAGTGTTGGTATCGCAGGCTATTTAACATATGGATCAAATACACTTGGTAATATTCTATTAAATTATGATCAAAATTCTCCTTGGTTATATGTTGCAAATTTCTGTTTGGCTTCTATGTTGGTTTTATCATTCCCATTATTGTTCCATCCATTAAGAATTGCAGTCAACAATCTTTTTGTATATTTCAGAATGAAACAGGCAATGGGTGAACAGCCTTTGGACTTATCAGACAACGATGAAGAAAATGAAAATCAGCCAGAAGATTATTACTTTAATAGTAGTGCTGCTTCATTAGTTGCTACTGCTACAAGAACTTCTATGGCTTCAATTGTAATGACTATTGATGAAGACGATATTAATGATGACGATAGATTACTTGCATCTAGTATACATGCTAGTGATATAGATGTAGATAATGATATGAATTCTGATATAATTACATTGCCAGAACCTGGTGAAGAAGAACAACACGTTTCATTCCCTGATTACAGATTTTACGCTATTACGTTTTCAGTTTTACCATTGATGTACGTAATATCTTTGAGGCTTAAATCATTTGCATTTGTCCTGGCTCTAGTAGGTGCTACTGGTTCAACATCAATGTCCTTCACGTTACCTGGTTTGTTTGGGTACAAATTAATTGGCTCAGATTCATTGGCCGTTGGCCAAATGATCTCCAAGAGAGACAATTTTTACAAAAAATGTAGTTTATTACTATCGTGGTTCGGTATAATAGTGATGCTATTATCATTGTATGTCACAATTAAATATGGTACAGAGAATTAGACATGTCACACATGAAAAGGTATATGATAATATTTGAAATCGCATATGTATATATATATAATTCAAAAGGGAAAAAAATATTCAATAATTATTGCTACAAAAATTAAAGTAATTAATTGAACAAAGTTCAAAAAGAATGGAGAATTTAATATTTGATAATGTTTTCTATAAACTTTTGTATGTATAAAACTCTTTTATCAATAGTGTGAGTGAAAGTTAAAAAAAAAATATATTCGTAGAAATAATTGGTATGCAATATATAGGAAAAAAGAAAAGAAGAAAAAATGATATGTTTTTTCATGCAAAATGGGGGAAGTGAATGTCTTTAACAATGTAAATTTACATTGTCGAAAAATTAAATTATGTTAAATAGGGCTTATTCATAGTTCATTATTATTCGATGAGGATGCATTTCCTATTAATTCATTACTGTATATTAAAATTGTCCAGAATATGTTACACCAGTTCCAGAAACCCCATGAATTCACTATAATTTGTTCAGATTTCGGCTTTCTAAATGATGTTGGAATCCATTTAGAATTACATCCCCATATACACATATCATTCTTTGACTCCCCAGAATATTGTAATATTAAGTGTGTATACATTGCAATAAGCACACATGGACTATACCAATATAATACTCTCATTAAACGACGACTTCTTCTTCTTTCTCTTGAGTTTTTTCTTTGTAAAGCAGGAATAATTCTTGTTGCAGAATAAAATATTAAAATTCTGAAGCATAGGTTAATGACCACTGCAGGTGATACAGATTCAGAAGCCATATCTACTATAATCCAAAATAATTCGGTGATCGAAGAAGGAACACTAATTGTAAAATTTTTAAAGAATTTCCATATTGGTTGGAAAGCATTTTTAATATTTGTTAATGAGAAAAATGTAAAATTTAAATAATAAGGAGATGCTAAAGTTTTCACTTTAAATGATTTCCACATTGCTTGAGCGTTAACTAAAATGTTGCCACTATAATAAAATATCAAATCATCTTTAATTGGGAAAGAATTTTGACGTGCTTGCCAAACTTCTCTAAACATTGCAAATATTTCATCTGTTGCACTAGTAGCCAATTGAGGAGAAATTTCATAAATACACCTTACAATATAAGCAAAAAACAATGAACTTTCTACAACAGAGCCTCTTTCAGATACAATACCATATATTCCTAAGGATCCAACCAATGATAATACAAATCCTAGTAATGTTGCTGTTTGAACAGAAAGATTCCAAATTGGTGTAACATAGATACGATAAAGGTAATATAATGCTGTAGTGATAACACCACCAGACGCTAATAAAGAAGATATAATCCAAGTATTTGATTTCTTTTCATTTGATAACCATTTATTTGTTTCTCCAATTGCTTGGATAGCCAAAATAGTGAAAAATCCTTCAGACATTGTGAAAAATGGTGAACAAAATGATAATGAAATTTGCCATGGTTTAACGAAAAATTTGTAATAATAATAATATATTACCCAATTAGATTCTGTTGGTTTGGTACTTTCTCTGATCATATTTTCGAGATCATTGTTTGAAAATCCAGATAAAAATAGATATAATAATGATGCAATTATTAAATGTTGACAATAGTAGAGTATAAAGGATAGGAAAATGAATAATTTATTAGCCCATTTTTTAGCTAAGAAATGTAATGTTGTGGATATGAAATATAAATTGAATAATGTAACGGTAAATGACAATCCACAATATTGACCTCCAATATTGAACGAAATTGGTATGGATATTAGGATAAATAGAAGATAGAATGAACCAGAGCAAATTCGCACACTTCGTACAAAACTTTCTAACAGAAGATTCATCTCTCTCCTTTGTAATATATTATTGTGTATTGGTATTGTTAATGTTGGTTTGTTTTTGAAGCACGTCTGGATATATTTATGCAAAATGCAAAATCTGTATGGAGAATAAAGATTACACTAACTTTCTTCGTACTTTTAAAATCAATGGACTTGGAAAACGTTTTATAACTTTTGTTGTTGTTGTTTTCTAACAAATGACTAATAAGAAGTCAAAATGAAGCTTTGTGTTTTGTAACTTTTTGTTTATTTGAACAATTCTAAAAACAAAGAAACTTTAAGTTAAGATTTATAAACAATTGATATAAAATAGAGAATATTGACTTATCTATCCAAATATTCCATATGCAGCAACTGTCAAGTTGTCTATCTGTACCTATTCTTGGCGTGTTTGCCTATCTCAACCCACCTTCTGTCTTAGCAAGAGCGGTATTCCACCAAAGAGCCTCTCTCTATCTTCCTTCTTTCCTTTGACTTCATTTTTTTTCGTCTTTTTGTTTTTGAAGATATATACACATAAGGGTTCGTGGAGCGTGATACACTCGTCAGTTAGGGTTTCATGTACAGCTGAAAAAAAAAATGAAAAATTTGTTAGCGATGAGATGAGATGAGACTATTTAACTCTGTATATAAAGAAAACTTTGAGAGTAAATGAGTTTTTGGAGTATATTGATAAGATTAGTATTCTATAGACAGTATTGCCAAGCCCAATATTTGAAATGAGTAAACCAGATGGTGGTAAATATGATAGAGTTGGTGGCAGAAAGCGTGGTAGAAATGAATTGAGAACAATTAGAAGATCGACCAAGAGAGGGCAAAATGATGAACATTTTGAAAACAATGAAGATCGTAAAGATGAAGAAGATAAAATTGAGAATGCCGATGTAAGTGATGAAGATGAAGATGAAATAGTTGCTCCAGAGGAGATGGATGAGGAACAAAAGAAAGGTAAAGTTTATGATGCTCTTTTGACTATTTTAAAATCAGAACATCCGGAATTAAAGAAAAAGTCTTCAAAGAAACAAAAATTAGCTAATGATAAATTGAGTACAGATTTAACTACAGAAGATAAAATTAGTGATGAAGAGAGTGAGGCTGATTTGATCGATACTGGACTTGATAGAAATGCAGATGATGAGGATAAGGATGATGAAGATAATAATATTGATGGTGATGATATTGATAGTGAAGACGAAAAAGATGAATTTGAAATGCATTTTAATCAGTACCCTAATGATTTAATTGAAAAATTAGCTGCTGCATACGAGAATGGAACAACTACTTCTAAATCTGTAAGACTACCCTTACGTGATAACGAAAATATCATTTTATCTAAAACTATTCCAGAAACAATGGTTGATGAAGAAAAATTTGATAAACCAAATAATAAAATGTCATTACATCCTTATTTCATAAAGAAAAGATTACAAATTCAAAATGATTTATTGGATAACACAAAAAATAATTTAACAGAAATTCAAAAACAATTGGTTGATCCAATGTTTCAATATAAAGATATGCTATATGAATATGATTCATATGGGAAAGATGAAGATGAATACAGGGATCTGTATTGTTTGCATGTTTTAAATCATATTTATAAAACAAGAGATAGAATTTTGAAGGATAATCAAAAAATTCAAAATGATAACGATGCCGAGTATTTAGATCAAGGTTTTACTAGACCAAAAGTATTAATTGTTGTACCAACAAGAGATACATGTTATCAAATTGTTGATAAGATCATTCACAAATCAGGTATTGAACAAGTCGATAAAAAGGGTAAATTTCGTGATCAATTTTTTGAAGATAGTCTTCCACCTTCATCTAAACCTAAGACTTTCCAACAAATTTTCAAAGGTAATACAAATGATTTTTTTGTCCTTGGTATGAAATTTACAAGAAAGGCAATCAAATTATATAGTAATTTCTATCAATCAGATATTGTCATTTGTTCTCCATTAGGTTTGCAAATGATTGTTGAGAATACCGATAAAAAAAAGAGACAAGATGATTTCTTATCTTCTATTGAAGTTGCCATTGTGGATCAATTTAATGTCATTGAATATCAAAATGTTTCACATTTGTATACAATTTTTGAACATATGAATACTATTCCAAAGGAGCAACACGATTCCGATTTCGGTAGAATTAGAATGTGGTATATTAATGATCAAGCGAAGATGTTTAGACAAACAATGTTATTCACCAAATATGTATCACCAAACTCCAATTCTATCATTAATCACGTTTGTAAAAATTGGAGTGGTAGATGGAAAAATCATAAAAGGATTGAACCAAATGAATCTAGTGTAGCACAATTAGGTATTAGAGTCAAACAAATATTTCAAAGATTTAGTGTACTTGGTGGGCATATTACAGAAGAGCCGGATTATAGATTTAGACATTTCTGTAGTGTTATTGTCCCAAGTATCACTAAATCAACCGGTTATGAGGATGGTATCTTAATATATATCCCAGATTACACGGATTATCTGAGGGTCAGTAATTATTTGAAGGAGAAGACATCCATTCTATTTGGGGAAATTAATGAATACTCTTCACAAAAGAAATTAAATGCCAATAGATCCTTGTTCCAACAAGGTCGTGTCAAAGTACTATTATATACTGAGAGATTGCATCATTTCAGAAGGTACGAGATTAAAGGTGTCAAGAGTGTATTCTTTTATCAACCACCGACCAACCCAGAATTTTATACTGAGGTAGTCAGATTTATCGGTAAAAGTGCTTTCTTAGGAACAACCGATTTGAATATTTCTACAGTAAGATGTCTCTACTCTAAAATGGATGGTCTTGCCCTTGAAAGAGTGGTTGGGACTAAGAGAGCAGCGGTGCTAACTAGAGGGCAAAACGAAACATACGAGTTTAAGTAAAAAAAAAAGTAATAATATATAATTCAATTATAAGTCATCTAATCATTATTTAATGGCTATTTTATTTGGGTCAAATGGTTCCAAATTATATCTCGAAAATAAACCCACGCATCACATGTATTTTGGCTCTAAATTGGAACCTTTTAGAATTCCGAAAACATTGACGAAAAAAAATAAACATTAAAGGGATTAGCTAGAGATAGTGAAAATGTATGAGCAGGTTCACATTAAAAGAAACAACTGAAAAGAGCGTTGTTATAATTATAGTTATTGAACTTTGCGAGTTTACAAAATATATTAGTTTCAACGTTCAGAACTATATTTTAAAATACTCAGTTTGTTACTAAAGATTGTAAACAAAATATGAAGATTCAGACGAACGCTGTAAATATTCTGGAGAGAACCTCCTCATATCTTCAAGCAGGTCTTTTGAGAAAAACACCTGCATGGTATAATGTAGTGGCAGATATACAACCCGTAAAGAAATTTAATAGAGAACCTATTTTTAAGAATCCATCAAATGGTAGGGATAGAACTGAATTCCGTCCTTTTTCTGAAAATGTTAATAGTAAAGGTCTATATAAGACAAGGTATAATGTTGTGGATAAGAAAACAGTGACGAATAAATTATACAAGCCACCAAAACTTATATATTTGGAGGATAAATTGAGACAGTTATTCTATGAGCAACATCCATGGGAAATGTCCAGACCTAAAGTTGTTGTTGAAAATGAAATGGATGTTAAATATGATTGGAGTCACATCTTACAATTAGGAAAACCGTTGGATGGGGAGAGCGTTGTTCAAAGAAGTCTTTATTTGGTTAAGAATAAACAATTTGATAATATTATAGATTCATATAATCATGCCAGATTTGAATTCTATAGAATTAGAATGCAACAAGAATTAGATGAACAAATTGCACAAGAAGAAGCAGAGATGTTTGGTAGTGTGTTTGAATCTAGTGCTCTTCAATATGGTATTGAACAAGAGCAAAGAGTCATTGATCAATGGAAGAAGAAGGCCATTAAAGAAACTGAAATATCAGCAGCTAAACGTGTCAATCCGTCAGAGTCCTGGGGTAAAGAAGATGCAGAAGAACAAGATGGCGTAAGCGCGGATGAAGAAATTGAGGAGTTACATCTATAATCATAGAAAACCCTATGCCTTATAGTTGATCCGTGGTTACGACACAACATTGACACAATAATATTATCTATTCTCATCCCATCAGCAAATACATTACAATACTTCACTGCACCCAGAAGGCACTACATATGTATATATAAATTTGTATACTGCCATGTAAATAGCAATAGTAATAGTAACAGTAATCAGAGCAACAAGTAAACTCAAAAAAAGATGTCGTTTTAGCCATCAGACATGATCTAATGGCTGTACTCATCATCATCATCATCATCATCATCATCATCGTCGTCATAGTTGTCATTAACGTGGTCTCAAGATTCCAAAATTTTCCAGCTCAATTTAACTACCACAAGATCCAACAGGACACCACATATTAGAAATGTTATAAAATCTAAATTCCGACGGAAATTGGAAAAAAATACCGAGGTGAAAAATTATTTTATTTATCATAGAATTAATAGAGGGAAGTATGACTTTGAGTTGCAATGACTAAACCTGTAAAAACTTACAACTAAATAAAAATGGTTAGTGCAATTGTCAGAAGAGGATGAGTTAATTAATTTTAAAAATGACCACTTTCTTATATTTTATATAAAAGGAATAATATTCTTAGTTTGTTATTTGGTTTCAACTACAGTGTGTGTACTTTTTTCGAAAACATTTATATATTTTGTTTAATCCCTTTATTGTAATATACACATTTATTAACAATACACAAATTGCAAAAGAACAAACAGGTTTGAATCTTTTCTCTTTTGTTTTCTAATAATATTTCAATCACTTACACATTCATACATACATAATATACAATCATAATGCTAAGGTCATCCGTTTCCAGACTTACTTCCCTTCGTAGTTTAGCAAGTAATGCAGCTCGCAAGAATTTGACTATCGGTCTGATTCCAGGTGATGGTATCGGAAAGGAAGTTATCCCAGCCGGTAGACAAATTCTAGAGAATTTAAACCCAAAATATGGTTTATCCTTTGATTTTATTAACCTCGATGCAGGGTTTCAAACTTTCTTAGATACAGGTAAAGCTTTACCAGATGAAACTGTCAGAATTTTGAAAGAACAATGTCAGGGTGCTTTATTCGGTGCTGTCCAATCACCAACCACTAAAGTTGAAGGATATTCTTCTCCAATTGTTGCACTAAGAAAGCAATTAGGTCTATACGCCAATATCCGTCCTGTTAAATCTGTCTCTGGTACAAATGATAGACCATGTGATATGGTCATTGTTAGAGAAAATACCGAAGATTTATATATTAAGATCGAAAAGACTTATACAGATCCAGTTACTGGTACAAAGGTTGCTGAAGCTACCAAGAGAATTACAGAGGTTGCCACAAGAAAGATTGCTACTATTGCTCTAGATATTGCTCTACAAAGGTTGAAACAGAATGGTCATGCTACTTTAACTGTTACACATAAATCTAACGTTTTATCACAAAGTGATGGTTTATTCAGAGAAATATGTAAGGACGTTTACGAATCTAACAAGGATAAATACTCTGGTATAAATTACAATGAACAAATTGTCGATTCTATGGTCTACAGATTATTCAGAGAGCCAGAATGTTTCGACGTTGTTGTTGCTCCAAACTTATATGGTGATATTCTATCTGATGGTGCTGCTGCTTTAGTCGGTTCCCTGGGTGTCGTCCCAAGTGCAAACGTTGGTCCAGAAATTGTCATTGGTGAACCAAGTCATGGTTCTGCTCCAGATATTGCTGGTAAGGGTGTTGCCAACCCAATTGCTACTATCAGATCTACCGCTCTAATGTTACAATTTTTGGGTCATCCAGAAGTTGCAAAGGATATCGAAACTGCTGTCGATGCTAACATCAGAGAAGGTAGCATCAAAACCCCAGATCTAGGTGGTAAGTCTACTACTCAACAAGTTGTTGACGACGTTCTATCCAAACTTGTGTAGGCTCTTTTCTTTTAAAAAAAACATACATAACATATGTAGTTACGAAATATAAAAATAATATTATAAAATAATAATAAACGGTAAAATAATACTGTATTAATGAAGAAATTTCTTAATTTACATGCTTCCAATTAGCATATAATCAATATGTTAAAATAAAGTAATATTACATATTCATTTATTTATCTGACTGTACTTGGGAATCTCTGTCTGAACTTTGTTTCAAGATCATCGACATCAACTTCCATTAAGTAATCTGTAGTTTCACTTGCAATTCTAGGTTTATTTCCGTCCCTACCATTTGTATTTACTTTGATTTTCAGAGAGTTTGGTTTCTTTGGAACAGGTGGTGGTGTACGTTTATTGTCTATTTTCGTATTGGCTCTTTTAGCTTGGAGACTGGATAGAGGAGTAACGATAACGCTTGACTGTCTAATTTTATTCCCAGAACTTGATGAAGGTGGAACTTTTGGTTTTAACCTACTTGGCGATTTACTCTTTTCGTTATTTGTGAATCTACCATATCCGGATGCAGTTCTCCTTGTTGGGATATCATCACTATTATTCAAAAGATTCTGAACCTTTTTCTGGATAGACTCCTTTGCTTCTTTATTTACCATTAATTTAATTGAAGGGGTATCTTTAAGTTGCTCGTTATATCTTAGCGATAATCCATTCTCTGTATCCTCGCTAAGTTCCGTCATTGGGGATTGAGAGGAAGGTTTGGGCTTCGGTATAATAGAGGCGGGCATATTATCTTTCTCTAGAATAGATTTGTCCGTATTGCTTTCTGTGTCTCTTATCATACTGGATATTCTTCTATTTAAACTATTTGATTTATTAGTGGTCTTTTCATGTGATATTGATCTCTTGTTATTTCCACCAGTTAATCTACTTCTCAATTTGTGTGTAGCAGAATTCCATAAACTATCACCTGTATTCTGTCTTGATCTAATTGGTGAGGTGTTCCTAGATTCCCCTGTGATAACCTTCTTCAATGTGTGACTTAGTTTCCTTACGAGGCTATTACCAGTAGTTTCGTCATCTAAGTATGCAACTTCTGAATCGACAGAAATATTTGACCTAATAGATGATACCCGTGATAGTGGTCTTCTTACAGGGCTGTGAGGCGTAAATGTTTGTGTCTCTCTATCGGTATAATGTGAATTCATTGATTTAGCAGAAGAGAAATTATGAAAAGCAGGGGCCTTAGTTGGGCTAGATGGACGTGCTGAAACATAAGTACTATTGGAAATTGCTTCACTATTTTGCATTAATACACTCAAATCTGGTCCCGTGGCAAAACTGCTGGATTCGTGAAGGTTTGTAAACGTATTTGCGTGTTGTAGGTTAGGAATATAACTATTTTTGTTTTTTAGAATGTTCATATTCGGCGTATGTGTAATACTACCCTTTGGTTCGAGATTTTCTGTTACATGTGTAGACATCGGTAGACTCACTGGAAGTGGATTCTTTGTTTTGAGTTCCACCATAGTTGCAGAGTGATGTAATTCAGTAGGTATTTTTCCAATATCTGAATTAATGGTTTGTCTTGGATAATCGATACTCATATTGATTGATTGATTGTATTGTTGTGAAAACTTCATAGCTCGTTCTAAATAAAAGTTTTTGATTGGGCATGGCTTACCCTGGATCCTAGATACCTCCTCTAATACTTGGCAGACATTAGGTCTATTTGTGGGTGATTTTGATAGCATCACTTTAATTAAATTCTTAGTACGACCATTATATATTGGGACAGCTGGGAATTGAAACCTTGCTTGAAGAATGGCAGATTCTCCTACTTTTTCGAAAGGAGTTATGTAATAACATATTTTGTATAAAAATACACCTAGTGCCCACACATCAGATTTTTCATCGATTGGGAAACCACTTGTAAGATTTAACATTTCAGGAGACCTATATTGAGCAGTGGTGTTTCTCAGGATGTCATGTTTGACATATTCGAGTTCCATGTTGTTTCTTGGTGGTCTAATAACGCCACATACAGAACCAAAATCACATATCTTATAATCTCCATTTGCAGCAATGAGGACATTTTCGATCTTTATGTCCCTATGAATTACAGGTGGTTGAAGTGCATGCATTGCTGCAATACCTTGAGTTGTCTGACTCATGATTTTTAATATTTCATCGTCATTTAATCTATTTTGTAACCTTGTGTTTAGGAAATCAATTAAACCACCCTTTTCACAATATTCCATTAACAAGAAAACTTCATAGTTTCCAGCTATTGTAGTCGATTTAGATGCGTGTGAATCGATATATGAGACGACGTGTCGGTTATTTCTTAACAGTTTCATAGCCTCCACTTCTGCTCGCAACATATTTAAACTTTGTTTATCTGGAATGATAACTCTTTTAAGACAACCAACATTGGTGTTTATGTAAGGATCAATAGGAGAAAATTCAACTTTATAAACCTGAGCAAACCCACCACTTGTGAGGTACTTTATGATCTTAATTTGGTGTGAGCCTACCGTTAAAGTCTGATTGGGTTGGTACAGCGGTATTTGAGGTTGATTCATGTTTTATTTTATGTGCAAGTTGAATGCCCTTTTTCATAACCTAATTAAATGGTAGAAATAAGGTAGCGTAGTATTTATGGCAGTGTAAGAGATAAAAGAAAATGGTATGTTGAAACCTTTAGTTGAATATTTATAGATTTTTTTGTTGATATTTGATCGGATGGTAACAGTGACAATCAACCTTTAAAAGGTATTCGTTGTTTGTATATTTTTTGTTTACCTCATCTGGCTTATTTTCTTTTCCATTGCATGTTCCGAAACAATGTTTTTCTTACCAAACCAAACGCAAAACATATCCATGCAACGCTATCAAGACACACCGGTTAGAACTATTTATTTATTACTAAATGTTAATATTTTCAACAAATTAGAAACAAGATAAGATTGGCCTTAAAACATCAAATAATTGTTATGTACCAATCTACACATACGCTACGCTCGTCAAGAACCGTCATACTCGTATTATAAATGTATCCTTCTATAGTTGAAAATAGTCAGTTCTCTTTCTGAATTTATTTTATTTTACAATATATATGACGACGATTTGCAAGATCTATTAAAGTTGACATTGAATTGAACTCGCTACAATTTTTAGTTTATTGAGTATAGAGTATATTTAAAATAAATAAACTGAATGATGGCGAAATCTACTTAGTAAGATGTTCGTAGTTTTGTCAGACGTAATCATCGTTTTCAATTGGCGACAATTATATAGAACGATGATAATGAGAGCGAAAAACAAGTGTGCACTATTTAAAATCAATTATAGAATATTCAGTTAACAATCACCTTTCAATATCGTCAAAACTTCTTAATGATTTATTTACGAAAAACAACTAAAAAGAGATATCTACATGATATTCCAATATCCCATTTTTAAGAAACAGCTGCACATTGTTGCTGATATTGCATTTTTGGTAATTTCAAAATAACTAGATATGGTTAAGACACTAAAATTCTTTTTTTAAGTCACAATGATGCTACAATTAGAGTATACAAATAAAAGAAGTATACAATTTACAAAGATAACGATATCTAGATAATACGTCTCACATGTTCAAAGAGATTATTAACAATTAAACGGCCATTGATTTTTTCAAGTATTTCACAAAAATATTGAAACTTCGAAACTGTTGATTGTTACAAGCATGCATTCTACATTTGGAGTTAGACTCAAAGTATCCGAATTAGCAACAACATGTTGGCTGCCCCCCACTAAATGTAGCTTATTAGAAATGACACGACAAAACTTAAATAAACAAATAGTAGAAATAATAATATAAAATTTCAGACACGTATTTTCAATAATAATTGTGTGTTTTATGTATCAGGTAGTGTGACGCCAAAAAAGAAGTTTTAAAGCATTATTCATAGAATATTGTTTCAAACATTAAATTTAAAAGTCTATGAGTTGTTTACAATTATATCATATCAAAACAGATATTCTCCATTCTCTCTAACAATACTGTACTGTTTCAAATGTCAGGAATGTACATTGTTCTCTTATCGGATCCAGTGAACTCTCTGGAATACCGCTAAGAGAGCTATTGCATCCTACTAATTTTCTTTCGCCGAACAAACTGAATTTAGATATTTGCGTTTCATGAATTTTAGATTCTGAGAATGTTGAAAAGTGGGGTGCGGGTTCTTTTAGAAAAGGTGGGATAAGGCAAAAAAAGCAATTTTAGATGTCATTAATTCTAAGATAGTCTAATTCTTGACGTAGAAAGCTGAGCCTTTCAGGTTCTGAGCTTCTTCCCGGGTCCGACATTCGTCATATTTTCACTAACGTAATAAACGTACTGTGTCTTCCTTCATAATTATTATCTCCGTGGGACATAATGCCCGAAGTAAGTAACCTCGAGACACGCCAAGTCGGACATATGATAACAGGGTTTCGAGGAGATAATGTGTTTGGGAACTATTCTTGCTTAACATTTTAATAATGGAGCCTTTTCTTTTTTCTTTATGAAGTATGCACACTTTCGAATTAAGAGCTTCCAGAAGGTATTCCTTTTTGGCAATAGCTAAAGTGAAACGCCATTGTTTATTGCTAAATTTTGAGTTGACGTGCACTCTAATAATGAACATATGTATTCTCATCCGTCATATTGACGCTGCGATTAATATTCCTGTGATTTATGAAATGAGTCAAAAAGAATAAAAAAGAAAGAAAAGTAAAAAAAGAAATTTTAATTAATAGTGGTGAATTTCTTTATTTGGTATAATACTTTGGCTAAGGAACATTAAACGCGAAATATGCTGCTGCCAGACACAGTAAAATGTTTCAAAATATCCTCACATCAACAGTATTGTATGCTTATCTATTATATATTCTGAAACTCTCCATTCTTTATCGCATTAGAATAGATCGTTTGTATACACTCTTGTGTGTACTTACCTACCCCTCTTATTGGATACTAGGAAGAGCTTTATATCAATATCGTATACATTGTAGATAGAAATAATTCGAAATAAATTTATATATATATAGAGTGGATAAAAGTCTACTTCTGAAGTAAGTTATATTCTATTTATTTTCTTTTAGTTTGTGGAATATGTACAAATAAAGTTGTACAACCAAACTATCATTTTTAATTAATATAGCCTCACCGGTACTTAACAATGAACAACTTACTTTACTCCTCAGCGATATACCTACTTTTGATGACGGTTACTACATCTGCTGTGACTCCGCAATATTCTAACGAAACCACATCTACCGTTGTCAGCAATAATAATCTCTTCAGTGAACTTGGTTTCTCAGTTGAGAATATTAATGTCGGCCCAAATGCTGTGATAATGACTGCTCAAAACAATGTATCCACTTCTTCAATATCAACAACCTACTACACATATCCGACTAATGCATCAGAAGAAATATCTACTACTGATGGCAGTGCTACTTACAAAAACCGGAATTCAACTTTAATTTCACTTTCTGTTTTATCAAATATTACCTCAAGTATCAAAAAAGTAGGCACTCAGTCGACACCTTCTTCAGGTATTGTTTCAAATTCTTACAATACTACTACTATGGTACCATCTGGCTCCAATAATAATTCTTCAACACAAGTAATAAGCAATTTTACCTCTGCTTTGCCTTCAGCACGCTATGAAAATACCAACTACACAACTTCCAGGGCATATGGTAATGGTACCTCTAGTACAACTAACAGTATGGAAAATACAACATCTACCACGAAGGTTCCAGTATCTAACATAACTGCTAGTCAAATTGGTTACTCAAATGTTACTTTTACAACGGAAATTCTAAATTCATCACTTACTTTCCAAAGACAGGCAATAAGTTCAATTCCAACAAATTCAAGTTCTGCTCAGTTTTATGCTAATTCTACAATGTCAAGTGATACTCCAGTAAATACCCCGACAGAATATTTAAACGCAACTTCGACTTTGAAACTTTCAACTTCAACAAATTATTTGAATTCAACTTCCAGTGTCACAACTAAGGCTATTTCGATTTCATACAATAGTTCTGTCTCCGAAAGCAGTATTTCAAATCCAAATACAAGTTCTTCACAGGTTGTATTCTACAACTCCAGCCGTAATTCAATCGCCACAAGTATAATCGCAGCTACTTCCTCAGCAATGAATGCAAACAAAACCTCTCTGATCGTGAACTCTAGTTTATCATCAATTTACACTTCTACTGCTCCAATAACGAAGACTAGTGCTGTCACTACCCAATGGGCATTAAAAAATGAAAGTTTAACTCAAAGTACTTTTAGTAACATTTCAAGTAACTCCATCGAATCTTCACGTGTTTCCATTCAAAGTTCTAATATGACTTCTACTTCAAACCAACTAACTTTAACTGAACCTCATTTTGACAACGCAACTGCAACCCCAACAAAACAATCAACATTGTACAACAGTACTATATCTATTCCAGGTGGCATGGCCAATATCAATATAACTTATAGTATCGTTCCTGTATCTTCTCAACAAGATAAAGATGGGGATAGTGTAACTATTTCAACTTCATCTTACGTCACGCCTGCCGCTTTCTCCAGTTATAGTCTTAACTCAACAATACCGACTTCAGTTAAATTTGGAAATAGCTCTACCATTCAATCAACATCAAGTTATTCAGCTATAGTTACAGGAGTATCTGTTGGAAATTCAACTTATCAAACAGGCCAAAATGCATCATTAACTATTAACAACACATATACTTCTACCACAATCGAAAATACTGCTGCTAATTATGGTAATAAAACTTCAACAACCTCAACCTTCGATGCAAGTACTATTATTCTACCGTCTACTGATGCAAATAAAGATGCTAATTCAAAATCTGCCACAATTTTATCTCAACTGAACGTTACATTATTGAATACTGTTTCTAGTGCTTCAACTACATCAAGTATTGGTGCTTCTGTAGTTTCTAGTACTACAGCATTAAATAGCACCCAGTCTGTCAGTTCTGCTATGCTAGGATCGTCATTAGGTCCCATCAATAACTCACAGAACTACTACATGAACACTTCATCTGTTTCTTCGATCATGATGACAACTGTACCGACTCTAACTGGTCAAAATAACAATGTGAATCCAACTGGTAGCTTACAATTGGAGCCGGTCTCTTCAAAATCAAACTTGAACGACACAAATAGCTCTAGTCATCTGATAGAAATTTCTTTAAGTGGTAGTAGTACTTTAAGCTTTATTAATAGTCAAAGTGAGACATTAACCGATGGTACTTCCAAATTGACTACTTCCGTAGCATCCACTGGTCCAAAATCCACTTATGTTTATGACATTGATCCAACGAACCCAAGAAAATCATCTAACATTTCATCTATTTCAACTGCAGTTGAAAAAGATCCTTCTAATTCTACCTACGTAACTGCGAAGTCCTCAAGATTAACAACAGACCATAGCACAGGTGTTGTATCTGTTTCTATTGATTCCATTCAAGTTTCTAAATCTCAATCTCAAAGAAAGTCTTCTATCCTGAGTAACTTGGCTACCTCTTCTGCTATAAGTGATCCAGAGGTACTATCTTCTATTATTGATAGCATTACTTTATCTAGTACAACCGATGAAAGAATAACTTCAACTTCAACATCAGAAGGTTCAATAATAACATCGCATATTGGTCAAGATACAGAATCAATTTCTATCGAACCTAAATCTTATGTGGTTCACTCTCAAACGATAACTGACATCGATTCAACCATTCCAAGTAAGAGTATTGATTCAAATCACTCAACTCCTATTGTCAACACAATGGAACATGCTTCATCTTCTGTGAAACCATCACATTCTGTTTCAACTAATAGATCTAACAATGAAACAATTGAAGAACATTCAACCAGATCAGGATCTCAAGTTGAATATCACACATCTAGTAAAGTTCATTCCGTTGACCGTAACAATTTTGCAACAGCTTCCGTCTCTGATCTAAAGTCAGATACCACAATGAGCTCTGCCACTACACAATTCGAAACCGATTCCTCTTTCATAACTTCCTCCGCCACAAGATATAGTGCCACCTCAACAACCACTCATTCACCTATCAAATATACAGGTTCTGCATCCAACGTCATCATTAATTTCGGACAAGTCATTATTATTCCAATTATAATGACCATTTTGTTTATGTAATAGAAATATATATATTTTTGTACAATAGAATACCCATTTAATAAAAGTAACAGTCATTTTTTTATCACTTGTTTTTTAAAAATTATTAAGTGATTTATTTGAGATTCATAAACTTAACAGCAGGTAGACAGAAACATAACTACATCAATAGACGATGAATGTACTTATATTAATATTTTTGCAATTACAAAATTTATAAAAAAATTTTCTATTAATTAATTAACTATATTATTCTATAAAATGAAGTTAATATCTAGCGTTAGTTTCGTAAGTGGTATCATGATGATGGAATGGATAATTTGAAGGTAAAGATCTATCATACAAACCTCTTAAATCTAAAAGATCTGGATTTAATTGTGAAATACTTGTAACTCCTAATAATCTCATAGATAAGATCAATTCTTTAATCAATAAATCGAAAGCTTTTTCTACACCTTCTGTACCATATAAAGAGTTTGCATAAAGGAAAGGTGACGCAATACCAACACCACTTGCACCTAAACATAGAGCCTTTAATACATCTGTACCACGACGAATACCACCATCAATAAAAACATTGAACTTTTTATCTAACCCACGACTTCTTAATACGGGCATCACTTCTGCTAGTACTTCTACAGGAGGTACGGAAAAATCTAATTGTCTACCACCATGATTAGATAATACTACACCACTACAACCAATCTCTGCGGCTTTGATGACATCATCAACTCTTTGCACACCTTTTAATACAATAGGTAAATTAGTGAAAGTCTTGAAGTTTTCAATATCTTTCCAAGTCAAAGCGGTGTCAATCAATTTCGATAGTGCACCTGATGTACCATTAGCCGTTTGACCTTGCTTCATAACATTAGGTCCCTTTTTCTTATCATTATTTGAGAATTTAAATCTTAGATCACGTTCTCTATTACCAGGTTGAGCAGCATCAACAGTGACAAATAATGCATTTACACCCAATTTTTCTGCCTTTAAGATTAATTCTTTAGTGATAGTTCTATCACCGTTAACATATAATTGAAACCATTGTTCTTGTGCAGCATTATTCTTAGCGGCAACAATATCTTCTAATGGGTTTGAAGAAAATGTTGAAATCATTTGTGGAATACAAAATTCTTCATTACCGCAAGCTTTAACAATACTAACTTCACCACCTTCTGGATTACCTAAACCACATAATGCAGTAGCACTTACGTAAAATGGGAATTTAAATTTTCTTCCAAACATTTCTGTTGTTAAATCAATATCAGTAACATCTACTAAAATTTTTGGTCTAAAATATATTTTGTGGAAAGAATGATGATTTTGTCTATATGATACTTCATCATCTGCTGAACATGCATAATAAGCATATACTTGATCTGGTAGTGTCTTTGAAGCAATTACTTCAAATTCGTTCAAATTAAAGACAGATTCTAAAGGAGGAATAGAAGAAAAAGTAGCAGACATTTTTTTTTATATTTTCAAATATTAAGAATAAATTTATGTTGTAAACTGTCAAAGTTGACTTTTAACATATATATATATATATTAATATGTGTGTTCATAGACTTAAGCAAAAAGTATATCCAAGAAGAAAGAATTCATTACCTCTATATATTAAATAGTTGAAGGCACATCCATCACCCTGTCTTTATATATATAAGAACAAACTATTTCCAAGATCTGTCATCAATTTACAGATGAATCATAACAAAATCAAAAGCGTGGGATAAGAATATAAAGTGTATATATATATGTGTGGGGGTGAGAAGAAACCTTCAACTTGCAAAGTTCAATGTATGTTTATATTTTAGTATTTAACACAGTTGGTAAAAACCGATTCCTTATATAAACATCTTAGTTATTTCTCGAATTTCCGAAATTTCTTTAGTTAATCAACTGTGTAATTATATGGATCTCCCGAATTTCACTCTAATTGTGAAATGCGTATATATACTATATTTTTTGTTTGTTAAGAAAGTGGAAGAGAAAGGAATGACGCGAGAGAGTCTGCAGAACTGTGTGACACTGAGCGCAGACGAAGCCGTTAACGGAACAAGGACTCATTTATCTTATGTAAATTCGTAGTTGACTAAGAATGCATACATATATAAAAGCAAATAAACTGTGTGAATATAAACATATATATATATATGGAGATAAATTTTATTTAAAGATGATTGCTGTTCACCCTAAATCGAAATAAAAATGTTAAGGGCTTGTTCTAAATTCTCTTCACATAAGGCAATTAAGACACGAAGACTACCGATTGACATTCAAACAATTGACTACAGTAAGAATGACTCTCTTTATCTTGTCTTTAGCTAAATCTTGTTATGTATATTGTAACGTCAACGCCGGGATAGATCAGATGGACACCCATTTATCTTCGAAACCCCATTGGACAGTTTACTCTCTTTGCCTACAGTCTATACCCTAACACATCCAACTACACCTTGAGTGTCAACTTATCTAAGTAGAATGAAAACAGTCCTAGGAGGAGTCAATCAGACGTCAGATCACGTGGTGTGGCGTCTCATTCCCTCCATTATCATTGTTGACGTCAACAGCGAAAAACCCAATAAAATATAAAAATTAAAAAACGGAGTTGCATGTTTCTGCAGTTATTTCTGTGTTAAGGAACTCAAATACACACCCACATTTTTTGTCTCTCAGTTTCACCGAGAGCGAGTTGACTCATTTTCCTTCTTCGCATTTCTTTTTCCGGTCTTCGTCTTTATAATTGCACGCAACCAGTCAAAAGCAGGGAGAGAAGATCAAAATTCGAAAATCCGGTCCCTGGTAAATTTCTCTCTCTCTCTCTCTCATTTAATCAATCAATCACACTCGCAGAAGAAAAGAAAAGAAAACAGTCCTGTCTTCTGGAAACTGTGTAATACTAATAACATATATTCTCAAAGACTTCTATTAATTCCATCGTAGTAAAAATGGGGGTAAATACCTTCACTCCCTAACAAACAATGAGAAAACTAGTCACCCCATCCTGAATATTTCTTACTTTAATTATCGAAAGCGAGCCAAAAGAAAGACAGCGAAATACACAATTCTATCAATAGTGCAATGAAAAATCAATTAAATTTATTTTATTGACTGGATTTACACACATTACTATGTTAATTTATTATATATTTTATAAGTAAAATTAACTCTCTCTCTCTCTCTGTCGTCTTTCGATATTTCCATATTTTTTCTATTATTTCTGCCTGATAATCTCTCTGTTCTTACGTATATTCTCTCTCTTTCTTTTTTTTTACACATATTGATTATTTTGTAGTCATTATTTTGTCACACTATTTCAAATATACATAAATTTTTCGATGAACTAATCCTCGAAGTGTGAAAAATTATAGTTCTGTAAGCATACTAATGTACCCTTCTTCTCTTTTTTTCACTGCTAATAGTTGATATAATTTTGTCTTTGTCATAGTAAATTATTTTATTTCGCTACTGGGGGTTGCTCGATGATCAAATAAGAGTTTTTTTCTTTCTTTCTTGCTCTTTTAAATTTCATTCAAACATACACATATATATAGAACGATGATTCTCAAATTATTAAAACGATCTAGCCTTTCTTATTTTCTTTCTTTTTTAGTAATCTTTTTATATTCATATAAAAAAATAACAATAATAACAACTTATATATTAAACTCATATTAATATAAATACATTACTTTTAAATGTCTGGTTTACTACAAGAATTATTTGTGGACCCTTACCATAGATTAAAATGGGGGTTCATTCCTGTTAAGAGAGTCGTCGAAGATTTACCTGAAGATGACGAATCTATTAATAGTACTTCTATCACTACAGGTGATGAATTTAGAGGTCATGAAACTGAATTACATGATTTGAAAACACATGAAACAAATAGTGGTAATGGTGATATCACTTCTTTTTCTAATGAAAAAGAACAAGGTATATTAGAAGTTACAAAAGAAGCTAAAAATAATCATAACAATGATAATAATGGTACTGTTGCAATTGAATATGAATATAGAGATGAAGCCGATAGAAAATGGTGGAAATTCTTTGACGAACAAGAATATAGAATCAATAAAGAAGAAAGATCTCATAATAAATGGTATAGTTGGTTCAAAGAAGGTACTTCATATGAAGAAAAGAAATTACTTTTGAAATTGGATGTATTATTAGCTTTTTATTCATGTATGGCCTATTGGATTAAATATTTAGATACTGTTAATGTGAATAATGCTTATGTGTCACACATGAAAGAAGATCTAAACTTTAAAGGTGATGATTTGGTTCATGTTCAAGTTATGTACACTGTCGGTAACATCATCTTCCAACTTCCTTTCTTATTCTATTTGAATAAAGTTCCATTAAATTACGTTCTACCTATATTAGATTTATGTTGGTCCTTATTAACTGTCGGTGCTGCTTATGTTAACAGTGTTCCACATTTAAAAGCTATTAGATTCTTTATTGGTGCATTCGAAGCTCCAAGTTATTTGGCTTACCAATATTTGTTCGGTTCCTTCTATAAGCATGATGAAATGGTTCGTCGTTCTGCCTTTTATTATCTAGGTCAATATATTGGTATCTTATCAGCTGGTGGTATCCAATCCGCAGTTTTCTCCTCTTTAGATGGTGTTAACGGCTTAGCTGGTTGGAGATGGAACTTTATCATTGATGCTATCATCTCTGTTGTGGTCGGTATTATAGGTTTCTACTCTTTACCAGGTGATCCATACAACTGTTACTCTATTTTCTTAACCGATGACGAAATTAGATTATCTAGAAGAAGATTAAAGGAAAATCAAACTGGTAAGAGTGATTTCAACAAGAATGTCTTTGACTTGAAATTATGGAAAGGTATCTTCAGTGATTGGAAAATTTACATCTTATCTCTATGGAATATCTTCTGTTGGAATGATTCTAATGTCTCTTCCGGTGCTTATTTACTATGGTTGAAATCTTTAGACAGATATTCTATTCCAAAAGTTAATAAATTATCAATGATTACTCCAGGGTTAGGTATAGTATATTTGATCGTGACAGGTGTTCTGGCTGATAAATCTCATTCTCGTTGGTTTGCTATCATATTCACACAAGTGTTTAATATTATTGGTAATTCCATATTGGCAGCTTGGGATGTTAAAGAAGGTGCCAAATGGTTTGGTTTCATGTTGCAATGTTTCGGTTGGGCTATGGCTCCAGTATTATACTCGTGGCAAAACGATATTTGTCGTAAGGACTCTCAAACAAGAGCCATTACTTTGGTTACTATGAATATCTTAGCACAATCATCTACAGCATGGATTAGTGTTTTAGTTTGGAAGACAGAAGAAGCTCCAAGATATTTGAAGGGTTTCACATTCACTGCATGTTCTGCATTCTGTCTATCTCTTTGGACTTTCGTCGTCTTATATTTCTACAAACGTGACGAAAGAAATAATTCAAGAGACAATGGTATCATCGTTTATAATTCTAAACTTGGTGAAGATAAACCAATTGTAGAAGAATTAGAAAATAATATTAGCGAAGAAGTTTCTTCTTCCGAAAGAGAGAAATTCTCAGATTAGAAACAACTATGTGATCCCCTCTCATGATCACTAATATTATAGTTTTAACAACTATCATTTAATATTCCACTTATATAGAATAATGTAATCAATTTTGCATATCAAACTTTAATAATAATTTTAATTTAATAATTTTAATTTAATGATTTAATTTAATTTAAAAAATATAAAAATTTATAAAATGTTATATATTAATATAGATGTTCATTTTTTTGAAAACGGATATGTAGTTGCGTTAAACCGTTGTTCTTGTCTAAAAGGTCTTCTTTTATGTTCTAAGAAAAAGCTTCAGTTTTCATATAGCATTAGAAGTTACTGAAAATGCATTTTTAATGTAACTGGATATTGCTTCTACAGTTTCGTTATCTATAGGCATTGGTGTATCATTGATTGCAACTGACATAGCTTCCTTTAAATTACCAGGTGCATGAACTGTATCACATGCACCTGGATGTGTATCAGATGCGATTATGTTACCTTTGTTATCTATAAAGTATAACCCATCGGTCGTTAGAAATGGGGCCCTAGTGCTAAATACTTGTGAAACTTGCCATACTGTCATATCGTTAGGGAAATTGAATCCATCACATAATTTTCTTCTTATATGCTTAGGAATTGAGCCGAGTGGTAAATCTTTTACTGTATTAATATCTGTCATAGGCTTGCTTGTTTTTGGGGTGGAAAGTATTGTGGTTTTATTTTTAAGTTTTCTCGATCTAACGTAATGATGATGTGAACTATTTAAGAACAACTTACACTATGCTCCATATTAAGAAATTCAAAATTTAAAAAAGTAAATTGAATTGACCATTAGGTAATGAATTTATACGTTTATAAATATTCTCAACAAGACATGGCAATAGGGCAATGATTTGGAGTTAACAAGGAGAATCGAACCTGATTTCTTATCTCCGTTTTTAGGTATATCCGTTTTGCTTAGCTTAAGGTATTAAATTTTTATAGTGACTAAGAAAATGCAGCAGAAGAAAGACAAACAGGGAGCTTACCTAAATAAAGAATCATTGTCATAGTTACCGGAACTATTGCCAATAAGCTATACATATAAAATATTTCTAATTCACATAAAATCCCGTAACGATACAATATGCATATAAACTCCAAATATGACACCCATGGTTTTATTAAGTATATTTCAACAATAATCGTTCCACAAAAGATGACGACACTAAGTTTAACATCATTTAAGATAGATAGGCGCCTATTTTAAAAATGTTTTATTCAGTATTCAATTCCTGAATACTATTTAAAAAAATATTAAAAGATAGTGTATCTTGCTTAATATATAATGTGTTTAATTAATTTAGTTTAATGTCATTTAATTTATCATTTTATATGACTCTTTACTCGTGGCATAAACTTGAAGATTGCCGATATACGTGGCTTTGTAGGTGTTTCATAAACAAATCCATTATCACTACCAGAATTAACTTCGAATGTAGACTCAGTATTCTTCTTTGTTTGTTTTTCGGTATCAATTTCCGAAGAAATGTCATCATATGACTCAGTTTGATCTTCCTCACTTGACTGAATGGCGTCCATATTTTGTTGTTGTAGTAGTCTATCATTTCCAAACCACTTAAATCTACATAACCATATAGTATGGGACAAAAATATACCTAATTCTAATACTGCAATCACTGCATATAATATAATACTTAAAATATCCATATCGCCAACACATACGCTTGCGATTGAAAAATAAGCTCCTAGACTATCTAAAGTTAGAAATACAAAATTTATCCCAACGACTTCACCTTGTCTTTTAGCTAATTCAAAATAAGGTGGTAATAAACCTATGGCTAATAATACTGATGCTAAAATACCAAAAATCATTGAAGGCCATTTAATACCTTCTGCATATAAAGGGCGTAGCCAAAGGACGAACCCAATTTCTGAACCAATATCCACAAGTATGATACCCATTGTAATGGCAACTATTTTCCATACAGGCATCCTTACTGGGGGATAATAACATGACTGAACGAATCCGACACCACAAAAGAATGTGAATAAATGTGGTTGAACTTGTAAGATAACATTTGTATTAAGAATTAAAAAAAAACATGCAAAGGGAATGCCTGATATCACCCATAGAAACATCATATGTGGTGGGACCCCTGTACAATCTTTTCTTTTCCAATTATGATAAATTTGCGGAATTAGTTGAATACACCATAGTACTGTACCGACAGTTGCTAAAGCTGTTGCCGCAGGATTGGCAGCTGCTGTGTTTATCATTAGAACTTTTATTTATTCTGTTACTTTTTTTTAATTATTTTCAAGATATGAATATACAAGAGTAGTAAACCGAAATCTTCAATTATTACAAAGTTGAAGATATACACATACATATATATGTTTACATTTTAAGAATCGATGAGATAAAATGCAAGCTCTTTTTTTTCTAACAATAGAAATTATCGTATTTTGTTTTAAGAAACGACTGATAATTATATCAAGAATAATGAAAAAAATGAAAAAGGAAAAGAGAACAAGAAAATATGAAAAAAACATGATTAACTATTTTATTTCAAATCTAGTCAAAATATTGTTACAGTTACTATAAATGGGTATTCTCTTTTACAATTTTCTATTACATGAGAGATGCACATAAATAGAAGTTGCCTGATCAACTGCACATATTTTTTTTTTTCGAAAATAAACGTGGATATCTCTATCTGCAGACTCTTTCCTTTATGTACAGACTGGGAATGCATTCACGACACAGTTTATAAATTATATTTGAGAAAATGAGGAAAAAAGAAAAATTGTATTTATTAAGACAAAAACAGGCCGTACATTAACATTCTTGCCTCTATCAAAGAAGAAAACACCATGTTACAATAAAAGAAAACCTGACAATAGTCTCATATTACATTGCTCCAGTAACAATCGAACAAGTAAGAGATATTCTAATTACTATTATCTGGCGAAGAAAGAAAAAGTATGGCAATTTTTACCATTTTCAATATTTTTTAGCCGATGATGATCATCTCTTTCGACTAAAAATTCCCGTTTTTGTTAGACCGGATTTAAAACGGCTCTCTACACACGCGAGAGTGTTCCTCGGTTAAGCTATAATATGAATTTGATATACAATTTTCAATAATTCTCTAGGATGATTCACCAATATATATTTAATATGTAGATTCAACCGATTGAATACTAGTAAGTTTTTACAAGTATGTAGAGTTATTTCCGGATAAAAGCTACTCATCATTAAAGTCGAATAAAATTTAGAGTGGATATATTTGTTCTTGTTGCCTCAAAAGAAATATGTTTATTTTATTCATAGTGTCCTTTGTTCAATTATAATAAAGAATTAAAAATGCCATTTCTTTAAAACCTTCCATGTTAAAAGACATAAATCAATGCCTAAACAAACTGAAAAAATAGATCGTTTTAACAGCGTTATAAGATCGTCTTTTTTCTGCTCTTAATTATTTGTAGTTTAATATAATTGTAATAGCAAGAACAAAGCAAAAGTGTGGAATAAGAAATATTTCTAATATCGCTTATTTTTGCGATATTAGTCTTATCCATAGTAAAAATAACAGGACGTTGCCATAGTATTTTTTTGCTTTTAAAATACTCAGCCACTCCCTCTATCTTTGACTGATAACTATTAATTACTAGTGATAATCATATTTGACACAGAAACTTTCATGTTACTAACAGGAAATTTAAAACTGATTGTGACAAACCTTATCCATTATCATATCTACCTATTCACTATTTTGATAGAGAGATGTAACTAAATTATGATAGTGACAGCTGTAAAGAGAGCTTTTTAAAAAATTGATACGAAGAAGTGCGGGATGTCAAATGTCGGCTATATATACTGTATTTGGTAATTACAAGCGGAACTTTTCAGTATTTGACCCTCTTTTTTCCTTGTTTTTCGTTACTTGAATCCCTCTCGGGTACAGATACCTAATTGGATAGACTTTGTAAAATAAACGTAGAGGAAAAAAATATATTCAAAATGTCTTGTTTTTTCAATAGTTAGTGGTTGTTCTGCCTGTTCTCAGGCAAAAGAAAATTCTTAAATTAAATTTAAATTAATAAATTTTTGTTGCAATTGTTTGCAATATGTAATAGGTGCATGAATTTTATGTTAATAATTAAAGCAAAAAAAACTATATTCTGACCCTTAAGAGATGTATTAAACTGGTTAAAGTTTGACCCTTATCTCATACATTTCTGTTATTTTAATTAGTTTGCAGTATTTTCTTTATAATTAGTAATAGATATTTTAAATATATATCTTTTCTTTTTTTTGGGTGCATATATACACTTTAAGATAACCTCTTTCTATTATCTTTGAACATGCCATATATAAAAAGATCAATCTTGACGATATAATCGCCTTATTTTTTTCTTTCTTCCTTTGTTTTGTTATTAGGATAAATATTTTCTTTTTCTCGATTTTTAAAAAAGTAAAGACAAAAACAAACCAAACAAAAATTACTTTTCGAGGAATCAAGCGCTTTGAATAATCCGAAGCCAAACATTATATCAGAGTTTAGAATTTGAACTATCTTGTAGAAATTATTGATCACTTCCTATAGTTAGTCATACTTATACAGATTTTAGCTTATTTTTTTTTTTGGTTATTGCTTCCTATTTAATAATTATCTTTCTGAGAGTAATTTTATTTTTGGTGTTGCTATGAGTTACTATTTACAACACTATAAAAATTCATTTTTCACAGATATCTTAGAATTTTTGAATATTGTGACTATTCAAGAACCGTTACCTACTGAAACTCAATATTCAGAACAAAAATCTCAAAGAGAATCAATTGAATATATAAAATCAAATCCATCTAATATTGATAATATTTCAACTGATAATAATGATTCAGATGATATAACACAAGATACCTATGATAACCTTGGTGGAGATGATCAATCGTATCATAATAATTTGGAAAGAATTGCTACTGTAATGTCTGGCGCATCATCTCATATGAATAATAATAATAATAATAGCATTCGTGTTAGTGACCCAGAAAAGAATCAAAGAGAAAAAAATAGTGGGATCTCTGATGATGAAGAAAAACAATTATCTGGTACAGACTCTAACTCTACGTCACAATCTCAACCACATGATATCAATCTTGTACACGATGTCGATGACGAGGATGATATTAATGATCCATTTTTAGTTAGTTGGCATAATACATCTATGGAAGATAATCCATTAAATTGGTCAACTTTTAAAAAATCATTTATGATGGCAGAAGTGATGTTACTAGGTTGTGTTACTTATATGTGTTCATCTATTTATACACCCGCACAAGCTACTATTGCTGAAGAATTTGGTAGTGGCCATGTAGTTGCAACATTAAATTTATCATTATATGCTCTAGGTTATGGTATTGGCCCAATTGTATTTTCCCCCTTATCCGAAGTAGCTAAAATTGGTAGACAACAAATTTATTTTTATACCCTTTTTGTTTTTTTCTTATTTCAAATAGGTTGTGCTACTGTTAATAATATGGGTGGTTTAATTGCATTAAGATTTTTTGCTGGGATTATGTGTTCACCTGCTTTAGCTACAGGTGGTGCTACTGTTGCTGATATGGTAACATTAAAGCATTTATCAATTTGTTTATCAACATGGGATCTTGGTGCAACATGTGCACCAATTATTGCACCAATCATTGGTGCAGCTATGCTTGTTGCTAAAGATTGGCGTTGGATCTTTTGGTTTATGACAATGATTGGCGGCTTTACATTAGTATTATTATTTTTCTTCTTCCCAGAGACATCACATCAAAATATTTTAGCACGTCGTGCTAAAAGATTAAGAAAACAAACAGGTGATCAAAGATACTATACAAAACAAGAAAGATTAGATTCAAAATTAACTACCCGTGAAATTATGATAACAACATTATATAGGCCATGGGAATTAATGTTTAAAGAACCAATAATTTTAGCATTTGATCTTTATATTGCATTAGCATATGGTGCATTTTATCTATTTTTTGAAGCATTTCCTTTAGTCTTTACAAATATTTGGCATTTTACTGCAATTGAATCAGGTTTAGCATTTTTAGGGTTTGCAGTTGGTACAGCATTTTCATATCCATTATTATTTTATTTTTTAAAGACAATTATCAATCCAAAGATTAAATCAAATACAGTTACACCAGAAATGTTTTTAATTTTAATGATGTGGGTTGGTTGGTGTTTACCATTAGGTTTATTTTTATTTGGTTGGGGTGCAGGTACACATTGGATTGTACCAATAATTTCAGAAATTTTTTTCCAATTGTCATTATGGAGTTTGTTTCAAGTTACATATTCATACTTAGCATCATGTTATCCACGTTATGTTGCATCAGTATTTGCAGGTAATGGATTAGTTAGATCAATATTTGCCTGTGCATTCCCATTATTTGGTGTTATAATGTATGAAAATACAGGTACAAAAAATTATCCAGTTGGTTGGGGTTCCAGTATTCTTGGATTTTTCACTTTATTATTAACAGCTATACCATTTGTACTTTATAAATATGGACCAGCTATTAGAGCAAGATCGAAATTTAGTGGTTGAAAAAACGAAAAGAATCGGAAATAAAGTAAGATTTTACAATTTTACATTCAAGCCAACAAGTACACATAAATTAATTATTTAATAACCGGATTTAGGTCCAAATTTTCATTTTGTAGAAGTCATTAGCAATACAAATACAAAAAAAAAAAAGTAGTCATTCTCATTATAATCATTGTTTTCATTTCTAAATAAATAGTATATACGATATATTGCATTAATTAAAAATTAAATTAAATATAAAACAATATAATTATAAATTCCATTGCATCTTTTATAAATTTTATTAGAGCAAGCTAAATAAATATATATCATTACTTAACAATGGGACAAAATACTCTTTGTCTTCAACGAAACAGTTGAAAGAAGAACCGGAGTAAAAAATCAAAAAAATATCAGCCGCTACGTCATAGTACACGAGAGAGATAGAGAGGGCCAAAATTTTTACTTCAAAAAAAAAATGCTCATCAAAACAATACCCATTATCACTCAACACGGGAGAGGGGGAGGGCAAAAGACACACAAGAAAAAAAAATATATACAAGCTACTATATTGCCAGCGACACATTTATGTAGAGTAGCTGCAAGTAGACGAACAAGTTGTAAAATGGTACAGAACGCAAAACACCGCCCGCGGGAGAAAAAGGGACAAATTTATGTGAAAGCGCGTAGAAATAATAATTATTTTTTATCTTTAAGATTTATTTTGGCCCAATGAGCGTGCGGCTTTAAGAAATGAAGAGAACAGAAATAAGAACAAATGTTATGCTGATAAAATAGTTTACTAAATATTCACAGAACAATGCGTGGGGCTCACCCCGATAACTGCATAATTTATTCATTTAAATTTCTTTCACTAAAATTACTATAGCTATTATGATGTCACAGATTATGAGGGTTGGGGATTTTTGAGTTGTTTCTTTTTGTTCTCTCCCTTGTTAAAAAAACATTACGTATGTACGTCGATTTCTGTTGTACGCAATTACATCTCCTCATTAATTGATGTTGTTTTGGCGCCCTCTCATTAGAGTTTCTTTTTTGGCCCTCTTTCCCCATCAAAAGAAAGAAGAAACATCGCCTCACAACATAATTCGCTAATCATTTGAACGTTTGGCTCAATAAGGTCCGATTACAGATATGTTCGTGGAACAATGCGATTTTGGCCCAAACTAACTTTAAGAGATGATTTGCAGAGAGGGCGTTGTTATCTCTTTGGCAATTCATTCGTTAGAGATAAAGAACACCCAAAGCCAACGAAATGAGAGCATTTTTTTTCTCACTTCATCAAAGTATCCAATAATGGGGGAGGGGGCAGAAACAGTTATCTTCTTGTAGTTCTGTTTCTTTTTCTATTCTATTGTACTTCGTCTTTCTTCTTAGTCGTTGAATCAGTTGTTCAGGAGTGGGATGAACTCAGAGGAAAAACTACGAACAAACTATACAGAAATGCATTATACCAATAATTAGCAAAAAAAAAGAGGTGAATGTCTACAGGTTCTTCTGACTTATCTGAAAATTTTGTTTTCTGGAACAATAGTATAACATATGTCAAATTTATTAGCAGAAAGGCAGAACAAGCAATACATACTTATTGTATTATATTCAGGCATCGAGAGAGATTACGCGAATGTTTCTTATCAGTATTCTTCCTATTGTTATCATCGGCATATACATCTCTCTCTTTTAATAAACAACCTTCTCTCTAAACTATATAAGCTAGATTAAAAATGACTAAACTGTTTTTTTTGTTTTTACTTTCATTCTTTCTTACTTCTTATTTCGTTATTTGTTATTAACCTTTTTTTTGTTGGCTTCATATCGTAGTAAGTATATCAAACAAATACACACACATATAAATATAAATAAATAAAAAATGGCCGAACCAGAATTTCAACAAGCTTATCAGGAAATTGTTTCCGCTTTAGAAGAATCTACTCTTTTTGAAAAGAAACCGGAATATAAGAAAGTTTTACCAATTGTTTCAGTTCCTGAACGTATCATTCAATTCAGAGTTACATGGGAAGATGATAATGGTGTACAACAAGTTGCACCAGGTTATAGAGTTCAATACAATTCTGCTAAAGGTCCATACAAAGGTGGTTTACGTTTCCATCCATCTGTTAATTTATCAATTTTAAAATTCTTAGGTTTTGAACAAATTTTCAAGAATGCTTTAACTGGTTTAGATATGGGTGGTGCTAAAGGTGGTCTTTGTGTTGATTTAAAGACTAAATCTGACAGTGAAATTAGAAGAATTTGTTATGCTTTTATGCGTGAATTATCTCAACATATTGGTCAAGACACTGATGTTCCAGCTGGTGATATTGGTGTTGGTGGTCGTGAAATTGGTTATTTATTCGGTGCTTACAGATCTTATAGAAATTCTTGGGAAGGTGTCTTAACCGGTAAAGGTTTAAATTGGGGTGGTTCTTTAATTAGACCAGAAGCAACAGGTTATGGTTGTGTTTATTTTACACAAGCTATGATTGATTATGCTACAAATGGTAAAGAATCTTTCCAAGGTAAACGTGTTGCAATTTCAGGTTCTGGTAACGTTGCACAATTTGCTGCTTTGAAAGCAATTGAATTAGGTGCTATAGTTGTATCTTTATCTGATTCTAAAGGTTGTATCATTGCTGAAGATGGTATTACATCTGAACATGTTGCGGCTATTGCAGAAGCAAAAATTAGATTTAAATCATTAGAACAAATTGTCGGTGAATATTCTGCATTTGCTGAAAATAAAGTTAAATATATTTCTGGGGCTCGTCCATGGTTAAATGCAGGTCCAATCGATATTGCATTACCATGTGCTACTCAAAATGAAGTCTCTGGTGACGAAGCTAAAGGTTTAATTGCCGCTGGTGTTAAATTTGTCTCTGAAGGTTCTAATATGGGTTGTACCGCTGAAGCTTTACATGCTTTCGAAACCGCTAGAAGTTCCGCCAAATCTCCAAGTGAAGCCGTATGGTATGCTGTCGGTAAGGCTGCTAATTGTGGTGGTGTTGCATGTTCAGGTTTAGAAATGGCTCAAAATTCTCAAAGAAAGAGATGGTCTCGTGATGATGTTGATCAAGCTTTGAAGAAGATTATGGTTAATTGTTTTAATGATTGTGTTAAAGCAGCTGAAGAATATAGTAATGAAGCAAATAAGAATACTTTACCATCTATTGTTAAAGGTGCTAACATTGCAGGTTTCATTAAGGTTGCAGATGCTATGATTGACCAAGGTGATGTCTTTTAAATCTATGATATCAAATAGTACTACTTACTACTACCTTCACATAGATACGATCCGCAATGAATAAATTAATAAATAAATACGCTTAAAATATAAATACAAATATATAAAAAAAGAAAGTAAAAAAAATTGTAATAATAATAATAATATTAGTCAGATCTTCAACATAAAAAATACGTAATAAATGTATTTAAATCTATAATAGCTCTCTCTATTCATTGTGTGCATTCGTTTATTCATTCGGGATGGTTATCTTTTCATTGCATCTCACTAAAATTAGTTCCGCATCACCATCGCTGAAACCAGAAACAAAAAGGACTCAACTTACTTCTTTTGCTGTGGCGACCAGAAAAATCACTCCTCGGCTTCGCTCTCATTGCGTCGTTGCTGCTGGTTTCTCCTTCCCCTCTCCTCTCGCTCCCCCTTTAAGTGAAATTTCTCCTGTTTCTGTTTTGTTTTCCCCTAAGAGAATATCCCGTAGGTAACGTACGCATCTCTGCCTTTCTCTGATATACAGAATACATAATGAAGCCAAACCACGGTTGCAAAAAGGGTTCGTTAGTTTGTTGCCGACTAATACTGGTAGACAAGGGTTTCCTTCCTGGGCTTCTTGGATTTTAGTTCAGACTGGGGAGAATGAATGGATGGGTACTTAACAGGAAATGCAGCAATCTTACATAACTCGACATCCATGGACGAAAATACATAATTTTATTTATATATATATCTGTAAATTAATTTACGAAAGCTTTAAGCAAGTCAATTGCATTTTTTATGTTGTTTAATTTTTACTTAGTTATGTTGTTTTTGGTTTTTTTCACTTTTATCTGTTAATAGAACTATATAACTATAATAAAACAAAAATTTAACATAATATAAATATAATATAATGAGAGCATTAGCTTATTTCAAGAAAGGTGATATTCATTTCACCAAGGATCTCGAGGAACCTAAAATCGTCACTTCTGATGAATTAATCCTTGATATTATTTACTGTGGTATTTGTGGTACAGATTTACACGAATTTACAGATGGCCCAATTTTCTTCCCTCATGATGGTCATACTCATGAAGTTAGTGATATTGGTTTACCACAAGCAATGGGTCATGAAATGGCAGGTATTGTTCGTGAAATTGGTAATGGGGTTACAAAATTTAAAGTAGGTGATCATGTTGTTGTTGAACCAACAGGTACTTGTAGAGATCGTTATAGATGGCCTGATTCTAAAAATAAAAATAAACCAATGTGTTCAGCTTGTCAAAAGGGTCACTATAATATTTGTTCCCATTTAGGTTTAATTGGTGATGGTGTCCAATCTGGTGGTTTTGCAGAAAGAGTAGTTGTTAATGAAATGCATTGTTATAAAGTCCGTAAAGAAATTCCAATGGATGTTGCTGCATTAATTCAACCTATTGCTGTTTCATGGCATGCAGTTAGAGTGTCTAGATTTAAACCTGGTTCTTCTGTATTAATTTTAGGTTCAGGTCCAATCGGTCTAGGTACTATTCTTGCATTAAATGGTCATGGTTGTTCTGAGGTTGTTGTCTCCGAACCTGCTAAGATCAGAAGAGATTTTGCAGAAGGTATGGGTGCAATTGTATTTGATCCATCTGATGGTGATGATGCTACTAATATTCCATTGTTGCGTTCATTGGCTCCAGGTGGAGATGGGTTCGATTATACTTTTGATTGTTCAGGTACTCCATCTACTCTAAAAGCTTCGATTGAATGTTTAACATATAACGGTACTGCAGTTAATGTTGCTATGTGGTCAGTTGATCATCCTGTTGATTTCTTCCCAATGGATATCACTAAACAAGAAAAATTCTATACTGGTTCAATGTGTTATACACATGTTGATTTCGAAGCCGTTATCGAGGCAATTGAAGATGGCCGTATCGAGGTTGCAAAGGCTAAGAAAATGATTTCATCAAGAGTTCCAATTGAGCGTGGTTTTGAAGACGCTATGATGAAACTAATTACTCATAAAGAACAAACTATCAAGATTCTGCTGACCCCAAACAATCATGGTCAACTAGAAGGTGATGGTACAGACATCTACGATTAAATATGATGGTAGCATATTTAGCATATCATGTACTTTTACTTCTCCCTCTTTCCCTCTTTTTTTTTCCTTATATAATCAATTGTAACATATATAGATAAAAAGTATATGATAGTAATCTCCACTTATTTTGGTTCCGATTCAAATATTTAAAAACCCTTTATTATTAATCGGAGTGATCCCACGTTCGTTTAATTGTGGGATGATATTTCCTGTTGATTTCCATCAAATCCTTTTTGCTGACTTTTCAACTTTCTTTCACTTATATTCCCCCCCTGAAGTATTTTTCGGAATTGAATTACGGATGCACTGCGTAAAAATAGTGCGATGCAATGCTGTCCGTGGGGGAAGTAAGTACATACGCTTAGTGTAAGAACAAAACAGGATTATCTAACAACTTGTTTGAGGCAATTGACTTACACTTCCCGGGGTAATAGATCTTGTCAGATTCTTATATAAACCGGTCAAGAAATATGTAATTGTTTGATAAGGAAAGGGGTGTTCATGATGACGTTGTTTTCACTTTGTTTATCTATTTCCGTTCTATGCCCCTTGTTTAGATAACTTTTTTTTTTCATTTCACTTAAAATTTAATTATTATTTCATATCATTGTTTGAACAATGTACAGTCTTCGTAACCTTTATATAAGGACTAATCCTATCAAATTATTCACTTCGAGGTCTATACCTTTAAGACAAACCATATTATCAAGAAAATTTTCAAAAATATATACACCAAATATGAGAGCTTTAGCTTACTACAAGAAGAAAGATATTCATTATGCTGAAGATTTACCTGAACCAACTATCAATAACCCTAAAGAACTGATTATCGATGTTGCTTTCTGTGGGATCTGCGGGTCAGATTTACATGAGTATACAGATGGTCCAATTTTCTTACCAAAAGATGGCGAGACCCATCCATTATCTAACTCTAAATTACCACAACCAATGGGTCATGAAATGACTGGGATTGTTCGTGAAATTGGCTCTGATGTCACAAAAGTGAAAGTAGGTGATCATGTTGTCATTGAGGCTGGCTGTGGTTGTAAAGATTTGCCACGTTGGCCAAATTCTAAACATTATGGATCTGAACAATGTCCTGCTTGTGCTTCTGGTTTAGATAATTGTTGTGAAAATGCAGGGTTCACTGGGTTGGGTGTTGTTGGTGGTGGGTTCGCTGAACGTGTTGTTGTTGGTGAATATCATACTGTACCACTACCAAAAGAAATTCCATTAGATGTTGGTTGTCTTGTTGAACCATTATCTGTGGTTTGGCATGCCTTGAAATTGGCTAATTTTAAGGCTAACAAATCTGCTTTAATCTTAGGTTCCGGTCCAATTGGTCTAGCGGCAGTGTTGGCTTTGAAAGCAATGGGAGCTTCCCAAATTGTAGTCTCCGAACCGGCTAAAATTAGAAGAGATTTTGCAGAAAAATTAAACGTTACTGTATTTGATCCTTCGAAATATGGTTCTAATGCTGTGGAAGAATTGCGTAAACTATCAACCTCAGGGAATGGGTTTGATTATGCCTTTGATTGTTCTGGTATCAAAGCTACTTTTGAGACAGGTTTACAAGCAATCACTTACAGGGGCTCTTTAGTAAATGTGGCTATTTGGGGTAAGACTTTAGATTTCGATCCAATGGAAGTAACTTTGAAAGAAAAACATTTCACTGGGTCCATTGGTTATGTTGTTGAAGATTTCAAAGAAGTCGTCGATGCTATTCATCGTGGCGATATTAAAATTGATGAAATTAGACATTTGATTACTGGTAAAGTTAACATTAAAGATGGTTGGGAAAAAGGTTTCTTGGAATTGATGAATCATAAGGAGACAAATGTCAAAATATTATTGACGCCTAACAATCATCATGAATTGGATTAGTAACTATTATTCATCATTCTTATTTCTTTTTGTATAAAATAATCAAATCTATAATATATTGATATTGTGCATACACAGACAGTAAAATGTTTTTCCTTTTATGTTCGCGCTTTTCTAGGTCCCGCCCTGTTTCTCTAAATCATCGTTTTTTTGCGATGAGCTTTAAAATTTTTTTTTTCAAATGCTAATCACATTAATATATATATATTTATATATACCATTATTTGAAAGATAATCGTATTTTACAATATCTATAGATAAACTAGGCATAGAAGAGAAAACAAAATAACTAAATTTTGAAAATCTGTAAATTAACTACAGCATCACATTATGGCAAAGAAAATATCGAAACACTCAAGAGCTGCAAGAAGATCTGAATTTGAAATTGACTCAGGAGTTAAGGACCTAGAGAGTCTACCAAGAGCTGAAAAGACTGATTTGTCCAATATCTTAATTAGAACAGCAGCAAAGAATGAAGCATTATTAGACGCTAAAATCCAAAAGAAACAAGACAGAAAGAAGTTTTTCAGAGAAAAATATACTAAGAAGACTTTAGAGAAAAAACTTCAGGAAGCATTAAACAATGATGATAAGGAAAGATTAGAACATGCCCTAAATATAACAAATAGACTAGATGGGAAAGTATCAAGATCTATAGCGCGTGCTAAGTACGTTCAAAGTTCAAGGAAGGCTAACTGGGATCAAACTAACGAGATTATCAAGCGTAAATTGAATAATGCTTCTATTTTAGATAAGGCACAAACAAAGAAGAATAATAATGAAGATGAAGAGCTGGATGATGAACCATTTGACGAAGAAGATGAAAAGAAAATCCAAAAGAATACTCCACAAAACATGTTTGGTTTGTTAAATACAGATGTTGAAGAATAGACCCCAATTTATAAAATAATGTACATTAAATAAATAAATTTTGACTATTTTTGTTGAAGACACGATTCATAATTCGATACTGTTCGAATGAATATACATTTTAAAAAGAGTAGTGTATAAAGTTTCTATAGAAGAATGCTTGATATATGGTAATATTATTTATTACTTCGGACTTTTATTTCTCAAAAGTATTGTCCTTAATCTTGGGAATCCCAAACATAGTAAATTAAATAAATTTGGTTTAATTTTATGACATTTTTCAATATCATGCATACGACGTATTTCAGATATATTTTCATTATTTGGATCCTGATTCTCTATTTCATATTTTATGGCTATAGGGTTCCCTCTCAGGTCTATCAAAAATAATTTGTTTGTCGGTACAGTGCTAAGGATATTATGACAACTAACAAGATTATTGTTAGGTAAATATAATTCTTCTAAATTCGGAAGAAGTGTACTAAAATTAGTTGGTAAATGTTTTAAGTTATTTATACGTTCGAGTTTGAGGATTTTTAAGGTGGTAGGGAAAATGCTCCATTTCGGTAGGTGTTCCTGAAAACAATCCAGTATTTCTAAAGAGGAAACTGTTTCAGGTATACTAGGCCATTTATTCATATCACGAAAGCCATCAATTTCTAGAGACTTTAGAAATGGGAATAGAAGTTCATGTCCATTTACCCCTATTACTGCTTTCAGTTTATAAGAAGTATCCCTAAGGAGAAGACGCTTTATGGAAGATTTATGTTTAGAAGTTTCAATTAGTGATTTTATTGGATTACCATTCAGGTTAATCTCTTTAAGACTTGGAAGAAGTGAAATGTTTCTAATTTCTGTAATCTTGTTATAGGATAGATTTAAAATTTCAATTGTAAACCAACCTTTGTAATGTAACGAATGTGCGTTACTATTTAAACTTTCATTTAGGTTTTGTATTGAATCATCAAGAACAAAATCCTTAAAATCTATAATACCACTTATATCGTTATGTGAAAGATCTAATTCAATTAATGGTAACCACGAGCTACATATTCCATCTAAAGACGTAATATTATTATGTGATAAATTGACAGATCGCAAATGAAGACATTCTTTTAATAAAGTTAAATCAGGTCCGATATTATTATCTGAAATATTTAAATGTTCTAAATGGGTTAATTCTGCCAACTTACATCCCTTAGAACTAATATTATTATGGGAACAATCACAAATGGTTGTATTTTTCGGTAAATCGATAAGAGATGTTATATTGTTTGAACTTATATTACAATTAATAACGTTAGGTACAATATTTTTTAATCCACTTACATCATCTAACGATTCATTTTGGAGATTAATTGTAAAAATATTACTCCCAATTATATCATTATTCCCATTGCGGAATATCAAAGCTCGTAATTTTGAAGTTATTGACTCATTTACTGTAGATCCATATTCCGAATCACTCCTTTCTGAAGAAATTGAACTAAAGTAAGATGCAGTCTCTGAATTATACCACTTATTATTTTTATCTTCTGAGCTGTATACTCTGCATTCTTCTGTTGTAGTATCATTCCCAATAGGCGATGTTAATGTGGAAAAGGTCAGTCCATTTGAAGCTCCATTTTCTGTGGTGTAAGAGTCCTCAAAGGAATCTGTAGTAGAAGAAAATGATAAGCTATTCATAGTCTGTGTTCGATAATTTTGTGAATAACTTTGGGAGTTACGATTCCTGTCAACATTATCACAATATTTCCCCTGAACATAAATTTGTTCCCCATTATTACCGTTATTTTTATTCATATGATTCATCATATAGGTGGAATTGATCTTCGCGAGTGGAATATAATCTCTACAATCAGGGTTTTGAATATTTTGATACGGTGGATAACATCGATTCATAGTTGGATTCCTAAGTTGCTCGTATTGATTCAAACCATTACCAAAATTATATTGCACCTCTTCCGTATGGTTTATTGGATGTTCATCATCTCTCAGATTTCTCATTATATGATAATACAAAAAACAACCCTTACTCCAATAATTAATATGTTTTTTGTCTTAGAAATAATTACCAACACAAAAGAATTTTATTGAACTGAATTAATCATACAGTTTGGTTGGAAATGCTTCGGTACTTTTTCTTATCTAGTGGTGAACAACTCCTTGATCAAAATAAGACAGCGTATAGATAAATATAATTATTTCAAAATAAAAGTTTCCCAATCACAAACAGAAGTCCTTGCCAGAATATCGAGAACTATAAGATTTAATTGTAGTAAAACACAAGAAGCTCTAACTAATTAATTAAATTAAAAAGAATATAAAATATATCTTACCAGTCACATTTTTTTAATTAGATTGACCAATGAAGAAAATTTTGTGGAGCTCTCCACCATTAAGAAAGTGTGTCTGTATTGCCTGTCTGTCTTGTCTGTCTGTCACCCGCGCCGTCACAATGGAGGAAGGGCAATTAAAGACATCTCCGGTTAATCCCCCCTCACTTAATTTTGTTATAAATAGTAAGATTCAGTGGAATAATCGATGATTTAGGGATCACTTAAGGTGAGGTACCATCTATTATTTAAATCTGTGTTTACTTCGTGGAAGTTAAATATACAGGTGCTGTGATTAACACATCAGATCGTTTTTTAGATTCATACCCATAGATTCTCCTTTGAATTTGTGTCGTGATAGTGATTAGGTGCAAGACGGTATATTCCAAGATGTCAAACGAATTTGAGAATTCAAAATTATATCATGAAACTATTCCTTATATATCGAATTACTACAACGTTATTGAAGTATTAAAACAAGTGGAGGATGAAAAACTTCATTTAAAGAAAACACATGCTTTGTTAAAATCCGAAAATGAGAAAATAATTAAGAGATTCTATAAATCTTACACTTCATCGTTATCAAATAGTGTCATTAGTGATAGTGAAAACTATAAAAATTCAGAAGGTAAAGATCCTTATGGTATGGAAATCCTGGAAGAAATTATCAGTAATCCAAAGGTACCAATTAATAACAATAAAGTTTACGATAAAGATGTTACTGGAATACAAGCTAATATGTTTTCTGTTGATTCTACTGGGACCTATGCCAAATTTTATGAAAAATTAAATTTTACTTCAATTACAGGTTGGAATATAGTGAAAAATCATTTATTATGGATTCCATCGTTTCACACACAGTTTAGAGATATATTGTTGTATAATAAAAGAAATGAAATATATGACCCGAATAAGAAAACATCGGTCATGTCTATCGATGGAGAAGATTATATCCCAAAGGCCTTTGATTCTTATTACGGAAGTTGTTCCATTCCTTCAGTGTTTGGAGAAATTAAATTACCTTCTTTGGTATATCATTGTTCTGTGCCTGCAGGTGAAGAAATTTATATTCTTGGAGGTATGTTACCAAGTTATCGATATGATGAAGAAAGACCAAATTTAGATAATTTTGAGGTTACCGGTCTAAATGATTTACCACCACCGTTCTTACCACAAATTGTAAATAATCCTGCTTTTTTTAGTAACCCATTCATATTTGTAGTCAATGTTTTAACATCTAATGTTAGAATGCATAAATTTGGAGGTGACATTCCACCACCAATGATTGGAATGTCTGGAACTCTTTTAACAGATCGGTATATTTTTTTTTATGGAGGACTAGAAATTAGAACAGAATCGTCATATTCTGAACTAACACAGAAAACAACAATTAAAAAGAGAGGTATCTTTTGTGATGTGGGATTTATCTTAGATACAGTAAAGTTACGTTTTACGAAGATAAAAATTGGTCTTCGACAGTATAAAAATCAGCACTTTTGTCAAGTATATCCTCGGTTTGGACATTTACAAGTTACAGTTAGGGATGAAGATACTTCAAACCATACAACTCCCAGATGTTATCGTCAATCGTCGTATTATGATGGTTCGAAAAATGATAACACAACTAAGGACCATTCGAATAAGACTCCCGGATTTAAAGATTATCAGACAAAATCAAATGATAGTCAAACATCCTTTACAGAATCTAATGGAAATTCTGATAATAATTCGAATCAACTTTATGTTTTCTCTTCTACAACTTATATATTTGGAGGTTACAGAAGATCAGGAAAATCAGGATATCAAGCACTTAATGATATGTGGAAAATTAAAGTTCCTATACACTACAGAGGAAAAGGTGGTTTGTGTATATTTGGAGAGAGTGCTTTTGCTACAGGAATACATGGTGCAACTGCAGAATATATCAACTGTTCACAGAAACCAATATTTGGCGTAGAGATACCCTATGAAAGAGCGTTCATGTCATACTGTATATATAATGATAAACCCGGTTCAAATTATACAAATTTTGAAGTTGATTTATTAGAAAATCTTAATAAAAATTTTAAAATAGCTCTAAGTAAGCCACTGAAGAAGAGAGTACTCCATGTGGATGCTGATGATGATTCAATGGAAAATATAAACAGAGATGACTCACGTAGGTTGTCATCTTCTGGGTTTTATACTAATCGTTTACCAACAACTTCAGTACCAAATAAGACACTTATTATGCATGGTGGATCAAATGACTGTCACGTTTACGACGATATGTGGTGGTTCGATTTAAAGACTGAGAAATGGAAAAAAGTTGATACATATGTGAATGTTAAACAGGATAAAACAAAATCGTATCATGAACCTAAACCATTGCATTTAAAACTGGTTGGACATACAATGCAAAATATCGGTAGTTTAGTTAGTATGGGAGGTGGTATGTTACAATCTGATGTTGATGCCCTCTATAAGACTTCAAACACCAAAAATTCTGGAACATTTGCTCCAATTCAAGGTGTACCAATTGGTGCTCATGTATTCAGAACCATTGATATACGAACTCAATTTATCATTAATAGGGAAGCAATATTTGCGCCATCGGATACAAAGTTCCAAGTTCCATTAACAAGTACGGATCCCTTAGCTATCCATGGATTGATGATGATTGTCGGTAGTACTATTGAAAGAGCAGCAGGAAAGTATGTGATGATTGGTGGTATAACTTCTAGACGTTCAAATATTAAAAATTTTTATTTGAGGGGAACTTTGTTATATATTACAGTTCCGACTGTTACATTATATGGTTTATAAGCTTGTTATCAGGACGTTGTTGTTGTTGTTGTTTTAATAATTTTTATCTTTATATTTCATTATGCATAGAAGAAAATGGTGAATATTTTGTTTTTTCATATAGTTTATTGAATGTAATTGCGCAATGATTGAACATTTCATTAATATACTATTTATGTTTGTTTGTTGGCGTTCTGAATTTATTGCATTTTTGCATATAAAAAATTACTAAATAATATTATATTTAAGAATATTAGATATAGATAATTATGTAAATAAAAATGAAGACATAAAATATGTTAACAGTAAATATAAGAATATTGAAATTGATGAAAATAAAAATTAAAAGTAAAGAAAAAAATGGAGAGAGAAAAATAAATTAAATACTTTATTGAATCATAATTTGACGGAATCAATTAAATGTCTGACGACGCCTGGGTTGGAAAGTGTAGTGACATCACCTAATTGATCAGATTCACCTGCAAGGATCTTTCTTAAGATACGTCTCATAATCTTACCTGATCTAGTTTTTGGTAAATCATCAACTAAGACAATTAATTTTGGTGCAGCAAATGGACCAATATCTTTTCTAACAGTTAAAATTAAATGTTTTTTAATATCTTGTAATTCTTCTTCTGAAGCACTATTCCAACTTGTCTTATTCTTTAAGACAACAAAGGCTGCAACAGCTTGACCTGTTAAATCATCATTGAATCCAACAACGGCACATTCAGCAACGATTGAATCTTCAATTAAAGCTGCTTCAATTTCTGCAGTAGATAGACGATGACCTGAGACGTTAACAACATCATCAACACGACCTAAGATCCAAATATAACCATCTTTATCCCTTGCAGCACCATCACCAGTGAAATAATAACCTGGGTATGGGTTCAAATATGTGTCAAGGTATCTATCGTGATTTTTCCAAATAGTTCTTGCAAAAGATGGCCAAGCACGTTTAATTGCAAGGACACCTTCAGCATGAGGAGTAGTAATTTCCTCGCCAGTAGTTGGATCTAATATAACTGCATCAATACCAAAGAATGGGAAAGAAGCTGAACCAGGTTTCATTGGAGTTACACCACCAGCCAAAGGAGTCACTAGATGACTACCAGATTCAGTTTGCCAATAAGTATCAACAATTGGAATATCATTTCTACCAATCTTTTCAGAATACCATTCCCAAACTTCAGCAGCGATTGGTTCACCAACAGAACCTAAGGATCTTAAAGAATCTAATTTATATGGTTCAATAAATTCATCTCCAGCTCTTTTCAATAAACGTAAAGCAGTTGGTGCGACATAAAATTGAGTAACTTTATGTTGATCAATTATATCCCAATAACGTGAAAAATTTGGATAAGCTGGAGTACCTTCAAAGATAACAGAAGTACAACCATATGATAAAGGACCATAAACCACATAAGTATGACCTGTAATCCAACCAATATCACCTGCGGTGAAAAAGACATCTTCTTGATGAGTATCAAAAGTATAACGCATTGTCAATAAAGCATTTAATAAATAACCAGCTGTTGAATGTTGAACACCTTTTGGAGTACCAGTTGAACCTGAAGTATATAATAAGAATAAAGGATGTTCAGAATCAACAGGTTCGCAAGGGAAATAAGTTTTATATTTTTTAACTTCAGTATCCCAATCTAAATCTTTTGATGAATAAGCAACATTAGTATTATTAGTACGTTTATAAACCAAAACGTTAGTAACTTGAGGAGTTTCTTTTAAAGCATCATCAACAATACGTTTAGTTTCGATAATTTTACCACCTCTTAAGGATTCATCAGTAGTAATAACAACTTTTGAATTACCATCATTAATACGATCTCTTAAAGAATTTGATGAAAATCCGGCGAATACTACAGAATGAATTGCACCAATTCTTACAATTGCTAATAGTGTAATAATTGCTTGTGGAATCATTGGCATATAAACTGCAACAGTGTCACCTTTTTGAACATTCATTGAATATTTTAAGACTTGTGCAACTTGACAAACTTTTTCTAATAATTCTTTGTAAGTAATATTAACTGATTGACCAGGTTCATCAGCTTCATAAATTAGAGCAACTTTATTTGGATTTTTCAAAGCATGTCTATCAACACAGTTATAACAAGCATTAATGGTACCATTTAAAAACCAAGCATTATTTTCAAAAGATGGTAAATTTGTCTTTGGATCTGGTAAAAATACTTGATCGAAATCTTTAAACCAATTTAAAAATTGATGAGCTTTTTCACTATAAAAAGTAGTTGGGTCTTCAATTGATTGTTTATGTAAAATTTTATAATTATCGAAATCTGAAATATGTGGAGAATAATGATTTTGTAAAGATGGTTGTAATCTTTGATCAATTGGTTTTTGTTGAACAATTTTAACGTTAGTTAAATGTTCATACTCGTTAGTCTTTGCATTATTTTCATTTTTTAATTGTTCAATAGTATCGGTAGTTGTAGAATCTTCTACAATAGTAGAAGGAGACATATTTATTTTGTGAATTGTAAGTGTTGTTGTTGTTATTTTATATTTTTTAAAAACTTTGGTATAGAAATAAATATTATGTTGGTATACTTATATATATANATAATAGAATCAAACTAAATTAAATTTTTTTATTATTTTAAATAATTTAATTGACTATTTATACCTTTTGCTTTACAATAATTTCTTGATGATGAAAAAAAAGATACTTTAATTATTGCCTTAGATTCTTTAATATCACTCGACCACTTCCCGTCTCGCCGTTGTTGACTCAACGGACTATTCTGTATTTTAACCTTACAAAAGACTAATCAAGAACAAATGTTGGGGTAAATGGAAAAGAAGAGAGAGAAATAGATTACTGCACTTATTACCACACTCTAGATGCATTTACAAGTAGAGTAACATACTCCAACGAGCTACAATTACTCCAACAAATAATATTTCAGTATTGACGACTTGCTGTAGCGATAGCAGTCGATAATTGACGAGATATAGCCGCCCAATTGCAATATGTTGTGTTTGGCTTTGCATGTTGGATAACCTCCCCCCCCCGCAACACACTTCTCTCTGTGTGTGTGTGCGTGTGTGCGTGAGTGAGTTGTTGGGGTAAATAATATCACTCTTTCCAACTTCAGTTGTCTTTGTGAAAGAGAGTCACACTTTTTTATTTTAACCCTTCAGAAATTGTTTGTTTGTATTTTGAGGGTTAAAACATATCTGTGGTAGCGCAAAGATTCTCTCTGTTTTCCACGTACGTAATGCTTTGTGTGGGGAGGAGAATTTGGAAACCAAAATATTTGCGGTGGTTAGCGCCGTTCGCATGCTGTCTGTTTGCTAAACTTTTGTAACTTGCGGTCATGTGACCGATGGAGCTAAATTTTCTTTTGCTTTTCAATATATTTATTTTTATGCTCTTATCCTTGCAGACTAGCTTATAGCCTAATCAGGAAGTAATAATTCAAATAATTGTGACGCGCAAGAAAAATACGTATTATACACACGCATATCAAAGAAAAAATCGCCAAAATGAATTTTCTGTTTTTGGCGAACCCAAAAAAAAGATGGCTGGTGATGGAATAGTGGGGCGCTCCTTGATGCAATATTAATCAACTTCCGTTTTGCTTTTCTTGTGTGAAGAGTTTTGATGCGCCCCGTTCATTTGGCTTACCTATTACATACTACGCACGGACACGCCTTGGATTACCTCTTCTCAAAAATTTTCATGTGAGGATTCTCATTCTCATTTTTTTATTTTTTTTATTTTTTTTAAAAATAGATCACTTTTACAACAATGCTTAACAAAACTATTTCAAACTTATATATGACTATTTAATTTAAATATATATATACATACATATACTATTGTTATAGTATAAAGTTTAAGGATATAATAGTATAGTATAGTATTGTGACTGTGGGTACACATATATATAATATTAATTTTTGTTTATTTATTCTTTCATTTAGTTATTGTCATTAGGAAAACTATTATTCATACATTTGCATTTCAATACAAAAAATAAAATACCCTCATCCTTCACTTTTTTTTAGAGAAAAAGAAAAATTTATACACATATTCATAAATATATTCACAGATGTTGCATCGAGTAATACATTCGATATTGCTTTTGATAACAATATTTTCATCAATAACAACCGTAACAGATGCAAAAAATTCAACAACAACATCAAGTTCAAAACATATTGAAACGAATTCTTTATTAACATGTATGGATAATTCGCAATTTACTGCTTCATATTTTGATGTTAGATTTTATCCAGGTAATAATACAGTTGTATTTAAAATTGATGCAACAACAACAATTAATCAAAAAGTTATTGTTCAAGCTGAAGTGCTGACTTATGGTTTAAAAATTATCAATAAAGAATTTGATCCATGTTCCTTAGATCAAGATGCTTTATGTCCTCTAAGTCCAGGTAGAATCGATGTTTCATCCTCGTATCAACTTGATTCAGATGTTACAAACCAAATTCCAGGTATCGCTTATACTGTTCCAGATTTAGATGCTCAAGTTAGAGTTATTGTTTATTCAATTAATGATACAGATTTTAAAACACCATTAGCTTGTGTTCAAGCCATTTTATCCAATGGTAAAACTGTTCAAACTAAATATGCATCATGGCCAATTGCTGCTATTTCAGGTGCAGGTGTCTTAACCTCAGGTTTCGTCTCTGTTATTGGTTATAGTGCAACTGCAACACATATTGCATCAAACTCAATTTCCCTTTTCATTTATTTTCAAAATTTAGCAATTACTGCAATGATGGGTGTCTCTAGAGTTCCACCAATTGCTGCAGCATGGACACAAAATTTTCAATGGTCAATGGGTATTATTAATGAAAAATTTATGCAAAATATTTTTAATTGGTATGTTCAAGCAACAAAAGGTACTTCAACAGTTGTGGTAGCAAATAAAGATGTCTTATCAATTAGTGTTCAAAAGAAAAAAAGAGATTTACAAAATTGGATGATGAAAAATGACGCTTATAATTGGTTAAAAAAAAGAGCTGTAAGTGTTGCATCTGCAAGTGATTATAATTTTGATGATATTTTAGATGACTCTACACTTTATACAACTAATGAAAGAAATAGTACAGAATATGCAAGTAAAATCCTTGTATTAAGAGGTATTCCACGTGTCTCTTATTTAGCAGGAATTGAAATTTCAAATTTTTTTTTAACAGGTGTTGTTTTTTTCTTATTTTTCCTATTTGTGGTTGTATTTGCTTTAATCTTTTTCAAATCTTTATTAGAATTATTAGTTAAAACAAATGTTATGTCAGAAAGTTCAAATTTTTTCCAATATAGAAAAAATTGGGGATCTATCATTAAAGGTACATTGTATAGATTAGCCATTATTGCATTCCCACAAATTACATTATTATGTATTTATGAATTTACACAAAATGATTCACCTGCAGTAATGGCAGATGCTGTAATAATTTTAATTATTATTATTTGTTTATTATCTTATGGTTGTACAAGAGTTATGTTAAAAGGTGGAGAATCGTTGAGATTGTATAAGAATCCTGCATATTTATTATATGGTGATACACAATTTTTAAACAGATATGGTTTCCTTTATGCCCAATTTAAAGCCGATAGATATTGGTGGGTTTTACCATTATTATTATATTCTTTCTTTAGATCTTTATTTGTTGCTGTTTTACAAGAACAAGGTAAAGCACAAGCAATGATCATTTTTATTATTGAATTAATTTATTTTGGTTGTCTTTGTTGGATACGTCCATATTTAGATAAAAGAACAAACATTTTTAATATTGCTATTCATTTAGTTAATTTAGTTAATGCTTTCTTCTTTTTATTTTTCAGTAATTTATTCAAACAACCAGCGGTAGTTTCATCGATAATGGCAGTAATATTATTTGTTTTAAATGCTGTCTTTGCATTATTTTTATTAATATTCACAATTATTACATGTTCATTAGCATTAATTTATAGAAATCCTGATGTTCGTTATCAACCAATGAAAGATGATCGTGTATCCTTTATACCAAAAGTTCAAATTGGTGGAGAAAGTACAATGGATCTTAATGACAAAAATGATGCAGAGTTATTTGAATTAAGACAAGCTGTAATGGATACAAATGAAACTGATCAAGAAAAATTATTACGTGAAAAAAGATTTAGTGGTAAACCACAAATTTTATTTGATAGTAATAATGATTATGATGGTGGATCATCTCTATCATTAAACAATACAGTGACTAGAAATAGATCAAATAGTAGTAATATTGATTTACAACCAACACAAGCAATGTCTCCATTATTTAATAATAATAATAGTGCTGCAAAACCAATAATAGATTCAAATAATGGCTATTTACGAGCTCCAGCTGATAATAGAAACACAAATAATAAAAATTTAAAGAAACCAGAGACAAGTTTCTATGGTAGTGGGCCAACACATTCATATTCTAGAGATTTCCTATAAGGTTTTATATAATAGGATCCATCAATTAAAAAAAAAAAGATACAGAGACATGATTTGAACGGTATTAAAAATATACTGTTTGTTATATATATATTTACATTTATACAATTACATTTTATTAATAGAAACTCCCCCCACCCCATTCAATAATAGTATAATTAAGATAAATAAAATGTTATATTAAATATACTTTGTATATACGGTTCATAGTCAATTTTTCTTTATTTGTAACTTTGGTTGTCCTGTTTCGTTAATCATTGTGGTGCGTGACAGTTCAAGAGAAGAAAATAGTAAACCTTCTGCCGCAGACAAAACGGAAGAAGAAGAGGAGGAGAGAAAGAACGGACAAGAATGTTATATATGAAACGAATGACAACAAAGGGCAAAACAGGACAGACAAACAAAAAATTACAAAAACAGTAGCGTTGATCCAAAACACATCGTAGTGTGTGTGCGTATCTGTGTGCGTGTGTCTGTGTTTGTTTTTAAAATATTCTGGTAAATATCAATTTTCACATATTATTGAAAAGTGAAATAGATGTAGTGAAAAATGAAAAAAAAATACTAATAGCGAATTTTCTTAATAAAATATGCGATTACAACAAATTAAATGAAATATTGTGATCTTAAATCAGTTAATGGATTTACTGATCTTCTATCTCTAACGATATATACCTATAATGTTTCTAAGATTCTATGGTCATTTGTATCATAATATATTACATAACACTTAGTAAATCCATTTTTTTTCTTGAATTCACCGGACAGACGCTACAAACCCCGATGCGGTGTACATTTAAGTCAAACAAACTGAGAGTAAATCGCTTAAAATGTTCGCTTTCTCTCTCATCCTTTTTGTGAATTTTATGTACGTTAGTTATAATGTGAGCTAATTTTCTAAGACAAAGAGGGGATAAATTCGGTTATAACCGAAGATGGAAGTATCCGCCATACATAGATAGATATGTCAAAAAAAAAGAAAAAGAAAAAGAAAAAGAATTATCGCTTACCCAAAGAGTGTTTGTTATTATTTGATGAACAGAGACAAAATTATGTACAAAATAACAAAATTTGGTTGTTCTCCTTCTTTCACCCCCACCCCAAATAATACATAGCAAATTGAATGTGACAGCTTCATCTATTATCGATGGCAGTAATGTAATTCTTTCATTTGCTGTTTATATTCTTAACGTAAGGAAATTTTCATCCGATGAGCATTTACGCTGATTGTTGTGCGTTACGGTAAGAACAAAAAAAATAGTGTAGAGAGAGAAGAGAGATGATAACAAATCTTGCGACGTTTGCTGCTATAGAAACGAACCTAGAGAAAGTAAGCAACTTTATTTAAATATGATTGAAAATTGATAATAAATGACAATGGAAAGGTAAAAGAACTTCTACATGCCTTCGATCAATTATTCGTAAGCACATTCTTTGTGATCTATAGTAACAATCAATGAACAACGTTTTATCATTTTCGTATATGATTCGATCTCTGTCTGTTGTTAATTATGCAAAGGTTTAAACTAGTATATCAAGATTTATGTATTATCCTTGACTATATATTTGTTTTTTAAAAAGTTTTCTTATTTCACCTCCTCCCTCGCATTATCGGTAGCATCGTTGTTTAATACAGACGTACTTCTATATTCTTTTAGAATAAAAACGGTAATATCTATTTATTATAAGATATTAGGATTACTAATGGTGGGTTGTGTAACTTATTATCATGTAAAGAAAAAAATAATTTGTTAGTGTTGGTGTTGTTCTCTACAGAAGTGATGATTATCCTCTTGTAAGAATTGTAATTACATATTTCAATCAAATTTTTATTATTTAATATTCTGAATCTCAATTTATACTCTCTAGTTAAAATAATTAGGTTGATAGTTTAAATTCATTCAGTATTTCTTGTTTCTACGTTCTTCCATTATATATCTCTTTGCTTTGCCTTTTTATTTTTTTTATATATGCAGCGTTTATTTAGCGGGAAGTTTTGCTTCCTTTTTCCCCTTTAAGAAGAAAAAAATGTAAAATATGAAAACTATATATATATACATAACCCACTGTAAACTTTTGATGATTTTAGTATGAAGTGCACATCGTTTTTTTATTTAATTTACAAAAATTAGTTAATGGTATTTTATTATCTACATATTGTACTCAATTAAAAAATCATTTTAAATCTTCTGTTTTATTTTAAAAACTGTAACATTTTGATTTGTTTTTGTCTTTTTACCCTTAAAAGAGAGAGACAGAAAAAAAGAAGGTTTTTTTGTTTTATTTGATTTTGAAGAAGTGTGTGTGTGCTATTATAAAGGTTAATATTAATAATGAATAATAATGAAACAATTAATAATAATAATAATAATACACCATATTTAGCTAATATGAATGAAAATAATTCAGATTCTGGTGATTCTCATGATTCTTCAGATCACAATGAAATTAAAAAAAGAAATAGAATATCATTTGTTTGTCAAACCTGTAGAAAATCAAAGACAAAATGTGATCGTGAAAAGCCTGAATGTAGTAGATGTAAAAAAATGGGTATTAAATGTATATATGATGTTTCAAAACAAATTCCACCAAGGATACCAAGTAAAGATGCAACCATTTCAAGATTACAAAAAGATGTTAATTATTGGAAAAATAAAGCAATGAGATTAATGAATGAACAAGGAATTGATAGTACAGATCAAATTGATAAAGAATTATTAAATGATACTACTAATAATAACAGGAAAAGATCATTATCAATACCAATAGATTCAAATGTTAAAAGATCAAATTCAAAAAAATTAAAAGATATTCAAATTAATCTTTATAAAAATCATTCAACTTTAATTTTTAGTAAAGTTATGAAACAAGATGTTAAGCCATTATCTGAAAATTTTGTTATTATTCAAGATAAATTTGTTTCATCTTTAATTGCATCAGTTTTTATTCATCCATCAAGAAATTCAATGATTCCCGCTTTAACAGCAAATGCAAATATTTCAAGAGCTCAACCGAGTGTACGTAGTAATATTGTTAAATTAAAAGAAATTTTAATGAATAAATATAAAGATCCATTTCAAAGATCAAAAATTAATGAATTTACTGATAGAATCTTACAAAGTGCAAATTCTTCAAGAAATTTAAAAATTGGTATGATTTTATCAATGCTTTACAATACTGTCGGACATGAATATCTTGAAGATCATTGTTTAAGACCAGGTGAATATTCTGATCTTTTACAAAATTTTATAACAGAATTTGAAAAAATTTTACCACCAAAAGAAATTGTTGATAGATATAAAGCACATTTTTATGAATATGTTCATCCAAATTTACCATTTTTAGATATTGATATGTTTGAAGAAACAATATCAGAAACTGTTACAAGAGATCCAAATGATGAAACAAAAATTAAAATTAATTTAGGTAATACTCATTTACGTTATAAATTAGAAAATTTGAGTATTTTATTAGTATTAATAAAATTATCTTATATTTCTTATAGTTTTTGTGATGTTGAAGTTAAAGGGTTTCCAAGTCAATATTTGAGTAATGATATTGTAAATAGTTATCCTGTGAGTAATGATGTCATTTTATTAGCTCAAAGATGTTTAGCATCTGAAAATTGGTGTGCTTGTACAAATGAAAACATTATTACATGTTTACTTTATATTTGGTCATTTTTTGCATTTTCTCCAGAAGAAGGTGATTTCTTTTTAGAACATCCAACTGATGTTATTAGTAGTTTAATTATGATGCTATCAACATCTATTGGACTTCATAGAGACCCATATGATTTCCCACAATTAAGAGATCGAAGTTTATCTGATAAACGTATATTAAATCAAAGAAGATTATTATGGATTTCTGTTGTTGGTATTTGCTCATTCGAATCTACCTTAAAAGGTAGACATCCAATCCTATCAATGGATCTAGTATCCTCATTTATGGATATTAGAAGTCCCGACTTTCCAAAGACTTACCTTGAAAGAGTGAAAAAAGATCTTGATTATGATTTCCTTAGAAAATGTACAAATAATAATGAAGAATTACTAAAGAAAAAAGTTCATAGAATTTTATCTGTTCATGAATTCACATTAATAAGAGCACAATTCTCGATCCTTCTTTCAGATTTAGATAATTTAACTTTATCATATAATAATACATTTTCTTTAGAATGTATTGAATTATCAAGAGAAAAAATCGAAAATTTCATTGAAGAAAGTTTACCACTAATCGATTTTAGAGAAATTTCAACAGAAACGATAAATAAAAATGAAGATAATGATAAGACCAATAGTACTAAAAATAATAATGATAATAATAATAATATTAATAATAATAATAATAATAATAATAATAATAATAATAATAATAATAATAATATGGAATCTGATCCATTGCATGTACCTACAACTAAGGAGGAACAAGAAAGGCAATATATTGAAAAATTAAATTTTTATTCTTTTAAAAACTCCAATGCTTTACAAACAAGATTAATGAATATGCTAATGATGTTAAGAACCAGTGAAGCCGTTTTCTTACATTTTGAGTTAAAAGTTGGTGAGGATAAAGAAAAATACTTCCCATACTATTATGAATATCTAGTAAAATCATGTAGAGATTCTCTAACCTTGATTAAGATGTTTAACGATTTTTTCACTGATAAATACAAGCATTATTTATTACCATCATCATATTATAATGTTAGAAAGATTTTACAACTAGCCTTACCTACCACAATTTTTAGTACCCTTGGGATTATCTTAAGAGTTAATTTGGCATGCAATGAATTATACGCTAAATGTCAAGAAATGACAAATACAAAAACTTTTTATGATACTGACCTATTTAGAGAATTGAACAGGAAATTGGAAGTAATTAGTATTTTACAAAAAGATTTGGAAATGGCAATTGAATTTATTTATATTTTTTCTTCTGAAAATTTAAGATTTAGATATTTTTCTGTTTTCAAAATGTTCGCATTATTTGATGTCATTATTCAAAGGATGAGAAAAGGTGAATTATGGCAAGGGATATTGAAGTTACCAAATGCTGACAATTTACATTCAAAAATTGTAAAGACCCTTAGGATGACTCTAGGTGTAGAATTGAACAGAAAGCAACAACTAATTCAAGAATTGGATATGAGGAACCATATTGGAGAAATTCCTTTAGACGATTTGGTAGACTTATGCAAGACTGTAAAAGAGATATTCAACGCAATTCCAAGACCTCCTCAGGAAGAGTCTGATGATTCAACAATCAAAGTTAAGAAAGAAGATGAGGCGGGCTCAATAAATGAAGGTGTTTCTAATGAAAATAAGATACCCAACTTTCAAATTGGGAAGGATAAAAATGATATACCAACAGAAAGTTTGCATGCATCTTATTCCAGAATACCAACTTCGGATAATCTACATATGCTTTCCTCTGCAGCAAGTATCTCTAATAGTTTGAATATTGACCCAAGTACATTTGATCAAAAACGTACAAATTTCAATGATACTTCAAGCAATAATGGTATTGTTCAGAATGGTACCAGTGCAGAATTGAGCAAAGACAAGAATGAAACCAATTCACAATCTACTAATAGTCTTGCAAGTCAATTTGTTCAAAGTACCAAAGGTCCTTCTGTGAATGGAACATACGAATTTTCTGGTTTTCTGGGTGGCTTGGATTTATTCGATTATGACTTCTTATTTGGAAGTGACATATCATAGTTTTATGTAGTTAAAAGCACACATAATATAAATTATATATTCAATAATACAAAGATACAAAAGAGAAAAGTGAAGTTTTTGAAAAGGCTATGTGATTTCAATTACATCTGATCGTTAATGTAAAAATATTTAAGAGGATGTTAGAATATATATTAAATGCTATTTATACGTATGACAATTTAATGAAAAGTGTTATTTATGGTCATTAGCTTTAAAAAGTTTAACAAGTGTAAATGCCAATAATGTTACAAATCCAATACTAGATCCCAGCACAACAGCCGTTTGCATGTAATCAGAATCGTCTATATTCATTTCTTCAGGAAATCCTGCGGTACACTCCTCCGGTTTTAATGCTGTTTCTGTTATTTTGATGAACAGCTCATTGAGAGAACTAAGCCACAGCGATGAAACATGCAAGGGGTGATCAAGATATAATTGTTCAGCAAAGTCATCCGGTTGGAAACTACATCTCTGTTGTTGCTTATCTAAATCGGCCTTTAGTGCTACGAACACTATTGGAATTGACTTTATGTATTTATTGTATTTCTTGAACAAGTCAATAATATAGGAAAATGATTCTGGGTCACTAGAATCGTATGTTAGACATAAAACATCGCACTCTTTTAGCTTCCTTTTGTCCCTTAAGATATCTGTTTCGTTAAATTCATTAAATTCTTGCAATATTAAATAATATTGTTTTCCTCCCTTTAGTTCTAAACTGTTGACAGCTATTCTTGGTTTGGTAGTGGGAGTGTATAATGTAGAGTATATTCGACCTAAAAATGAATCCAACAAAGAAGTTTTACCACATTTTTGTTTTCCTATCACCAGGCAATTGAAGACCTTCCTATCTGTAACTTTCGTTCTGTAAAACTTCCCTGCCCTTCGTCTAAACCTTCTAGCTTTCGTGATTTGTAAGGCCAATCTGGTGTCTCCTTCGTAACCAAACCATATTAAATATTCAGTAGTAATTGAATAATCAAGAAAAGTAGTCATACTCCATTGGGCCAACCAACCTTGTAATGTAATAGAACCTCTATTATTTACAACAGAAGATAAAGGAAAGTCTGTTTGAGACCAAAGCTTTGGTAAACCAGGAGTGCACTGAAACATAGATATAAGTTCTTCGTCATTCAGTCCCCCATCGTTGTCCTTATCATACTTTAGAAATAAGTCAACCAAAAATCTATATCCCTTTGGGCTTAACTCCACACTGGAAGTATCTGGAATATTAAGTTTGGGATGTAGTATCGTGTCATCCAAAGATAAAGAATCGGTATATCGAAATTCACGCAGCATACCCCATATTGTCTCATGTCTTCCCTTTTCAGCGTAAATTTTGTTCAGCATGAGGAATCCTTCCTTTGTAATGCCTTTTCCTTCGACATAATAAGGATTTTGGTAAGGTGTACTAGACGACCTTAAATCTAGTAGAGTGTCTTTGATGAATTCCAATTCGTTGATATCAATACTTTTGTTAAAACATTTCTTCTGTAAAGCAAGCATTTCTTCATCATTTAAATAATTATCCTGATCATTGTCACTTAGTAAAAATATTCTTTCTAGTGCTTCTCGTGCCAATGGTTTTAATTGACCTACACGTGCATCAAATAGTGGTACTATCGGATAAGTAATTGATCTTTGGCAAAGATAAAATACTTGGTTTATGTTATATTTAGTCAAAGCACTCACCTTAATACAAGTATCTACTTCTTTGAATTCCATTAAGATTGGAATAAACTCTTCATCTTCTACCTTCGTATCAACATTTACATTAAGTTGGTTCTCCATATTATATGTATTATTGTACCTATCACATTTATTTTTACAGAGTATCACTGGAATATTCAACCCTAATGACCTAAAAAGCATCATCCAGTATAGGGATATCTTTTCATATGATTCATGGTCAGAATATACTAGCCATATGACATCAGCAGACTTCAACTGTAGATGCAATTGGATAATGTCTTCATTATTTGTATCGATTAGAATAGTACCTTTTGGTGAATAGGGATTCGATGAAAAGTCACGGTTGATTGTAACAGGTGGAAGAACGTCTTGTAGATTGGGCACAAATCTGTCTTTCATAAGAGTGACAATCAAGCTGGTCTTACCAACCTTATCATCACCACAGACCACAACTTTAACTGTCCCTTTAGTCATCTAGAAATAGTTCGCAATATGTATCAATACATGCACTAGTATTGGATTATGTGTTTCTCATTAGCTTTATTTATTAACGACAAACCTTCAATTATTTTATTGTATTTATTATAAAGGCGACTCAGGTTGAACTACTCTTTATTTGTTAGTTATCAATTGTTCCGGGTTTAATGTTTTGTTTTAAAATTCAAAAAAGTTGATGACTAGAAATCAAGAATAAATCAACGAAATAAAATTTTTAAGAGCAAACAAACTCAACGATATATATTTAGTGGAATATTCTTTATTCACCTTTGTTTATATGTATGTATATGTATATCAATCCTTTAAGGATGTATTAAATATTTGCTCTTTTAATAAGTCGTTTTCGATCTGCAGCTTTGTAATTTTAGCTTCTGCAGCTGTTGCATCGAGCTTTCGTCTCTCTCGTTCAAATAACCATCTTTTCTGCAATTCGTCAATCTTGATTTGCATATCATTATTTGTTGAATTATCAGTTTTCAAACTATTGTAGCTATTTGTTATTGTGGGTGCACTCTCTACTAGTATGTTTGTATATGATTGTATTATTGATTCCAATGCCATTTCAATAAAAGTATAAATTACATCAAATTTAGGACCGGCATACTTCAGGTTATCCAAACTCGATATACTGCTTAATTTTTCGACCTTTTGAATAGATTGTTCTATGGAATGCCTTTCGATAATATTTTTCAGTATTTCAAATACTTTGAGTAAATGAAGTAGTAAGTTTTGATTAAAATTACCAAACTCGGCATCTAGTTTATTTATCGTATTGGTCTGGGAAGCCTTGATCTGCAAAACCATACTTCGTAAATTATCATTGGACTCTCGTGTTTTTTCGTTTTCCTTTACGTAATAGTCTATGTGTTTCTCCATATCATCTATTTGAGCTACCAATTTTTCTTTTATTCGTTCGTTGTTCTTGTTTTCATTACCAAGTGAATGGGTTAGCTTTTCTAATGCTTCCTTTTCCTGTAGTAGGTGATTGATTTGTTCTTCTAGTTGAGATGTAAGATTACTCCAGTTTTCGTTTTTCTGTTGAACCATTTCTTCTAGATTTTCTATCTTTCTTATTAGTTGCTTGTTTTCTCTTTGAATTCTGTTGTTTTCATTTCTGCCGTTACTGGTTTCTTCGGTTTGTATTTCTAGATCTCTGATCTTCTCTTTTTGGGTCTCAACCAGAGCATTTAGACTTTTAATATTGTCTATATAGGAAATATCCAATTTGGATTCTATAACGTTATCAGGTAATTGTAAATCGTTTTTAGTTACAATATTCCCGGGTGAATCAAATATTGCATTGTTCTGTTGTTCTTTACGAATTAGTGACATCTTATGTAAAATTTCTTCTTGTCTTACCAGTTTAGATCTTAACTCATTTTCTATTTGAGATGACACTGTTAATTTATCTCCTATACTTTTAATAAAATTATCGTACTCTTTTCGCAAATCCTGTATTACAATCTCCATATTAGAGTCAATACTTTTCTCCCCAATTTCATCTGATACGACTTGGTTTAGTTGGGTACTGTTAGCCATTATACTACCTCTTTGGTTAAATTTTTCCTTTTCCTGTGCTACCAATACGTTTTCTTCACTATTTTGTAAATTTGTTATTAGTTTATGAATTGAAGCATCAAGGGTGTTCATTTTCACAGGAAAATAGTTTGAATTGAGATCAATAGCTGTTTGTAATACCCCCTTTTCTTCATCAGTTAAATGAAATGTTTTGAAGTCAATACTTCTTATATAGCTAAGAATATTATCGGCAACTTTGCACAAGTTTTCTGATGTTTTTATATGTTCGTCTGTATTGTTTAATATAATGACATTTTCTTCTTGAAGTTGAGTCAATTGATGTTTCATATTTTCAATTGTATTATCTTTCTCTGAAATATTTAATAGAAGTTTTTCATTTTCTAATTTTAAGTCACTTGAATCATCATTTTTTTCAAGCTTTTCAAGTAACCTCCTATAAACCGAACTCCTATTACTATTGGTTTGCTCATTTTCCAGGTTATCTCCAAGATTTATCTGTTTTATCATTTCAACAAGGGCATTATATTTCATTCTTAAGGAGGCAATTGAACGTCTCATTCTTTCGTATTCTATAGGGTTTATATCTCTAGCCATAGAGTCAAGGCGATCACTGTTCGCAATCTTTTGAATATCTGTCATATTTAAATATGATCTTGAGGATGTCTTTAAGTTCAATGGTGAATTCACAGATGGCTTAAAATGTGGTACAGTGATATTCGGTGGAGGTTCTATTAAAGAACTCGTTTTTTTGAGTTTCCATGGAGTCATTTCCGCAGTAACAGTTGGTATATCTTTGCTTGATACATTATCATCTGTATTAATATCCGACCCCTCACTTCCAAAGCTCAATCCTGTATCCTTCAAGGGAAGTTCTTCCTCTAATATTGAAGATTTTGTTAAAATATCGCTCATTGTTAAATTTTTCTGAGGTGTTGAAGAATTTACTGTATCTAGCGTCAGGTTGTTTATGTCATCCGGTAAACGAGAATACCTGTCGTCCTCTATTGCATTGCTCGATATCTTTGAGTGTTTTGTTATATTTGACATAGATCCTGCCCTGCTTCCAAGTAGTATTGCGGGGTTATTTAAGGATCGCCTCTTACTATTGTCATCCATATTTAGTATCTGGTCATAAGAGTAATCAGACTGAACCTGTTGCCCATCAGATGGACCAATTGAATTTTCCATACTAAATTTACAGCACACTCGTCATGTAATATAAATATAAACAGTTTTGTTCGATAATAGATAGTACCTACAGTTACAACTATTCAGTTTTTTTTATTTTATCAATCCTTTAAGTCTTTTGTTTACCTTTTTACCTTTGAGAATTAAAGCGCTTTTTGGTTAAAGCGAAATGAATAATAGACTAGGATCATTATTGAAATTCAAAGGGTTCAATGAAATAAAGAATATTGGTTTATTTAGAATACATATTCTAGTTATATATATATGTGTGTGAGTGTGTATGTGTAATTATAGGTATATGTTGTTTTAATCTACATGGCTATATTCTTACTATATTTGAAAGGCGACTAATGAGGCAGGAAGTTGGTTAGATTTAGTAAGAATCCTCTCTTTTTAACAAATTATTGCTATTTATCTTTCTTCGTTGATAATTGTAAACCATGCCATTTAGATATTTCTTCCTTGAGGATTCCGTTAACAAGTTTGTGTTGCTTTATAGTTGTCAAGGTGTTAAACTTGTCGGATTTGATAACGATATTATACATCGACCCACATCCACCTGAAATATCATGAACTGTCAATTGTTTGGGGTTCAACGCTTCTTGTAGTTTCTTGTAAACAGTTTCTTCCTCCTTCGTCTCGAACGTTTGTCCTTGTTTTACTGTTTGCGCGGAAGTCCAACGTCTAGTCTGAAATAATGAAGCTTTAATAGCTATTAAACTACGACTTGTTCCAAATTTAATTGATGCGCCATTCTTTCCTATCGTTGTTCTAATCATACCGGTATTAGTTTACAATTTTGGCTTAAAGTATCACTTGAGATATAATTGGTTAATGTGACTATCTATATCTATTAAGGAATATATGTGAATGTTTCACATATGGTATATATATATATATAACAATTTAATTAGATTAGTCATCTGAAGTTGAATGATAATGGATTCTTTGATGGGTTAATTGTTAAAACTTCTGGTCAATCGGCCGACCATGGTAATCTTGCACCGTAAGAAAATTAAGTAACAAAAGGACAAATCAAACGGCATATTCGATTTGAATAAAAAGAACGGGACAGAAGTGGGAGGATCGTTCTAGTTCCCTTCTAATAAAATGTTACTCCAGTTGTCAAAGGCATAAAGTTAATCACCAAACGTTTCAAAATTAGTTATGACGATATATTCTTTCTGGATCTTCGATAAACATTGTAATTGTATTTATGACCGAGAATGGACCTTATTGGCGAACCCCAAAAGTGGAACAACAAATTCTAAACAAAACGATGATATTTCCAAATTATTATATGGTATAATATTTTCTCTCAGATCTGTAACTGGTAAATTATCATCCACTGAAACTGGACGAACTAACGAAATAAGTTCAATATCTACAGGAAGGTTTAGAATCCATACCTATTGTACAGCTACAGGCCTCTGGTTTGTTCTTTTGACTGATTTCAAACCATTTAACTATAGTAAAGTACTTCAGCATATATACAGTGATATTTTTGTTAAATATATTACCAACAATTACTTATCTCCTTATGATTTTGCTCAAAGTGAAGGTGAAAAAAGAGGTCAAGGTACAAGGAAAATAACAAATAGACATTTCAAGAATAATTTAGAGTTGTTTTTAGAACCAATGATCAGTAGTTAAATTTAAGAATTAATACAATGATTTACATACATAGTGTAGCCAGTGTTTATTATTTTATAAATATCATTCGTTAACATATTTACATATCATCTATAAATAAGTCTGTCCAAAATTCATCATTTAATGCATTAAAACCCCAAGCTAATGAGTTAACATCAGTCAGATATTCATTTAAATTATCACTAGTTATCGACACTGATGGGGATGAAGTTCTCATTTCGCTGTTTATTGGTTTGGACATATGATTGAAGGACATTGCTGAGACAGATCTTTTAATATCATTGGCATTACCAAGAGACTCCATGTTCGCGTTGGCATTGTTACCGTTACTTAGATTGAGTAATGGCGTTGTGTTTTCATTGTTCAAAATCCCGATACCATTACTATTAGCTATGGTGTCGTTATTATTAGAGTTATTGTTAGAGTTATTGTTATAATTCAATTGATTTCTAATTTCTTGATTGCTTTTGTTAAAATTAGTATGTAAGTTTGCGTTGTTGACACTATTGGATCTGGTATCCATTTTTATATTTTCTCTTGTATTGAATAGGGAATTATCATCGATATGTCGATCACCATTTATATTTTTCATTCTTGGAGTTATCCATGTGTTATCTTGTGACCTATTAAATAATACCTGAGGGTTTAATTGAATTGATTCATCTAATAAACTAGACCCTGAACTTACTGGTAATTTGGATGTACCCGTTGTGCTTTCAAATAAATCTATAACTTTGTTAGCATAAGTTTGAACAAATAAGATCACCACATATTGAAATTTATAAAGAAAATAGTTGTACGGATATTGTTGTGAACTTTTGTTGAGTAATTCTCGAACGTCATTTACCATCAAAACACAGTTATCTGTTAATTCCAACAGATGATGAAAGATTGGGAATGCAACAACACTGTACCTTAACCGCAGTAATAAAACACCAACGGTGTAAATTAATCGGGACATTAAAAACAGTGGTATGGATGCAATTAATGTAGGAGTTAATTGAGAAAATTCTTGCAAAGCTGATATACAACAATTGTAACATTCGATAAAGGAACGAACTGCATTGGCTTCGATAGACGTATAAACTTCACCTGATGTTATACCTTTTTGTTTCATTTCGGATAATTTCTTTAGATAGTATTGGATTTCGAATTGGTGGAAATAGGCTTCTACTGAATAATAAAAAGTCAGTAATCTTTTTCTGTGCTTAGGCATACTATCGAATAACTCATGTAATTCACCTCTGTATTTGATTAAAAGTTTCTCAATATATCTCTCTCTGATACTAACATCGTCTAAGTCAAATAAGTCAGTCATTTCATGCAAATACACATGAATTTTCTCTAATTGATGGTTCAAACGTGCAAATGATATGAGGACAATATCATCCTCAATATCGTAGTTAGAATCAGAATATACTGATGATTGGTTGGACATATATTCGTCTATCTGAGTCTGTAGTCTGTCAGCTGCTAGTTTCACGAGATCACTCCATTTTAGCTGTATTGTTTGTTTTAGGAAAATCGAAATGTTCAAAGACGTGATGTATACTAATAGTATGATCCTTGGACCGTTTGTATATAGTTCCAAAGGAGATTTAAATTTGGATTCCCCATTTTTCGGTTCTACATCGCTGAACATAGCAAAGGCTCTATTTACAAACATTGGGCCTAGATCTTTCGTCAAACAACAGCCAATATAATTAAACAAGTGGTATCTTGTTTTGTTTGACCATTCCAGAAAATTATACCATGTACACAATACAATATGAGACTCTATTATCTCAATAGATTTATTATTCACCTTGAAAATTTGGTTGGTTAATAGATTGATGACAAAACTATCTAATTTCATTATTGTCTCTCTTGTAGTTTCATTTTCTTTCATGATCACAGAAACTGTAGACATGATAACGGAAAATAAAATTGGTTTCTCACTTCTTAATTGATCAACAGTAATATCAGGAGGTATTTTAATAAATGATAACTTGCCTAATGTTGAAATTTCCTGTTTATATAATTTTAATCTCACATCTGCCTCATTTGTCGATAGAATACCAACAGCAATTGGATCCTTAATTGATGGTAAAAACATGGTAGTTTGTACCACATCATTCCATTTCTCAGACCATGTTGTAAACTTTGTAGAAAGATCCATACCTTTTCCCTTTTGATTAACCAATAAAGACTGCAACTGCTTTTTAAATGAATGATTTAGATGTATGGAAGTTTGATTTAGCGATTTCTTTCTAGTATGGGCGGTCATTGGGTTTCGTTCTTGAGTTAATAATTTTGTTGGAGATGGGTTATTTGACAGACTTACGCCGTTATTTGGAGATTCTTGTGAGACAGGTGTAGTTCCAGTTACTGGACCTGGCCATATTCCGGAAAGGCTTTGAATGCCAGGAAGTATTGTTGGTGTTGGCATTTGTTGATTAGTAATATTACTATTATTATTAAGCAGGTTATCTGATAAGTTTAATTTACTGGAAGTAAAAGGTTTCGTATCTCTCTCAGAGGCAAACGAATTCATAGATATATTACTATTTGCTATTTGAATATTCTCATTATCCTGGTATAAACTTGAGATGGGTCTCTTTTGTTTCTGAGTTACTGGCGAAGAGGATGAACTATCTGATTGCTTATTGGATAAAGAATCAGAAGGAAGATCGTTTGGACTTGAATTTTCATTCTTCTTGCTTTTACGAGGTTGCCTTTTTCTTGTTCTCTTTGATAAATCAAAAGTACATATTTTCTTTTGTCTAAGACAACGTTGACATGGTTTCCTATATATATCATCTAAATCAGAAGGCCAACACTTTTGCTTCAATGAATGACAGCCAACACATGCAAAAGAACTCCTTTTTAGCTTACCATTCTCTCTGGTGACTTCCAGTTTCATAGGTTGTAGGATTCTAGGATCATCTGGACTCGCACCTTCTATTCTTGCTACCAGTAGGTCACTATCTGGAGGATATTGAGCATTCTCCATGACTCTTGTATATTTTTTTCTTATTGTCAACTTATATCGTTCGTCTTAAAGAGGTACTCCCGGTTTAATATGGATAGAGTTGTTACTACTTTTTATCTCGAACGTCGATGATTCGCTCGATTGTTACTTGTGAAATAAGCCAATAATGACGTATTTGGTAGTTCAAATTCTTTCCTATAATACCGAAAAGAGAAATAGTTTAATCCGATCAAGTCGCTGTTAATGGGAATAGAATGACTAAACTTTGACACAATTGTATAATAGCTTAGGTTTAACTGGAAATATTCTAATAGGTATACCAATTTCTTTCGATTTTGAACCCTGTTGCTCAGTGAGACTATAAGTTGCATTTTTCTCTTCATTTCTTTAGCTACGGTACTTTACTGTCGGCTCGTACGCATTATACATGTATATAGGTGCGCGTGAAAATATGAAAAGAGGGTATAGAGGGACTTGGCAATACGGGTTACCGCGAAAGTAAAACCATATCAACATCTATCGGGTGGTGAAAAGAAGTAAATCCCAGATTGAAGATCATCTTATAAATTGACTTTTACGAAATAAAATGGTTCGTGACAAAATAGATATTTTTTTGTGAATTGTTGATTTATTATGAATATGTCTAAATGATATATGTGTGTATGGATTATGTAGATATATAGCATCTCTGTCCTTATTGCTTTATATGACTAGAGGATAATTTCAATAATATGAAATGTGCATGATTTAATAGCTCAATTGAAGTGACTATTTCTGAGTTTTGATAACATAGTGACGTTTTCTTGTTCGCCTTTTTTTTGTAGATTCCTAGGATTTAATACAAGTAACTGCACCTTCTTTCAGGCGCTCAATGTCATTCACTGGTGTAGAATCGGTACTCTGGGCATTTGAAGTGGATGGTGTAGATGAGTTAAGGGATGGGGCTGTAATTGGAGCTGTTGTTGGAGCTGCTTCAGGTTTCTTAGCACGGTTATGAGTCATATGACTTTGAACAAGATGACCAGCAGCTAAAGCAGCACATAGAGATAATTCTCCAGCCATAACAGCACATGCAATGATTTTTGCTAATTGTCTTGCATTTGAACCAGGACTAGTTGGGTGAGGCCCACGAACACCTAGTAAATCTAACATGGCACCTTGAGGCTCTAGAACTGTACCACCACCGATAGTACCAACTTCGATACACGGCATAGAAACAGATATTCTTAGATCACCATCAATTTCTCTCATTAAAGTAATACAATTAGAACTTTCGACATTTTGAGCAGGATCTTGACCTAAAGCAAGATAAACAGCAGTTAACAAGTTAGCAGCATGGGCATTAAACCCACCAACAGAACCAGCCATTGCAGAACCAATTAAATTCTTTGAAATATTCAACTCAACTAAGGCGGAAACATCACTCTTTAAGACATTTCTTACAACTTCACCAGGGATAGTAGCTTCCGCGACAACACTCTTACCACGACCTTCAATCCAATTAATTGCAGCTGGTTTTTTATCAGTACAGTAATTACCAGAAACACTAACAACTTCCATATCTTCCCAGCCAAGCTCTTCGACCATTTGTTTTAATGAAAATTCAACACCCTTGGAAATCATGTTCATACCCATGGCATCACCGGTTGTTGTTCTGAATCTAATGAAAAGCAGATCACCGGCAAGAGCAGTTTGAATATGTTGTAATCTAGCAAATCTCGAAGTTGAGTTGAAAGCTTTCTTTATCTTTTCTTGACCTTCAACAGAATCTAACCAAATTTTACAAGCACCAGATCTGGCCAATGATGGGAAACGGACACATGGACCACGAGTCATACCGTCTTTAGTTAAGACAGTAACTGCACCACCACCAGAATTGATAGCTTTACAACCACGCATAGCGGAGGCGACCAAACAACCTTCGGTGGTAGCCATTGGAATATGATATGGCACACCATCGATGACCAAAGGACCAATAACACCGACAGGTAAAGGCATGTAACCGATAACATTTTCACAACAGGCACCAAATACTCTATCATAATCATAATGTTTATATGGTAGACGTTCAGTGGACAGAACAGGAGAATCAGCCAGAACAGCCAAAGCCTTTCTACGAACAAGAACAGCTCTTGTTGTATCACCTAATTTTTTTTCTAATGCATATAATGGTAACTTATTATTGACAACTAAAGTAGCAACATCTTTATCTTGTAGATCTTTAATTTCACTTCCTGTTTTCAAGATTTCTTCGATTTCTTCAACGGTATGAGAAGGTTTAGAATTATCATCATTTTCAGATGAAGTAGTTGAGGAGAACGAGGACTGAGAAGGATTACTTGGGATAATATTCATATTAGCAGATTTTTGTGGTGCTGGTGACTTATTCTTGTTATTCTTTTGTTTCTTAGTAGTTTTATCCTTTTTTGTACTTTTACTTGAAGAAGGACCAGCTAATGAAGGAACTTCTCTGATCTTTTTTAGTAAAGAATCCTTCTTGCGAATTAAATCATCGGCAGTATAATTAATATGAATCCTTGCAGCATGTAATAAATATATGTTAATAGATGCACTAATTATTAAAGCGAAAAATACCAGTTTACTAATAAATCTATCACGAATAGCTTTACTGATATAATGCAACAAATCAATGATGAAATCTTCAATTTCGTGAATTTTTTTAGTTGGTTCATAATATTGTGTTGGAATTAATGAAATAAGGATTGGTCTTTTATCACTATTGTCAGAATTGTGGATTAACTTAACAAACTGTGGTAAAGCCTTTGGATGGGAAATGATAGTATCATTATCTGATGAATAATTCATGATATAATCAACAAAATTTTGATAATTAGAGAAAGAACCTAATCCAAAGTTGTAAATGTGAATAAATAAGAAGCAACCCACTAATATCAATTTACCAAATGCTAAGGAGGTTGGAGATAATAACCAAATATTGTTTGTAGATTTATTTTCTTTGGCGTTAGAAATGGCTTCAGCAGTCATTGGGATAACACCATCTTCTTCTAAAGTTTGTTTGATAATAGTAGATCTGTGAATTACTTTAATTTCTAATTTTAAGGAAATTATAGCAGAATAGAAAGTGCAAGTTAAGAAAACTTCAAATATTAAAATCATTGCAGATAATATACAGAAATTGCTTAAGATTGATAAACTCTTAGCATAAATAGAACAACCGATGAATGCGATCAAACATAATAAATTATCTTGAACCAAACGACCACCTTCTTCGAGCATTGCATCGTGAACTATTCTATCTGGTGTAATTTTCTTAGATATACTGATTTTTTCAATTTTTTTCAAAGCATTAGTGGCCAATTTTATTTGATTCTTGAAGCCTAATATAACAATTAAAAATGGCAAACCTTCGATTAAACTCAAAATAGGAACTGTTCTCTTTAAATAACATTGAGTAACATATAAAGAGAGTACCAATGAACAACCAGAGTTTACAATTGTAGAGATACCTAACCAATAGTTTGATTGTTCACTTTCTTGATTTAATTTAACAAACAAATTAAATATCGTATAAACCATTGTCACATAAGCCATAGAAATAATAATAATGTCGAAGGAATCGGCTTCATTAATATGATTAGTACCTAATTCATAAAGGTTAGTGACGATCCTAGCTAAATCAAACCAATTACTTCCTTGATGATTAATTTCTCTCCATTGAGTTGCGTTAGAAATGCCTTTATGACAATAGAGTTGGTCATCGATAGCATCAGGGTTTTGTTCAAGAATGTATTTGGTATTATTACTATCATAGATTGTATTATTGAATGTTGGTAAAATTGGGGAAATGATATCCTTAGGGTCAAATCTTAATTTATGTAAGAAAAAATGATTTGAGTCAGGGAAGTTTTCTCTAGCTTGAGCCAAAGATATTTGTGTCCATTCTTTAGCCTTTGGAGAATCTTTATAAAAATGAGTACAACTTTGAAAAACATTTGAAAATTCATAATCGGTTAGATCAGAGACTTTATTTTCCAATGAAGTTGAAAATTGGAATCCACTGACATAATATTGGATAACTGATAAATATGCAACAGTAGTAATAAATAAAACAGATAAAATGACATGTATTGGATGCTTGGCAGAAAATTGCGCAGTAACAGCAAATGGTTTCGCCATACGATTGAAACCTTTAAATAGTAATGGCATTCTGTTCTGTTTTTTTATTTTATTTTATATTAGAAATTATCTAATTGACGATTAGTGGAATATTATGATAAAATGACTAAAATATGAGAATTTTTTAAAAATGTTTTTTTTATGAGAAGTAAAATGCAGTGATAGCTATGTTTCCTTTTTTGTTAATTTTGGCTTTTCTACTTTTTAGTTGGAGACTTTGCTATATATTACACAACTAGAAAAAACAATAACAATATCTATATATATTTTCTCTTTTAAAATATATATATGTTTGGAGCTAATGATGGTGATATATTCCAATTGCTAATAGTTTTCAGCTAATGCGATGATCAATTGAACAAGTTAATATTATTTATGGTTCAATGACTTCTATTCAAATGGAATCCAATTTAAATAAAATTCCTTCGTGTTATATATATGCGTGTGCGTGTGTATGAAATGATTTCCAATGATCCTTCTCATCACTTGCAGTGAACTCATTTTGCCCCCCTCCTCTACCTCTTACTTCTTTTGGTCCGTTAAGTTCGAATATACTTTTCCCCCAACACACACACAAAGTAGCATAATTTACTATTCCAAAGACTATTAGACGCCAACCCGGCAAGTCCTTCTCTTTCTCTTTCTCTTTCTTCCCGCCTACTACTTTTCCTCTGCTCGTTTGGTGGATTCACGCACCGCTGCCGCTGCTGCTGCGAATTTAGTCTGGGAACATGCGGATTCTGGCGCCCGATATTTGCTATTAAACGAGTCCGTCAGAATATGTATAACTATCATCGCATCAAATTTTCCTAACAACTGTTACCTGAAATATTTAAACGAGATAAATGGGCCCACGAGAAATTGCTAGGATTAGAACATCGAAAGCATGAATAAGAGAACAAGATAGAGAGAGAGACTCTTTATGTTGCAGACAATACAGCGCTTGGTAAGGGAAAGGGTATACTAGATTGCAAGCTATACAATACGTAGGTGATCGATCGATCGGTCGTGTTGCGATCGTACATCATTACATACTACAAGTTCTATAATATGTTATCGGTACCGATAAATGAAAATGTATTTATGTCCATTAATTGGGATAGTGTCATTACCAATTAACGATCAGACTTAGCGAATTTGCTATTTGACCGGTTTGATATGACGATCGCTTTCTTTTTTTTTTCTTTGGATCTGTATTTAGTTTATGTAATTTGACGGTTCCATTCCTCAAGCCTGTATTAATCGATTTAAGGTTCTTAGTTGAAAAAAAAGAACAAGGAATTGTAACGCAAATATTTAGTATAACATTTGAACAAATAGCTTAGCTAACCTGGATTATTTATAGCTTTGAACCCTTAGTAACTTGGTTTTAGAAAAAAAAACCTATTTGAATGTTAAAATTAAATTATTATCTGAGAAAAGTAAATGATTTAATATGTAGATTTACCAATATTTGATTTATTATTAATGTTATTTAATAGTTATAAAAAAGTTTGATTTGAAAAATAATATATAAATTAGTCAAAAAATGTACTTCATTACAATATTTAGAACTTTAGCAAATGTGGCTTGTCACCGTTCTTCAAGGAGAAGGAAGAAGCTAGGTATTGCTTTAGCAAAGAGGTCTTCTTGATTTCAGCTAATAGAGCCTTGTCAACAACCTTTTGGTCTTCAACTCTTTCAGCCTTGATTTCCTTAGAAGTGTTTTCTGGGAACATTTGAGCTTCCTTCTTTTCCTTCTTAGTTAACTTGGCATCTCTGGCAAAGTATTCGACGTTGAATTTTTCAACATTGACAGAGTCGACAGCAACCTTGGTAGAAGTAGCAATGACGTAACGAGCATTGACTCTTCTCAATGGAACACCGTTAACCTTGAATGGACCGGAGATCAATAGAGTGTTATCTTCTAGATGCTTTAAGTAGACAGCTCTCTTACCTCTGAAACGGCCAGCTAGTAAGATAACGACAGTACCTGGAACTAGAGAAGCACGTAGCTTTTGTGGACGAATAGCCTTTCTGGTCTTCTTTTGAGCAGAGACGTCTTCGGATGGGAACCACTTTGGAGCCTATTTTAAATTAGAAAATATGTTTTTTTTTTTGAAAAAATTTTCAAAGTAACAGATTTCATTATTATTGTTAGTAAAAAGAATTTAAAGGTCTTGCTATATTATACCTGAAGTAATGAATAGATTTATATCAACTAATTATTATGCATGAATATTCATCGTGGATTAACGAAATTCCTTGGTTCTATTTGTAAAGGAACTTTTTTCCTTCAAAGAAAAAAAAAATATTTAATTTCATACAACTAAATTCCTTATTTCATTCTTCTTGTTGTGGATAAATTAAATAGAAGTATAGTCCTTCCTTAATGTCTTTTAATATTATTTCCATGGTAGGAATCGCCAATTCTTTTTTCAGTTTTTATCATTAATCTGGGGTTCAATGTTACCCCATTGTATATCACCGAATGTTCGTTATAATCTTAATCTTTCGTGATTGTTGCATTCATATTTATCTATAAGTTTGTGTTATCATGTCGGTGGGTCTTTATTGTCATTTATCATTATCCATGTTACATAATTTCATCAAAATACCTCCATTATTTCTTCAGTTTCTCGTTCTAATTAATCACATACTTGTTGGGCAGCCATTTTTGATATTATTTTACGGTTTTGTTACACTTTTATGAGAGAACTTAAAAGGATGAAAAAGTATAGTATTATTAAATAGTATTTCTCTTAAAGTGCAATTTCCTTAATAAGAATATAGAATATTACCACTAGTTAGTGATGAGAGAGGTCATAGTGGGTAGAGTATAAGGTTTCTCCTGGTGTCTTGTCCATGAACAGTTTCTCTGTGTACGCCGGTCAATCTTTCCCTTCGAAGTGAGATTAGAAAATTGAGGTAGACAAGAATCGTCACCGTTGAGCAGAAAGGATTACAACCTCCAGTTCCAACTAGAGTTGGGAATTACAAGGAACCATCCCATTCCATAGGCTGAGTAGGTGGGAAATTTACTTTCCCTCCGCGTCCCAGTAATTCTTTCCATTACCAGGTTATTTCACGGGCTCCCATAACTATTTTCAAAAGAAAAGGAAATATTTTGAAAAAAAATGAAGCGCAGGACTTTCTTCATTTTTTGTTTTCTTTTCTTCCGAAAAAATGCAAAAATATATGTATACATTGAAATTTAAATTTCTCAGTTATAATGTATGGGTGTTAAGCAGTCCAAAACCTAAGTTTAAAAAGTCCGATTGTAAAAAATAATACATCTCTTCACATATTAGTAGGGACTTTGAATCAACAAATTAAATTACACTAATTGGATCAACGTTACGTAAAAATTGTTTTTTTATTAACTATATAATATTTTAGATATTTAAAATTAAAAAAGAAGTACTGTTCTCTCTCCATAGTGGATTAATATTTGAGAAGAATGTTATCAGGCGTATTCTTGAGGAACTTCCGGTACAGGTGGAGGTGTATTAGTAGCTGTTTGACCATAGTTTATTTGAATAACTAATTGGCCAGAGCCTATCTTAACGGCCAGATTTTCACCTGCTTGAACCTTTGGATCACTTAATAAGACTTGTGCTACACCTGCATCCTTATCTTTACCTAACAAATGGCGAGATATGGCAGTCAACACAATATTTGCCTCTGGCGATGCCTTAAATTTACATGATTCGCCAAATTGAGCTAATCCTTTTTCATTGACCTTTTGATTTCTAGTCTTGTATAAACTCTTCATTCTACCACTTTGCGTTAATGAAATTTTGATTTGGACGTGTTTGGCAATATTTTCCGCGGAGATAATGTTTATAGTACCCTCATAAGTACCACTTGGAGCTAGTGTACGGGCAAAACTACTTGCTCTAGATTTCCTTACTGCAGTAGCGGCAGTAGGTGTACCACCGTTACTGATAGCTGAAGTTGAAGTTGTAGGAGTTTCCTTAATAGAGCGAGTAGCTGTGTCTAGCCCAGATGGTGTAGATGGAGTATTTGATTGTATGGTCGTATAGCCAACATTAGGGGTGTCATCATATTCCAGTGAGGTCCTTGCTTTTGATGACGATCCAGTCAATCTGTCAGAAGTAGCTTTGGTGCCTCCGATTGTTGCACCACCAAATGATTTTAGTAAACTACCACCTTTCTTGATACCACCAGCACCAACACCTGCAATACCTACAGCAGCACCAGCCATAGTTGAAGCAGCATTCATACCAGCACCACCAACAGTACCGATAGCTTTAAATGGGACACTCGATAGGTTCTTTTCAATGACATCCATGGTTGGTTTGGTATATTGTGGAGTAAATGTCCCTTGTAACTTTATTGACCCTTGTGTATTTAATGGACAGTCCCAAGAATAGTTCTGGTTTGGTTTTATGGATTTCATGTCTAATATTGTTACACCCAGGTCATCGTTATCACCAGTACGATCCCAATCTAAAACGTTAAACAATAATTCATCCCTGCTTAACGACTGAATACGGACAGATGTCTTTTCATTCCATACAGGATCTAAAGTCTTTTTGATAGTCTTTGATTTAAAAACCTTTTGACGGTTGACATATATGGTTACAAAAGGATCAGATTTCCCATTTCTATCGGCAGATAATAAGCCAGTACCAGATACAATATTTAAGTTTAATAACCCAGTATCAGCAATTGTCTCTGAAATAGGTAAAGCATTAACTGTTGGATAAAACGCACATTGAATGGAAAAGGTAGAGCCGTTGAAACTTATCTTTGTTGGTTCGTTATAACCACTCTTTAAAACCTTCATTGTGTCCATATAAGTTTCTGAGATAACATCATCTTGGTCCTTGGCTACTTGCTTCTTAGAAACTCTAAACAATAATTTACTGTATTTCAAATCACGAACAAATATATAGCCAACATCACTGGCCATCCTGTTTCCTCTAAATTTAGTAGAGATAAACGATGGGTAGATCACATCATCAACATGAATATTCAAGTAACTTGATGGTCTAGATAATGCACCTTTAACTATTTGAACAACCAGAATACCAGAATTCATAGAGATTAATTCATCAAACGACAATTTCTGCTTTCTATTAATCTTCTTTTCGTCATCTTCAAATGGATTTGCAATTGTAGCAACTTCCCACTCATCTGGATTCTTGTCCATCTCTGCCTTGTTATGTACTTGTGTGTCTTCAAATTTATCCCTCCTCTCCTTTAGATCAGCTTCTAACTTTTCTACATCTTCAAGCTCGGTTGGAGAATAAACAGATTGAGTTGGAACAAATGAAAATTCTAGTTCTACGGTATTAGGAGTTCTGCCCTTATTCTTGTCATTTAAATTGGCTACGATCATCTTACCATTCATGTTTTGTTTAGTAGTGTAAGTATTAGTTGATTTATCCAACTCAATGATATCAGAAGTTGCGAAGTTGACTTCACCAATAAATCTGTCAGAACCAACGGATTGATAATCGTATAAACTTATACTTAGAGATTGCTGAGATGATGCGATTGGAACATATACTAACTGGTTAAACTTTGGATCCATGCAATCTGAAAAGTGTTTTGATTTAAATTTTGGATGTCTGTTTAAGGTGACCACGAAGTAAGGATCAATATCACCCATGCCTTTCAATGACCCCTTGATTAAGGCTTGGCCGACATTTAATCTCATACAACCAATTGGATCTTTAACCATACTCTTACTTACTACCATATCAGAAATCTCAACGGGTTTCCATTCGGCATCAATGTATATTTTACCGAAAGGACTAGCAGTTAAGAAGTCATCACTACTCTTTAAAGTATTTAGACCATCCTCAATATTGGAGGAGTATTGACATAATAAAACTTCGTTACTACCACGGTTATCAAACACTTTCAGGGTCATAGTAGAATTAGTTTTAGAACCAATTAATACTTCAAATGTTTCATTCCAGGAAGGTTCATTGATACGTTTCAAAGTTCTGAAGCTCTTGACTAATTTATCATTAATGTAAAGTTTGGCAGAAGGACTCAAGTTACTAGTAAAACTAGTAGCAGAGCTAATGTCTGTTATCTTTTGTAGTGTGATTTTGGCAATACCAGAATCAATGGCATCATTGTCTTGGTCTTCCGCATCAGATAAACCAACTGTTTCTTCATCGACTTCTTGTTTCTCTGTCTTCTTTTCACTCTTAATCACAGGGTACCAGCTTATAGAATAATTCAGCATACCTCTAGATTTCGATCCGATTAATAATTCAGAAGTTTTATCTTCGATAGAAGGAGTCTGAAACAATTCATTCAAGTCTATGTCAACGGAACCAATTAATGTATCCTTTCTAACATCATTAAAATCAAAACATGTCAATGATAGTTTTTGATTTAAACTATTAACCAAAATGTACTTAGTTTCGTGCCATGTTGGGTTTTTAACATCAGATTTGATGGCAGTACGAATTTCAGTTTCTTCACCAGGTAAAGTCTTTTCAGTCTTTAATACAACATATGGATCAACAGTGTTTGTAATGAAATCAGAACTCTTCAAATCAGTAGCAGAGGAGATATTCACAGCCACCACACCAATAGCATCATTTGCTTGTGCAGCCATAATTTCTTCAACGTTGATATCCAAATGATTTGGAGCGTATAACATTGGGGCAACATTGGAATCGATCAAAGATTTGACGAAGCTCTTTAAACCAGGCAGGAAAGACATCACATCTAGACCCAGAGTATCACCACCAATAGGTTTTAAAGCAAAATCGATCATTGGTGGTTCTAAAAATTGAACAGAGACAATCTTGATATTAGGGAAAATTTTACCGAATTCTAACTTAATATTCATTCTACCTGCACAGTTAATATTTTCGACCAATATAGGCATGGATTTCGAAATCACACCTTTACCGATGGACACCCCCAAAGCAATCTTAGGATTAATTTTTTCTTTGGCTTCAATTGGAGTCATATCAGATACATCGTTAGGGGTAAAAGCAAATGACCAATCCATTTCCACAATATTCTTTCCACTCTTAGTATAGGTCTTAATTCCTCTAATTGCAGGAGCTTTAGAACCAAGAGTAAATTCATCTAAGGAAATAGCATCGATACCATAACCTGGTGCAGCATCAACCAATTGAGGGTTAACAATATCTTTAACCTGTTGAGATAGGACAGGCATATATATGACCCAAAACTTAGACAAAAACGAATTCAACCATAAAGTAGTTTCAGTCTTATCTGATAGAGTTTCTTCCACAGTGACTCTTTTCAAGTCATCTCTCACATTTCTATTGAAACGACGATATTCTGTATTATACACAGAAGATGTACCTAAGAATACAAGACCGAGAGACCACCAGGAAAATCCACAGTAAGCTAACAACCAAGCAAAAAAACAGGTACCAATCACTGTAGCCATATTGTAATACCAATCATTGTAAAATGATTCAATCATATAAGCTTTAATTTCATTCGAATCAACTGTATTTGGAACACCTTTACCAGAGGAATGAAACTCTCCGATTATTCTCCAAGGGTATAAAGTTTCAGCATTATCTTCAAGTACAGAATGTGTCATAGCTTTTTTCTCTTCTACAGAAATGGTGTCTAGGAGACCCGGTCCACTGATTGAAGTATCTCTTAAGTTTGGATTTCTTGATGGTACACGTTTCATCTCCTTAGGATGTACTTTTTCTAAGGGAATTGACCCAATCGTACCTTGAGAATTTGCGACTGGTAATTTATTTGCGTTATGAACAGATGACGCAACCAAAATTTCATCAGCATTCTTGGCACCAGTGCCATTTTTTCTACGTTTGGAAGTACTGCGACGAATTGAATGTTTCTGAGAACCTGTAGAGTAGGTCTTTTCTAATTTATCTTTTCCATTATCAATTATTTCTGTAGCGGTAGTACTAGCCACAGGGGTAACGACATTAGTCATATCCTTAATCTGCGCTTCTTCTTCCACCACAGGATTTCCAGACATCTTACTCTAATAATTAGGATGATATCAATATATCTATAGATGTCTTTATCGGTTACTTGCTAGTGAAATAGTATGTTAACAGATGATGAATAAAATTCGTATGCTAATCGTTTAAATAACTGTCAAAGAAAGAATGTATAGCAAAATAAAATAAAATAAACTCAATTGAACCAAAAAATTAGTTTAGAAGATAAATGCTATTTCTTCTTATTATTATTGATAAACTTATATAAGAATGTCAAAATATATAAGGGTTGTTCCTCCCCAAAAAGAAAAATTAAAATTAATCTGTTCTAGGTTCTTCCTCCTTATATTGCAATAATTATAATTATATTGTTCCGACTGAAATTCTTTCCTTCCCTTTCCCTTTCTCAGCTCCCCTTGTTTCCCATAACATATGTAAGGAATGAATAGAAGCACTGCCATCAACGATAGCGCATGTATAAAAAAAATTACAAGAACCGAAAAAAAGGAAAGTAAAGGAAAGCAGGGGAGGGCAGGGGAGGGCAAACGTAATTAAGGAAAAGCCAGTTATTTATATGTTAATCTTACGTATGTTGAGAGCATCTCTGTAATAGCGATGGTAGTAATTATATTTTTTAGTGCAGGTAACGGCACATTATATGCTCGTAGTATTGATGGTTTAAGAATTTGAAAATTGTCATTTATATATCTTTTATCTTCTTTGCAAGACTTGTTAAGATTTGCTCAATCTTTTACCGCATATATTAAGGTGCTACTACCGTATCCTAATATGTGACAACGAATTAAGATGAGAAAGTTATTCAATGATTATTTATCTATTTATTGATTCACTATGCAAATGAATACTTGGATGCAAGTTCTGTCCTCTTTGCGATGGCGAGCTGCAATTGTTCATTGGTAAAAAGTTTTGTCTCTGCAATCTTATTTAAGAATAAGCGATGATAGTTTCCGTTTAGATCATTGAGTCTAAAGGAGCAATAAACTAATTGTAAGCAAACCGAGTTGTTGATAACATTTTTATCATATTCATAAAAATGAACTAATTCCTTGAGTAGGAAATTAATACAATCACTAACAAATTTTAGCATTAATGGGTTTGTAGGGTTTGATTTGCTCTTATTATCGATTAGGTTTGCATCTGTGGTTGCAATAGTGCTTTCATTTTTAGACTCCAAATCAATATCTTCAGCTTGATTATCTTCCTCCTTGTTCTGTGTCTTTTCTTCTGGGGTGGAATACGTACTTTCAACTTGAACAGTAGCATTTACATTAGAAGGTAACTGCATATTTTCATTGTCATTAGTTTCTACCTCTATATCTTGCTTTTCTTCTTCCATTTTAGTTTCTCCCTCGGTTTCGTTAGATTCTTCTTTAGTTTCTACCGTAGATTCTTCCTTAATTTCTTCCGTTATATCAGTGTTTTTAATATTTGCAATGTTTAAAGGTACATACACATCTGTTGTGGATACATCGAAGGTCTTGTCGTAGACAGTAAGTGACATATAAATATGTTCTCTAACGACCTCTATCTGTCTCTTTACCGAAATCTCTAACATAGAATCATTATTATTATCAATATCAAAGGAATATGATTCAATTTCATTTTGAATGAATTTTAATCTCATCGACAAATATACAATTAATAACGACGTTTGATTATTTTCGCTAAATGGTGGGATAGCAATTAAGTATTGTAAGATTTTTTTAATTGAAGTCATGGTAAGGTTTGTACATAGCAACTTCACTAAACCTGTTAACATAGTAGTACCTACTGCATTTTGAACACTATCACCAATGTCTCGTATTATGCTTGAATCTGGGAATTTGTTCTTCAATGACATCGTGTGAGTATATAACATGATTGCTTCTTGATAATGACCTGTTTTAATGCATGTTTGGGCTAAAGAAGGCAATTCCATTAGGTCAGTTATGCTGGTTAAATTTTCAAACAGCATTGTTAAATTAGTATTAGAATTTGATTTGACATTATCATTTTTATCAATTACTCTTTGTCTTAATGTCTTCAAGGCCCTGTGAAATTCATCATCCTCAATCTTTTTGGTTTTACTATTACTATCAGAGTTAATATCATTAGATGATTCCATTAAGAAATCTTCTAAGAGAGAGGAGTTTTTCCCATCATATTCGTTTGGTTTATCTTCTTCATTTTCAACTGGAGCCTCTGAACCAGAGTTCAATTCCCATAATTGTTCTAGTTCGTTACTAATTTCTTCTAATGTTATTGTTTCCTTAGATTTATTCATTATAGTATCTATCACATAACTCTTGTTTTCAATCAACAATGAACGAACTTGTCTTTCTAATGTTGCCATATGTGCATCCAGCTCTGCAATATCTTCTACAATACTCCCACTTTCAGCTCTAGAGGAAAAATAGTTCATATAATCCTTCTTATCAGATTGTAAAATTTTCTCTAATGCCTTTACACAGTATGCATGTTGTTCATCGATCCTGATATCGTCAGCTGGTAGCAGTTCTTGTAATATGAGGTCCATGGTAGCTTATATGGTTTATTACTCAAATTGTGGAATTTAACACTTTATATTCAATTACGGAGAAGAAGATTAATATTTAACAAAAATATAGTAAAGAGAACAGTATCTGTCTCTATTAATGTATGAATGTATTTATGTAGGCTTTAAATAAACTTGTTTCGTTAGAGGTTTGGAAATGTTTTTGTTATAATAAAAGCGGAACCTCTGCGGGCTTATCTTCATCACAGAAATATTTATAAGTTTCTTAAGCATACTTGATCCAAGATTTATGGGAATATTTAATCAAAAATGTGTTTCAAAATATTCATTGCATTGGATTAAAATTTTATGATGATTAAGATACATTTAAAATTATTAAACTAAATTCACTCATGTTAATCTAATTCGATAACATTTGCGTACAGTGCCAATTGCAACATTTCTATTTTTGTTGACGAATTAGCATAAAACAAGTCGAGTTTATAAAACGAATAGTAACCATCATGGTGATGGAAATACCGTTCTACATGTTTATGAATTGCTGCAGTATGAATGCCTAATTCTCTCTTTACGTATATACACATGATGCTCATACATACATATTTATTATCTTTCATATAGCATAAAATCTTACACTGAGCGAATATTCGTCATAATTTATATTTCGCACGCCTTGTATTAATAATTATGTGCGACTTAGTTCCAACAGAAAATAATCCTGAAGTCATCTCAATTGGATCATTGGAAATATAAATGAGATACTCAATCTACCATCAGAATTAGTATTTTTTTCACTTTGAACTTTTCAATTGAATAACAACGCATAACATACGTATATTTTGTACAATTAACAGAAATGACTGTTAAATCTTTTGAAGTCTCAGACCCCGTTTTATCAAGTTTGAAAGGGTTTGCACTTGCGAATCCCTCAATTACCCTTGTTCCAGAAGAAAAGGTCTTATTCAGGGAAACATCAGATGACAAGATTGCCATTATCTCAGGTGGTGGTACTGGTCATGAACCTTCACATGCCGGTTTCATTGGCAAAGGTATGTTAAGTGGTGCAGTGTGTGGTGATATTTTTGCCTCTCCATCTACTAAACAAATCCTTAATGCCATTAGATTGGTCAACGCTAAATCTAGTGGGGTGTTACTGTTGGTGAAAAATTACACCGGTGATGTTCTACATTTTGGTCTGTCTGCAGAAAGAGCAAGAGCTTTAGGTATTAATTGTCATGTTGTAGTTATTGGTGACGATGTTGCTGTTGGTAGAGCCAAGGGCGGTATGGTTGGAAGAAGAGCCCTAGCCGGTACAGTCTTAGTTCATAAAATTACCGGTGCATTTGCTGAAGCTCATTCTACCAAATATGGACTGGAAGGTACCGCCAAGGCCGCCCAAATCATTATAGATAGTCTTGTTACCATTGGTTCTTCTTTAAACCATTGTAAGGTCCCTGGTAGAAAGTTTGAAACTACTTTACAAGGGAACCAAATGGAAGTTGGTATGGGTATTCATAATGAACCTGGTGTTCAAACTCTTGAACCAATTCCACCAACTGAAGAATTAATCTCCAAATATATGCTACCAAAATTGCTAGATTCGACCGATAAGGATAGAGCATTCGTAGATTTCAATAAGGATGATGAAGTTGTATTATTGGTTAACAATCTAGGTGGTGTCTCGAACTTTATCATTTCAGCAATTGCCGAGAAGACCACAGGATTTCTGAAAGAACAATACAATATTACTCCAAAGAAAATAATGACCGGTACTTTGATGACTGCCTTTAATGGTAATGGTTTCAGTATTACACTATTAAATGCAACAAAGGCATCAAAGGAGCTTAATACTTCTTTCCCAGAGATTAAATCAGTCTTCGAACTTCTAGAAGCCTACACAGATGCTCCAGGTTGGTCACCTGGTTTCTTTGAAGCCAGTTCTGCTCCCTCTGTTGACGCTAGTGTATTACACACTGATGTTAAAGTAACTGAAGTTGGAAATTATGATCACTCATCTTTCTCTAAATGGATGAAGGCAGGTGCTGAAAATATCATTAAGGCTGAACCACATATTACTGAATTAGACACATTAGTTGGTGATGGTGATTGTGGTTATACTTTGGTTTCAGGTGTTAACGGTATTACTAAAAACCTGGATACTATATCAAAGACATCACTTTCTGAAGCAATGGCTCAACTTTCCGATATTATTGAGGGATCCATGGGTGGTACATCTGGTGGTTTGTATAGCATTCTGATCTCAGGTTTATCCCATGGGATTATTCAAACATGCAAGAACAAAGATGAATCAGTTACCAAAGATTCCCTTGCTAAATCTTTCGAAATTGCATTGGAGACATTATACAAGTATACGAGAGCCAGGGTTGGTTCTTCTACTCTAATCGATGCCTTGGAACCATTTGTTGTCGAATTTTCCAATTCAAAAGATTTCAAGAAAGCTGTTACCGCAGCTGAGGTGGGTGCTAAATCCACTGCAACATTTGAGGCCCAATTTGGTAGGGCTTCTTATGTTTCTGATTCTTCTAGCGTAGAAGATCCAGGTGCAGTAGGTTTTGTTGAATTCTTAAAGGGGGTCGAATCCGTCTTATAATTGGCCATTTTTAAGAGTTTTGACATTAATCACATTTATATTATAGATAGATGATCAATTAGCTTAATGAATTATATAGAATAACAGAAGCGTTTAAACTTTACTCGTTCAGTATATTAGTCTGTTGTATTACGTATATAAACCGCATGTGCTAATATTATCTTTGTCCACATGACTCGCTGAGTGAGGGCAAAAAAGGATTCCAAGTTTTTTTTTAATTGAACGCGTAAGAAAATTGAAATCGTTATGTAACCTACAATATAAGATAATTAAAATGAGGCATACAGAAGTTACGCTTTCTTAATCATAAGGAGTGGTATAACTACTAAGACACTAACAACCTGCTACATCAAAAATGAGTACTGACTTTGATAGAATTTATTTGAACCAATCTAAATTTAACGGTAGATTCCGTGTCGCAGACTCAGGTTTGGGTTGGAAAGCTTCCACTAGTGGTGGCTCCGCAGCTAACCAGGTAAAAGCACCATTCCTACTTCCAGCAACTGAGCTTTCTACTATACAATGGAGTAGAGGAAGTAGAGGTTATGAATTGAAGATCAATACTAAAAACCAAGGTGTCATCCAATTGGATGGGTTCTCCCAAGATGATTTTAACTTGATTAAGAGTGATTTCCATCGTAGATTTAGTATCCAAGTTGAACACAAAGAGCATTCCCTTAGAGGTTGGAATTGGGGTAAGACAGACTTGGCAAGAAATGAAATGGTTTTTGCTCTAAACGGAAAGCCAACTTTTGAAATCCCATATAATCATATTACCAATACTAATCTAACCAGTAAAAATGAAGTTGGTATCGAGTTCAACATACAGGATGAAAATTATCAACCAGCCGGTGATGAACTTGTGGAGATGAGATTCTATATCCCAGGTTCCATTGAGTATTCAGGTGAAGATGAAGATATGTTAAAGAAGGAAGAAAATGGTGAAGTTGTTCCAAAAGAAGAGAAGGAAGATGAAGTTGTTCCAAAGGAAGAGAAGGAAGGTGATCTTGAGGAGAAGAGTTTAGCTGAAACTTTCTATGAAGAATTGAAACAAAAGGCTGATATCGGGGAAACTGCGGGTGATGTCATTGTTTCCTTCCCAGAAGTCTTTTTGGCCACTCCAAGAGGTCGTTATGATATTGACATGTACAAGGACTTCATTAGACTTAGAGGTAAGACTTATGAATATAAACTACAATACAACCAAATTCAAAGAATTGTGTCTTTACCAAGGGCAGATGATATCCATCATTTGATTGTCCTAGCTGTCGATCCTCCACTACGTCAAGGTCAAACCACATACCCATTCTTGGTTCTACAATTCCAAAAGGATGAAGAAACAGAAGTTCAACTGAACTTAGATGACAAAGACTATGATGAAAACTACAAGGATAAATTAAAAAGACAATACGACGCAAAAACACATATCGTGTTGAGTCATGTACTTAAGGGATTGACAGACCGTAGGGTCATTGTTCCAGGAGGGTATAAGTCTAAGTACGAGCAATGTGCTGTTTCATGTTCCTATAAGGCTAATGAAGGTTATCTATATCCTTTAGATAATGCTTTTTTCTTCCTAACAAAACCTACACTATATATTCCATTTTCGGATGTTAGTTCGGTCAACATTTCAAGAGCTGGTCAAACATCTACTTCTTCAAGAACTTTTGACCTTGAGATAAACCTTCGTTTGAACAAAGGTTCTACAACATTTGGTAATATAAGTAAAGAAGAACAGCAATTATTAGAAAACTTCTTGAAGTCAAAGAACTTAAGAGTTAAGAACGAAGACAAGGAAGCTCAACAAAGATTACAAACTGCATTGGGTTCGGATAGTGAGGATGAAGATATAAATATGGGTTCTGCTGGTGAAGACGATGAATCCGTTGATGAAGATTTCCAAGCAAGTTCGGATGACGGTGATGTTGCTGAGGAATTTGACTCAGATGCAGCAGCAAGTGATGCTAGCGGTAGTGATTCTGAGGGTAGCGATATCGACGAATCTAGACCTTCCAAAAAAGCCAAAACCGATTAGTTGACTGTTTGGATTGACCTAAACTGGTTATTCATTTAGTAAATTCTGTTTAATTTATATATTGTATCAAAACTTTAAAGAAAATGTAAACAATTAAATTTTTAGATAACAATTAGGTATTTAATTTTTTTTTTAAGTTTAGGACATCACAATATAATTGGAAGAGCAGGCTTTTCAGTAAACAAATAATTTCTAGTTGGCAAAGAGCTTAAAAACTTCAATCAGATATGTTATAATCCATAACGTTTGATATCGGCAAACTTAAAGCAATACAACCATATATATAGAACATATAAAAATAAACAGGTTGTTGATTGAATACTTAAATTATTTTGTTTTAAAATTGGCACTTGAATAAGGTAATTCTGTCCAACCGTTTCTATATACAACGCCCTAACTTCCTGAAAACATTATAGCAACAATAGTTAAAAGAGTGTAAGAAAAAATTGCAAAAAGCTTCATATTTGAAGCAGAAACATTCTTTAAAATTACAATAGTTAACAGATCTTCCTTTCTATTTCTCATTTACCGGACTAGATAATCTCCGAGGCATTGAGCGATGCGCGATGCCAGGAACAAACTAATCAATCACTGAAATTTTAACATTTTGAAAGATAGTCGTAGTATAAATTTCAGAACATCTATTAAATCTAACCAAGAAACCCCAGTAAATACAGTTTAACTTCAACAAAAAAAGGTCAAATAGGCCAATATTATGATATCTATATGACCCTGTTTATCATATTTTAACACTATGATTGATGTTACGAAAATAAAAGAAGATCTTCAAATTTTAGAGAGTATGTTTCCAGAGGTACAGATTTTTCCAGCAGTAGAACTAATAACTGAGAGAACAAGATCTATAAGGGGTAGGCTCCATTTTGATATGTTTACTTCTAGTGAAGACCTAGCTGTCTACTTTAATGAGGAATCAATTATGTTGACTAAGCTACCAGGGAATACTTTACGATTTAACATAGATATAATAGAATATCCATCCTTCAAGAATTGCATGGAGCTCAAATTACAATCAAATTATCTTCCACAGGATAAGATAAATCTCTATTTCCGAACACTTCACAAAGAATTTGACGATATGACTGATGTACTCTCTGAAAAGTATGAACCTGATACACCACTAATGATGCTCCTTTTTAACCACTTGATGTATGATTCTATAGATATGATATTCCCAAATCACAAGATCATATGCACATCTGATACAGATTTCCTTTTGTATACTGGTATACTACATGAAATAAAACAGGATACCTATAATAAATCTAATTACGACTGTTGTATATGTATTGAGACAAAGAAGGGAAAAGATATGACCGAACTTCCTTGTGGGAAGGATCATCGCTTATGTTCATCATGTATCGTATCGTATTATTCTAAACTGATTAAAGATGGGCATATCACAAGCGTAAGATGCCCTGAATGTGAGTATCGTGAACTCTATTTAAATGACTACACAGATTACAAAACTATGGTAAAGGATATTTTTACGCCGGCTATCCCATTTCAATTTTTCAGAGGTATTCTTCCAGATGATTTATGTGAGAGGTATGAAAACTTATTCCACTCACAATCTGCGGTTAAACTTTCGAAGCATTCTCCTTACTCCTGTGTCACTTGTAGAAAATGTGATACATGGTGTGTCAAAGTTGATCTCGATGAACCTATGATGAGATGCCACAAATGTGAATCTACCTTTTGTTTCGATTGCTTACATTCATGGCACGGTTACAACAACAAATGCGGTTCAAAAGCAACATTACCTAGCGATGTTTTAGAGGATTATATCGATGTTAGGGATACGGACAGTGACCGTAAGAAGAAACTAATTTCAGCATATGGATTAAAGATACTGGAAAAAGAGACCAGTAATTACTTGGCTGAGAAGATGCTAGACATTGCAATTTCTGCTGAAGGATCAGATTTACAACGGTGCCCAAAATGTCGTGTAGTAGTTCAAAGAAGTGAGGGTTGTAATAGGATGAGGTGTGGGATTTGTAGCACCGTATTTTGTTATCTGTGTGGCAATAGTTTATTTTCTGATGATAGTTACGAACATTTTAAAGAAAAATACTCTCCTTGTTATGGAAGATTGTTTGAAGGCATGCCAGGCACAGAAGATTAAGTCGTCTATCTCACAAATATGCTCTCTCACCAAAAGGACATATAGAGTAGTGTTCATCTAAAATAAAAACGTTATTATTACCATTACAGAGACATATATCTATTCCTATATAAATATATAAATTTGTATTTACATATTTTTACTAATTTTTTTCTAGGATACCTTGTGATGCAATATCAGGTTGGTAACGAAGAGACCATTTAGGTCCCATTAAAGTGACTAGACCTATATCTACTAGGATAAACATCCAAGATGCAATATACACCACAAAGGATAAAATTGCCACCAATCTAATGATGAATTGTAAGAAACTCAACCTCTTATCGGCTACAAGAATAGTTAAACTTTCAAAATTATATTTGATGAAGACACCTGGAACTAAACTCATGGAAGCCATAGAATTATCATCCTTATGATAACGGTATTCACCAACAGAGTACTGATTGGTATCTACTTCGGCACCAAGTTTTTGATATATAGTTGGGACCACATAGGTATGGTATACGAATGCCGTCATTGGATCATCTTTGTCAAACTTGGCGGAACCATCTAATGGGTTATCGATATAAGGGTAGAAATCACCAAAGGATAATTCGTTAATTACATGAGCAAAATTGATCTTATCCATAGGAGTTCTAATATGACTTTGATAGCCATGCCCTTTAGCTGTGATTTGCAATTCACCTTGTAATCTGTTGACTGACACTGAGCCAAATACATGACAACCATCCAACACAGGTAAATGTCCCGCAGAACTTGGATCATTCTCATCATAATACATTCTCATATCTATCTTTTCTCTAAATTCCGCTGGGATGGCATCCCCGAGGATTTCATCTAATTCTGGAGTTATTATCTCTCTAATATCATTAATTCTCGTATCATATGGAATAAAGAATGACATATCTTCGAATTTTAATTCTGATGCAGCTAATTTATTATCCATTGTAAGATCTCTAGCGCGAACATCTAAAAATTTACAAGGCATCTTAACGAACATATCCAGATTGATCTGTACATTTTCTTTAACATCTGGATCCACTATATATTGTTGATCTAGATACCCACCAAAATAATTACCGAATTCGGTCCAGGCAATAAATATTAGGAATAAATACGTTAGTAACGAAGAAAGACCACCCTTCTGAGACTTCTTCTTGTATTGCTCCTCAGTCTTTGGGAATGCATCGAATGTCCTTAAACCTGCCATTGCTATATGTCGCTACTAAATATATATATAAGGATATGCGTATCTCGTCCTGAGTTATCTCCGAAATATAATGAACCAGTCCTATCTTATTTTTTATCTCTTGAACAGATACAATATACCAATATTGCCGGTATGTTTCCAAATTCCTCTTTATACAGAAAACACAACGAGTTACAGTTCTTAATTCCCAAAATAAAGAGTCTTGAAACTGTTTTGCCATTTCATTGTTATTTGCCAAGTGTCTTCTTTTCATATTTACTTTGTAGAGTTCTCGCTACGTACTGAAGATTGAAAAACCAAACAGTTAAAGTTCGTCACTGCACTATGCGACGGACTGAAAATTATTCATATTTTCACTAAGAAGTACCCGTACAGGATACGCACCCATCATGTAAAAAATATGGATACACTGATACAATGTATATAAAAATATATAGCAATATACTAGAATTGGTGATAGAAAGTTGGAAATATTGTGTTGTAGACCCAGAAACTATATTTATAAGACCTCTATATCAATATTCTTTTTGTTACAAGGTTAGCAACTAATAAGTTCTGTATCGAAAGTTGAAATAGAACAGCGGCCAAAATATTTCGAAATTTGATCAACCGCTGAAGTGTAAACAAACAAAATTAGAAGGTGATATACAACCACACATAGAGAAAAATAAATACAATAAGTTATTGTTCAACAAAAAATTGGTGTGGCATTGATAATTGATAACCAACATAATCTCTATACAGTCTTACGGTTTATTTTGACTGAAGTGCATTACCTTTATTTCCACATTTATACACGGAAATTTATATTTTAAATTATCCACCTAAACAAATACTCTTGAGAATAATGGCAAAAACTGTTAACGATTTAAACGGTTGGGAAGTTGTCATTACAGATAATAATGGGGACATCATAGATATTAATGATACAAGATCAAGAAGGAGAAGAGATGCTCGTACCCACACACATCTCGAGAAAGAAATAGAAAACCAAATTCAAAAATTGCAATTTGGTACAAACATTATAGTTAAAAATCCAGTACTTGGAGAACCTGATGTCATATGTATGCTATATGAGATTAGAATGAATACAATGAACAATTTCCTTGAATTATGGACTTTTAAATATAGAGATGAATCAAATATTATTCCTCATTGGTATTTTGAAAAATTTAAACCTGAAGTATTGGAACTAAATGAATCAAAGGAATATTACGAAGATTTATTGCATAAAGAGTTAGGGGATAACAGAAAGCGGTTTTTAACATTACATTCATTTGAAGTTAAGTTGGAAAATATTATTGGATTTGCGAACGTCGTGAAGGAATCTGAATGGGTTTCTCAATATACCCCTGGTAGAACTTTCATAGTGGACTATATGTGTAGCGCAAATGGGAAATGGTTTGCCCCAATTGATATAAAAAAAGAAATTGAAATGTTAAAGAATAGATCGCCGAAGGAGATACTGGATGGACTCAATTCTGTTTTATCAAATGAATCAAAATCAGACCTTGAATCAGAATCTAAAGGTAGCTCTTCAAAGTCTAATGGAAACAAAAAAACTTCCAACAAAAAGATCAACGCTAAAAACGCTAATAAGAGAGTTTCAAAGGTTATTAAACTGGAAGACCATGTTGGTAACCAGATTTCATCTGAAAATGTAGAGAGCACTGATAACGAGTCTGCTGATGATGCATCATCTGAAGATGAATATGTTGACGCTGAGGAATCGATAAACGCAGAAGAATCTTCTACTAATGAAAGTGAAGGAGAAAATGGAGATGAAGATGATGAGGATGACGAGGAAAATGAAGAAGAAGAAGAAGAAGAAGAAGAAGAAGAAGAAGATGAAGAGGAGGAAGACATTGAATATGATAAACTTTCAAATAAGAAAGGGAATAGTCGATCTGCAAGTAAAAGAGTGGCTACTGATTCTAAAAAACCAAGGAAAAAGAAGAAGATAACGAAAGCTCAACAATACTCAACACAAGTACGTAGGTTCACCAAAAGAAATGTTGTTCGTGCCAAGAAAAAATATACCCCATTTTCAAAACAGTACAGATCGATTAAAGATATTCCTGACTTAACTAATTTTGGTGGATTCAACATGAAAAACGCAGACGAATATTTGAGTAGACTTGAAGAAAAATTAAACACCAAATCAAACCACAAGATAGTTGAAACTATTTTCTCTAAAGTCAAGAAACAACTGTATTCTTCTCATGGTAAGGAAGAGATTGTGAAATCGACTAACTTTGGCGAATATTTACCTGCTCGTGAAAATGAATTTGCTTCAATATATTTAAGTATATATAGTGCACTGGAATCTGGATCGTCAACCACAGTATATATTGCTGGGACACCCGGTGTTGGTAAAACATTAACAGTTAGAGAGGTTATGAAAGAATTACAACATTCTGTATCTCAAAAAGAATTACCACCATTTCAATATATCGAAGTCAATGGTCTTAAAATGGTGAAACCGACAGATAGCTATGAAGTACTGTGGAGTAAAATATCAGGCGATAACTTGACTTGGGGGGCTGCTATGGAATCTCTTCAATTTTATTTTGAGAAAGTTCCTAAGGATAAGAAACGTCCTATCGTTGTATTATTAGACGAATTAGACGCTTTGATTACCAAACAAGAAGATATAATGTACAATTTCTTTAATTGGACATCATATGAAAATGCTAAATTAATATTAGTTGCTGTGGCAAACACTATGGATTTACCAGAAAGACAGTTAGGGAATAAAGTCTCGTCCAGAATTGGTTTCACAAGAATCATGTTTGCTGGTTATACACATGAAGAATTGAAATCAATTATCGATTTGAGACTGCAGGGGCTGAATGACACGTTTTTCTATGTAGATAAAGATTCCGGTAATGCTTATCTTGCAGAAGATTTTACGATTGATGAAAAAGATGGTAGGCTTCCTTCAAACTTGAAGAAAGTCAGACTAAGAATGAGTCCTGATGCAATTGAGATTGCATCTAGAAAGATTGCGAGTGTGAGTGGTGATGCTAGAAGAGCACTAAAAGCATGTAAAAGAGCTGCTGAGATTGCGGAACAACATTATATGGCAATGCATGGCTATAATTATGACGGTCAAGTTATAATCGTCTCAAAGGAAGATGATGAAGATGAGTTTGAAGACACAGTGAATGATGAATCAAAAACAAGTGAAATAACAAATGGGTACGAAAAGGAAATCGATGAGGATGGTAATGAATATGAGGTACAAGTCGTTCGTATCAATCATATTATGAGAGCACTGAACGAAACAATAAATACCAACATAACCAGGTTTATTAATAGATGTTCGTTTACCACCAAATTGTTTCTTTTTGCATTTATGAATTTAATAAAGAAAACTGGGTACGATGAACAAAATTTAGGTGATGTTATAGATGAAATTAAATTGTTAATTGAAGTGAATGGTAATAATAAATTTGTAATGAAAATGACTGATGTCTTATATCCCAAGGAAATGGGTACTGAGGCTCCGCAATTACGAATGATATCATGGGATTACATAATTTGCCGATTAGTTGAGTCAGGTATTCTTGTAAAACAAAATTCTAACAACGAACGTTACTGTTCCATTAAGCTGAATGTTCCTTCGGATGAGGTAAAAAGAGCAGTAGAACAAGATGACCATTTGAAGGACTTCTGAATATATACGAAATATTAACCAGTTGATATAATATATATAGTTGTTAACGATATTATGCATGAATATTTTTTTGTTTTTTCTTATGATTATGTTTTTTAAGTTTATTAGTAAATTATATATGCTATTTTGTGTAAGTAAATAAATAGATAGATTTAGTAGAAAAACATATGACCATTTTGTAAAATTTCTGTTAAGGAGAACTATTAGCTAGCTGTTGTCCCTTTCGATTTTGGGGGCGATATTGATGACGATTGTGATGAGAAAACTGGTGATGCTGATACATTTGTAGGGTTACGGTTTTGATTTCCAAACTTCCTATATATCAGTAATGGATCTCCCGTTCTTGTAATTTCTGGTATTGTTAATGTAAGATTAAATATTTTTGATAATGCAATTTTAAAGATTTTTTGAATATTGATTGACTTAGCTGTGGAAGAAAAAACTATTGGCGCATTCATAACCTGCGCATACTCTAGTACAGTATGACTTATCTGTTTTTGATATTCCTTATCCATGTCTATAAATAAGTCATACTTGGTCCCAACTAATATAGGAATTGCTAGGTTATTTAGACCATACACTTGTCTATACCATTCCTTCACAGAATCCAAAGTTTCCGGTCTTGTCAGGTCAAATAGAAAAATGATTGCAGATGATCCCACAGAGGCTAGTGGCAGCATATTTATAAATTCCCTTTGACCTCCTAGATCCATAAGAGAGAAGACTATATCTGTAGATCGTAGATTTATCTTACGCTTCAAAAAATTAACACCTAACGTCTGTGTATATTCCTCATCAAATATATTCTGGACATATTTCACCATTAAGGATGTTTTCCCAACTTGAGCATCACCTACCAGTCCCACTTGTATCTCTACCTGATTTTTCACGTCAGGGACAAGGTTTCGTTTGGGTTCAGATCCTGGCATGTCTTGACTTTAAACTAGTTTCGATGTTTTTATTGACTTATAGCTAATTCACTGGATTTTTGTATTATATAAACATACAAAATAGACTATAATCGATGGTATTCTAAGATGATATATTATATATCTATATATGACAAATATTGTTATCGAATAGCTTACCAAACTATCTGTTGCTCACTCTTCTTGTTCTTATAATCAAACATTAACAATATCCCTTACATATCGAAGTTCAATTTTTTTCGTTTTCTAACAGGGAGCCTATTGTTAACTTTGAGTTAAAGAGAGAACATATGTGTATGTCTGTACCGACTCTATGAGCTTCTCCATTGTATTGGTTGCTGTCTTCCTCTCTGGGAATTCATCTGTTTGTTTACATTTAACGATCCGCAATTCGTGATATTTCCCTTTTGGGACTAATTGAGTGGTGGAATAAAACATATTGAACATTTTGCGTTTTTTTCGAATTTTCAAAGAGCTTTCCATTGAAAAATAAATTGTGACGACTTTTACACCCACACATTTCAATATTCCTTACATTGCTTGTGGAGTGTTATTTTTTAATTTGCTTTTTTTTAAGCACGAATGAACATTTTCAATCCGAAAGAAACAAAAAAATTACCTAGCCTAAAGATTGGGTTTTCTGCCAGCCCGTAAGTTCCCTTAACTGTGGAAAGCCAGAGACGCAGTCGGAGAACTTGAATCTTAATCTAGTTGGGGCGAACTAACCTAGGGAGGCAGTCTCGCCTACTGGAAACATAAACATAATCAATTTAGGCAGAGCCGAACGAGACGCAAAGGGAGCCTGAAGATTTTCCAACATCTGACCATTCTCACGTAGCGAAGTTTCCAAAATTCTACCAGACTGGTAATATTATGGATGGTGCAACTTAGAGAGATAATATCATCACCATCATCATTGTGAATGAGTTCACCGATCCTTAGAATAGTAAACTCAGCATTGGCACTCAATACCAAGTAAAGAAAGAATTTACAAGATTTTATCTTAGTAGTTAAGTACATATTATTACGTTATTTATGTGTATATAGTGTTCTTTTGTAGCATTAACTTTCTTTTGAACTAATAAAACCAAGTAACTATACCGATTATCACTTAATAATGGCTGTTGGTAAGAACAAGAGACTATCCAAGGGTAAGAAAGGTCTAAAGAAGAAGGTCGTTGACCCATTCACCAGAAAGGACTGGTTCGACCTAAAAGCTCCATCCACTTTCGAGAACAGAAACGTTGGTAAGACCCTAGTTAACAAGTCTACTGGTCTAAAGAACGCTGCTGACTCTCTAAAGGGTAGAGTTGTCGAAGTTTGTCTAGCTGACCTACAAGGTTCTGAAGACCACTCCTTCAGAAAGGTTAAGTTGAGAGTTGACGAAGTTCAAGGTAAGAACCTATTGACCAACTTCCACGGTATGGACTTCACCACCGATAAATTGAGATCCATGGTTAGAAAATGGCAAACTTTGATTGAAGCCAATGTCACCGTCAAGACCTCTGATGACTACGTTATCAGAATCTTCGCCATTGCCTTCACCAGAAAGCAAGCTAACCAAGTTAAGAGACACTCTTACGCTCAATCTTCTCACATCAGAGCTATCAGAAAGGTTATCTCTGAAATCCTAACCAAGGAAGTCCAAAACTCCACTCTAGCTCAACTAACTTCCAAGTTGATCCCAGAAGTTATTAACAAGGAAATTGAAAACGCTACCAAGGATATCTTCCCTCTACAAAACGTCCACATCAGAAAGGTTAAGCTTCTAAAGCAACCAAAGTTCGATGTCGGTGCTTTGATGGCTCTACACGGTGAAGGTTCTTCTGAAGAGAAGGGTAAGAAGGTCGCCGGTTTCAACGACGAAGTTCTAGAAACTGTTTAATCAGCTTACAACCAACAACAAACCAAAAATATAAAACTATATTAATTATATATATATATATATGCAAATTTATTAATCGATAAGTTTTCTCCAATATTAAAGTTCATTCTCTGTTATTATTTTACGCTATAAACATGATAATGTTTGTACATAAAAGGTTATGGCTCACCTCCGTGTATTTTATTTATTGAATTTGTAATAAAATAAAATTGCTTACCGGGAATATCTCCTAATATGTATAACTTTTAGTACATATAATGATTACGTAGAGAACTTCAATTATACATTGGAGTTTGGCTCAGAATTATCTCCGGTTTCCTCCTGTTCACTTACAACAGCACTATTTTCTTGAGTTCGATCATCAATATCTTCGGATTGGATAAGTTCATTATTTAAGTTTGGCTCAACCAATGTGTCCTTGGTGTCATATACCTCTGATCCATTTTCTGTCCTGCTCCCCTCTTCCTCCCGATCTTCTTCTTCCTCATCCTCCTCTTCGGCCATCTCAATATCTTGATCCTCATTTCCTGACATATTCGCAGTTTCTGAAACCTGGCCATTTTCCTCATCAGAATACTCATCAGAATGTTGGTGATTAGCTTCGTCTTCCGAATATCGTTGTCTCTGTAAAAGACCCTCTTCTGTATTCTTCCTTGTCTCATCTTCCTCATCTTCTTCAGATTCCTCATTACCTTCCATATCGATATCAGTTCCACTCAACTGGACGTCTCTCTTAGAGAGTTCATCTTGCAAAACATTGGTTATTTTCGAAAATATATCTGCATCCTTTAACCACTTATTCTTGTACACATCTATTTCTTTTGTAAGTTTGGTAATATCTGATTTCATGGCATTATTTAAACGTTTTGCCTCTTTTGGACCATTAGAGAAATCTTCATACACTCCTAGTCTTTCTTGTTTTGAATACCTGCTCTCAATTTTCAGATGGTTTTGCTTTATTAATTGATCAGTTATATCTTTGCCAAGTTCATGCTCCCACTCCTCCTGTGACACAGCCAAATTTGTTTTTCCGGTAGCTAATGTATTGAATTCTTGGTTAATAGACTTGACGCTATCATAAAGTGCCTGAATTTTCGCTATCCTACTTCTGAGTCTAAAATGTATATTTTTTAATTCAGGTAAAGTTCCTCCTACATTATTTTCTATATCTTTTCTAACTTGATCGTTGGATTGTTGCCAATTCTCAATTGCTATCTTCTTAATATCAATAGCAGATTGAACTTCTAAGAAATGTAACTCAGATGATTCACTTAAACTATTAACTGTACCCTCATTAAATGTACTATTCACATTGAGTCCATCTTCTGATGTTTCTAAATGACCAGACAAAAGTTGATTGCAAAGAGTTGTAACCTTTTTTACTCCTTCTACATATTTAGTAAATGATGTATCTATCTCACTGTATAATACCTTATCTTTCACTTGTTTTATTTCTGCATCCGTTAGAGACATATCGTTTATTTGTTTGGTCTATTTAAGAAATGTGCTTTACAGATTCAATGATAAAATATATTTCAATTAGGTATGATCATAAACTGACACTTTGTATTAATTTATTCTACTTCTCACCTTTGCCTTTAATCTAATACACCAGGTACCGCTAGGTATTGATGTTTTTTCTTTTTAGAATAATAAAGTCATTAATACGAGATGTAGATTTAATTTTCATTTTCTCTCTAGCTGCTCGGTAAAAAAGTTCAAGTGAATATCTATGAGCTTGGCAATGCTATAAGATGTCAAAAAAGAAAATATATTTTCATATAATGCTGAATGATATACATATGGTTAAGGTTGCAACCTTATACCATAGTTAAGCTGAAAAATATGATTTACATGCATATAATTTTGTCTATATAGGTATTGGAGTTGGGGTATAATAAACATCATTTTCAATGTTTCGATCTCTCTCTCCTTGTTTGTAGCAATTTGGCAATACTGCTACCACGGATTCTATTATTTCCATTATCAGATTTATTATCCGTGCTATAGTTTCTAGTTTTAGGGGCATATTGTAGTTTTCCTTGAGGCTGTTTTTTTACAGGTGGATTTTTCCCAAGTTTAGCTAGCGCTGAATCTGCAGATGTCAAAGTCATATAAAAGTCAACCACTTTACCATGAGCTGCAATTCTACTTTTATCAAAATTTAAAACCTGTAACCCTTCTCTTGAGACAGCTCTTGATAATGCTACGTATGCTTGTCCCTTTTCGAAAACTCGTCTCAAATCAACTTTCACCTTCGGTAATGTTTGCCCCTGTGATTTATGGATTGATAAAGACCACGCAAGCATTAGTGGTAACTGAATTCTAGAAACAAGCGGTTTCTCTTGTTCATCTTCAATGGCCCACTCTTCTGGTTCTACTAAAATAGTTCTTGTCGTTAAATCTGACATTTTGAATCTAACGAGGGGAAGTTTCCGACCTCCCGAACTTTCATGAATCTGGTTTAACCATTCCTTCTTTCGTTCCAGATTATCCTTTTCTTGGGAACCTTCAACGTGTATACCATTCAAAAAATCGAATATGCTATTATCAAGTGATCCTCCTGAAGTCTGTTTCACAGATTTGTTAAACGTTTCTTTTATTAGTTTATTTCTTTTAATTCCGTTAGCTTCATCCTCAGCTGCAGCTTCTTCCTTCAATTCTTCAACACGTAACGGATCACCCTTAAGCCTATCCAATTCTTCTACACTAACACCGGGATTACCACTCATGATATTATAGAAAAAGTATGTGTCTGCATCCATAAAGTCAAGCACTTTACCGAGAGACCCATTCACTAATGTGGCATCAATATTTTTTATCATCATTACTTGTGCACCAACTTTCAATTGTAATTCTTTAGGTGCTAAGAAATTTTGCAGTAATTTATCCCTCAATTCGTCATCCTTTAAGTTACCTGCATCTGTGGCCTTGAAAAAATGAACTTCGCCTGGCAATTTGTTCAATCTTAGATTGTTAGCCCTATCGACTTCATTTCTTGTACTATATAGTTCTGCTGGAATAATTTCGTCATCAGGGAGATCTCGATTTAATTTCTTAAATTCTCTCTCAGTCTCCGCATCAATTTTGCCTAATCTCATTTTATTCAACATCTCTATGAATTTCAAGTCCCCCTGTTGTCTGAACACTCTTTGCAGCATTACAGTTATATCAATACCCTCTTTCCATGACAGTGCTTCGAAGGCAAATTTTGTCGGATTCCTTGAATCTTTAGAAACTGGTGGTAATTGAAAAAAGTCCCCACAGAATATTACTTGTATGCCACCAAATGGCTCACGATTTTTCCTGACCTTTTTAGCAATATGATTTAATTTATCAAGCAAATCACCGTCCAACATAGATACCTCATCAATTATGAGTGCCCTCATATCCTGCCATCGACGCAAATGTTTTTTAGATCGACGCACTTTCTTGTACAACATATCACCATCACCTTTCCCTAGACCAATACCGGTATAGGAATGTATAGTAACACCACCGATATTACACGCTGCAAGACCTGTTGATGCAGTAACTGCAACATGATCTCGACCATATAGGGATCTCAAATTTTTAATTAACTCCTTTAATAATATTGATTTACCAGTACCCGCACTTCCTGTGTAGAAGATATTATAACCCTTCTCAGCTAGACTAATAATTTGTTCTTGTTCCACACTAAGTCTAATAGGTATTTTTACTTTGGTATTGGGAGGTAATTGCAAATGAGGTTTGTCTTCCAAACCTTCATCATTAAGGCCAGGATTAAAGAGAGATGGCGCTTGTGTAGAGAATGAGAATTTATTGCTTAATCGTCCTTGCACCTGTCCAACAGGTATGTCGCTTACAGATCTATTTAGCTCATGTTTACTAGTGGACGAAACAGTTTCTATTGTGTGTGGCTGTGACACACTCAAACGTAATGATGTATTATTACCAGAGGATGTTTCCTTTTTAGATTTGAAACTAGCATCTAGAAGTGAAGAGAGATCAATCTCAGAAAATTCATCACTTTTAATTTGTATGGCAGCCGGTGTTTTTTGAGCTTGAACAGGTGTAGATAGTTGTAGTAATCTATCAGAAAGGATATCAACTTTGAGTGGTGTTTCTTGAGTACTGGAATTCTTTAAGACGGGCTGAGAGTCAAACTGTTGGATTATATTATTAAGTTCAGAATCATCATCGTCGTTGGTAAAAGTATTGGTATGTAACTGTCTTATAGCAGCAATGCTTATCTTACTATTTTCGGGTTTTGCTGTTCCCATATTTACACTTAATTCCTGGAGTGTATATTTATCGTTGCTGGGTTTAGGATTATCGAATTTTGAATTATTTAGGAGAAAGGAATCCTCACTATCCCAATCATCAGATTCAGAGAGAATATCATTGATCTCAAGTAAATCTTCATCTGTGATTTTTGACTTCTTAAGAAGTGATGGATTAGATGATACCGTAAGTGATCTCTTCGACATTGGTGCAATATCAATAATATGTGGTAATTTAATTGGACCAGGGAACTGGTGTAATCTTTTTGATCTTAAAAGTATTGAAAATGCTCTTATTGTTCTTATGTGCATGAATTCATTAAATTTGGAATTTTAACAGAAATGCAATGTCCTTTTATTGATACTTACTAGGAGAAGGTTGGTTTATTATCTATCTCCAGGTAAAATAGGTACAATATCTAACTTCTGTCCAAAACCTAAAATATATAAAATAACAAATTACTTGCAATCTAATAATTTGCTCGAAAATGTGTTTGATAAATAATGCACACGCAAATGAAGACGATATCTATCTAGGCAGTGAGATCTCCTTCGAGGGTTCAGCGTACTTGATTCAATAAACTAGAATGTCAATAGTACACCAAAAATATGCAGCATATACAAAATATCATATTACGCGATGCGCTATATCACAATTTTTCCTTTTATAGTGGATCATCGCCAAACTGAAATTTTTCCTCGAAAGACATTTTTACATTGAATTCAGTTCTATAAGTAGACACAGATGTATTTATGAAGGAGTATCAAGAAACACATACTTTTTACCAAATAACTGAACGTGACCAGATAAAAATGAGCTTACAATGGCGGAAGATATACATAACTAGGACAGAATTATCCCTAGCAAATGTACTACAAGCAGGGCAGGCCTTTAGGTGGATTTTAGATGAAAACTCCGGAGAATATTTGACCACCATGAAAATAGTAAATAACCCAGATTACAGCATTGTCCTATTGAGACAAACTAACGATGAATTTATCGAGTGTTCGACGTATGATAAAAAATGTGATTTGAATGATTTGGTGTGTCATTTTAAGTTATATTTTAGAAGTGAAGTGAAAGTAGAAACAATGCATGCAAACGACTGGTTACCTCGTGATCCAAAATTCAAAGGTATCGAAACTCAGGGTATTAGAATTCTCGGACAAGAACCTTGGGAAACTTTGGTATCCTTTATCTGTTCCACAAACAACAACATATCTCGGATCACTAAGATGTGTCATGCACTCTGTACAAATTATGGTAAGAAGATCGGTACTTTCAATTCTACTGATTTTTATTCCTTCCCATCTAGTAACGAGATAATGCTAAATGCAACAGAAGCTGATTTAAGAGATTTAGGGTTCGGTTATAGAGCTAAATATATAATCGAAACAGCTCAGAAATTAGTTAAAAATAAGAAGGAAAATAATACATTATCCGATACAGATTTTTTAAACATGATCTCTGAATCAAATGATTATAATGAACTTAGAGAGCATTTGATGAGTTATTCTGGCATTGGTCCTAAAGTAGCAGATTGTATCTGCCTTATGGGGATGAGAAAGGACCACGTAGTTCCAGTGGATGTGCATGTGGAGCGTATCGCCCATAGAGACTATAAGATCAAAGCCAGCAATAAAGATATTGTACAGTTACGAGAATTATACAAGCCACTTCCAATTACTCGTAAGAAGGTTAACTTTCAATTAGATTTTATTAGAACAAGTCTGAATGAGAAATGGGGACCGTTTGCTGGTTGGGCTCAAGGTATCCTTTTCTTTAGAGAAGTTGGAGGCACTGCAGGTGCAAACACAGAGGGTAAAATTAAAAAACGTAAGAATGAAAATAGTAACACTACAGACGAAGATATTAAACAGGAACAATCAAGTGATATCTCAAATAGTAAAAGATCCAGGATAAAATCAGAACAATTAAATTAAATATTCTATCATTAGTCATATATATATCTATACAAAGTGGTTTCATACATATGCTTCTTAAATGCACCATATTGTACGTTCATTAATCATTAAATACTATTACGTCTATGTAACAGAAATTCTGGCATCTCTGTGTTAATAGCAGCTGCATCCCCACCGGGAATTTTTGGCATCTTGTCATCCTCTTTTAGAGTGGTAAAAAAAATTCTACCATATTTTAAGCCTAATTTGTATATTTCTTCAAATTTTGAAAATTCTAAAGTATTATACTTATCAATAGGTGGCCTGGCATATATTACACCCTTTGTGTGTTTAGCCTTCTCCAATGCATTTACAGAAGCAACATAACCTAATCTAACTTGAATTTCAGTAAGATCAGGTATATTTGGATGACTTGAGAAGGGATTGAGACGATTAAAAATAATCCAGAACCCATTCAAAGAGTCACCGTAAGACATTAAGGTTCTATCATCCATGGAACCAACATCTATAGCAAAAATTGTATCACAGCCTCTGGCTTTCATTTCAAGAACTGGAAGATTGTCAACATATCCACCATCTAATAGCATACTACCGTTTTCTTCTAACGGAGGTAACAAACCAGCTAAACTCATAGAAGCTCTGATATATCTCCATGCATAACCGAATGAATGTACTTCCTGTACAGACTCGGTAATATTTGTAGAGTTGCAAAAATAAGGTAACCAAAAGTCCTCAATCCTGGTATCGCCAAATACTTTCCAAATACCACGATTAAATTCGTGACCGGTGGTATATGAAGTTACAGGCCAGGTTAAATCTGTTAGCATCCTCCACACGGAAGATATTCTTCCACAAAATTTCTTTGTGCGGCCAAATATAGACAGCATATTATAATCTTTGGCATAAAGTCCACCAACAAAAGAACCAATAGATGTACCACCAATCATGTCAATAGGGATTCCTTGCTCTTCTAAAGCCTGTATAACCCCTAAGTGGCTGATACCCTTTGCACCACCTCCACCTAAGACTAACCCTATTGCTTGACCAGATAGAATTCTCGCCAAGCGCAGAAAGTCGTCTTTATATGTATCCAAAGGCGCATAATAAAGAGTTTTCTTCTTCATAAATCTAGAAGAAAAATTCTCAACTGTAGCCCTTATTGTACCAGGAAGGTATCTTGAAATGTTCTGTTGAGTTTTCTTGCTGAAGTCAGCCTGGATGATCTTGTCAATTAAAGACATCATACCATGAATTTTAGAATTTCCAGAAATATCACTTCTTTCATATTCATTCACCAAAAATCTCATATGATGATGAGCATCGACCCAGGGTCTAGGTAGAAGCCATTTATGGGTTAGTCCAGGCTCTACATATGTTTCTGGGTGAAGTAAAATCAATTCTGTTCTAGCAGTAGATTTTGACTCCAATAACATTTTTTCATATTTACCAACTTCACTACTTGCATGGGCATCCGACAAGAGCAAAATACAGTCACCTTGAGATATGCAAGTACTAGTCCATGATGAATTGATAGATGGATCTGCAATGTACACCACTATTTCGTACATCTGTTCTAATTCGGCAAAATAACCACTTTGTTTCAATTTAGCCAAACGATCAAATGCGTGTCGCCCTAGATGAGTCAGTGTAGTTCTTTGGTTCAGACCTATAGTAGTTCGACCTACTTGTTTAAATGCGTTAACTAGCTTTGATGCAAAAGTTTCCACTGGTAATCCGTCAGTTATAGGAAGAATCGTTATTGTTCTATAAGTTCGAGAACGGGAGTACGTACTCTGCGTATTGTGGTACGAGTGTAAGTGTGTCGCCCTTCTTGTAGGCGGTATTGTTAAATCAAAGTCATATTTATTACCATCATCACTAATAATTCTTGCAACATTAGTATTATCAGAATTTTGCACCATCATTTTATTTGCAACTAATCTTGAAACACGAATCATAATTGATGGGTGTTCTAAAGCTAAAGTTTCGAATAGAGTTCTTGGAATACGTGCTAACTCTGAATCACGGATAGCCACTGTTGTGTTAAAACGGTTAGTCGCAGTCAATACCTCCAATTCTCCAAAACTCTCTTCTTGTGCTAATTCACCTACCACCATATTATTGGAAGTATCGTTTGAGGATTGAAATTGTCTCAATCTCCCATTTAACACTACGTAAATACCATTTGCAGGATCTCCTTGTTTGAATAACATTTCTGATGCAGATAAATGAACCCATTCTAATGCATGATCAAGTTTTAACATTCTTGGTGATAGTAGACTAGTCAAATTTTCTGCCAATCTTAAGTATATTAGAAAATATTTATCACATAATCTTTCCAAGACGTCATTAGGTAAAAATCCAACGTAAACATCTGTTTTGGCTTTTAAGCCCACAAAAGAACGGTAATTAACCAAACTCGTAAGATACCCTGCTATTCCACCTTCTTCGATAGTATATAATATTCTGTTTCCTCTTTTTGACTTCTTTTGCTTTGGTGCACGACCAACCGGTTCAACTTCAACACCTTGATTGAAGTTCCATAGTGTAACATTAATTCTCCCTTTAATGACATAATATAAACCTTTCCCATTTTTATCTTGCTCAATAATTGTAGAACCTTGCTTAAAGTATTGGAATTGAATAGCCTCAGAAAATTCATTCTTGGCAAATTCATAATCAAGACTGGAGGAAATTTCTTCCTTATATTCCACTTTCTTTTTACTTTTCTTTACTTTTGGAGATCTAACTGCAAAGTCACTAGGTAGAATACGTAAAGTATGTCTTGGATAATTAGATGATGCAAATGAGCTTATTAAAGATATATCAGATTGTCTGCGTGTTAAAGTGGATCCGTTGCTTGTGTATTGTCCTGATTCAGACGCCTGACTGGAATGACTTCCGGGTGTTTTTAGGGACATATTCTGTTCATTAATATTCAAATATGCAAATATGGCTTCGACAACAGCCATTTTTAGTGTAGAATCCAAAGTTTCATCTTGTTGAGAGGAGAATCCTGTCGGTTCTGTCCCATTACTTGTTACTCTCCCTGTAATCGCTGATAATGGTGATTTTGATAACCCTCTTAATTTATCGAAATTTTGGGAACCATTTGGAGTACCAGGATTTGTATTTTTATTCGTTGATATTTCTTTTCTAGATAGAGGAACGTTGGATAGTAAGTCACCTGGGTTTAAATGATCTCTAGAGTCTAGAACAATATGTTTGGATGGAAGATGTTGGATTGTTGGTCTATTTCTTCTTACAACTCCAGGCGAATCATTTTTACCAATTGTTGTCGTCATAGTCTTTCTTGTGGTATTCTCCTTACCTTGTTCTTTCATATCTGATAAAACTTTCTTAATTGCTTGCTCTTTTAAATATGGTGGTAATTCATAATCTACTGATTTGTTTAATAAATATTCAATTTGCATAATTTCATCTGTTAATCCTAAATAATTATGAACTGTCTGAAAAGTGACGTGATATATCTTTGTAAGAATCATTTGAATGATATGACATACGGATCTTGGATATTTTAAAGTTAGATTTTCGAATGCTTGAGGTGGAATAATTGCAATAGTACAATCAGTTCCTGCTCTTGCAAGAATATTTGGCATTGGTAATCCAAGGTTTGGAATATCCTTCTGATCATATAGGTCTGAACTAGGTGGTATAATTGAATCATTTACCCCATTCCCTTGATTAACTTTTGTTTTGCTTTGATTTTGTAAAGTAAATTCAACTAACTGATTCTGAATAGAATCCCATTGTGATGAAGGTTTGGGAGTATTTATTCCAGAATTACTACTATTCGGTTCTCTTGAAATTCCATTGCTTCTTGTGAAAAGTGTTAGAATAGTAGCTAATGATGATACGGGATTCCCTGGTTTTACAGTATTTAATAATTGATATTTACCTAATCCATTTTTCAAATGAATATAACCCGAGGAATCATTTTCGAGAAAACTTTGACTATCAGTTTCTGATCCATCAGAAGAGTCAGTGGTCTCTTCAGATGATAGTATAGATGACGACATTGAAGATCGATGATCATCACCATTGTTATAATCATCCATACTTGCAGATTTATAGTAATCATTATCAGTTTGAGGATTTGGAGTTGGATTTAATATTGATGTTGGAGAATCATTCTCAACTTCATGAAAAATTTGTAATGTCCCTTCCACTACAATGGCAAACCCAATAGAATTATCTAATAATAAGATTTCACCTTCATCTAATTTTTGTGTCTTCATATTTTTCGTTAAATCATGAAAGACAGGTTTCTCAAGATAACCAAAAATCTTAATTGCAGATAAAAATTGATCAAGATACGATGAAAAAAAAGATTTGTTCGTATCATTGTCAACATTATCATCATTATCTATAAAAGCAGCATTATATTTTTCTTTATGATCATTAATGAAAGTTTTCCCAAATTTATTTTTCTTGAAATTTTTTGAAAATCTATCATTATTATTATTACCATTCTTTGAATTAATTCGATTTTTATTAATATTTCTATCATCAATTAATTTTTCACCATCATTCATATTATTGTTTGTAGTTGATATACCATCGTTATCTATAGAGGTAATTGTACTGTTATTATTATTATTATCATTGAAATCAGGGGTCAATTTTTTATATTGAGATAATACTCTATTTTTCATTATGCTATAAACAATATAAGTTATAATAGCACATAATATAGTGAAAACGAAAAAATTTAATTTTAATGAATAATTTGTTGATAAATGGAACAACCATTTGGGTCCACATAGCAATACACCTAAAATAAAATAAAAGGACAAAGATATCATTTTTAAAAAAGTTGGTAAAAAATGTACAAATATTGAACTTAATTTAATCTTAATATCATCTTGCGTTATATTTGTTGGATTATATTCTTTTGAAGAAACCATCGTATCATTGTTATGATCAGTAGACATACGTAAAATAAATGCAGTAACTTAGTTGATATATATGTAAAATTGAATGTGAATAATTCTTTTTAGAGGTGTGTCATTCAATAGTTCCTAATATTTTATTAGCATATGAAATAATGTAATGAAATTATTTGAATTCAAGAAAGATAACTAGTGTGTTAAGTTTTATGTTCTTTAAATTAGGGTACCCTTTTGCGTATATAATAAAAGAAAGAAAAAAGCATGCATAAAATTCAAGAGGAACCCAAAAAAAAAGCCAACTACGTATTGTAGGAAGACTGCAGCCGTAAAAAAAAAAGACTTATTGCAGTTATGCGGTGGAAGAAAAAAACACCGAGAAATGTCAAAGGAAAATAAACAGTGATTCGTTATTAGTTTAAGCTTATACAAATGAAATTCAGAGAGTGAATGCTAGTATCATCTTATATGAGGTTATTGAAAGTATGTTACTGGATCGAGAATTATAGTGGTTAGTTTTTCTAAAACTAAAAGAAAAGGTAATCAATGTATTTTTGTATCGTTCATAGTTTCTAACCAATAAATTAGTTTTGTTATTGTAAAAAAAAATTAATTTCTTTCCTTCTTATGTTTATATAATATCATATAGTCAATAAAATCATTGTTCTAAAATAGGATAATTGGGAACATAGTGGGGAAAAAGAAAAGAAAGATGAGAAGATCATTCTCGTACCCATTTTGAATGATATCTCGACTTCCCCCCCCCCAAAAAAAAAAGTTTATTAAACACCATACATTATTATGAGTGTATTATTAATTAATACTGAAATATTATATAACTATTTAAATATGCAATAGAAAAAGAAACAAAATGTTCAACTGAGCTTTCGCTAACCCTAAACGGGAAATACTTAAATATCTGATCTCACAATTAATAGTAAAAAATTATATATGTCAGCGAGGGGTATGGGTTGTGGTTGCCATGGTAATTGTTCCCTTCATTTATTTTATTTTTTTTTGTTTCTTTCTACGACCTTATCTCCAACAAAATGCTTCATACATGGTTTTCTTACTTCATTCACTTTTTCGATTCTTTGATGAATTCTCTTTCTCCTGCGTGGAATGGACTGATTAACCCGTGCAGAGAGAGGGAAAGTAAGAATTCAATTATTGTTGTGCTCTTTCAGTGTTCACTACGCCACTTTTATTGAACGAGGATTCCAATCTTTTTGTGTAACGAGAAAAACACAGATGGGAAACAAGAATTAATTCACCACGGCAACCAGAAATCACTATTTTTTTTTTGCCTTTCTGCATCACACTCTATTAATAAATAATATATTCTCTACTTGTTTCTTATTATATTGAGTAACCTTTTTTTTACAATTGCACTCTCATTTACTTAAACCAATAATGGAAAATAAAGAATCGGAGGGCCTAATAGATGAGTAGACAAAAGAAGAAGAAATAAATATCATTTCTATTACTCAGTTGAATGTATGGAGAATAGGTATCCTTTATTTTTCGTAGCTAATAGGTAAATAAATGTATCTTAATCTCATTAAAAACAACATAATACATATGTTTCTTCCCTAATTTCTTACAAGTTTTTAGATCATTATGTATTGAATATTTCTTTCCTTCCTATCAAGCTCATCTCTTTTATTTTATCCAAAAAGTATAAAAAGGGGATCAATAATATATAAATATTCACGAAACTTAGTGTGTGTTTTTTTTAATTCATTTTCTTTACGTTTCACTTTTGATCTATTTAGTTGTATTCTATTTTCTATTTATTTTTTTCAAGTTTATATAGAATAATAACATTAGTACAAACCACTACAACAACCAATAAAATTATTAAAACAATGAACGAAACTGAAATTAAACTTGCTGAAAAGAAACTACATGACATGTCTATTGAAGAACAAAAGGATATGTATGGTAACGAGGATACTATGAATAAATATTTTGTTAATTTAGCTGGTAGAATTAGAAATTCTGTCTCTGGTGGTTACTTACTACCAAAGGAAGATGACAAGTCAGGTAAGGCTTAATGATATTTTTCTTTTTGCGTAAAAAGATAAAAGAATATTCGATTAGTTTGTTTAGTTACAGATACTATTTTTAATGTTCTACTCATATAATATATATGCCCATATATATATATATATATATACCTTTTTAATAAATATACAAAAGTTGGATTATTATTAGTAGTAGTAGTAGTAGTGTTACCGTTTGGTATTTATATATATATTTGAATCTTATGTATGGGTTACTTACCCTATCTTAAATTATACACCCAGGCACACCCAACATTTAGCTTTTTGCTTGTTTACATAACCCAGACACCCACTCGCGAAATGTAAATATTTACCGTAACCCATACACCGCATACTATATCTCTGTCACTGTATATATGCTTATTTTTCAAAACAAATAACACCCATACATTACTAAAGTTTTAAATTATTATCGGTCGGAGTGTGTGTGGTGGTTCTTTAACATGGCTTGGTAATAAGAGGAGATAATTAAAATGATTTGTCATTAAAAGGTTTAAATATTTAACGTCTCTTTGACTGTTCATATATAAAGAGACACAAGAGTTGATTCGAATTATAAATATCGTTTCATTTTATTATTTCTTTATTAACAGGTGTGTGTTTTTTCTCGTTGTTATCATTGATTATATACCTGTTTTTATACTTATTTCACAGTGATTACAAACCCCCTCCTCCCAATACAATACAATAATAATTTTAAAAATGAATGACGAACAAAAGACTCAATACCTAAAAGAATTGAATGAAACTTCTGAAAGAGTTAGAGAACATGTTAGACAAGAACAAGCTAGCAAATCCCCGGAAGTTACTCAATCTTCTGATTTTAAAAGAGTACCAATGCCATCAATGGGTGTTCCACCACCAATGCTAGCTAAAAATTCTAATGTTGGTTCTTCTTCAACTTTAGAAATGTGGGATGAAAATGTTAATCAAAAACTAAATGAAATTGACAATAAGATGAATAAATCTGATTTATCTGTTTTCTTCACTAAAGGTGAAATGGAATTTTAAGTTTTATTATATAATAAAAACTAAAAGAAAATAAGAAAATAAAATCGATTATGCATATAAAAGTTATTTACTACTATTAAAGAATCGATTTTCTTTTTTTTTTTGATGAATTAGAATACTAAACGTTTCTTTAAAAACAAATACTAGAAATATGAAACACAATTTAACATAGAAGATTAAAATCTATCAGCATGAAACTGTCTTTACGAAATGTTTTTTTTTATAAAGGATGATCGAAGTGTATAACTCCGAACATTATTTTTTGAAAGACAATGCATTGGACAGTTATGGTAGGACTATCATAGATGTACGAAATATAGAATGTTATGTAATTCTTTTTTTATATATATATATTTATTAATATTAATACTTTTTATTAGGAAATCTCTTTAAAGTCCTATTTGATATTTATAGGTCGATGACTTTGTTATAATATTTCCAAATTGGGGAATCTGTTTAGTTTATCGTGTTGTACGAACAAAGCTCTCCCGGGTAATACTTTTTGGTTCCAACGAGAAAAAATGGATGATGAGCTGAATTTTTCAAATTATGAGATGAATTATGGAATTGTTTTTGCTGTGATAGTGAAGGAAGAGTAAAGGTATTGTAATATTTATAATAATAATAAGGCAAAAGAAAAGGTACATGCATTATCAATACGTAATTAATTGTATTAATTCATATCTATTTTTAAGTAGTATTGCATATTTTATTAATTATTTTTATTAAAAGAACAGATATACATATATATACATAATTTAATTTTCATTTGAAGGAGTCATATTGATTGCATCCCTTTACAATTATTGAATTAAGAAGTAAAAAGGTTTTTTTGCTGTACTTAGGATATATTTGTATCTCTATTAATTCAATTGTGTTTTGCTAATATAAACGTCTTTTTAAGGTCAATTAATAAAAACAAATTTACGATTATGTCTACGGATCAATCTAATAATAATAGAAAATCTGAAGCCCAAATTAATACAGAGAAGGTTAATGCAGCTATACAAATAATAGAAAAGAAAAAATATGAAAGCAACAGTAATAATAATACATCAAGTGTGACCAATTCTAATTCTAATGGTGATTCATCCTCAACTGGTAATAAATTGCTGCAACATGCTCAGGATTCTTATACTTTAGAAGATGGAACAATTGTTTCTACTAAAGAAAGAGTCGTTAAAAAGGTGAATCCTGTAGCGAAACGTGCACCAACTGATGAAGAATTATTCGATCCTGTAACAGATTTACCAAATCATGAATTCTTAAAAGAACATTTTAAAAAAGAAGGAAGATTGACAGATTCACAAGCTTTGAAAATATTAAGAATGGCTACTACTTGTTTAACTAATGAACCAAATTTATTGACAGTTCCTGCCCCGATAACTGTTTGTGGTGATATTCATGGTCAATACTATGATCTTTTAAAATTATTTGAAGTAGGTGGACATCCAAAAGATACTCCGTATTTATTTTTAGGTGATTATGTCGATAGAGGTCTATTTTCATTTGAATGTTTAATTTATTTATATTCTTTGAAATTAAATTTCCCAGATACTTTTTGGTTATTAAGAGGTAACCATGAATGTAAACATTTAACATCTTATTTTACATTTAAAAATGAATGTTTACATAAATATAATTTAGAAATTTTTGAAGCATGTTGTCATTCATTTAACGCATTACCATTAGCAGCTATTATGAATGGCCAATATTTCTGTGTTCATGGTGGTATATCTCCAGAATTGAAGACTGTTAATGATATTAATCAATTAAATAGATTTAAAGAAATTCCTTCAAGAGGTTTAATGTGTGACTTAGTATGGGCAGATCCACTTGAATCATACGATGAAGTAGATCCAAATGTTACTGATGAAGATGATGAGTTAGCAATTAAATTAATTAACGAAAATGATTATAATGCAATTAACAAATATTTTACTCCAAATCAAGTTAGAGGTTGTTCATATGCGTTCAGTTATCAAGCATCGTGTGCATTTTTACAAAGAACTGGTCTATTATCAATCATAAGAGCACACGAAGCTCAGGATGCAGGTTATAGAATGTATAGAAACACAAAAACATTAGGATTTCCAAGTTTATTAACACTTTTCAGTGCTCCAAATTATTTAGATACTTATAGGAATAAAGCTGCGGTATTGAAATATGAAAACAATGTTATGAATATTCGTCAATTTAATATGTCACCACATCCTTATTGGTTACCTGATTTCATGGATGTATTCACTTGGTCTTTACCATTTGTTGGTGAAAAGGTTACTGAAATGCTAGTCGCTATATTGAATATTTGTACAGAGGATGAATTAGAAGAAGAGACACCTTTAATTGAAGAAGATTTAGTGAAGGAGCCATCTACACAAACTCCTCAAGTTAAAGTGAGTAAACCGCCAACAGCAAATATTAGTGATAGCAATACTCAACAAATGAAGTCTTCTATTTTAGATGATGATAAGAGAAGAAAAGCATTAAGGAATAAAATTTTGGCAATCGCTAAAGTTTCAAGAATGTATTCTGTATTGAGACAAGAAAGTGATAAAGTTCAGTATTTGAAAAGTATGAACGATGGTATGTTACCTCGTGGTGCTTTAGCACATGGTTCCAAAGGGTTAGAAGAGACATTGTCTCATTTCGAGAGGGCAAGAAAGGAAGATCTAGTGAATGAAAAACTGCCTCCATCCTTAGAAGATGTTAAAAGGGAAAAAGATAAATATTATAATGACATTCTAAGGAGAGCCAGTAGCGAAAAACGATAAATAATAAAAAATAATTATAATAAAAAACAGTTTGTATATAATATAACAGTTATCATCTCATTGCTTCTGCCTCCCCCCCCCCTGCCTAATTATTATTCTTTTTATTTGATAATGTACAATGTTGAATTTCTTAAAGATTTACTTATTTGTAAAAAATGTTTATGTTTATATATATATGAGTGTGTATGAATTTCAAAAGAAATTGACACGTTCAATGAAAAATGTCACGATATAGGTCTAATAATAATAATAGTAGACTATACTTAGTTGTGTAGACGTTTTTCGTAGGAATGCATGTTGTTGATACCACCTTCCAATTGAGCAGAGGCAGTTCTGAATTCGAATCTAACCTTACCATCATTCACGGAATCCTTCAAAGCATCTAAAGATAAGACACCAATATCTTGACAAGAGTGTTGTAGACCATTGTATAAGTATGGAACAAACTTTTGAATAGAACCTTTGTCAACAACGGCACCAGAGACACCTTGAGCAACTAAGACCTTGTCAGATTCAGAGAAATAACGAGAAGTGGAAGCATTACCATCTTTACCAGTCTTTTGCATGGCATCGATGGAACCCATACCACGGTAAACCTTTAATCTCTTACCATCTCTGTAGAAATATTCACCTGGAGATTCGGTAGTACCAGCAAGCATACCACCCATCATGACGGTGGAAGCACCAAGAGATAGAGCCTTAATGATGTGACCAATGTTTTGAACACCACCATCAGCCATACATGGGACACCAAATTCATTGGCAAACTTGCAGACATTGTAGACAGCAGTAGCTTGTGGTCTACCACAGGCCATAACTTCTTGAGTGATACAGATGGAACCAGAACCCATACCGATTCTTAGACCATCACAACCATGAGCAATTAAGTTAGCAGCCTGTTCTCTAGTGACGACATTACCAGCAATGACTTCTAAGTCTGGGTAAGTCTTTTTAATCCATTCTAGCATATCAACTTGGAACATAGAGTTACCTTGAGAGGAGTCAATAGTAACGACATCAAGACCAGCTTCAACCAAAAGAGCTAATCTCTTTTTGTCAGCTGGTAGAGTACCAATGGCAGCACCACATAATAATTGTTTAGTAGTAGCTGACTTAGAGGCCAATGGGAAGTTTTGGTTCTTCATTAAATCAGTTCTAGAGATCATGGAAACCAAGTTCTTTTCACCATCAACGATCAAAAGTTTACCCTTCTTAGTCTTCTTTAGAATTTCATTACCTTCTAGCAAAGTTAAACCTTGGTTAGCGGTAAGTGGATCCTTAGTCATGACTTCAGAAACTGGTAAAGAGTCGTCTTCAACGAATTGAACATCACGGGAGGTGACCAGACCTAACAATTTACCTGGAAATTTACCGTTTTCTAAATGTAAAAAATAAAAGTAGTAAATATATCAAATGAATGATATATATGTATACATGTATTGGATTGTTAGTAAAAACAGCGCTTAAATAAAATTTGATTGGGAGCTATCACTTTAATTTTTGAAGTGGGTTTAATAAATAAATTCTTTTTTTACTTGTTTTTAACATTTTCGTATTAGAATAATAAAACGTATCAGATAAAAAGTTCTCTACAAGATCGTTTGATCGCAGTCAGTAGAACGAAAGTTATTAATTAAAAAAGTTTAATCATCATTGTAAGTATAATTCCATTGTGAAAAAAAAAGTCAAAAAAAATATCAAAAACCAAAATCAAAAAAAAAAANTAAAAATAATTATATTTTAATCAAACATACCTGTAACTGGGAAACCGGAGAAACCTAAATGTTCCTTCATTTCCTTAACTTCACCGATGGTAGTAGTTGGAGTAACAACAACAGGAGAGTTAATGAAACCATTTTCATAAGTCTTAACCTTCTTAACCATAGCGGCTTGTTCTTCTGGAGAACAATTGTGATGAATAGTACCAATACCACCTAATAAAGCCATGTAAATAGCCATTTCGGATTCGGTAACAGTATCCATAGGAGAAGAAACAAAAGGAGTGTGAAGAGAAATCTTCTTAGTTAATTTTGTCTTTAAAAGAACATCAGAAGATTGGAAACCAACGTAACCTGGTAAAATTAAGAAATCGTTATAAGTTAAACCACCTCTTGTATTGGAATCCATTAATTCTTCGACAGATAAACCATCCTTGTTTTTCAACTCGTTTAAGTAACCTAGAGCAGTAGTATAGTCTCTCTTAGCAGCAACCATTTTTATATTATAATTATTATTAAGTTTGTTTAGGAAGGTTGGATAATATTGATATATTGTCAATCTTTTATTATTATTATTATCTTAAAATACTTTTTAAAAATAAAAGAAGTGTTCTGTTTTTTTCTAAAAGATAAAAAGAGTATATAAAACGAAGTTATATGAAAGACAAAGGATGGAATAAGAGCCAGTTTATTATAGACTACAACATAGTAAAAAGAATAAAACTATAAAAACAAAGAAGTAATTAGAATAAACATAATATGGCCACCGGTTTTCTTCTGATGATCCAACAAGTTTTTGATGGAAAAATCGATGAGTATTTATACTTTTTTTTTCCTATACATTCAAATCAAAAAAAAAAAAATTTTTTCAAAATCCTTAATAATGTGAAAAACAAAAGAAAAGAGAACCAGAGAGAGAGAGAAAAAACAGTATGAAACGATGAGCTTTTCTTGTTAAGTATGTATGCAGCAGATACAACTAACATGGCTAAGAGAAGTTAGAAACAGAGTAAGCCCTCGATGAAAAAAAAACTGAAAAAATAAAATAAAAATTTTTCACTTTGAAAGAAAATATTTGTTTGTTTGTTTATTTGTTCTGGGCTCATCGCTTCATCTATCATTTTTCTATTTTTTTTTCTCTGGACAGTCCACTGTGACAAGAATCTAGAGCGAAGTCGAGCGACCCTAAAAAAACTAACACAACACATCCACAGCACCAGCAGGCTTTTATTATGTAACGAAACAAGATAAAAACACTTTTTACCCTATAACCCTGCAGAGTGCTCTTGGTAACCACCACCACATAACATAGTACTACAGATGTTTCTGTGTCTGTGTCTCGTGTCAACCTCCCCTCATTTATATTTCCGTGTTCCGTCTTTCTTCCCTCCGTCAAATAAAAGAGAGGACTGGATCTAATATAATTTAAGATAAATATATATATGTATGTTAACATAAACTACAAAGAGTTAATATTGTATAAAATAATTGGTAGTAGGTTAGTTAATGGTTAAATGTACCAATTCAGTTCATCATAGAAGGTTAATAAGCGACGTTGCATTATTAATGGAGCTACTAGCTTCCGTCTTGTTTCCGTCTTGTTTCCATCTAGTGATATATCGTATACATATGAGTGTGTGTGATTGAACAGAGGACGATGATTGTTCAATTTTAACACATCAAAGTATTCAACAAATATTTTCCAATATATTTGTAATATAACGAATAAGATAGATGGAGAATGATGCCCTGTCATTCATGTATGTATAGAGCTAGCAATATCTATAGATGAAGTAGAGAGTATTTTTATATTACATTATAAAACTTTTGCTTGGGTAGCTCGATTTCTTATGATTTTGTAAAACTTAAAAGAAATACGATCATATATTATTAGCACTGCCCATATATATATGAATAAACTTGCTTAAAACGATATGTCTCTTATTTATCAAAATATACCTAAAGTTCGTTTGTGACATCTCCAGAAAGGTTATCGTGTTGAACGACAGATATTGACTCAGTTAAACCCCGTTCCCCCGTTCCCTTCCAAAAAAAAGAGAGAGAGATCTTCTTCGAGCCTCTGTGTTCTTTCGCTCTTGCCAAATGATAGACTTAGAAAATAATAATGTTCGTATTAGCTATTTAAAATGATTTCATATACACACACATACACAGAGGTCCCTTTTAAATCTGAATATGTAAGCGGGTTCAATACAAATAGTTTATTACAAAATAAGGTACAATACGTTTTTTACATTTCTTTTTTATTCAAAAACATTAAAGAAAGATTTGTTCTATATAAATAAAATACATTTTCTGCTTTTTTATCTACCGACTATTGATTTATTCCTCTATATTATAAACATAAGCAACTGTCAAAGAGAAAAACAACTAAGACTCAAACATAACCCTTACCTTTTTTTTTAATAAATTAATAATGAGCAAACCAGTTAATGTATACTCTATTTCTGAAGTATCTCAAACTTTAAATGAAAATTTGCCAGACGTTTTAGCACGTTTAGGCTATACTGAAACCTTTGAATTAGTTGACCAAAAATTATTGATTGGTTACTCTGTAGCTATTGTTGCTGCAGTTAGTTTCGTCATTGATAAACAATTTGTACATAAGGACATTGTAAAATATCAACAATATTTAGTCGGTATCTATTGTATTTTATCTGTGATATTTTGGTATTTTAAGAAATATGTTGAAAAAGCCGTCGTATACAGTGGTAAGAATGATACAGAGACTATTAAAGTTAAAACATCATATGAAGATTCCAAACCTTTATATACTGTGACTCTTATCGATAAGAAAAAGAAAACTTTAGTTAGCACTTTAGAAATTAATAAGGTCTTTAATAAGGAAGGTTATTTACAATCTGAATTGTTTTTGGAATGGATTAAACAACAATTGGCTACACTATCGAGTAAGAGACAATGAACATAATATTAGTTTGAAAAGTATATCCTGTGTTTTTTAAATCAACTAATCCAATCAATAAATATATAATACATTATACTATACATATACATATGAATTTGCATAGTTGGATAACTGTACATATAACCGATTTTTCCACCTTAGTCTATGTATTTATATATATATATATATATGTTAATGTGGCTATTTTATGTTATTATAAAAAGAAAGGGGGTGTTAAACCGTGTCTTTAGTAGGTGTATGGCTATATTTGATTGGATTAAGCTATTAGATTAATTTCATTAAATAACAAAGCGGATAAAAGAGGAGGAATATATATATATAGATATATTTGTGTATGTATAAGAAGGATATACAGAATGAATTAATATTAAAGCCTTAAAAATAATTTAATCATCGTCGTCGATTAAAAATTTGGCTAATTGTGGTTCTTTGTAAGAGTTTTCATATAGAGAGTCCCTTGCCACAGAGACACTTCTTGAATGTAAGGATGTTAAATCTAAGAAACCTGGGTTTAAGTCCTCGATCTTACTAACACCCAATAATCTCATAGACATTTCTAATTCTTTGGTTATGATATCAATAGCATGAGCGACACCTTGTTGACCATAACATGAATTGGCATATAAGAATGGTCTACCAAGACCAACACCTGTGGCACCTAAACATAGAGCCTTTAAGATATCTGTACCACGACGAATACCACCGTCGACGAACACGTCGAAGTTCTTGTCAAGACCGTGGTGTTTTAGGATTGGCATAGTTTCAGCTAAGACTTCAATTGGGGCACGAGAGAAGTCCAGTTGTCTCCCACCATGATTAGATAATACAACACCTTGACAACCCATTTGAGCAGCTCTAACAGCATCTTCTGCCCTTTGTACACCTTTAATAACAATTGGTAATTTAGTTATTTCCCTCAATTTAGCAATATCTTCCCAGGATAAAGATGGATCAATAAATTTAGATAAAGCCTTTGAAGCACCATCAGAATTCTTTTCTTTCTTTTCATCTTCTTTCTTTTGTAAAATTTTTGGACCACCGCTACTTTGAGTAGTAAATTTAATCTTTTGATCTTTTTCTCTATTACCTAAGGATGGAGCATCAACAGTGACGAAGATTGCTTTTAAGCCTAACTCTTCGGCATGCTTTATTAGATTTCTAGTAATTTTTCTATCGGAATTAACATATAATTGAAACCATTGTAATTGTTTATCATTAACTTTAGCTTCAGCGACTTCATCAAGAGAACATGATGCTAAAGTTGAAATCATTTGTGGCACAGAGTATGATGTAGAACCACAACCTTTGGCAATATCAACTTCACCACCTTCTGGATTCCCTAATTTACATAATGCAGTAGCACTAACGTAAAATGGAACATCAGTCTTTTCACCTAACATTGTAGTCTTCAAATTAACATGTTCAACATCAACCAAAATATGAGGCTTAAAGAAAATTCTATGATAAGCATTATGATTTTCTCTATATGTAATTTCATCATCTGCACCTGATGAGTAATAAGCCCAAGCTTGATTAGTTAAAATCTTTGAAGCTAATCTTTCAAAATCGTATAGGTTTAAGACATTACCTAAAGGAGGCATATTATCTCTCAATTTTTGTTTAGTCATAATCTCATAAGGAGATTCACCTGGCGCATAAGGTGGACAAACAAGTTTTTTAGGCATTGGCTTACTTAATGGACCTAATTTCTTATCTTCTGGAATATTTTTCTCCAAAGTACCCTTTGCATGTAATGGTGCAAACATAGCTGTAACATCTTTACCCGCATTTGCTTTAATAACATCTTCACCACCTGGATGATTTGGAATGAAAAAGGTAACATCATAAACGTAACCGTTAATTACTACCCAACAATCGTCCGGTTTATTATGTTTAGCGACTTCATCTGGAGAAATTGGTTTTTTCTTTGAAGGTTGGCCATTATCGTTACTAATATAATCTGAAGAAGATTGATTGTTTAGTTGATTCCAAGCATAGTACGATAAAGCTGAAGCAGATGTAATTAATAATAAAGAATTACGTAAATTCTTACTATTATTATTATAATAATTACGAGATTTAGTAAAGTTCGATGTAGAGAGAGCTCTCTTTGAAATTTTGGTAAATTTGAATTGTTTACAAGCACGGAAAGCAATTGACCTTCTACCTAACGCTTGCATAATGAACAATAACTATTAATATGTGTGTGTGTATTGTTTTTTGATATTTTTCACAATTTCTTAGCAGAGTAATAAATTATTATGAAAAAATAACAAGCAAAACAAAATAAATTGAAATTTAAATTTAAATGATATTAAGTAATCTCAAGTAAAGGGTCTCTCATCTTTCGGTCAAGTCAATCACTTTATATATGAATATGTGATCGAGAATACGATTGGATAAAGAAGGGATGCAATGAAAAGAGATGAGCACTATACACTAATAGTAGCGTCTAATAAAAAAGAAAGCATGTTTAGATTTACCAATACCAAAGATAATACTGAATTGTTTACCCACATTTAGCTAAAAAAGAACGTTATCCATCTTACCCCCCGATATACATCACTCAAAGTCATAAGCATTAACCGTCTTTTTCCTCTAAATTGCTAAGATGACTCTCTACTAATCCAGTAAGTGTGCATTATTATAATTATATTGAAATTTGACACACGGACCTCTTTCTGCCCCCACGTCAATTGGTTTTCGACCTCCCACGGCCGGCAACACCTTTCCACAACCATACGTATTAAGAAATCACCATATTGTTAAGCTTGTAATAAAAGTCCTTGATTATTATTGGAGATTGAAGAAATTTTCCTTACTATGTACTCTTAGTATCAATTTTGAGTTTGAACCCTTTGCTAGTCTAACCTCCCCCCCCACGTTGGCCCTGAAAGATTTGAAATAGTTTTCTGTCCACGCAGTATATCACCTGGGTTTCGCAGTACCACCCCCACGTAATTTAGTTTATTTAGTTCATAAGCACGGACTCGGAAATACCGGGGCTCTTAGAATCCTCTACGGAAGACGGGACGCGAACCGAACCGGATTGTGGGAAACAGTCAGCCGCCGTCGGCTTAACTTTGATAGGCTGCACGATTGAAAGCCGTTCTCCACACAATTGAAAATTGGGGTTGTGCCCTCGTTCTTCAATGTTATTTCTGTTTTCCACTGTGGAAGTACAACTACAATATACTGACTGATACAATAACAAATAGAAGTTGATGGTGAACAAAGGATAGTTCAACTTGTAATAGGTGAAATCCCTGAATTGTTATTCTAACAATAGTAGCCCTGAGAAGAGTTAAATGAAAGTATTTTCAGAACTATGGCAAGGTTCACTTACTACGAAACAATTGTAAAGCCAAATATATATCCATGTAAATATCTTATATCTGTGAAGGGTTTACAGCTAACACTTTTGGTTTTTTAATACTCTTACCCTACATGTGCGGCTGATACTGATGATCTCTTTATTATAACTATGATAAAATGGTAACTTTGTTAGTTAACATAATTCTCTTATATATGTATTTATACATATAAAATGTAGTTTGTTACTATTACACAATGACACAACATGAATTAGATTTTTTAGCCTGTTTGTAAAACATTTTAGAACTAGCATTTAAAGATTCTGATTTGTCTACTAAATTATCTAATTTTTCACCTCTTTGTAAAACATTCTCAATAGTTTTATGCAATACAATCTTAGTTTCATCTAATTCTTGTTGAACTTTCATAATTGCATCGGCTTGAGCAGGATCTTGATATTTAGTAATATAACCTTCTAATTCATTCATCTTTAGTGAATCATTTGTAGCACTAACGTCCTTCCAACTCTCCGCAGGATGAGCTACTAAGTATTCATCCAATACTTTATTTAATAAGGTATATGCAGGTCTCACTGGATATTCTTTATCAGTAATCAATACACCACAAATACCTTCTGCACGAGCGTATACATGACCAACATAGTTACCTTCTTCAACACTTTGTCTTTGACCTGATGAAGTTCTAGTAGCAACAGTCTCTGCGAAAAAGGTCATAAATTGGGCAACACTGCTACGTTCAAAATAACCAAATTGTGAAAGATCTTTAACTTCAGTTAATTCTAAGGCTTTTGTAGCATCACTACGGAATACACCAATATAATATATCTTCATTCTTTTATATGTATGTGTTAATACTGTACTATATGTATGTGTTAATACTGTACTATATATTCAGTCAAAACAGTCCACTATACTATTACCTCTCCCTTTTTCTCTATATTATTCTCTTGTTGAAGTATTGGTTCTTTATACAATATCTACAATTTTAAACAAACAATTAATGCCAATATTTCAATATTTCTTCCTTCGTCGCGCGATTTGCGTACACGTCAACGGAATGGCGTAAAAAAATCTACATAATATACGTATAAAATATATATACGCATATATTTTTCACATTCTTTTAAATTTGGGAGTAAGCAAAAGTAGTACAACGGACTCTCTCATTCATATATATTTAAACGACACAATATACTGATAACACTAAGAGTATACAGTATTTGAATCTTTAAAGCTTTTAACCTGTAAGTACCGTTCTTTCCTCACATCCCCTCCCTACCTCGTGTGTTTGGCTAGACCTATATGTTCTCCATACGGACGATCACATTTCACATAAATAAAGTATATCGATCTGGGCATCGTTATCCCCAATGGAATTCCTTGAAAAGTAATCGCAATGGTTGGAGAATTGTAGCTTTGGGTGCTGCAGCTGCATCTTTGATTATGGTGATGTGTGTGAAACCTTTATCATCAATGCATTTGTTAGATCAATGTAAACGACTCATGGATGATTGGCAATCAAATATTATTATACGGAATGAATCCCCATCAACTGCTCATGAAGGGAATTTGGACACCCATAAAACATTTGACGAGATAACAATCCCAGGTGATATCACTTTGTTTAGTCCACATGTACAGAAGCTAGAAGATGAGATCCTGGAACGAAAACAGGACAATGAATCTCAGCCTCAGTTCCATGATGATAAAGGATCAATTAGAGATAGTGTTCCATTAGTACCATTGCCATCGCCAACTCATGACTTTCAGATGATAGATGCAGAAGGGATCAGTCTTATGATTCCTGTATCAAATGAAAATTACACTTCAACAAAGGAATATGAAACTGAAGATACTAAAATCGAACGCAATCCTAATACTGGAGAGATTAATTGGGATGCCCCTACTTTAGGCGGACTCGCAAATGGACAATGTGGTAATGAATTCAAACTGGCATTCTCCTGTTTTGTTCATTCGCAGACAACACCAAAAGGAGTAGATTGCATCAAAAGTTTTAACAGAATGCAAGACTGTTTCACTAACAACATTAGAGGATGAAAAATGAAAATGTTAACGATTTATAGACTAATTTATAATAATAATAATTGTTATTATTATTGTTATTAATTTATTGACACATTTGTCACCCGTCCCGCACATTAATGACCAATAATGATACCAATAAAATGTGCTGTTGTTCATAACCTACGTCTGAAGCAAGTCTTTCGGAATTTTAACTAAGAAACAAACACATTCATATACTCTTAAATATTCATAATATCATATTTTTTCTTTTTCCTTTAAAAAAACAGATAGTTACTATCGTTTCGTTATATCCTTTCTTATTTATTTACAAGTATATATCAAGAAAGAAATTTAAAACATTTCTTTTCTCACTTATAATTTCTTTCAAGATTACAGAACATGTCGTATATCTCTTTGCCTGTTAAGTGATCTAATTTTCTATCGTCCCTTGTTCTGATACTGTATTTGCCTGTTTTGACTTCCTCTTCACCGATAATAATTAAATAGGAGTAATGTTTTAAGATTGCATCCTTAATTCTGTATCCTAACGGTTCCGACCGTTCATCAACATCGACATTAAAGCGAAAATTATTTAATGGGATCGGTTTTAAATCTGATTCTTCCTCTAGTTCATTTTCACCTGCTAATTGTTCCTTAAGTATTTGACATGCTTCCACCTGCTTCACATCTTTCGTATTTATAGGTATTACCATTGCCTGATATGGGTTCAACCAGAATGGCCATTTACCTTTGTAATGGTCTATCAACAAAGCCAAAAACCTTTCAACTGATCCAAATACTGCACGATGAATCATAATTGGAGTCTTGTAAGTATTATCCCTATCCTTATATTTTAAATTAAACCTTATTGGTAGTTGAAAGTCTAACTGAATAGTGGCAACTTGATGAGATTTACCGGTATGATCTGGAACCATGATATCCAATTTAGGGCCGTAGAAAGCGCCATCTCCTTCATTTAATTGCCATTTTTTTCCAGATTTCTCTAAAACATTTTTTAGTACTCCCTCTGCATGATCCCATGTTTGTAATTCTCCAATATAATGATCCTTTGGTCTAGTTGATAGATTTATTGAATAAGTTGTAGTCGGATCTGTATTAAACTTGAAAACTTTACCGTAACATAAATCAACCAATTTTAAACAATTTAAAATTTCGGATTCAACTTGTTCCTTAGTACAAAATATGTGGCCATCATCTTGATGAAATTTTCTTACCCTTGTTAGCCCAGAAAGTGCACCTGATGCTTCATTCCTATGAAGTGGTGAAAAATCACTATATCTTAATGGTAATTCATTATAAGAATGATCAAATCTGTTGTATATAACACAATGACCGGGACAATTCATGGGTTTCAAGCCATACGTTTCCTTTGATGCATCAGTCCCTTCGACTTTAAACATATCATCCTTGTAGTTTTCCCAATGACCAGATTGTTCCCATAAACTTTTTTTGAATATTAAAGGTGTAATTACTTCTTGATATCCAAACTTCAAACGACCTTGTTGTTGTTTCATAAATTGAATCAATTTATTAAATATTTTAGTTCCATTAGGTAGAAAAAAAATAGAACCAGGTGAAATAGGGTCTGTAATATAGAGTTTCTGTTTATTAGAAACATCATATGTTATCGATTGGTTTACATTATTCGTAGTGGTGGACGTGTCACTCTTAAGTCCGGTGGGTTTAGTCACAAGATGTCTAGAGAGATATGGAAATCGTACGCATACTAAACGTTCTGCTGTGGTAATTGGAAACATTGCCAAATTTAAAAAAAAAATAGATATTGCGAAAGATGCTCTCTTCCTTCAACTTGTTCGACACTGTTATTATAAAATACTAAATGTAATTCTTGAAAGTCTCGAAGTATTTGATAGTCTCCCCTTATGCTATATACTCTTAATATTTGAAGGTTGTTAGGTCGAGCGACTTCAAAAAAAAAAAGAAAACCATATATATATGGAACGTTATGTATGTATTAATTGCGTAACAAAATGATGTAGTAATAGTAATATACATTTAAGAAGTTGATTTAAAAATATATAAAAAGGGAGCCTTTAAGAGTTCATACTTCAGAGGTTAGAAATACATAATAATTACGATTATATATTAAATTTATTTATGCTTTTTTGTTTAACCACGAACATAAGTTGCATCAATCTTTTCTAAGGATTTTGGAAGATTTAAGATTAACTTTCTTCTGTAGGCAGTTTCATTATTTTTCTGAACTGGATTACCTTCCAAATAAATAGTATCTAAATGAATACATTCTTTCAATTCTTCACCAATCTCTTCAAATCGTTGATCAATTTGATTAAATGATGCCCAAATATCGGTTAAATCTTTTAGATGATTTAAATTTTCAAGCTTTGTAATCTTATTAGAAGTAATATCAATAATCTTTAATTTTTTATTATTTTCAAGACCTTCAATCTTTGCGATATGATTATTTGAAACGTATAATTCTTCTAAATTTTCTAATTCTTCCAAACCTTCTAATTTTTTTAATCTATTACCTTGAATAGATAAAATTTTTAATGATTTTAAATGATGTAAATTTATTAATCTTGGAATTGAATTTTTACCTAACCAAATTTCTTCAATTTTATTTAAATTTTTAAATGAGTCTGGATCAATTCCTTGAATATTATTACCACCTAATTCTAAATTTTTCAATTCTGTTAAAGTATTTAAATTTTCAATTTTTGAAATTTTATTTTGAACAAAATATAAGTTTTCTAATTTAATCAAATTATCAATATTTTTAATATGTTTAATGTTATTAAAGGAAAGATCAAGGCTTGTTAAATTTACTAATTTATTTAAATTGCTTGAAATATGTTTTATTCTATTATCATAAAAATCTATGTCTGTCATTGTTTCAATTGGTAATACTTCAACTTCACTTATACTTTGAATTAAATTTTGTCTTAAACATAAATTTTTCAATTGTTTAAATCTTAATAAATTTAAATCTTCCAATGTTCTAATCTTTAATTGAATTAAATCAATAGATTCGGTATCATCTGGTAAATCTTCTGTCAGTTCAGAATCAGCTGTAAGAAAATCAGGATGTTCATCGGGAATCACAGTTGGTACCTGTGTTGAGATTTTTTCATTATTTTCCACAAGTTGAGTTACCTTTTCGTGCTCCTTTGGTGAAGTATTATCTTCAGACATTGTTGTTCTTTTAATATTTAGTTACAACGATTGATAGAGATATATATATATAAGTATATATATATATTATCACGGATATGCTTGTTATTTGTATATGTAATACTCTTCTACAAATTAAATTAGAGTGTTCTTTATCACAAATACAATTGCTAGTACGATCTATACCAAATAAGCTGTCATGTATATGTTTATAACAGTTTAAGCAAGATGTTAATAGTAATGTAAAAATAACCCCTGTTACAAATTTCATTTTATATTTATAAAGAGAAAAAATCAAATGGTAAGAAATTAGGTAGGTCTCTCACAGTTTGACTGTGTGGTAGAATTTCATTATGAAGAAAAATAGGGCACCCAAACTGATCACAATATACGGAGGCTGATTAATATTATTAACAAGTTATTTATTAGTTTACATTATATATACGTGTACATAAATGATTCTTCTAATTACATATGAGAAACGATTCAGTCATCTATGAAGCATCTGTTTCATTCTTAATGTATTCCACGGTCTGGTTTATGGTTTTCAAATCATCAGCGATTTTATCAGGAATTTCAATGCTAAATTCTTCTTCGACAGCAACGATAAATTCAACAAGATCTAATGAATCTAAGCCTAGATCTTTTTGAAATGAAGCAGTCTCTGTAATTTCTTCTACATTACCGGACTTGTTAAATGCCTTTAAGAGATCAATCATACGAGAAGTAATAGCACCTTTTTCAAGTGCGCTTGGTGGAGAGTAGAATCTAGTCGATATGTGTGTCATGGGATATATCTTGGAAGTACTAACTACTTGTCTCTTAGCCACAGACACTGCACAGCGTGAAATAACAGATCTAAACATGATTTTATCTTAGCGTGCTTCTTTTAAATATTTGTTCTGTAGTATTCGATAAAAATAAAAATAAAACCTTTTACAATTATATATATTGTATATATTGTACCTTTAAAATAAAACCGGCTTCAGTAACTTTTAAGAAATCTCTACTTAAAAGAGTGGCAGACCCTTTGAATAATACTCATCGCTTGACTATTTAATTGAACTGAGTTACTTACCTGACATTGGAAGTGTGTATGAATGAGTGACTATCAGTAACATTTCCATCTTACAGCTAACAAAGATTATTCATTTGTGCGCAAAAACATATAGTAATATTTCTACGGCGCGCACATTAAAAAGACGTGAAGAAAGAAGGGGGAGAGAGTAAACTATTTATTTATCTCTTAAGTATGCCGTAGTAAGTGATGCATATATATATATATAATATTTGTTCTTAGTATATATGTATACTAATGTTGGTCCGATTCATTGGATACCGTCTCATTATTCAAATTTTAAACCTAATAGAGTTGTAGAAATGGTATCTATTCGTAACAATATAATATTTATAATCAGTATTCATTTTTCTTGAAGTGAAAAAATATGAATTTTCGCAGAGATTTGTTTCTCCGTTTCTTTTTTTGTAGGAAATAAAGGGCGATGACGAGCAAGCGTTAGTTAAGCTGAAAAATTTTTATATATGTAATTAATAATCCAGTATTTTAATTCTTAATATATAATATTAAACGATATATATATATATATATATAAGCAAATTTGAATTTAGGTATCTATTTTACCCTTCAGTATATAATACTATCAAGACAGCCTGATTTATTATTATCTCTATATTGAAAATATTTAATTGAAGATAGGAAGATATATTTATTGAAATCAAAATCTCAATTTCATAGCCCACTCCCCTCCGAAAAAACAGTAATAAAAATGTCAGATATTGAAGGTCAAGATATAGATTCCAATATGAATGTACCTTTACCGGTATCTACTCAACAGACGGAACAAGATTTTAGTTTCCAGAGGTTTGACACTAAGAATGTCGAAAGATCTGCGTATTTGGGTTCTTACACACAGGCTAATTTACTTGATAAATTATCAGCTTTTTATAGTCTCGATGAATTATCAGAATATTTATTAACTCATCCTCAATACGGGAAGGTTACCTTACAATTTCCAGATTCTTTAGTTATGGATTCTAGTTTTGTTATTAAGATCATTGAAGAACAATTAAATAAAAAAGATCCAGAGAATAAGAGAAGATTATGGGTATTAGCAGATACAGCATATAGTTCCTGTTGTGTTGATGAAGTTGCTGCAGAACACGTAAATGCTGATCTTGTAATTCATTTTGGTGATGCCTGTCTTAATGCTATTCAAAAATTACCTGTGGTTTATTCATTTGGTAAACCTTATTTAAATTTAGAATCTTTAATTACTAAATTTAAAGAAAATTTCCCAGATATTAACTCTAAAGTTTGTTTGATTGCAAATTCTCCTTTCACATATTACATTAAACAGATTTATGATGAGTTAAAGTCAAGTGGGTATAATAACTTAATATATTCTACAGTGAATAAAGATTTAATTAATGATAATGTAACCATCTTATCTCAAGATTTTGAATCTGATCAAACAAATTTCATTTATACTTTGAGAAATAGAATGTTATACAGTGATAGTAATACATATTCTGAGGATAAAGAAAAATCAATCGAAGATCAATTGAAGGAAGATGTTACATTATTTTATATATCTGTACCACAAGATCCTCATTTGTTGTATTTGACTACGATGTTTAATGATGTTGCTATTTATGATAATACAGCTGACTCTATCTCTAATGGTCCTTTCCCATCTCTAATGAAACGTTATAAATACATGCATGTAGCAAGAACCGCCGGTTGTATTGGTGTTCTGGTCAATACATTATCCTTAAGAAACACTAAAGAGACAATTAATAAATTGACTCAATTGATTAAACAAAATGGTAAGAAACATTATTTATTTGTCGTTGGTAAACCTAACGTTGCAAAATTGGCTAATTTTGATCCGGTTGATATTTGGTGTATCTTAGGTTGTGGTCAAAGTGGTATTATTGTCGATCAATTTAATGAATTTTATAAACCAATTATTACTCCTTATGAATTGACTATGGCTTTAAACCAGGAGGTTACATGGACAGGTAAATGGGTAACAGACTTTGAAGCCGCTTTAAAGGATGTTGAAGAAGAACTTGCTAATGGTGGTGACGAAGATGGTACACTAAAGGAGGAAAGTGATATCCCAGAATTCGATGCCGTCACAGGGAGACTTCTAGATACATCTAGACCATTGAGAAACTTAAAACACCTTGAATTAGAGGGTCCAACTTCAGGTGATAAGACATTGGCAAAGAGAGTCTCTGGTGGTACTATTATTAAAGGTACAGTCTCTACCTCGGTGGCTCATCTACAATCTAGACATTGGTCTGGTCTAGGCAGTGATTTCCAGGGAGATGAGGAGTATGAAGAAGAAGGTGCCACCATTGAAGAAGGTATTACGGGTGTTGCTCGTGGTTACGGCTTCGATCGTCACGATGCACAATCTAAGCAATAATCATTGTTTGTTTGTTTGGTTAGTTTGTGGTGGATTTGAATTTTTATACGCATATATATCTATATTTATATGATATCATGATTCTTTTCATATGTCATTTAAATGTATAACATCAATAAAAATACCATTTAATGTGAATATGATTAAAAGAGTTGCTGATTCATTATCTGTTGTAGAAACCTATAGGGTTAACCACAAATGCTACAACAAAAGGTGCAACAATAGTCACAATTGAACAATTAGTTTCAAGATTCAGAATCAAATTTTATTTAAGGACATATGAACTAAATGGTGGTGGAATAGTGTGGATTAACCTTAAAATGGTTCTCTTTCATATCTTACACTACGACATATTTTAAATACACCTTATATTGATTTATGCATATCCGTAACAAAATGTTAGTTCCATAAGGAGTGGTTAGTACATTAAGTAAGCCCTCGAAGGATATCTTGGTAATTCAAGTTTTGATATTACAGATGGTAAACAGTTACGAAACTCAGAAAACTGGGTTTCCTTGTAACATGGGACACTATAAGGTGAAGATATACTGTAACATCTCATAATAGTAATAATAATAATAATAGTTCCAGTGTTTTATATCACTTATGGTACCTTCATTTATTAATAGGTTTGAGGTGTGCAAACTTCGAGGTATGGTATCAGACACAAGCATCCATGAGAAACAGTTTTGTAAATGACTCATTTGTGAGCAAATATAGATCCTACAAGCCTTACATTAAGCTAATTACATCTGAAATTGTGTAAGTTGATATTGTCATATGGAAATGCAAGGTATGGCTTCACATGAGTGAGTGACACATCTATTTTCCTCTCTCTAACTGTTAATTTTCAAAATTTTGTGCCGTTCGTTCTGTGGTTGCCGCACTTTTCACTGTTCTTCGGCATTTTTTAAATGAAATGACACAACTCGCCCAAATTTTGCCGTGATTATGAAATCAATGTTTTGTATGTGTTTTTCTAGTTGGTTTCACTGATAATTTCCGTTTTTGATTATCTTTTGAGATGTTTGATGCCTTGTTATCGAAGTAATCGGAACTTGATAAAGGAAGATGGTGATATTAGGTGGAACTATTATAAGCCCACAGAGGATGAGTTTTACAATTTCAGCCTACCTTATGAATATTCATTTCTTTGAGATTCTAAGCATGTAACTGCCGGACTTTGAAAGAAGACACCCTGAAGTTCACGGGTTCTTTTGTAGTTCGAACATTTTCGACATTTTTGCCCTTTTAGCTATTGTATTGTATCAGTGACTGTTCTTCGAACTTGATTCATTTCTTACAGGATAGAAACATATTTAAACAGCAAGGAAAGGTTACTGCAATTTAAAAGCTGTTCTTAATAGTTTCTTTTAGTTCATTATTGTTATAAGATTACATACATATTTACCATACAATTACTGTAGTATAAACCTATAGCGGTAATAATTGAAATGGCCATAAACGCATTCAATCAAGAAATAGATGAGGAAGTTCCAAATTGGACGCCAAGAGCGTTACCTGAAAGAGTTACTCTTATTGGGAAGAGTTGCATCCTCGAACCATTAGATTTAGAAAAGCATAGTGAAGATCTTTTGGATGCCTTCAATTTGATGGAAGATGATAGAACTTGGACATATCAACCATTCGGTCCCTTCACTGACCTTCAGGACTATAAGAACGCTTGGTCCACATTACAAGAAGGTACTCAAGATATACATTTTGCAATTATCGATATCAAGACAAAGAAACCTGTCGGTCAGCTTGCAATAAAGCATCCAGATCACATAAATGGTATTGCAGAAGCAGGTTATGTTACGTTTTCTCCATTGCTACAACGTACAAAGATGTCCACAGAAGCTCATTACCTTTTGGCTTGTTATGTATTTGACACTTTAAAATATAGAAGATATCAATGGCAATGTTTCGTTCATAATACTCCTTCTCGTATAGCTGCCGAAAGATTAGGGTTCCAGTTTGAAGGTACTCTGAGACAAACTGCAGTGATTAAAGGAAGGAATAAATCAGCTCATTGGTTTTCTATTCTTGATTCAGAATGGGATATTTGTCGTGAAGCTTTCGAAAAATGGTTAGATGACTCTAACTTTGACGAAGATGGCAAACAAAAATTGCGTCTACAAGATATTAGAAAATCACTATTGGTGTGATCAACGTTCTTCTTTATTCTTTACTTTAAATATTTTTTTACGATAAACTTTTTTGTATAACTTTTCAAGTTTTTTAAAAACCATCCTTAAGATTTTTCAGTCTAATAAAATGATGTTCATTGATAAATTTTGACTTGATGGATCGTACCAAGAATAGCTTGTCCTTGGTATTGTTTTTTGTTTGTGTATTTTTTGCAGAGCTGAAGTTTGTACGTAAAAACTTCTTAATCGCTATCTTGTATCAAACGGCAAATGTCGAAAATAGAATTGTAAAATTACCTATCAGAGATGATGAGGATAAGAAGAGAGAGAGCTTAGAATACGTGCATTATCAGGTTCAAAGATGTTTCTCCTCTTATTGTTTATTACAACAAACTGTTTTTCTCGCTTAAGGCATCTTATTAACTTATGACTCAGAAATATATATATACATATTTTTTTTCATTATTAAAACAGTCATATCTCGAGATATAATGCATCAAATAAATTTCAAAGTTTCATTTCGCAATTAGTATATAAAGTATTTTTTTTATATTTCTATAGATTTTCATTACTTACATCGAATCTTCCTTAAGCATATTACGAACTGATATACTCAAAGTCCTGCAAGATGCCTGTTAATGAATTGAATCAAATAGTAGCCGAACCAATCCCGGACTGGGAACCAAGACCACATCCAGAAAATGTCACTTTGGAAGGTAAATTATGTACAATTGTCCCATTAGACCCTGAAATACATTGTCCAGTACTTTTCGAAGCTTATCAATTGGAAAAAGATAATGGTATGTGGACTTTCTTACCATTTGGTCCATACAAGAATGCTGATGAACTTACCGAGGCTTTTGATCACTGGATGAAGACAAAAGATGATACATATTTTGCTATTATTGATAACAAGACTAAGAAACCTGTTGGACAATATTCTTTGAGAAGATGTGATCCAACAAACGGTGTAGTTGAAGTTGGTGGTGTCATCTTCTCACCTCTTTTAAAAAGAAGTAGGACTGCTACAGAGGCTCATTATCTGTTAGCCGAATATGTATTTGATACTCTTCATTACAGAAGATATGAATGGCAATGTAATAGTTTGAACAAACCATCTCACAATGCAGCAGTGAGAATGGGATTCCAATTCGAAGGTGTTCATAGACAAATATCTGTTGTAAAAGGTAGAAACAGAGATACCCATTGGTTGTCTATGTTGGATCATGAATGGCCAGTGTGTAAGCAAGCCTTTGAGAAATGGTTAGATGATTCCAATTTTGATGCAGATGGTATGCAATTACAACGTCTACAGGAGATTAGAGTATCTTTATCCACATAAAATTGAAATATATAAAAAACTTGTTTTACTTTTCAACTTTTATGTATAGAAGATTGTATAATATCAGATATTTAAAATGTATTGCCAATTTGAAAGTGTATTTATTGTACTTCGTGGTACATCACTTGTTTACGTGGTCTATTTCACCAAAGCGATATATAAATATATACCAAAATTTACAGATATCGAAATAAATAACCTAAGCAATTTATTTATTTAATAAATTGATACAGTGACATATTCGATGACTTTAATCACTCTTCTTGTGTATCTACACAAAATTGTCGTTATTTACTTTACACTATTTCGCAAGACCTAATATTGGATCCGCCTTAACCCTAATTTTTCGCACGTAACATTTTGTGGAAAAAGAATTGCAAGAGGATATCAGAAATCAATAAAAAGAGAGTTGATTTTTGAAGGTGATATATTAGAGACATTCTTTTGAAAGGAGAGGTAAGCATTCGATTCTATACATTAAGCTAACAGCTACTTATTATTTATTATTAGGCTATTGACTATCACTACTACCGATTTTGCAGGATCCGCGGTTAATCTACGATACTAGCATTTCCTCTCGTTTTTTTTTCCTCTCTTAATCATTAGTGATTGACTATATATCAGAAAAAATATATCAGACTCTTTCCACAGCTGATATTGACAGATTTACTCTACACATTAGGATACAATACAACAAATATCTCATACTATGTTTAAAAAATATAAGAATCAAGATCTAGATATGGCCTTTTGGTGGAAGAAAAATCCAAAGACCTCATCGGACTATGTCAAATTAGTCGAAGAACAATTATCAAAAATTAGCAGCTCTACATCGGCAGATAGTAAAAAAAAAGTACAAGAAGAATGTTCCAAGTATCTGATGGGACTGAAACATTTCATTATTGGTGATACTGATCCAAAACCAACGCCAGAGGCACTCGATGAGTTGTATTTGGCTATACTCCGCGCGGACTTATTCTATGATTTAATAATACATTTTAATGATTTGGAGTTCGAAGCAAGGAAAGAAGTTGCTTTAATCTTTTCAATATGTTTGGGATACTCAAAGGATAATAAATTTGTCACTGTCGATTATCTTGTTTCCCAACCTAGAACCATAACGTTAATGTTACGGAGTATTGAATTAGCATTACAAAACAAAGGACCATCACAAGATATTTTTCTTGTGTTAGGGAATATGATAATAGAATGTATCAAATATGAGCAACTGTGTAGAGTTGTTCTGAAGGATCAACAATTATGGAAGTTTTTCGAATTTGCTAGATTACCAAATTTTGAAATTAGTACTGAATCTTTACAAATATTAAACAATGTTTTTACAACACATTCGAATCTAGTATCGAAAGAATTTTTTTGCAATGAATATAACAGAACTAAATTTATTCGTTATATCAATAAACTGATGGCATACGGTAATTATGTTACAAAGAGACAAAGTACAAAACTGCTAGCATCATTAATTGTTATAAGATCGAATAACCAATTAATGAATCAATACATTGATTCAGCTGATAATTTAAAATTAATTATGACTTTAATGACGGATAAGTCCAAGAATCTTCAACTGGAATCATTTAATGTATTTAAGGTGATTGTCGCTAATCCAAGAAAAACAAAGCCTGTATTCGATATATTGACTAAGAATAGAACAAAATTATTAAAATATTTTGAAACTTTCGGTCTTGACAATCAGGATAATACTTTTGTAGATGAAAGGGATTTTATTATAAGACAGATTGAAGGACTTCCAAGAATCGTATCATCAAACGAAGGTAACTCGCCTAGTGGAAACACTGGGGATTCTTCCATTATTTCAACTTCTCCTATTAGTGATTCGACAAGTGGGAACATTATGACCCGTAGTAATCCCGGAAGTGTTTAATGATATATATCATATAACAAATCAATTACTTCATATATCAGCATTATTTTTATTGTTTATATAATATAACTTTATTGATAAAGGCAAATAATGACATACAAATATTATTCTTTATTAACAAAACTTTCCTTCCCTTGCCAAAATAAACTGTTTTGAATATTTTATTACTTTTATTTTTTTTTAATAGTTGCTACTTATTCCGAAAGCCAATTAAGGGAGAATCCAAGTAAACATAAAAACAAAAATGATAAAAAATGCAAGTTCAGTTTATTTAGTGTATAAAAAATACTTGTCCAATATAAAAATACAAGATTATATTCATTACATGATAAACTCGAGGTAAGTTAACCTTCAATCAATATTCAACTTTAATTTCTTATTTAGTTTCGTCTTTTTCTCTACCCCCTTCTTCAAAGGACTGCCCTTATCGTTTGAAACCAATGGAAGTCGTTTACTTGAGCCAACAATCGAACGATTAACCGGTTCAAAGCTTTTTTTTGCAATTGGCAACTCTCTATTCCCAACTACTTCTATAGAATCAGTCTCAGAAGAACTTGGTTCTAAAATGGTATTATTTTTAAGTTGTTTTAAATCTGATTGGGATCTACGGATCATATTAGATGATCTAGCCACAGAGAGATCACTCAATCGTTTGGACCATACTGGAACGTCCTTATCTAAAATTTTGTTCAATTCTAATAATCGTTCTTCATTTTTTAATCTCTCTACAGGATCGAATTCACCGAATTTATAACTACCTTTACCATCAAACTTCAATAAGCGGTTGTGGAAATGCCACAAACTTGTCCTATGACAGACTGAAATTAAAGAAATACCAAGATCCTTTGAGATAGTGTACATCTTTTGTTCCATTTCTGGGGATACTGCAGAGGTGCATTCGTCTAGTACAGCAAACTTGGGCTTATGATAGTACATACGCACCATTGCTAATCTTTGTTGAATACCTATAGATAGCTCTTCTGTCCATTTACGAATTATATCAAATGCCTCTTTAAGCTCCACAGAAGGTGGTTCTGTTGAATTGGTAATATTAACATTCGATGGTACATTTTCTGGCGTAAATAGTGAGGTCTTTGGTACATTTTGAGCAAGTGCAAGTGTCATATTTTCGATGACGAGATCGTCAAGATCTAACAATTTCAATATATTAAACAAATCTGCATCACCCTTTGCAATATCTCCATCATATTTTTCAAGAAACTGTTCTGTTGAATCAGGATATATTATTTGTTCTCTGAAGGTGGAATTTACACCAATATATGGCCTTTGAGGAAGATAAAATATCAAACATTCCCCGGTGGTACTTCTCTTTGGCATAGTCAGTTTAGTTGGTTTACCATTGGGATTATTCAATACCGGCCATAAACCACCAAGAATCCTAAACAGAGAGGATTTACCACAGCCATTGGGCCCTATAATGAGGAGGTGATTGCCCCTCTCTAATTTAAAGTTTAAGGATTCAACCAGAACTTGATTTGCAGGAGTAATTAATGGGACATTATCGAATTGTATAATATCATTGTTATACTCAATAAGTTTATTATTGGTTGGATCGACATCTTCCTCATTCTGTTGATATTTATCTAAAATTTCATTGAAAGCATTTAATCTGATCCTAGTACCCTTTAGTTGTTGAATATTCCTCTTCAATTCAATAAATCTTCCAAAGGAACTCGATGCTGTCAGGAGTAAACGTCTATTTGTGATAAAGTCTGCTGTAATATCTGTCTTACCATTCTCATTATGACCATTACCAAGTCCGAAAAATATTGGGATCGAACACAAAGATAAACCTGCTGCACCCCAAGTATATTTAATAATGAACGTAGATGCCATATCATACAATGCTTTGGCCTTGATCTCTCTGTTTAAGAAAAGAACAAGGTTATAAAATGAATAATCCAACGTTGTTAATTCACGATCTTGACCTTTTAAAATCGCTATTTCTTCATTATTTGAATGTAAATGCGAGTGTAAAGTTCTAAAATAACTTTCCAAAGATGATCTTATAATAGTCAGTTTGGTAAAATCTGGACGAATCAATTTTAATAACGTGTTTGAAGTGTAAACGATTAGGCCCAAAATTAAGGTCCCTTCACCCATCATGTTTGACTTAGAGTTTAATAGTTTGAAAGAGCAAAGAATCAAATCCAACGTTGGTTTTAGTAATTGATTTAATAGCAATGAACTATTGGTGGAAAAATCATAAATATCTCTTGTCAAGTTATCTTGAATTTCTGGAGAATTACTAGCCACTGCATAAAATGTACGATGATTGGATAAATACTTGTTTAACATCATATTCGATACTTGTCTATTTATAGTAACGGAACATAATTTTGTAGTATACGTTATCAAACTGTTAATAAAACTTGCAGGGATCCCTAGCGTCATCCATTGTCCTAATAAAATCTTTAGAAAGAGAGTATACTTTCCTTTCACCAAAGTCGAAACCAATTTCCCATCTAATGTTGCAACATGTAATGATAACATAGTTCTAATGACTAGTAGTAGAGACTGCATTATTAATAATAATACACATTTTTTGTTTAGAAGAATAAGTTTCAGGAGAAAATCTTTATTTTTCTTCTTCTTTACCTTTTTGGTTTCATAATTTTCTATTCTATCTTCCATTTCGTTACCTGTCACTCCTTCTTGGTTCTCTTTCAAATTTTCTGCATTTTCTGTTAAGGACAATTCATCATCTGTAGCATTAGAATCATTTACAAAGTCAAATGTTGAATTTGACTTTTTATTATTTTTTCCCACTGTGCTTGATTTCTTCTTCCACTTTTTCCTTCCATCATCATTCGTATTGTCTTCCTTTTTAAGTTTTTTATTCTTTCTCTCTGTAACTGAGGAACTTGACCCCAAAATTGTAGCACCTAGCAATGCCAGACAAGATAATCGTAAAATTCCTTGCCTGTAGTTACTGTAAAATGTCTTAAGACGTAGTTCCATTTATAAGTAATACTAAATTTATATTCGTTATGATTTTCTTTTAATATAATACCAGTTGATACGTTTTGCAAAGAGTTTACTAAAACCTTAAGTACCATTATATCCTTATATTTATATCTCCTCTCTCCCTCTCTCTCTCTATATATAGCCGATGCCTATTTTTTCTCAAGCGGCTAAACGTATGTCGGAGTTTCCCCAATTAATCTCCAATTTTTATCAACGGAGATACATTGGCACGACAGCGTCTAACGCCGAAGAGAACAATATAGATTTTGAAGCCAGCTTTCATCCTTTTGATCACGGTGACCTATGAACAGTTAACTTAACAAGATATATCAATCTCAACACTGCCTTCATATCTGCATTGTTCATGGAGATATATTATATTAAGTCTGTAAAATATTTTCATTAAATAGTCATAACATTAAATAGTACATATCGTTAAAATAAAAAAAAAATATACAGAGAAAAGAAGTGCCAAGTCACTGATAAAAAGAAGTACATAAAATGGAGATGGACACTTCGTATTAGATTATATTAAATGTTTCGTATAAGAACAAAAAGAAAAATGGTATTAAAATTAGGTCTCAGTAATAACTAATGTTTTCATAAGCTATCTGTACCCGAGGTATTTGTTTGTTGAATATCAGGTACTGGATCCTGCTTTTCATCTGCATCATTATTTAAGAAATCAGAAGAGTTCTCAGATGAATGTCTTACTACTTGACCAGGAGCTATTTCAGGTTTTGGTTCTTGAATACCACTATCTACTTCACTGACTGAACTTTCAACTTCGACATCTTGTTCTTTTTGTTTCTTCATCAAATATGGAATTCTTAGATGTCTTTCGTAGAGACCAATAACAAGTAAGATGAACCCTGAAATAACCATGAAGGAAAAGGCGCACCACATCATTGCATTATATGACGGACCAGCTGTAAATACAACACCGAAATTATCTTTGTAAGTACCTGATTTGATAACTTGAAGAACCACAGTTAATACAGTACAACTTAAACCCAAAAACAGAGCTGTGGCAGCGGCCAGGAAGATAACTATAACCCATGCATAACTCTTTGAACTCCATTTAATCCAGAATAAAAAGGCAATAGTAACCATAGTGATAAATGAGAAGATAATAGCAAGTATATTCATAGACAATACTGCTTTAATAGAAGGAACATATTCATGTTCTCTCTCTAACAAGTCACCTTCCAAATAAAGCTCATTAGGACCAATATCTAAAGCATTTAAGTAAGGAGCAAATTCTGATTTGGACAAGGCATCATAAATAATTTGTCTAAAATCTAAATTCTGAACTGCGTGTGAAGCGGAACACTCTAGAATATCATGATTCAAATTTCTTGTACATAATGTAAAGATTGACAATTGGAAATATACTGGAATTTCTAAATATTCTAGTAAAATTGGTGTCATTTCTTTCAATTGTTCCTCAGAAACCATTTCTACTTTTAATGCATCATCTAAGATAGCAACAATTGGAATGAATGTTTCAGGGTTTTGTTGAGCCCATGCTGTTAAAGTTACCAATGAAGAGAATGACACAGGTGGATTAGCAGAAGCATCCAGTAAAGTGAATAATGATGGAATATATTTAAAAGTGGTACTATTTGGATTTAAACTTGTTTGTAAAGAAGCTAAAATTTCAATAGTATCTGGACCTTGATCGGTAGCATCTAACATTTCTAATAATGCTTCTAACTGAGCAGTAGTACTTACTGTATCCGTATTTGCTGCCAATTGAGAAATTGTAGAGATGGCCTTACTTTGATTACTAACATTATTAATAATTGAACTTAATGCTACCATTGAATCCTTTGAAGATTCTGATTGAGTAATATTTGACTTAATCAGATTATTTAAAGTAGTTAAAGTATTATTAACATCAGTTGATTCTTCAAGGATATTTTTAATGGCTCCAATGGCTGCTTTTTCATCATCACCAGATGCTAAACTTGAAATTGTTGAGAAAGCTGTAGTAACATTTGGATTTGATGCTAACATTGTTTGTAAAGTAGTTAAAACCAATTGAGATCTTGCTGGGGAAACATTATCTGCTGTTTCCATGATAGTACCTAAAGAATTAACTAATTCAGTAATGTTATTAGTTTCACTAAATAAAGTAAAAATTGGTAACATTTTCATCTTTTCACTCATAGTTAAACCATTTAATACAGATAATGAATTAGCGACTAATGTTGGATCCTTTGAATCAGCTAATAATTCTAAAGTTAATTCTGTTGTATGATCTTCTTTACTATTATTAGTTGAAGAAGTTAACATTGGTACAACTAAATTTTTTAAACCATCTAAAGTTTGTGATTGATTATTTGAAATTTTTAATAACCCACTAATTTCAACTAAATCCTTTGTATCAGTTGCTGGATTTCCACTAATTGCTAAAGGAGCTAATTGAGTTAACGATAATACTGATTGAGAAACATTTTGCGCATTTGATAAAAGATACATCAATGGAGTTAAAGCAGGAGTTTCAGAAATTGTCTTTAAAGCATCGAAAATATTATCTAAAGTTCTATTTGGAGCAGTTAAAGCAGTACCTAAAATCAATAAAATTGGACCAATTTGTGGAACAACTTTTGTAACATTAATATGAGTAATATCAGCTGTCCCTAAATAAATATTTGTCAATGGGACATAATTTGAAGTTGAACCAGTGGTTGAAATAATTGTTAAAATGAAAGATGTAAAAGTTAATAATAATAAAATAGTTAAAAGAATGACATGTTCCTTCTTGGAATAATCATTTGGTAAATAAGGTAACTTCATGATTTAAATATTTGGTGTTCTTTCTTTAAATGTCGATGTTATCTTATTAATTGTGTGTTAAGTAGTTATATATATA